ATAAATTTAAATAAATATATTTAAATAACCGGCGTATTTAAAATTATTTTTATTTTATTTTTATTTTAATTAATATTTAAAAATAATATAAAAAACGTTTAATAATAATAATATATTTTAAATATTATTTTTAAAACGATTATTAATTTAAAAATTTAATTATTTATTATAATAAATAAAATTAAAAATTTTAAACGTTAAAAGTTAATTATAATTTTATAAATAATAACGTTTAATATATATTAATATTTTTTTTACGGTTTTAATTTATAAAATATAAATAATTTATTAAATAAATAAAATAATTAATTTTTATATTTAAAATTTTTTATTAAAATATAATTTTATAATAATAACATTAAAATAATTATTAATTAATTTTAAAAATTATTTTAAAATAATTTAAATATAAAATATTTAAATTTAAATAAAATAATTTTAAATTTAACGCGTTATAAATAATATAAATTAAAAAACATTATAATTTTTTATAATTTATAACGTTTTTTAATATTATAATTTTTATAAATAATAAAATATAATATTAATAATTAAAATTTATTATATATTTATATAATATATATTATAATATATAAAATAAATTAACGGGTTAACGGATTTAATATTATTATTTATTATTTAATAATTAATTAAAAAATTAATTAAATATTCGGTTTTTTTTAATTAATTAAATTAATTTTTAATTTAATTTAAAAATTAAATTTTTATTTAATTTTAAAATAAGTTTTTAATTTTTTTTAATTTTAAATTAATTTTTAAATTAAATTAAAAAATTAATTTAAAAATTAATTTATTAATTATTTATTAAATATTAAATTAATGAACGTTATTTAAATATTAAGTAAATAATTAAATTAATTAAAATTAAACCATTAATTTTAATAAATTTATACACATCTTACCGGACTGGTGTCCTTTAATGGAAGGCGTCAAAGCGCCCTGGCCCACCATACGTGGGGGTTTATAACGGGCAGCCATTAATCCATTTACTGTTAAGCTTAAGCATCGTCCAGTTAGCTGCGACTTTTACAAATTCTAATTATGTCCACCCCTTATTACAAGCAAGTATCACAATTTGTGTTCAGTATTAATATTCCCGATTACAACCGTTTTGAGAACCAGATAGTCGTCCATACCATACTTACTACCTTCGCGCCCCATACCCGAATTCTTCACACCACCAAATCTAACAAACTATTAGCAAACTTCATTCAGCATTCTCGTTAAAGGAATTACTCACGGTGCTGCAGGATCCGAAATGACTCCCGTGTTGATAGCGACCATGCCAAAATCTAGTTTCTCAGTCACGCGATGAGTCCTAGATAAATCATTCGTAATAACATAGGAGGCCAATCCCACGTCGACATTATTCGCCCTTTGTATCACTTCATCCTCCGTCTTGAACTTGGTCAAGGCCGCAAGTGGTCCGAAGGTTTCCTCATTCATCACTTTCATAGAGTCGTCCACATCGCCCAAGATTGTCGGTTCGAAGAAGTTGGTGCCAAGATTAGGGAGGCGCTTGCCGCCGAGCAATATTGTCGCGTTTTTGCTGACAGCATCTTCCACGTGTTCCTCCACTTTGCTCACGCCGGTAGTCAGTGGTCCGTGGGTAACTACGGCGGAGCACAGGGCTCAGAACGAAATAACGAGAATTTAGTATATAGGTGCACGCCTAGTGGGAATTTAGTGCTGTGCACGGATTATAAAGAGCGCGCTAGACGATTTTAGGGCGGCGCTAATGCACGTTTTAGCCGGAATTGGATGGATTGCGCATGTACTTTTTTAATATAACGGAAAAAATTCGTTTAACGGGGTAATTTTTTAAAAAAACATTTAAATTTATTAAAATATATTAAAAATTTATTTTTAATTATAATAATATTTATAAATATAATATAAATAATATATTAAAAAAATAAATAAAATATATTATTAATTAAATTATATATATATTATTAAAATAATAATTATATAAAATAATTATATATAAAAAAAATTAATTATAAAATAATAAATTAAATAATTAATTTATTTATATATATATATATAATAAAAAAAATAATATTAAAAATTATTAAAAATTTTATTTTATTTATATTATATAATAATTATTTATTTATAATTATATTAATATATATTAAATAAAATTTTTATTATATATATAATAAAATAAATTATTAAATTTTAATTTATTAATTAAAATTATATATTATAATTTTAATAATAATAATAATAATAATAATAATAATAATAATAATAATAATAATAATAATAATAATAATAAAATAAATTATTTTAATTATTTTTATAATATAAAAAATATTATAATTAATTTAATATTTAAATTATTATTTTATATATTATTTTAAAAATAATATAAATTATAATTTAAAATAAATATAATTTTTAAAAAATTTAATTATATATATTTAAAAAAATTTATTATAATTTATAATTAATATATATAAAATTTTTTAAAATTTTTAAAATTTTATTAAAATTTAAAATAATTAATTTTTTTATTTATTTTTATTTTATTTTATTAATATATTTAATATTAATAAATAAATTATTTTATTTAAAATATATTAATTATATATAATTATATAATTTATTATATAAAAATATTTATTATTATTATTAAATAATTTTTTATATTAAATTAAAATATTTAAAAAAAAAAAAAATTAAATTTTTTAATATTTTAATTTAATAATTTTTATAATAATTTATATTTTTTAATATAATTTAATTTTTATAAAATTATATTTTTAATAATTAATAAATATAATAATTTAATTAATTTTATATAATAAAATTTAATTTAAAATATTTTAAATAAAATATATAAATTATTTTTATTAATTATTAAAAATATAATTTTATAAAAATTAAATTATATTTATAAATTAAATTATATTAAAAAAATATAAATTATTATATTAATAAAATTTATAATATTTAAAAAAAATATTAAATTATTTATTATTATTATTATTTTTTATTTCGTATATTTATTTTATAAAAAACGTACGATATTATTACGAAATAAATATTTATATATATTTAATTAATATAAATTTATTAATTATTTATATATATTACGGTTATAATTAATATAAAATTTTTTTATTAAATTTATTTTATTTAAAATAATAAAAAAATTTTTTATAATAATTAAAATAAAAATATTTTATATTTTTTATATAATAATTTATTTTATTTTATTATATTTTAATTAAAAATTTTAATTTACGGGTTATAAAAATTATATTTTATTATATAATTACCCGGAAAAAAATAATATTAAATTAATTTTTAATTATTAAAAATATAATAATATATTTTTAAATATATTAAAATAATAATTATAAATTTTAATAATTATTTTAATAAATTTATTTTATTATTAACGAATATTTAAAAAAAAATAAATATAAAATAAATAATATATTTTTCGTTATTATTAAAATAATTTATTAAAAATAAAATAAAATTTTTTTATTATTTTTTTTTAAATAAAAACGGTTCGTTTTTTAATTATTATTTATTCGTTAATAATAATTTTAATAATTTTTTAAATTTTAAATTTTTAAAATATTTAATTTTATAATAAATTAAATAAAAATATATTAATATTATTTTTTTAAATTATAAAATAATAAAATTTTATTTTAATTAATTTAAATTAAATTTTAAATTATATATATAATTATTCGTAATATAATCCGTATTATTATATTTATAAAACGGGTATAACGTTTTTTAAAATTTAATTTAAAATTTAATAATATAAAAATTTTAATTAAAATTATAAATTAAAATTATTTTTAAAATTTAAATATATATTATATTATAATTACGTATAATATATTTTAAAAAATATAATTCGGGGTTAATAATAAATAATTTAAAGTTTTTTAATTATTTAAAATATTATTTAAATTTAAATTTAAAATATTTTAATTTTTAAAAGTTAAAAATTTAAAATTATAAAATTATAAAAATTATACCCGTTTATTTTAAAACGATAATATTATAATTAATAATTATATAAATTTAAAATTAAATAATTTAATAAAATTTCGATAATTTTATATTTAAAATTATTTATATATTTATTATTTCGAATCGTTATTATATAAAAATTTATTTAATAAAATTTAATTTAAAATATTTTTAATAATTTTAAAAATAAATTTAAAAATAAATTAATAATTATTATTTATATAAAAAGTTATTTATTTAAAAAATAATTTAAATTTTTATTTTTAAATTATATATTTAAATATTTATTAAATAAACGCGTTAATACGTTAACGCGTTTTAATTATTAAAAAAATTTAAATATATTATAATTTAAATATACCGATTTTATTTATTATATTTTATATTAAAAATAAAATTTATATATTTAAATTATATTATACCCGAATTTTCGTAATAATTAAAATATTAATTAAATAAAAATTTATTTAAATTATTTAAACGTGTAATTAAATTAAACGTATAATTTTTAAAAAAAAAAATTATTATTAAATTTTAAATTAAAATTTAATTTTTAAAATTTTTAACGATTTTTATAATATAATTAATTAAAAATAAATATAATTAAAAAAATATAATTAAAAATAAAACTTTAATTTAAATTCGTTAAAATAAATAAAATTTATAATAATTAAAAAATTTAAATTTTTTTTTTAAAAATAAATAATTAATAAATTAAAAATAAATTAAATATTAAATTATTATATTAAATTATTATTAAATTATTTAAATTTTATAAAAATTTATATAATATAATAATATTTAATAATATTTAATAAAAATAAATATTATTTTATTTATAATTTTATTTTATTTTTTAAAAAAATTCAACCCCGCTATCTTCATAAATTTACTTCAATGCATAAATATGCGTAAAAACAATCGTACCTTTACATACTTACATATATGTCTTTTCCTTTTTTCGTTTACCACCCCCGGGGCTTGCGCAATAAAAAACCGCGTTATTTCGTTCTGAGCCCTGTGCACCTCCGTAGGTAACGGATTCTTGAATTCCATTGCCAACATGGAATTTTCCCACCTCCTCTATAAGCCTCTTGCTGAACTTATCGTAAATGGCCTCCTGCACGAATATCCTGTTTGCGCATACGCATGTCTGACCAGTCACCTTGAATTTGCTCACGATGGCGCTTGCTACGGCCACCTCGACGTCCGCATCCTCGAAAACGATAAACGGGGCGTTCCCCCCAAGCTCTAAGCTGAGCTTTTTCAAGGTACTGCTCGATTGCTGCATCAATAGCTTGCCGACTCTCGTGGAACCCGTAAACGAGATCTTCTTTACTATGTCAGACTGGCAGAGAGCGAGACCAAGCGCCGGAGTATTCTCAAGTGCGGTCACCACGTTGAAAACCCCCTTGGGGATACCAGCGCGCTCGCCAATCACAGCTAGGACATTGGACGAAAATGGTGTTAAACCATCTGGCTTCAGTACGACAGTGCATCCCGCAGCAAGCGCTGCGGCGATTTTCCGAGCACCCATTGCCATAGGGAAGTTCCAAGGCGTGATAAGACCGCAAACACCAATCGGTTGCTTAAGGATCTGAATTCTGCCATTCGGTGTGGTATGTGGAACAACATCGCCGTATATTCGGGGCGCTTCTTCGGCAAACCATTCGAAGAAGCCAGCCGAGAATAGAGCCTCACCCTCGGCGTCTCCCCGGGATTTCCCATTTTCGGCGGTGATAATTTTGCCGATATCTTCCTTATTCTCGACGATTAGGTCGAAGAAACGTCGCAAGATGCGTCCACGCTGACGCCCGGACAGCGCTCTCCATATGGGGAATGCTTGAGAAGAGGCCCTGATTGCATCGTTAAGATCGTCCAGCGTTGACTCGGGACAAGCCCCAATAACCTCACCAGAAGCGGGATTTAGAACCTCGAAGGTCTTCTTAGACCTGGAAGATACCCATTGACCGTTTATATATGCGCCTTCAACTAGGAGGCCAGGGTCTTTCAGGCTTGAGGTTAACGAGGCGGCCATGTTTAGGTAGGTAGGTCGATTCTGAGGAAGAATGCGACGGCAAGTCTTGAGGAAGATAGATGGAAGCCCAACTATTCAAGTTCCTATTAAATACTGAATTATTCTATATTTCTCGAGATTAACATCATAATTGTGCCTAGACTGGATATTACCTTTCGCGATTAGAACTAAGACATACAGCGCCCCGGTCCAGGTGAATATCGCAAGCCCACTATCTCGGCTTCCTCACCCGAGAATAATGGTGGGGCCATTAAGTCGGCTTCTGACTGACCCGCATATTCCGAATACTCCTATCTCGCTCGGGAACCTTTGTACGTTTACGATTCAATTGCAAACGATGTGATCAAATGACCGGATACGTCGAGACGGAGGCATGTATATCTAGCTCGAAGATGATCTTAGGATCTCTTCTCTGTTAGTAGGTAGGCATATGCCAACCTCAGAACATTCACGAATACCCATTTGGCGACCAGCCAATATCACTTTCGTCAAATATTCGAATTCCGGCGACACTTGCACAATCAACCATGAACACGTCCGAATTGAACGAAATCGCGGATGCTCTGCGCACGGCTCGAATCAATCGAAGTCCCATCCCTCCTCCTTCCAAAACCTACCCATCTCTGGATGTGAAGGGGGCCTTCGAGGTTCAGAAGATCACAGTCCAGAATGCGATCAGTAAGGATGGGGATCGCTTAGTTGGTTACAAGCTGGGGAACATCGCCAAGGTCATGCAAGATGCTTTCGGTCTCGACCAGCCCGACTACGGATTCCTTCTTGCTAGTCTCTTCATCTACCAGGGCACGAAGATCTCATTAGACAAGCTCATCAAGCCTTACGTTGAATTGGAGCCGGCCTTCGTGCTCAAGAATCACCTCCGCGGCCCCAACGTCACGGCGGCCGATGTCATCAGCGCCGTCGACTACGCCATTCCGGCGGTTGAGATTATCGACTCCCGAGTCCAGAATTGGGCTATCGGGCTCGAAGACACCCTGGCCGATAACGGGTCCACCGGTGCGGTGATTCTCGGGGGAACGCCACGACGGTTGACAGACCTAGACCTGAGCAATACTAAAGGTGTACTGAAGTTCAACGGGCGAGAGGTTATGACAGGCAACACGGGGAACATCCTCGGGAACCCAATATCAGCGACTGCGTGGCTTGTCAACCGACTAGCCGAGTTCGACGTTGAATTCCTCCCCGGACAGGTAATCATGCCCGGCAGTTGCCTGCAGGCTATGCCGATGGAGGAGGCGGGGCATTGGTCCTGCGAGTTCGAAGGTTGGGGAGCAGTTGAATTCGATGTAGTCTCGAATACATCTTCGAAGCTATGATGCGATAATATAATGCAAACTTGCTTATACGGAGACCGTTACTCGTGTCTGCGTGCAAATTCCGTAGAGGTCCAAGGTATTAGCAGCTGAACTATGCTGTGGTTATGAAACCAGGTGGATCAAGAGAAGATTTCCACCTTGATTCAGTACCGACCTTGCGATATTGTCTTGTATTGTTGAGTCGTCGAAAAGAAATTGCGGGAATCGTAGGAGATAAGTGACGCTTGTTGACATCCATGGATGATATTTAGATTAGCAGTACTGTGTGGTGGTTACGTAATCAAAGGGTTTAAGTAGAAACTTGCTCAAATTGTAGACGAGAGTTTAAACTTAAGAAATACAACATCATTTACTCTTCCAGGGCTACTTTCAGTACCTACCTAGCTTTAGCTAATGTCAGAGGGTCCCACTTCCAACCTTGGAAGTGTTTGGTGTTACCACTTAAGGCACGACCTACCGTATAAAGATTAGCAGGGAACAATTAACCGTTAATTAATAATTTATTTATAATAAACGTTTAAAAATAAATAAACCATTAAGTAATTATAATTTTAAATAAACATTTATATACGTTTTTATATTTAATTAAAACTTAAATATTTAAATTATTTAATTATTTATTTAAAGTTTTAAATATATTTAAACGAAAAAGTTACGGGAATTAATAAAAATAACGGAAATAAATATAACGTTAAAATTAATATATAAATAAATAAATAAATTAAATTAAATTAAATTAAATTAAATTTATTTAAATTAAAATAATTTTTTATATTTATTAAATTTATAATTATAATATTAATTATAATATTTATTTAATTATATAATTAAGTTTTATAAATAAATGAAAATTATTAATAAAATTTATTAAATAAATTAATTTTAAAGGTTTTAAAATTTTTAAAAACGATTTTAATAAGTTTTAAATAAATAAATAAATAAATAAATAAATTTTTAAAAACTTTTTTAAAAACTTTAAATTTTAAAATATTTAAAGTTTTAAAAAAAAAAAAAAAATATAAATAAATAAATAAAAATAAAATTTTATATAAAACTTAAAAATAAATAATATAATAAAATTAAAATAATTAAATTAAAATAATTAAAATAATTATATATATTTTAAAATTAAAAATTTAAAATATTAAAATAATTATATATATTTAAATTAAAATAAATTAAAATAAATTAAAATAATAAAATAATTATATATATTTATTAAAATTATTATTAATTAAAAATAAATATTAAAATTTAAACGTTTAAAAATATTTAATAATAAAATATAAATAATTATTTAATTTTATAAACGTTTAAATAAATAAACGTTAAATTAAAATAAATTATATATTTATAATTCGAAAAACTTAAACCGTAAATTAACGGTTAATTATTTCCTATAAGTTTTTACTTAATAATTTTAATTACACGACACCTTTTCCTAAAAAAAACGACACCTTCCTAATTGGGACTAGTAAGGACCCACCTAATTTAGCAGTGTTTTTGTCGCACACCTTCATTCAATGCCGTACACCTTATTACCTAATACCCTCAACTGACTTTATTACCTAATATACTCAGTTTCAAGGTTGTACCTATTATGCCACCTCCCACTAATTTTGTATGGCTACTGCCATCACAGGTACTTACTCCTACTGCAACCTTGGCTTTTGCGAGATTTATACCACTAGTATTAAGTAATATAAACGGCATACGAGGTGCTACGGTCGCAAGGTCCTTTAGGTCAGTTGCATATAGATCAATTAGGGAGGCTGTTGGAATATTGATTACATAAGCCAGCCAGGTCAGAGCTCGATTATGTAATACAGACACGTGCCACTAATTGGCTCGTGCATACGCTTACATAGCAAAAACAACAACAATCATCGCGAACCCTATTGTCCCTGTTATACAGCACTACCAACGTTATATTAATAGCAGTACCCAAGTAATTAATATAATCGATACAACATTGAATCGACGTTTCAATCCTTAATTTAACTTAGGTGCGTAGTACTAAGTTTCTAGTTGTAGATTAGGTAGGTATGTTGACTTAAGAAAAAATTCGACTAAGTTCAATTGACGTAATTGAGTATATTAGGTAATAAAGTCAGTTGAGGGTAGTATTAAGTAATAAGGTGTACGGCACTGAATGAAAGTGTGCGACAAAAGAAGTTAGGCGGGTCCCGACTATTCCCAATTAGGAAGGTGTCGTTTTTTTCAGGAAAAGGTGTCGTGTGGTTAAAGTTACTGGTCTTTGCTAAGTATGGATGCAGGTAGCCAATTCAGGACCCTTATCTTTACCCCGCCATAATGCGGGTACCTTATGAAGATGCCGGTACCAAGATACCGATAAATCTCCCCAAGTCGTCCTTATATCGTAGACATTTTACCTGCCATGAATCTCATCAGTGTATCGTGATTACTATAATATTCGTATAAGTCCTCGTGTATCCAATGGAAGGCTCAACAGAATCAAACACTCTGACGAAGCGGCGGAAGTCCAGACGAACTGCGAATGCGTTGAGTGCCCCTTACCCCTTTTAAAGATCTAGGTGCAATACTGACACGAATAAAATAGCTGCATCGCATGTCGTCAAAGCAAGATTAAGTGCTCTGGAAATGAACCCTGTCAAAACTGTAAAAGACGTTCCGTCCAGTGTCACTTTACCGAGACCGGTGTTAAAGTCGTCGTCTCGGAAAAGTACGTCAAGATCTCTTATATCCTCTCCCCCCGTCTTTTATACTGACCCGGATTTTAACACCCAAGATATCTCCAACAACTCAAGAGACAAGCGGAAGAGCACACCCGGTCACCTTCTGCAAGCAATCTTGAGTCGCCAGATCAGGGAGAAGGCCGGGCTCGTTCTCCGGATGCGCAGTCTTCAGCGTTAGGCCAGTGCGCACATCCTCTCAACTCTCCATCTATATCGCGGATGTCTGCCTTGGAAGATAGCCCCACCAATCCCCAGCATAGGGTTCATAGTAGGCTTATTTCTCCGGCGCCCACGATCGAACCTCCTCAGCAGTCTGACGCATGCCCCGACCCAGCGACCACCCCAGCATATCAGCATGATAGCTCTCCACTCCGGGTCTGGACCAATCCATTTGTGATACCTTCGAAAGTTATCAAGAACGCATGTAGGAATAAACGCACCTGGAGTAAGTGTTTGGCAACGGCTACCAGATTCGCAGAGTTAACTCGACGGTGATAGTATGGCTAGCGCCTTGGTCAACATGGTCTTTCACAATGCGCCTCATGCTCATGATAAGTGAGAAGTTATATCCTGAAGACCCAGCGATTCCCGCCAACATAATTGATCCTGAAGTCTGGACCTTGCCAAAGGCTCCATCATCAAACGCCCCTGATTTCAGTGGCTTGCCCTCACTGGATCATGCTCTTTATCTCCTATATGCAGTCAAGTTTCACCTTGGCCAGAGATACCGATTCTTTAACGAAACAGAGATCGAGAACCAAATACGTAATTTTTATTCTGACCCTCTTCGAAAGACTGTTGAATGTCCGCTTTGGGTTGTCAAGTTCCATTTGATCCTTGCATTTGGGACAGCTTTCCAGGCTCAATCACCGGAGACCCAAGAGCCCCCAGGAGCGAAATTCTTCATGAGAGCAATGGCATTATTGCCGGATCCTACTTCCCTCTGGAAAGATAGTCTGTTGGCAATCGAGGTCTTGGCCTTGGTTGGGCTATACTTCTTTTCAATCAACGAGAGAGAATCAGGTCACATTTATGTAAGTACCTGAATATTAGTTGAACCCGCTGTTATTCTCCACTTACGCGGTACCCTTACTAGCTCGGCCACGCAGTACGCATCGCATTGTTGGAGGGACTACATACTCAACTTCCGGAACATGGGCTTGGTGCGGAAACTATCCACAATTGCCGCGATCTCTGGTGGACATTATATCTCATGGATAGACATTTCTCATCCTCTTTAGGACTTCCAATGTCTATACAGGACAGCGACATCACGACTCCCATTAACCCACCTAACGCAGATTCAAGAGGAGACAGTTGCCGCACTCTCCAGGTCAACCTTTCGCACTTATTATCAGTCATACTAACTAGTAAGCATAAATTTAGCCTCCTAACAATTAGCTCATCTCACATTTAATAACAGCAGTGTATAAGCCCCATATAACTCCCCTCGGAACATTCCTAGAACAAACAAGATCTATATTGCATACCTTGGCCCACCATGCTCAAGAGATAGAGAAGATCATTAGCCTCCTGCAAAGCTCCGTCGGCACGATGCCAAGAGATACGCGACACCTAACTTTGATGTACCATCAGGTCAGTTTACCCTCCTTTCTATCCTTTGCACCTTGCATAGCTCTCAAAGACTCTAACGTCTTTCCTCCATAGTGTGTAATAGTGGCAACACGTCCGCTACTACTATCAGTTTTGAAAGAAAGATTTGACGTATCAGGATATCCCAGCGACGATCATTGCGAGAGTTTCTTAGCTCAGACGGGGACGGTCATCTCGACGGGTATCAAGTCGGCTGCCAAGACACTCCGGATTTTAACGAGCGAATACAGCCTTTTAGGTAAGTAACAATTCACATGATAACTCAATATGATCACTGACACTTGACCATGTTCTAGAAGCATTCTTGCCATACGATGTTGAGTTCGCGTTCGGAGCTGCCCTTCACTTGACTATGGCGAACGCCCTATTTCCGGGTGTAGTCGACTACCAAAGTTGCCATCAGTTAGCACACCAAATTTTAGACAATCTGATTTCGAGAGGAAATCGAGTAGCTAAGTTGAGGAAGACGGAACTGTGTTATCTGGAAACTCTATATCGGGAGTTTCAGACACGGCAGCAAGGTCATCGAATGCTACATTTGTTCAACGCGGAAGGGTCGGCAATTGACTTTATACAGAAAGAGAATCAAGAGAATAGCAGGCATTTTGCAGTGGATGGCGGTTCAAATACATTCGCAACGGCAGCAGACTCCAGGCATCATTTACATTCTCCCCATCCTCATACTACCAGCAATATGGAGTTCCTTGACAACATCGGCATCTCGTCGGAGGAATTCCTCTCTATAGTACAAGAGATCGGAGATCCAGAGTCCCTCCCCGAGAGTATGTTGACGCTATTCTAACGCTGGGTACATTGTACCGGTTGAAGAATTTGATTGGAGTTAGGGTATCGTGTCTACAAGAATATCTGTTTAATTGGCAACTTGCGTCAGTCAGGGAATAGAGGATAGGTCCTCTTTAATCAATTCCTTCTCTTCAGCAGTTAAAAATGCTCGGGGTTTAGCGTCCCCATTAGTCACAATTTCAGGCGGTGGAACCGCGGGCGCGGCTGCCAATGCAACAGGATAGATAAGGTGTATATGCTGGGAAAGTGCTACCTGTACTGTGGGAGGTATTTAAAATCTCCGCAGGAGATTTTAGAGCTTAGAAAACGAATATTAATACAACATTCTATCCCTTTAATTCTTTTCTAGGATCTTCGACCGCCCGCATGGCGAGTTCAAAACAGGTGTGTTGCGAAGAGCGTATTAGCGTATTTGGCCCGTAACGGCTCGAAGTTACAGGGGATACTACAGGTGTGGTGTAGTACACTTCGGGACGTTGAGTGCCTTAATGAAATCCCGATTTATTGGAACGCTGAACTGGAAACCCTTCAACATGGTCCACCATGGAACAAGTGTATTCGACACACCGAACTACATAGTGCCGTTGGCAGCATTAAGAAAGGCAATTTAGTAAAGACAATAGTTGTTCATGATACAGCGATTAGATTGTTAAATTGTAGGAAGATAGGTAATGATTATAGAAGAATCAATTGATGTAATAGATCTTTTAACCAGAAGTCCGCTTAAAGCCGCTAATCTAAGACATTTAGGTGTTGAAAACAACCCTTCATTCGCGTCCAAAACATTACCTAGTAGTTAACCTAGAACGTCCATAATGCTGTTTGCGATTAAGTTCTGAATTCAACAATGGACGACCTAACCACATGCGTTGCCCCGATATTTGACCGCACCTGACGAACCAGGAATACAGTACCTTCTTATACTTCCAATACTGTGCCGCGGCCAATCAAATTTACCGACGGATTACCATCATACTCTTTCCGGAAGGGTACAACCAATGTAGCCAATGAAGTTCAAGGGATACTTTTATGTACAGTATATCATCATAGGTACCTACGCTTCACACCTTTGGTCATGATCAAGATAGGTACCCACCTACAAAGCTACCGTTCAAGGTATCGAAACTTGGAGGATTGTTAACCCAATAATATTAGGTATGTTGTGTCATTGATCATCAGTTATACATATTTCAAATTACCTACCAGGTATATACCTATTACAGTATCTACCAATCCCGAACCAGCCCCGCAAACCATCTCGGCTTCGCTATCTCTATTATTCGGCTCGGGATCCATATCCGACCATATCATTGCGGATCCATACATCGAATCTGGGGCGCAAATCGTGGGGCCGAGGGTAACCTCAGTGGGAAGTAGGACAATTCAAATGGCTTGAAATCTGCATGGGAGTCTTGTTTCCTACCTATTATTTCCAGAGCCGAGGCAGGGTATCTTATACGCATAGGTAGGTAGCCAATAATAGTGTCTCAAGGAATACAATCCTACCACCAGCGACATGACCAAGAAGCTATGTCACCATGCGGGATTTCGATGGATAATTCAGATTCTCGAGTTACTTTGAGCGCCTTGTGTGATAGCCTCATTCTAGTTGACTTCGTCTACATGGGCACTTAGCATTGACATTGGACCGGTCGTATATCGGGAAAACTCTCAGTTAATCTACATCTACGTGATCGCCAATCGGTGAAATAGGAAGGGATGATATAAAGGTCAAGTTTACTTCGTAGTAAGAATGTCCCTTTACTAATGCAGATAATTCGAATGCCCGTATAAGCCGTGCGAAGACTCGTGTGGGTAACCTTGCAGCCTGGACGTGCATATTCTAAGCTTCAGCCCTCACTATTATGTCTCTACCTAGATAAGAAAAACGATAATAGTCTCTCAACTAGCCAGTTGGGGGTTCATCAAAAGCCTCCGCGTGTGGTGTAATGAGAGGTGCTTCCCAGATGAGAATCACTTTTGTTAATTTGAACCAGTTGGTGTATCTAGAAAGTTTCCATTGTTTCCACAAAGAATTAATGGATTGGGTTACCTATCGGTAGGTGATAGGGAGTCTATTATTCGAATATGCTCAATATATTCTCGGGGAAACCAGTCCTCCACAAAGCCAACGTCTCCCTAGGTGCTTGATTATTCCTCGGAGCCCCAGCTCTCGGATTGCAAGGATCGGATTCAAAGCCGAAAAGTCCAAAGATCCGATCCGAAGCAACTGCACAAGACTCATCACATGACACCCACTTTGAAGATAGGGTTAAGTGGCCGTTACTATTCCAGTTATCCCTCGTATCTAAGACGATCAGTCAGTGGATGGAGGAGAACTACGATAAGGGGAGAGAAAGAGGGTGTATATCGGAATGGAATCGGATACTATTCAAGTTCACCACTCTCATAAGGTGCGAATCTATGGCCTACCTTAGGGGTTCTTCACGATGTTGGAAGCTAGACGGATATAGATAAAAAGGCATTTGGCCTATGTCCTTAGCCGCACGCCTATACCAGTATATAGCAAACTACAAGCTGCGAAGACTTGGAACAAGCAAATCCAGATAGATAATTATATCCTTCTTTACTGTATCATGATGCCGGCCTTAACTATCAGCTCAACCAGCACTGCGCCAATGACCTTTCCTAAGGCCCCTCATGTCATCGGGCCCAAGACCAAGAAAGCCACACGTCCTACTGCAGAGATACCCCAGTTCCTGATCAAAGAGGCTCGTGCGACTGAGCAGGTCCCATGGGATGTGAGCAAACACCTTCGATTCCAGCCTCCAGCCAATATCTACACGATGAAGGATATCGGCCTCGAGGGTCACGGAATCTCCACTACCGCCGTCTCAGACCCTTTCCCCCTATTCTCCAAAGAGGCTATGTTGCAGATGAGACGGGAGATCTTCAGCGAGTCAGTACTTGAGAACTGCCGCTACAGCTCTACCTTTACTGCGAATATGGTTCGTGGAATGGGCCCTGCGTAAGTTCCAACAGTTCCAAGCCGACATGTTCAAGCGCTGATTCTCACCCAGGCGAGCACCTTTCACCTACGACGCTTGGTGGTCCCCGGAAGTTCTTGCCAAGATCTCCAAGGTTGCCGGCATCGAGCTTGTCCCAGCATTTGACTACGAGGTCGCCAATATCAACATCTCCATCAACGACGAAAGCGCCGACATAACCGCTGATCGTGATAAGAATTCATCGGTCGCATGGCACCACGATAGTTTTCCTTTCGTTTGTGTGACGATGGTTTCCGACTGCGAGGGTATGGTCGGAGGTGAAACGGCTATCAGGTTGCCTAGTGGAGAGATCAGGAAAGTCCGGGGTCCGGCTATGGTATAATCACCTACCACTTCATCGTACACATAAGAAAACACTAATGGTTCGTTAGGGTACGGCTGTCGTTATGCAGGGCAGGTACATCTACCATCAAGCCCTGAAGGCGTTTGGAGGTCGCGAGCGTATCTCCATGGTAACTGCGTTACGGCCCAAATCACCGTTCGTTCGGGATGAGACTATCCTCACCGGTTCCCGACCAATCAGCAACCTCGCTGAGCTCTACCCACAGTACACCGAGTACAGATTAGAGGTCCTCGAGGAGCGTTTCCGGACGAAGCTAAAGGAGGAGCGACGTCGCGAGGTGCTGCGTAAGCCTTTTGACCTCGTCGATATCAGAGGCTTCTTGGCTGAGCAGAAAGAGTACTTGGAATCTATGCTGGAAGAGCTTTATGAAGTTGAGTAATATAGGTAATTGCCTAGTACTTGATCGACGTCTCTCGCACATTTATGTAGTCATGAGTCCAGATTGAATGTAGGCATAGAGGCCATATGTCATTAATGAGGTTATGAGACGCATCGTAGCTTTCCCTTTCTCGCATGACTGTCCTACATCGGGGGAAAGCAAGTATATAAAAAATTAAAAGGTAGCTTAATCGGCGACTGTTCAAACGAAGAGTTAGATGACAAAGTACCTAGATTCAATATAGTGAAGTGGTATGTCAAGAGAAGGGCGTGACCCCGCATGGGGACGTTGCATCTATTTCCAGTTGGTGTGCCAGGAAGATTGCGTCAGCCTAGAAGAGAATCTATCCTAAATCTGACGCGTTACTAGTGACTTTTCTACCTACAAAGCTGCGCCATCACTCACTTATCCATTGCTATATTAGTCTTCAGTGAGATCAATATGGCTAGTGATCAGATAACACACCGTAGAGCTTTCCGCCGAACCGACGACTATACACTAGGTACGCCAAAGGTTAAGCTGGTCCACGAAGCCCTCCCATTACCCCTCAGTCCAACATCAGTCTTGATTAGAGTTCGCGCAGTGTCTTTGAACTATAGAGATGCGAACATTGCACACGGCGGGAACCCATGGCCGGTAATCCCAAATGGCATACTATGTAATGATGCGGCCGGCGAAGTGATAGGCGTGGGCGAGAAGGTGAAAAACTTGGCTATTGGAGATCGAGTGGCGCCCATCACCGACACTGAGTATATATCCGAACGTTCTTTGAGGCGGTCTTGGCTAGCCGCAGACCAGGACGGAGTGTTGGCGGACTATCTTATATTCGACGAAGAGAAGATATGTAAACTCCCGACTTACCTCGATTGGGCTAGTGCTGCTATTATTCCTTGTGCTGGGGTAACTGCGTGGTCTTCTCTAAAGGGTATGAGCATTGGGCAGACAGTCTTGATTCAAGGTAACTATGAGCAATAAATTAATGAGACGGATGGCCATGTTCGCTAATTGAGCTATAAGGAACCGGTGGTGTCAGCTCGTTCGCGCTGAAGCTTGCTCGTGCTGCAGGCCTGAGGGTAATTATAACTTCTTCAAGCGACGACAAACTTGAGAAAATGAAGAAAAAGTTCCCAAACCCACCACTGTTGACGATTAACTACACTAAGAAACAAGCCTGGCACGAGGAGGTCCTTGAACTTACAGGTGGGACAGGTGTCGATATCGTAGTCGAGAACGGAGGAACATCGTCTCTGATCAATAGCATCAAGTGTACAAGACGCGGAGGGACTATCAGCCAAGTTGGATATCTTGGGAAACAGGACCCTTCCGATCTTGCAGATCTAGTTCCTCTCATCATCGACAGGAGAGTCGTTCTTAGGTAAGAAATCCCTGGTAGCTGTGCATGATAAGGGCTGACTTGAATTGACTTGAATCCAGGGGAATTAATTGCGGGTCAAAATACGACATGGAGGACCTTTGCGCTGCTTTATCAGCTACGAAAATGCCACTTAACGATATCATCGACTCTACTTATCCTTTTGAGAAGGCGGAGGAATCAATCCAGCATCTATGGGAAGGGAGACAGGTTGGAAAGTTAGTACTACATATCCAATAGGGTAGTAAATCGAAAGAACCAGATGATGGCGCATTGGATGTATGTGTAGGTGGTAAATTTAGCACTTTTAGTGTTCCCTCGAAGGATAAGATCCACTATAAAGTTACCGGCCTGATGGGCAAGGATCCGTTCTGATTACGCTAAGCTTCAGAGACGAACCCCTCCCCCGCAGTGCTTGGTATAACCAAGGTACCTATCCGATACCAAAGGTGACGATATGTCCTCACTGCACCTTGAGTTTCTACGCGCATGCGAACCGCAAGAAAGCACAATTACCGTCGCTGAGTAAGCTCGAAAATGATGCGCTACTACGGACGGATTAGCGATTTCCGATTGCAGCCATGGCAGGGTGTATAAATCAAAGTCATCGTATTCGCAACGCCTATCAAATCTCGAACTTTCCAGTAACCTTTACACCCACTAGCCAACCCCTGATTTTGGGGTTGTTCGGGCTGTTCTAGCCTGCCGGTTCCCCTCCTCTTATCCAATTTATGTCTTTTCAGAGATAAATTAATGCCCAAAATACGGCCACAAGGGTTATAGACCCTTCATTTTCAGTTCACGCCACCTACAGGAAAAGAGAGGATCAGCGATTATATACGTAAATACGTATAATATATCTTCTCTTCTAATGCTCTAAGTCAGTCTACCTAGATAGAACATAATCAAGTCTAGCCGAATGCATCTCGTTACTATCTAATTTCCGTTCCTTTCCTAAGGCTATGCCAGCCTTGGCCGTTGTCAACATACTAACTCACTTCTGGACACCTTTGAAAGTTGTCAAGCGGCGCTCGGTGTTGGCACGGGTGTTCACAAAGTCAGGGTTGTTCAGAGTGAGCTCAACGCCTCCAGAAAGGACGTGGTCGACAGCCTCAACCCCTTGCATGAAACTAAAGAACGAGTCAGTATACTAGGGAGGTAGTTACAATGGAACATGGCAACATAGACACTTACCTGTGATCCTGGTTACCGACCTCGTACTTCCATGCGCCAAAACGGCCTCTAGACAGGATATCTTTCTTCTGCAAGTAGGGAAGAGCTTCTGCCAAAACACCGTTGCGCTCTAGACTAGGGGTGGGGTACCCATGGTCGAAGCGACGAACATAGGTACTGACAATCTCGTCTTCGGGCAACAGCAATTCAGTGTTGATGAGCCCCTGGATGGAGTCTGCCAGCAGCGTATCGTGATTGACGGGCTTATACGATGACTTTGGCAAGGAGTCAGTAATTCGGCCTTAAGGGGGCAAGACATTCAAAACATGTATCGGGGAAGAAAATTACAACGTAGTTAATGTACAATATTGTAGTCTCTGGTGTGCTAAAGAAGGAAAAGGGGAGCTTCGATGTGACATACCTCCGAGACTTCAAGCATGATTGACCAATAAGGCCCAGATTGCGCAGCCTCCGACGCAGGTTTCTTGTCATTGGCGAGTTGCTTGGTCGGGAGTTTGACATCGTCACCGGGCTGGTTAAAAGGAGAATAGTTCGAAAAGATAGTGGCGCGATAGAAAGGGCAGTTATCTTCGACGAAGTACAACTATTGATTTTCTTAGCTAATCACCGTCAAGTCATAACAATGATGATTATGCAGGACATACCCAACACTTGTCACCAATACGCTCAGGACGCTTCCCACGAACCCCAACACCAATCACGTTAGTGGAGGAATAGAAGAGGGGTTTGAGTGTCTGCTTGAGCTGAGCGTCGCTCATGGCCTCGGCCAGGTGGTCAATAGCCATGGTGGACACAAGGGAGCCATAATTCACTACGGTGCCTATTATCTCCCCATGTCAGCAAGTTTTAACGATAAGTAGATCAATAGACTGACCGTCCTTCAGGTAAACCTTCTTCGCGTCGGCATCAACCTTGGTGACAGTACCGTGTTCGCCGAAACGCGTCTTTGTTTGGTCCAGGGTCTTGGCTACAGCAATCCAAATGCCACCCGTACCGCCATTGGCCGGGAAGCGAAATGTGGCATTGGGGCCCCAGTTTCCGGCCACCTTGTTAAGGATAACGTTCTGGGTGAGTAGCTTCACATTAGGGGCGGCGACACGCTCTCCAACCCAGGTGGCGTTCATCTAGGCCAAGCGAGAAGCACGATTAGCTTTTTGGATGATGAGCAATTTTTGTAATATTTTGGAATACCTTAGTAGTAGGGACAGCCCAAACCCTGAAGTTATAAGGGCGCACTTAGAGACTCGGCGTCAGCGATTGCTTGCTCCCCATGGAGAGGGAGAAGTAAAGATAGACTCACTAAAGATCTCATTCAGTCGATTTCCCACATTTCTAACATTCCACTCATCAAAGTTCTTAGGTTTGTCGGACGGGGAGCGAACGCGTGACTCGAGGGCAGCATCGATGAGATCCTCTAGACATTTCACCTTTTCTTCCTTGTCCAGGACTGCGATGTTGTTCTGGAATGGGTAAGGCACCCAACCGCCTCGGAAGCGAACATAGGAGACCCTCTACTTCACCTGATAATTAGCAAGCCACATGTCTAGCACAATTGGGGCCCTATAAGGTACTCTAAGACCACGTAGTATATAGCGATCCTCTGCCCGCGTCCTGTTTCTGGAACAAGGGAATTGACTAGAGCCGAACTGACCTGGTGTGTATACCAATCGGTCTCCTTCGGGAGAGCTTCGTCTAGAACGTCGTCGAAATATTTATAATGCGAAAAGATGACATGGCCACCAACATCGAACAGCTGCAAAAGAGAAATTGTGTCATGAGCGGCTTGCAAGTCAACAATGGGAAGAATCTTTACTCACGAATCCCTCCGGAGTGACGTCGGTAGACGCAAGACCTCCGGGAGTCTCGTTAGAGTCAACAATGAGCCATGACGCCTGGTTCTGCAACCACATTTATTAGAAAGGCCGGGTTGGAGAAATCGAGCGGTATGACGAGTATGACGTTACCGTATGCTGGAGGCGTTTCGCAGCGCCCAGACCAGTAGGCCCAGCACCAATGACCAGGACGTCGACGTTACTTACGACAGCTCGTCAGCGTTTCGAATTCATCGTGATAGTATGAGAAGACGAGGTGCATACATCTGCTTTGCAGCCATGATAGATCGCTATATTCAAGTAGGGGCAGGTATCTTTGGCGGGGTAAATATGATACGACGTGTACGGACTTGGTAAAAAAGCGCTGTCAGCATCTAAGAGGAGCACGCACAGATAGTTGAAGGTATCACGTAAGGGGTTTCGACCTCAATAAAGAAGAAAGGTTCAAACTGTACATCATTTTTCCTTTAATTTTTTTAAAAAACAATTGCAATGCATGTGTGTGCACCACTCACCCTCCATTACGTGTAAGGATGTATGATACCGCCGGTAAATATGTACGAGATACATAGCCCCTTTAATATCGTCAAATAACAGTCCAAGCTGGGATCTTCGATGTTGTTCAGAGCTGATAGGGCGAATGCTGCTGACTAAGCGAATAGCCCCTGAAAGTGCGCACGAAGGAGCCAAAATGAGCGAATCGATCCAAGTTTTATGTTGCAACGAGCCGCACTTAATCTCCGTTTCAATTTGGTGTCAAACACAACGATCATATGTACTACCTGCATTCGCAATGATACAATACCCAGGGCGGCACCCTACTAAATCCTGCCCGTTCTCCGACGCGTTTAAACACTTGAAGGAACAATATCTTGTCCGATGAAAACAGTGACAGTCCGGGCTGATGTAAGAAAACTAACACAAGAAACATCTTCATTCGGAAACTGCTAGACACTTGGTACAATTAGGATGAATAAACGAGTTATCTTCATAAATCTAGATACTAATACTAACCCCACATACTTGTTAACCTTGACTTACACTATTAATAACCCTTTTTAACAGATTCTACTCCGTTCCTACGCCAACTTGGAATCATCTATATGCATCATGAGGAGGAGTGACCAGCTATTGGAGCCCTTGCTGGGCCCTCTGGGTCGGGTTCGAGAAGCCATTCGCGGCAGAGATTCTTGATGAAATCGTCCGTTTCGCGCTCTCCATGCGGGAAGTTCACGTAATAATTCGCCCCTTTCTGCAGGCCGGCGTAAGTTCGTTCGTACATCTCCACAAGACGCGGGGCCCATGCCGGATCGCAGGCACACATCTCCGTGACGAGGTCCGCAAGCTCTCTGTCTAGATTTGGGTATTGGCTCGCGGGGAGGAGAGCGTAAGAGTGAAATGCTGCAGCGCGACCGGGAACCTTCACATTGTAGGCCTTGTCTGCCTGCGTCCTGATAATGCAGCTAAGGATAGACTACATGATTGAAGGATACTCGTTAGTAAATAGACACAATTGTACGATGATGAAAATATGACGTACCCCACTAGCCTCATGAAGGTTCATCTCGGCTCCTGGAAACCTGCCCCTAGAGTAGATGTTAACATGGGTTATTCAGTATTGAGTTGGCACTTGTACTTACCCCTCTGGTTCTTCTCCTTGTCGAAAACGTTCCAGATCAATGAGCTTGAGAGTTGGTGTCAAAGCATGATCGAGATCATCGGGTTGATAATCGCCCCATAAAACTTCACTAAGTCAGCGATGTCTCTACCAACTCTATGTTACCAGAGTAGCTCACTATTGTTTCCATGCATGTCGCCGTGCATCCAATTTTCCGGGTTATCTCGTTGTGGATAATCAGCTGGAATTTGCTCCAAAACGACACCAGGTGTTGTCTTCCTCTGTGGGTAGGCTAAACCGATACAGGCCCGTACGACTGATTAGGAAATCCTTATGTTAGCTAAGTCATTACGAAAATAAGCAGACAGGACTCACGACACATGAGTATCCTCCAGAGTAGCCTATTAGGCATCGGGATGTTGGTATGTTGTTGGTATCTTGCTGCGAACTGGTGGATACTCCCGCCGTGCAGATACTCCATGAATATTGTTGGGCCGGGAAGTTCAGCAAGCGGGTTCCTAACGCCGTCATTCAAAAAGAAAGGTTGAACAATGTGCATCGACCCTCTAAGCATCTAATTCATTAGTTAGTTAAAGTGGGTTCAAGTGTGCGGCTTCTCTCCAGAAGTCCTTATGAGGCGGTATCTTACTTGGAGGGCACTGATCTCGTTCTGAAGTGCTTCCTCCGACTGCGGTAGGAATGGACGCTTCACGACGAACACTTGACCAGGTTTGTGATATCGCCACCATCTGTGCCTGTATCTGACCTGGCAGGCGACATTGGTGATGCCGTTTCCAAGGAGTTTCATGTATCTGAAATTAGCAGTATCCCGTTCAAAATACATTCGGATTCTTTGAGCTTCGACTTGTGCCAGATATTTATTCCAGTTGCCGTAGTATTTCGATATTATAGGAACTTTGCCACCGGGAAGTCGACCTCTGTCAGGTCTGCCGGGGCCAAGCTTGATAGGAGGACTACCGTCGTCGTCTCCAGGAGGGCCGCCGCCGCCACCACCACCGCCAGGAGGACCACCACCACCACCACCACCTCCTCCTCCTCCTCCTCCTCCACCAGGAGGCCCACCACTTCCACCGCCGCCGCCACCCCTACCTGGCCCGCCAGCTCCGCCAGCTCCGCCGCCGCCACCAGCACCACCGACACCACCGCTACCTCCAGGAAACCCACCCGGGGGAACGCCACCCGGGGGTCTGCCACCAGGGGGTCTGCCAGCACCGCCAGCACCGCCAGCACCACCAGCACCACCAGCACCGCCGGCGCCACCGGCACCACCGACACCAGCACTACCTCCAGGAAAACCACCCGGGGGAACACCGCCAGGGGGTCTACCACCAGGGGGCCTACCACCAGGAGGTCTGCCACCAGGAGGTCTGCCACCAGGAGGTCTGCCACCGGGGGGCCTACTACCGAAAAGTCCACCACCAGGGGGTCCACCAGCTCCACCAGCTCCACCAGCTCCTCCGCCGCCGCCGCCGCCGCCGCCGCCGAAAACGCCGCCAGGGGGCGTAGAAGGTACATGAACATCGTCATCATCTTCGTCGGAGTCGCTGCTGTCATCCGGGGCACCCGGAGCTCCCGCGCCAAAGAGGCCGAAGATATTAGGCCTAGCGTGCCTAAGCTTGCGCGGGGGGATCTTGGTCGAGGACTTAGGCGGTGCCGCTGCCGCTGCCGCCGCCGCCGCCGCTGCCGCGGCTTCCTCCTCCGGATCTTCCACACCCACATTCCTGCGCACCTCCGTCATGCTCCAGTCCTTCTTGTAGGGCCTCGGCGCCGGCGGCATTTCGGGGATTATGAAACGTAGCTTTGGCTCGATTTCGGATGACACTCTTGAGCGTGTCGACGTGTGAGGAGGAGCCTTTTTAACGTACGTATCTTCGCCGTCGTCGTCGTCTTCGCCTAGGTCTCCGGGGGACCAGTGGGGCGGGGGCGGGGTCGCGTACTTCGTCGGGGGTATGCGCTCGCCGGGCGCGCGTGGAACTTCTTCTATCTGGGTGGGGTCGGCCGCCGGGGCCGGGGCAGGTATATTGTAATTTGCGGGCTCCACGCTCCGCCACCTCTCGTGCGGGCCGCGCTTCGGCGGCGGGAGTATGGGAATTAGCAAATCGGGGTCGATCGGCGGCCGAGGGGGTAACATATGATCTCGGTATTCATAGCGTGACCTTGGCGGGGAGCTATCTATGTCCATGGGTTCTCCGCTGACCGGCGCCGGCGTGGCGGGTTCCGGCGCGGTGGGTTCTGGCGCGGCGAGTTTTGGCGCGGCGGGTTCTGGCACGGAGGGGTCCGACGGGGAGGGGTCCGACGGGGAGGGGTCCGACATGCGTTCATCTAGGTCCATCGGCGGGTGGGGACGTTTGCTGGGACGTTTCCTAAGCCGACTGTCACTGGAATGTAGCCAGGGTAGCGGCATGAACTCGCCTTCCGAAGGTGGAGGAGGATCAGAAGCGAAAGAGGTAGAAGAATGACCAGCTGGAGGCGTCGGGGCGATCTTGCTCGGGCCGGGTTGGGGGTTATCTTGTTGTTTTGACGGGCCACCTCCGTCGTCCGCTGGAGGTGCAGGGGCGTTATTGCTCTGACTAAACCCAGAATTGTCTGGCTCGCGTGACGTACTATCTTCATAGTCTGCCTGATACCCGGAGCTGTCATTGTTACCAGGTTCATCCTCGCCGATCCCCGGATCCGCGGGGTTGTTGGCGCTCTGGCCGAACAAGGCCCCATAGCTCAGCGGCATTTGAGCGCCGGTGGACATTTCAGAGGCTTTAGAAGGTCTGGTGCCTTCAGTGGAATAATGACTTGAATTAATCCAAGAAGGGACAGATGCGTCATCAGGAAGAGAGATATCCTCCCAAAATGGGTCATCAGAACCTAATTTCGTGGTAGCGGCCGAGGTGCCTCCTCCTTCTTCTTCTTCTTCAGAGGCTTCCGGGGTAAATTGAACGCTAGCCGATAGTGAAGATTTGGAGACTGAAGATCCTGACATGGAAGATCTCGATTTTCCAGATCCAGAAAATCCCGATCCTCCACCCCCAGAAAAGCCAGACCCCCCACCCCCAGCACCTCCGGAGGCCGATTGTCCAGCTCCGCCAGACGCTGAAGATCCACCGTTCCCACCATTCCCACCAGTCCCACCATTCCCATATCCAGAATATCCGTATCCCGATCCCCCGCCCGCGGAAGCTCCGGAGAATGAAGAAAACGATTTTCCAGTCGATTGGGATACACCACCACTATCTCCTAGAGACCCTTTTCCGCCAGTAAAAAGGCTCGCGGGAACTATTCCATCATCCCCACGATAATCTCCTGGAGGCTGTTTCTTGCCGGTAATAACAAGGCCTTCGGTAATTATTTCATCCTCGCCCATTATTGAATCAAGGCCTTCGCTAACTCTTTCATCCTGATCCCATAATGATTCTGCTGGGCTCCCAAGATCAAGGGTTGAGACATCTTGATCAGCATCACGAATAAAACTCCAATCATGCCTGGGAGGTCGATACCCTATATATCGAGTAAAATGGGAAGGGTGATACTTTCTGAATGGGTCGAGTTTAGCAGGCGGAGCAACCTCCTCTAATAACTCATCTTCGAGCTGATCGTAGTCAATGGGACGCATGGGGGGTGCCTTCCTGTAGGAGATGAAAGCTGGCTCCTCGGGTGCTGCAGCACTGGATGATTGTATACCTGTAGGCGGGCCCAAAGCTCCACTCATAAAGACATCAGAAGAATCTTGATTGAACAAGGACGTGCTTGGTGGAGCAAGCCAAGGAGGAGGCTCTTCGGGATCATTTAAAGTAAGGCGGCCGAGATTAGGGAAGGAAGGGATTCCGGACGGACCAGAGCCAGTATTCCCAGACCCTGATTTTCCACCCCCAGGCGGGTCGTCCACATCCATAGGTTCACCCGCGTCCGTAGAACGCCCATTTCCACGCAAGTCAACGGCATCCGGAAAATTAACGCGATCCGCCATGTTGATTTGTTTTTAACAGGGGAAAAAAAGAAGTTGAATGCCAACGATTGCACGCAGGCAGCTAGGGGGATAACTCGTGAAATCTCATATCATCCGTAGCTCTCCGAGGTAACCTTGGAAAACATACCCAGGTATATCTAACAATTTGAATAAAGAATTGTACCAAGGCCTGACTGAATGCGGATTATGGGCGCGGGCTTACATCAGGCCTTTGTTTGAGAAAAAAGCCACGCATTCTGATGGGACAATGGGACATTTCCAGTTTCTTTTCTTTTCGGATGTCCCTAAATGATTAATAATTTTAGCCTACCTTGACCTCTCTTAACTTGGATTGAGAACAAGTCGTCATGGTGGCCATGAGGGAGATCTAGGTCTAAAAAGCGCACGTTAACCACATCCACGATAACTCAGTTCATAGAATACATACCTATATACCTGTACACTTGTCAATAGGAAATACACCTACTGTCTACCTAGGTAAATTGAATGTCTAGGTAGGTAGGTAATCATATCGAGCCGTGATCTGATGGAGGGAGCATAGGTCACTAGGTATTAGTCCTGTTCTCTCAGCCGGACCATCCAAGATGGATCTCATTCGCACTCTCCTTGGCGGAGTAATAACGATATAATGACTCAGCGAAGTCATTTCCAAAGAAGTACTCCAGTCTATACAACTTTGAAATATCGTTGACATCCGACCTAGCTGTTGATATCATTCTGCGTTGGTGTTTGAACGCCAGCACTTCTAGCATCAACCTCAAGAAGCCATTCATACCCTTAATGTTGTCCAAACCTCCATTCAATTTAATCATCTCACCTATACCATTGATATGGCTCTCCCACGCGACGGAGTCCCCTAAAACAAACTAGGTGGGCGTAGTTAGCTCTAAATTTTCGAAATTGATAACTGGCTCTAGACTAGCGGATCGAGATCATGTCGTAGGAGGGGAGAGACTCACTTCATCCGACGCAAGCTGTAGCGCGATTGAGATCGTTGCATCATCGATCTTAGCTGTAAAAGGGGAGTCGGTGGTTCCAAGAATAGGTCTAATCGCATTGCCAAGTATGCGCAAGCAGGCCATCTTGTAGCGCAGCGCGCACCGGCGATAACGCAAAGCGCCTGTACGGACATGGAGGCTCTGCGAAGCGCATAATAATATGCCCATTCGCATTCCAGGGTCAGCGATGGCAAATGGAAGCCAATCCCGCAGAGCTGCGTTTTCGTAAGAAGTGAAGCGACCTCCACTACTTTTTTTAACAATTGCGTAGATATCTAGACAATGGAGTGAGTATAGGAGTAGATTGGTAGATACTGAGGATGCACGTCGAGACTAGCACTACTAACAATGATTCAAGAGAAATGATTCAAATTCGGGTATTGGACCGGGGAGGTAGTTAAATAGGTCTCTGTCTGTGTATGGTGATGGCATGAGAGATACAAGAGAGTTACTAGTCCGACTCCCAAAAGGAGCACATGTACGGGAAATATCTCTATAATGCCGGTTCACATCATTAACGGTATAGTCGGCGAGAGTAAGACATGATGGAGTTGATTCCTGGAAGTCCAGCTCGACACGAGTACTGCTTCCTTCCCCCTGTTGGTTTTGCTGTACCGTCACACGTTGGTATTCCACCATACGTTTTCTTCTGGCTCTTGCGTGGGTGCTTCTTGCGACATGAGCTTTTACGAGTTTCCGAGAGGAGTCGAGGTCAGATATCCAGACCAAATCGGCATTGGTGGCAGAAGCATAGTCATACTTGGGTTGATCCGGAGTTGGAGCTAGGGGCATGACTAACGAAGCAATTCCGAGAAAATCGAAAATATAGGATAACACGGGAGAGTCACATTGATTCAATAGAGAACGATATATTCAATCGAAAAGAAAGGAAGGATTCATGATAACTATAAGCAAAGAAGTAGTATAGAAGTTTGACTGTTCGTGAGCAGGTGAATAAGGAGGTTGATGTAGGTAACGGATACTTTAGCTAATACGAAAGCTGCATTAGCTCAATCCGCATGCATGGTGGGGCACACATGCCTGTGCCGCACGAATCCCGATAGGCTAGGGCGATATGACCTAAGCCAATTATGGAAAATGCAAAGCTTGGCAATATTCGGACTTCGATCGTATGCGACTTTGACAAACTTGACAAACTCCTCGAGTCTTGGTCGCTTATAGAATTATGCCACAGTAATTTTTGACAGGCCATAATTGGAGAGTTAAGAGGACCTTAAGGCCGACGAGTGTTATAAAGTCTTCCGCTTACATTTATGTACCGTAGGTACCTCTGTTCTGTGTCAAGTACGTACGTACATGCACTACAGTGAAACCGTACCATAACGATCCTAGTGTATAACGATACCCCACTATAACGATAAAATTTTCCGGATTCCCGAATTTTGTATGTAGAATAACGATAATTTCGTCATAACGAATTATCGTTAGTTTTATTTTTCCTCACCAAACAAATCGTTGTATCTAGGGAAATTTTGTGGGAACCTTTCCGTTTTAGGATAAAATATACCCACTTTATTACCACTTACGATAATATTTTTACCCATGCATCAAAATCTTGGCTATTTTAGGAAATATTTACCAAAAGTGGGTAAGTTTTACTAAAAGTGGGTAGCTTTTTACAACGATACCTCGCTTTAACGATCCTAAAGTCTTGATTTTTTCCTATCGTTATGGTAGGGTTTCACTGTAGTAGTCTCCACGTCTTATCAGCCCTAAAGCCCCGAGTCCCAGCTTCCTGAAGGCTTGGCAACTCCATACTCCCCTACTGCCCTGCTGAGTGCCTACTAGTATGTATGTACTAACTGTGCATCCAAATACTTATAGGCATCCATGTTTAGGCAGGTACGATATATTCATACCTACCTACCAACATCAATATTTCTTTTGTTACGTACTGTTTAGTTCCGCTCTGCTAGTCGACATGCAATCTCAATCATCATTATTCCATCTTCCTCGGGAGGTTCGCGATAAGATATGGGAGTTCTATCTTTCCTTTGACCATGCTGATTTCGGAGATACGCTACGGCCCCAGATTGTTTACTTCGGCGATGTGCCATATTCGCGACAACTCCCGCCTTTGATGCTTACCTGCAAGAGCCTATATCGAGAACTTAGTCCAGCAGTCCATCGGGAGGCGATCATGCGCGTCGAGATTCCCGGCTGGAACGACCGGCGGATTGGGTTTGCTGTTAGGGGCAACTTGAAATTCGACCGATTATTAAAGCTCTACCTTCTGATAACCATCGAACACCCCAATTGGAATAGTTGGCTGTCCTTCTTCGAAGAGGTTATCAAACGTGCCGAAAATATCGAGACCCTGGTTATTGATTGGGGTCCGCGACCCGTCGAATCCGTCGGCTGGGCGGGACGTGCAAACTTGAAAAAGGAAGACGAGTTCTTCGACGCGATTAGGTCGCTCAAGAAACTTCAGATAATTCGGGTGTACGGTTGTATCTCTCCCAGGTGGGCGAGCCGGTTTGATGAGATTGCAACACATGCGCATGTCGTTTGTCATCGATTCCGCTGGTGGCGAGAGCCTGGCTTAGATTGACGACACGACTGGCTGGCCAGTGAGGAGATATATAAGTCTAGTACAACAGTACGACAGAACGAAGCTCTCATGGTCGGTAACGGCTCTGAATCCTATTACTTGATGTTGCTACGTCCATGTAGGAGCTAGCCCATTTGCATACTTGGCTCGGCGCCTCCTCTGTCATGATGCCTCTTCCAAGCCATGTAGCTTGGGTCTGACGTTTTTGCGGTGTAGCGTGCTAAGCATGCTACGTGCGTAGGAGCTAAGCTAGCGAGGCGGAACAGACGGTATTTAGTAGCACGGTGGGGAATAGGATTCCCTCTGATTAGTGCCGGTCCGACCGGTCTGCCCGGTCTACAGATTGGCACACCGGCATCGAACAGTAAATGAACAGGATACCGAGCATTCCTAAGGTCCATTATCTCCATTACATACGAGCTTATTAAACTGGATGTTTGATTTAAGATGCACTGCGTACCCATTCTAGTTCGGCTTCAGAAACATATTCGGAACAGAATTATGAACTACACAAACGCCTATTACTTAGCGATCATAAAGGACCTTTTATGGACATGACGCCATGACCCACGATTGCATCGATACATACCTAGGTAGATTGCGCTTTCATGCATGGTGGGATGACATCGCACAATTTTATGTACCTGCCAAGATAGGTCAGCCCCCAACCGTGCGTCTTAGTCCAGAGGATTTAGCGTAACGACCTAGGATCTAGACGCAGGTGCCTTGAGCTTTTTTCTTTCTTTTCTTCCCCATCCTCTTCTCCCCTAGAGAATTTTAAGCAGGTAAACATTAAACATGTCTCGGTATCCACGTAAACCCATCTCGAAAGATACCGTCCAAGCATGGTATTATTATTTCATCAATACTCAGATATTGTTCTTGATGTGGTCTATTTAACTGGGCTGTAAGCGTGGCTGTCGTCAGCGTGGATGTTCTCTGAAAGCTCGGGAATTTGGGGTTGAGAGAGATTGGGGATTTTGGAGATCAGGAATGGCGGTCGTGTTGTTGTCTTACGTCCCCGCAGGGCCTTGTCTGCTTGTCCACGGAGAGAGATAAGGTCATCGCAGGGGGGCTAAGATATGTGGTATGCATACCTACCCAGGTATGCAACCCACGCCAGAACGATGATCTTCGTACGGTGGAAAAATCCGGTCTTGCTGACGAGTATGAATAAGACTTGCAGCATTACCCCGCGGGTTTTGCTTCTCGCCTGCCCAATTCGACTTTAGCAGTTCGGTGCAGTTTGGCGAATATCGGCAAACACGAGGGAACAGGGCGCGGATACTTACGGACGAAGCCTACGAAGCCGAAGCCACGGATCAGGTTACATCGAACTAGAAGGGTGTTCTAATCCAAACCGGCAAGTTCATCGACGACGTGCTGGTCGAAGGCTAGGCAAGGCAACCTTGTAAAAGAATATTTACCGTAACCTTGTCTTCCCTACCCAGCTCTTCAAGCCCATCGCTGCAACGCTGCAACAAGCTCATTGTCCTGCATACGGCCTATGGAAATGAGTGGGGGTGATACAGGGGACTGCATACGGCACACGTATAGATTTGTGGGTTCGAACATCACCACGCTCACTTTTACATGAGGTCCGCGCTCGCGAGTTGAGCCGTGCCAGGTACAGAGCCGATCATTATACCTACTATGTACTTTGTAAACATCAGTTAAATGCCTATTGCCTGGTACGTATAAGAACTAGTGAGCCGAACCGATACACTTCCCACTTGGAGGGGCCTTCTCTCACCCTTCCTCACTCCCCGTTTCTTCGCCACATTTGTCGAGGTGTATCAAGACTGCTAGTGCGCCAATATGTACGGTCTTGGGAAGATAGCTGCAGTGGCAGCATTGCAGCTTTCCTCCCTCTACATGGGATTGGGAACCGCAAGCTCGCTACCTCCTCACGTGGAGAGGCTAATCAGGAAGCAAGTTCCGGCAGAGCCAACCGGCGTCAAGACCATCACCTCACCGGGAGGCGCCACAATCCGCTACAAGGAGCCGGGAATCTGTGAGACGACTCCCGGAGTCAAGTCCTACTCGGGATATGTAGACCTCGACGAACAGACTCACATGTTCTTCTGGTTCTTCGAAGCGAGAACCAATCCTGATGAAGCGCCTTTAACCCTGTGGCTCAACGGAGGGCCAGGCTCTGATTCGCTGATTGGTCTATTTGAAGGTTTGCTTAGCTTCTTTTTCTTGGTCTTGTCGGACAACTTATGCTTATTATCTCGCAGAACTTGGCCCTTGCAACGTCACTCACAATGGTACCGCGGTCGTGAACCCCTACGCCTGGAACGAAGTCAGCAACCTTCTATTCCTGTCACAGCCCATTGGTGTCGGTTTCTCGTACGCCGACGAGGTCGTTGGAGTTGTCAACCAAACCACCGGCTTGCCTGTCAACTCATCTACGCCTGACGGCCGGTATAGCGATGTTGACCCGTACCGGTTCGACACCACTGAGCTAGCTGCCAAGGGTACCTGGGAAGTTTTGCAAGGCTTCATTCAGGACCTGCCCTCGCTCGACGAGACGGTCAAATCGCGCAGTTTCAACCTCTGGACTGAGTCGTACGGAGGTCACTACGGGCCAGCGTTCTTCAATTACTTCTATGATCAGAACGAATTGATCAAGAACAAGACGATTCCCGGAGTCGAGCTCAACATGCATACCCTCGGCGTAATTAACGGGATCATCTCGGAGAGAATTCAGGCCCCGTACTACGCCTCGATGGCTTACAACAACACGTACGGTCTTAAAACCGTCAATGAGACGATGTACAACTATATGTTGACGAACTATTACTTCCCTGGAGGTTGCCGAGACGCCATCGATCAATGCTTTGCTGGGGACCGCGACACCCCAGACGGCAAGGCGCTCTGCTCTCAAGCTACCGCTATATGCCGTTCGTTAGTGGAAGGCGTGTACTAGTAAGTGTATACAGCATTTTCTTTCGCTATTCGAGATGGTCTGAAATTTAGTGGTTGCGTGTCCAATTGCTAACTCTGAATAGTGTTGTGAGTGGACGAAACGCGTACGATATCCGAGCGCAAGACGATGCCAATATCCCACCCACCTACTGGATGGACTACCTAAACTCGGCGACCGTTCAAAATGCCATTGGTGTTGACATCAACTACACGTCTGCGAGTAGCCAACAAATTTGGATCGGCTTTGACTACACTGGTGACTTCGTATACCCAAACCTATTGCAGGATCTTGAGAGTCTCCTTGCCAAAGATGTCCGAATCGCGATGGTTTATGGCGACGCTGTAAGCTACTACATCTCCTATTTATCAGAATTTAATCCGTTCCCAAAAACTCGACTTTGAGTATGTTGCTAATAACACCATAATAGGACTACATCTGCAACTGGATGGGTGGCGAAGCTGTATCGCTAAACGTGAACTACACTCATTCGAAGGAGTTCGCCTCAGCAGGCTACGCCCCATTCGTCGTAGACGGCGTCGAATACGGCGAGAGTCGACAATACGGCAACTTCTCCTTCACCCGAGTCTACGAGTCGGGTCACGAAGTACCATACTACCAACCTAAAGCCGCCTTGGAGCTTTTCAAGCGCGTCTTAAGCGATCTAGTCATCGCCGATGGAAATGAGAAGGTGACTCCTACGTATAAGAGCAACGGTACTGCCGAAGCTACGCACACGAATAGCTACATCACCTGGTTTACGGGAAGGCCCGGCGACTGGAAGTAAAAAAAAACTTATTTATAATGTTAGACTTAATGTGTTAAGCGTAATCTTAGTATTCACCCCTGATTTCGAATATATATAAAGCATCGAAATTTACAGCGATTTAGACAAGACCATGTGCAATCATCATCATGAGAAGCTTCTTTCGGATTTCTAGTCCAATCTAAACGCTCTCGCTTCGCGATTCTAAATCTTAATCTAGCCCTAGGAAATTACAGCCGCTATGGAAATTTCTAGATGAAAGTGGAGGAGACGATTGAAGGATGCGGCATACTGCTTAATGCCGATTGAATGCTTCAAGCGACAAAGATGCCTGTAAGAAGTTTCAATCACGTATATAAATGTTTAGGTAGATCTACCCATATAAACAAGACGACGATCCTTGCTTATTTATCTATTGCTTTAATGCATTTTATAACCCTACTTAGGTACGTACCTACTTGCCTGTAGGTACCACGCATATATAGGTACAGAGGCCGAAAACGCCAACCAAGCATCTCCATCCCTTTATCCCCCAATCCAACCACCCATCAATTACCTACCCTATCGCAGCCACCTACAGCGCCGTCCTCAAACCTCTCGGAGGCAGATATCTCCGACGCGACGACGTATTAGCGCGGTCATAAAACTCTCCCGTCCACTTAACCATGCGCGCCACGATCTCCTCCTGCACCTTCTTAACACCAGGGTTAATCAGCGCGTCGGCGGTGAACAAGTCATTGCAGTGGTGGCCGTCAGGCACGATCAAGCTCGGCACGTCGGGCGACGAGGCCAGCGGGCCTCCCGGCCGCGACTCGCTGGCCACGGACGCGGCGCGCCAGGGGTCGAACTCGCCGTTCACGAAGAGCACGCGCGACTCCGCGTCCAGGTACTCGGGCAGCTTCCAGCCTTTGGTCTCGGCGTTGACTTCGGCGGCGGTCTTGCCCTGCGCGCTGCCGAACGTGTGGTTGCCTTCCCGCGGGAAGGAGAGCGCGCATTGGCGTTGGAAGTACTTGGGGTCGGCGAGGCGGGAGAAGAGGGTTGGACGGTTGGTTGGGGCGCCGCTGTGTTTATATGTGTTAGAGAGGGTGAAGAGTGGGTATTGGTTGGATACGGGAACACTTACGTCTGCCACCAGGAAAAGGGGTCGTTGCATGTCATCCATTGCCAAGTACGGTCGAACGGGTTCGCCTGGGATAGATCTGTGTACATCGGGCTCGAGGCGTTATGGGTGTCGAAACACCCTACGTCGAGATCGTTCGGCCATGCAGTTCCGGAGCCGAGCCCAGTACAACCTGTGTCTCGTTAGCGCGCTTGAAAACGATGGGTTCAATAAGCGTACGTACGTCCAGGCAGGAATTTGGATTTAAACCATCTGGCATAGTTCGGAAGAGCTTTCCTGAGACCGACTCCGCATGAGCTCGTGCTATTAGATGGCCTGGTCGAGTTGGTCGAGTTCGGGAAGAAGCCTTCGATAGCATCGCACCTATGCAAAGCGAATTAGCTCTATTCGCTAGGACATTGCTAGCCGGATGCCAACGACTTACATTTGGTAGAACGGAGAGTAGCCAGAGGAAAAGTCCAAGCCTTGCCAATTTCCGATAGGGCTGGAAATCGCTCTGGAGATCTAAGTCAGTATAACCGTTCCGGGAAAACGCCAAGGATCAATATAGGGGTCCGTACGCGCCCACATCATCGTTATGTGAAAGGTCCTGGAGTCCGAAAAGGTGCTTCAAGTTTGTTTTCTCTTTGGGAGAACCGAGAGTGAGCACGCGGTCCACATGATCAATAATAGCACTATAATCTTTAGAGCAGTTCTTAGGCATCCCCTGCTGGATTCCGTGAAAGTACTGCCAGAAATCGTAGATGGCCTCGACAGGACCACTGGTGGAATGTGTCGCCCAAAATGTTCCGGGAGCGATACTCTCGGTCCAGGCTCCCAACGCGCCGGGGTAGGAACAACCGCTCCAAATCCAAGGGGCCTTTGATGCATTCGATATTCCCGTCCCGTTTACGTCGAACGGTAGCTTAACAGTTCGAGCAAAGTGAACGAAGTCGGCGATGGATTGGTCCATGGTTAGATACTGAAGGTTCTTTGTCGTTTGGGCCTCGTACGGCGTGCTGTTGCCCCAGTACCGATGCTCGATCAAGACAACGGCACCACCGACCTGCTGCGCGATGAGGCCGGAAATGACCTGAGGGGTCAAGAATAGCTCATAGCCCGTAGCAGCGGTCTCCCCGGGGGTAATCAAGACGACGGGAGACCCCGGGCCCTTCCACGAAGTTGCATTATACCAGTAGGTCTGGTTGAACGTACCGAGTTTCGGATTTTGGTGGTCAATGTATTGCTCGAAAAAGGCCATACCGGTCTCAGGCTGCTCTGGGTCGGCCAGTGCAGCGAGTATTTCCTCACTGGCTTCCCTCGGCTGCGCGTATGGTGCAGGAACTCCCAAGCCATGTACGGCCTGCGAGAAGAATAAGGGGAAGACACCCCCAATCACGGAACCTCTCATCGCGACTATTCTGCTCAATAAAAGGAAAGAGATAGAAACGACAGTAAACACCTAACAGAAGAACACGATGAAAAAAACCGAGATATACTATAAGCAAACATCGTGCTAAGTGGGACGAGTCCATTATTTAGGCACCGAAATATAGGACTACACTAGCAACATTACACTGTGTTTGACCGGGCATGGTTATGGGATGAGATCGACGGTAGGATTCTATAGTGCGGTCCCAGCCGCAAGCAAGGCGAAGTCTGGGATGGTAACACCGGCACCTGCTCAGGCACGCTGTAGGAAGAGGAGGATGGATGAGATTAAGCTTATTCCAACCCAGCCGTCCGGAACCATACCGCATCTAGCATGATGGGGCGATCTGCCAAGCCGCGACATCATCTCCAAGGCATAAAGCTGAAGAGCAGTCAGACTGACCTGTTATACCCATTGGTCCGTTGAATATTTCTAAACTTGCTGTATTTTAACATAGGCACCTACAAAAACGCCACAAAATTTGGGTTTGGGGGCTAGGACTATGTTATAATATCCCGCATTCAAGAAGTCAGAATAATCTGAACTTGTTTCCGGAGGATTGGATATATCTGACTCGATATACACCACGTGGTAGGACCCTGACTCTAGGGTCTAGCTACGTGAGGTAGGTATGCAGCTCTTTGCTCGAAATTGGGTGGGAGAAGTTTGGAGGATCAGCGATCTCGTGTTTCATAAGATACACTATTCGCCTCATCGCAGATGACGGGTGGTATACCCGACGAATCATCAATTTTGGCTGCTTTGGTAATCGATATATGTCGTGAAACATATGACATTCCAGATGAGCTAGGACAGCCGTTACAGATGGAGAATAGCTGAGTGGATGCTCCGCCTACGTTTGGGACTTTGTTGTACGTACGTAAAATTCGGCCCCTAACTCTCTGTGGTTGTCGAATTTCACTCAATGCACAACGGAAGGCTTCCGCGTATTTATTTGAAAAAGGGATGATTTACGAAAGGAGCGTTAGCAGTGACCAATACACCTATAAGACGGCGAGCCTCACATTAAAAATGACCTTACCTTGTTTTGAGAGCATGATGTTAACTTCCTACCTAGCGAAATGAAGACCAAGACTAATATTTCCGTAAGACATACCAAGTAGATAGTTAGGTATGAAAACACATCTAATCTCGAACCTTTGGCCTCCGCGCTCACGGGTATAGTCGAGATTACATCGCGAAGACATTAAGCAGGGAGGATCAGTATAATCTTAGTTTCACTTTAGAACGCCCATAAGGTCAAAAGAGGAATAACTACGCATCTACCTACTGTGAAGGTGTATTAGGTACCCCGACTACGAATATTTAAATAAAACGACAGACCTACAGTTCCTTGATAAATTAGAATCCTACCTACAGGCATATTTAATAGAGTCCTTACCTGGGTACCTAAGTTGTCCTAGCAAGATATAATAATAAGCCCAAGTTTCTACAGGGCCTCCTTCCTAGCTTAATTCAAGACCAAGAAGCACAACGGGAACAGAAGCCCTATTATCACCGTCTGCTGTTACTAGCAGACCTTTCATTATATTAGAAGGTTAGGTTCTTCTACAGTATCTTTCATAATCCGTAAACATTACAGATGCGGACCCCGTTCCTGCTTGGGTATCTGGTGCCGAGAACAATAGTAGTAGTGGTACTGTCGCCGCCCTGTCTAATGCCATATTCGTTAAAAATTTAGAAAAAAAACACAAAGTTCCCCTCCGTCCCATAATTAACCTATAGGGATTTTTGAGGAAAGGGAGGGGGAGGGGGACAATAAACCTTCTAATCGAAGGTCTCAATTTCTGGGGTATTTCTCTTTTGTGCGTCCATCCTATGCAATGAATATTTTATTGAGCACCTCTTGGTACCGTATGCCCTTCTGCTGTTGAAGTAAAAACCTTGAAAACCATTCTTTCTGGGCTTTGGGAATACCAATGAACACCTCAAAAAGGACAACCGAGTTCATGCAATCCCATAACCTGGGATATAAGGCTTTGGCCTCATCGTATGTCCCTGCTCGAAGATCCAACGCCTAGCTCCTGCTTTATGACTGCCATGCCCGCTCCATATACAGAATCGCGTGGAAAATACAAATAAAATAAAGTGGATTGTGGGCTGGTGTGGCCCGTGTCGTCGATACTATTGTATCGCTATTTCCGTCTCGTTGGGTCGGAGAGATGGGTTGTTCGCGGAATTCGGCTTCACGACTGTCTTCCCTGAGATCGCCACGTTTCGAATTCTCTGACTAAGAGGTAACGAGTACTTGAGGACTCCCTTGACAATCAACGTGAATTCATCCGAGATGATGCGTTCCCATCGCTCGGTGCCGCTATCGGTGCCATTACCGGGTCGGCTTAGACGCAACGAGCCTGTAGAACTAGAGATGCTCCCTTGGAACAAAGATCCCTCATAAGTCAAGGGACTGTCAAATGCGACGACGTTTCCGAGGCGCATGTTTGGTGCACTATCTTCAGGAGGTTTGCCGTCGTCGTCGTGATGATCGCCCGGTAATCTAATAATCGGCGGGTCGTTCTTCGGATCGTCCAGAGTGCCAAATTCATCCCCGCTAGGATGCCGCCACCATTCCGAGTCGGTACCAGCGTGCGGGGACTTGGCAAAAATCTCTAAGTCGGCGGTGTCTATCATCACAACGACGACATTAGGATTATGCGCTTTGACGGTAATGTCCATCATCAGTTCCTGCTCGCTAGCTAAGACGTTGCCAATCTTGACAAGCTCGATATCAGTGAGCGGTTGAGATGTTGCGAACATAAAGCCGAGCGCTCCGGTGAGAACGATCAGCAGCATTACGGTAAGAACCAGGCAGCTGGCAAACCGATTAAGGAACGAAGGTCGTCGCTGGTACGTTTGGGCCTCGAGGTTTCTCGAGTGAGGGTTCCGTCGACTTCGAGTAGATCTGATAGATCGGGCCGCGCCAGTCAAGAGAGGTGTTCTCTCGTCATCAGCGCCTGTCGTCGTATCATCCATGTCATAGGTACCAGGTAGCGTCATTTGTCGTTTACTAGATGCCCAACCTCGACCTGTGCTAAACCTTGGGCTTGGCGGGTTAGATGACTGTCTCGAGTTATTACTCGAGAACTTCGACTTGTTCGCATTAGGAAAGGGAGATTCGTTGTCGAATAAAGAGGTGTGGTTATTGCCGTTATTCCGACCCCAGCGGCCGGGGTGGTGGTGGCGGCTAGTCCCCCTCGCTGACCCAACATTACTCCGGCCCGTACCTCGACCATCGTCGTCTCCGAGAGGGCCATCGGTCCCGTTGCTGGTGTAAGTATTCACGAACTTCATATTCTTTTTCACAGGGATAGCAGGGGGGCCAGTTTCCAGCATGCCTCCTAGTGATCGCATGCCAGCCCGATCAACCTGACTGGCCATAGAAGTTGCACTCGGCGTGCGCGAGTGATATCGGCGAGGGCGTTCGCCTATATCCGGTGGGTTAGAATCGTACACGAAAGTCTCGTCCGAATCGGAGGAGTTAGCCTCTTCGACCGCGCTGGCAACTTTAGCCTCGAAGATATCTGCTTTAGAAGAAGCTGGACGAGGTCCATATGTTAGTACATTGCTCAAATGACTGGTTATATTTGAAAGCCAACCACGGCTTATTGTTGTATCAGGTGTATTAGAAGTTGTGTAAAACTTGTCGTAAAGAGAAGCGTTATGAAAAGTGTTGAAGTAGGCTTGGAATGACGATCCTTGATCGTATATTGATTGTGTATAAGATGATTGAGATGACAGCGACATTGGAACTGTCTGATACGACAGAACATGTCGCAGCTTGTATGCTGGATCTTGGTTAGGGAGCTCACCATTGCCCGAAGCAACAGAAGCAGGTTTTCTCGTATGCTTCTTCTTATCCTTCTTCGGCTTTATCGTCTCCGAACTTGGTTTCGTTCGAAGACTTCCATTTCCTCCCTGACCTCTCACACTCGGGGCCAACGAGATTCCCGGGAGGTTGTTAATCTGTTCCGTCTCCACGGTCATGTTCCTCGAGGAACTCTCGCCAGAAGTCGGTCCCTTGCCGCCAAATTTGATAGCGGTGCTCGACTGTCTACTGTGAAGGGAAGGCGTGGCGGCGGTGCTCGTCCTCCTTGGGTTCGTCTTCGCGTTGCCACCATCGCTTCCACTCTCGCTGTTTGTGCCATGCTGACTAGACTCGGCCTTCTTGACCGTAGTCCAAGAGCTCTTGGATTGCGGAGATGACTGAGCGGCGGCGGTCTCGGCAAGCTTTTCAATAGCTATGTCGATTCCAGGACGGGGCGTGTTCGGCTGGCTGACTTCCTGGACCGTCTCGAGAGTTGAGGACCCATTGCTCGGCCCACGAGCCGGAGTTCTCATACCCGAAGACAACTGCGACTCCTCCGTCTCGTTCTCGGAGGCAGACTGGGAGGTAGATTCCAAGCTAGGTGAAGGCGTAGCTCGTCGAACATTTATGGCGGATATCTCGTGCTCGTTTTTCGACGGCGGCTCTGATCCTGCGGGTCGACCAATATTAGGGGGTGGGGATTTCAGGCGAGGAGACACAGGCCATCGAGGTGCGTCCTTCGATAATTCGGATGCAAGGGCGGCTTTCTGCGGAACAGGAGCTCTCAGCACAGTCGCCGGAGTTGTTGGGGGAGGAAGTGATGGCGTAGTAGCGGAAGAAAGTTGTTGTCGTGGAGTCGTGGAAGGTGTACGAACGTTAGATCGAGTTCTAGGCTGGCTAGGGTTCTGAACACTGCTCTTGCGTGACCTAGCTACAGGTGACGAGGTAGAGGTACGGCTTGTTCTTCCTGTGTTAGCGGGAGGCCGTGAGGGTGACGGATCTCTTGACTGTATCGGGGATGCTGTAAGAGAAGTAGATGTCGAAGTCGACTTGGACTGTTGGGAGTCGATGTGTGCACTTGAAGTGGCTGATGTGTCGTTGTCAGCGGAGTTCAGGCTGGACAGGCTGGTGTCCATAGCAATAGGATTGTTTGCCATATTGCTAGCTGGTTGGTCGGTTGTCGTGGAAGATTATCGGAGCCGGCGCAAACAATGGAACCACGTCTACTGCGGGCATACCACGAAATACCAGGAATAGGATTAGCTCGGAAGTATGACGGCTGTGCTTCCAGAGAGGTTGATCATCGTGATGTGGCAGCAGGTTCGCATGCGACTCTCTTCCCACACTGGATAAATTAACTGTATGTCCAAGGTTTAATGTTGCACAAATAAGTGTATCCCCCACAGTCGTCTGGATCGTCTGTGCCGGTGTACTTTGGCGATGGATAACTTGAACCCTTGATGCGCGGATTGACGAATAACGTCGAATGAAGTCTGGGGACGTGTTGCCTGGGTGGTTTCGTCGGGATGCAGAAGGTCTGCAAACGCGGGATTGGACGCGGAGACCAAAGACTAAAATGCGTAGATGACACAATCGTGTGGAGTGTTGCGGGTTGCGGGTGTAGTTTAAGGTGTACTGCAGATGCAGCGATGAGGGACGGAGGGGGTCACTGGTCACTTTGAGTGAATGTAGTAATAAGTAAAAATTGGAGAGGTATAATATCAGATAGAGGAAGGGCCAGCCGAAAATCAAATCTTCGGAAGATACCAGCAGTGATTTGAGTGGTTTGGGAAAAAAATGAGGCGTGGATGAGGATCAGGTTGATTTGTTGATGAGGAAAGACGGGGAGTCGAAATGTATTGGATGTTCAAGTTTCAATGTCCTTTGGATTTTCGCTTGTAAGGTTCTAAGGTCTGGTTGAGAGTTAATGATGTATTGTACATGTAGGTAGGTATTTTTTCAGGTGGGCCAAGGATACAAACAGGTACATGCACAGGTACCAATGTATGGAGGTAGGAGGTACGTATCCTCACCAAGCACACTGTCGCACCCCGGTTGCAACGCTAGGAAGGTACAAATTGTGCCTAGATTATTCCATCCACTTTATGTACTTTTATGCATTTTCCATACACAAGTACCCACGCACAATACATAAGTCACATATTATGTACGTATGTACTATGCAGGTAGATTATAGTGAATAACCCCAGATCAAACATCGAGAAACATGAAATTTATATTGTGGCAAAACATAGATACATCACAGCTGCATTAGACATGTTAACGTTACCCTCTGAAATTGCCAGCCAATAATCACTATTTATTCTTATTCTTATTAGCAGTGTCTAGGCCTACTGGCTATCCCAAGGACCAGGTGAGAGAGGAAAAATTAAGGAATGGAGGGAAAAGAACAACTCAGTCATGCTGTGTACATCTATGGACGCCTTTTTCCCCTGCCCCGAATAGGCTTGAGATTGCTAAGCCCAATTTGACCTGCTAATGGAAAGGCGTGCATTTAAAGAAACATTATCTCGCAACCCCTAGTCAGCTAGGTGTCATTTTAGAAATAGGAATTCACTCCTATCCCATTTTGCCGAATATTGGTACGGGCTGTTACGGGTTAGAAAATATCATTTGTCAGAAAGTTAGCCTCTAAGAATTAAACTGATTCCAGGGCTGCCGTTTAATTACATAATCTATAGATCCAAGTCCAACAACCTCGGGCACATCCATGATCACTAAAATATCGAAAAGCCGAGACAATAGCCAACCGAAAGGATTTTATCTGGCCTAGCTCGCTTCGCGTCACGTCGCACCGGTCATAAGTTAATAGCCCTGGAGGTGACTACGTATGTAGAAAGTCGGCACGAATCCCGAAAGAAGTGAGGGTTTTCAGGGACTTACCATGCCCTCTGGACCTGAAGCTAAACCAGCTGTAGCACAAGTCTTACCAGCCAATTCCCCAGAAATTTATTCTAAAGTGGAACTTTCGCCTTACAATCCGCCTAGGATGATTCATGTGAGAGCGGTGACACGAACTGCACTACTAGTTGAGGTACATATCTAGCATGTAGCTACAGATAACCTGCACCAGTTCAATCCATCCACAACTTGTTAGTAGCGCTGGAAATGTCAAATATTGCCACTATTACGACAACTCTACAGAAAACTCTAGGCGATACGAGGTTCGATGGGATAATACCTTTACATGCATGTAGCGGCAGCGATACATCTGCGTATCTTAATGTTGTGCATCCATACGTCACGTATGGTAAAATAATTATAAACCTATAAACGCACCTGGTAAATCTTCGAAGGAGACGAGACAATACCTCATGTATATCTACTAGGTAGGAATTAACATATTTGGGCCAGCCACAGATGTATGTACCCTAATTTCTTAGATGTGATAAACACTTGGAAGCCTCGGGAAGGAAGGAGATGTTCAGGAACACTCGTGCAACTCGTGAGTACCCGGCGAGGTATGTACTTAGAGTTCTGTTAGCTGATACTTAAAACTACTAGCAGATATACTCCGCCGTTAACGGTTTCGGATGTCGACCAGAGGTATCTTCCGGTTTGACCGCAAGTTAATGTAGACGGACATTTTCCTCCACACCTGGCAACGTTCGCCAGCGATCCACATTACTGGATCGCACTGGATCCCGGAGGCCACGCCCCATCCTTTCCAACTTCTTTCCATTCGGCTTCCAGACGAATGGTTTTCTCTCCTCTTCCCCACTTTGCTTCCTATCCCATGATCCCACCCGTCGTTGACATGCATGTCTTGCATATCCCCACTAATACATTTCTCGTCCTCTTTGTCCTCTTGTCTACCGCCGCTTGATTGAGCAAGCCGAGAGTTTCGTTTCAATGTGCCCTTTTGTTTTGTCTCGCTCCAAGTCGCTCTAAGCGACGGAGCCAACAAACACTCAAACAGCGGTCTATCGCGGCCTATAGTTATGGCGGTATTATAGAGCTTTGCATTACCATTGTCTTAGGGAAACGGTCTGTAAAGGCCACAAATCGCAAAGTCGTGAGATGGTGCACTTTGTACCGAATCCAGAAAAAAGCAAATCCGACCAAGGGTTACACTAGGTAGCTTGCTTTTTCCCGAACCGGTTGATGTTCAATGAGAGAAAAATCAAGAAAGGAGCGAAATAGCGCTCCCTCTCACGAATTAGGAACGGCTGGTCCAAAAAGGCTTTGACTTGTACTATACTCAGCCTTGCATCAGCCTATGGCGACATCGCTTTTTCAATAGAACCCTTGGAACCCGGCAAATTTGAACCTCTCAGAGATCGACATGTGGACGACCTACTGACTACTACGCACGCAAACGCTTCGGCTGATGCGTGTCTTACAGGACGTGACCCTGCCAGCTCAATCATCTAGCATTATCTACCAGGTACCGTAACCCTCGACCGTCAAAGATCGAAATAGAGGGAGCATCGCATATGCACAAATTCAATTTGGAGTTCCGGACTTGGTAATTCAGGATGACTTTATCTTACAGTCATCGTGCATGGTATATATCGATCTGGTCCTCTAATGTCTTACCTATGAAGCTGGCAATATACAAGTGCCTTCTTGGGGAACCAGAAGAGTGACCGGTCAGTTGGTGACGAGTCGCGCAAGATGTTTTTTTTTCGCGCGCAAACTAACGAGAAGAGCCGAAAGCTGCCTGGATATGCCTGGACAATGCTCCTTTCGTGCCGGAAATCGACGGGACGAGCCGACTATCCGGGCCATTTAAATCCGATTGCGCTGAAGATTTGAGTATGACACTAAGCCGCTACCAGGTACTAACTACTATTAATAATACAACCCATCATCCCTCGTGTCTATGATCTGACATGCGCAAATAGTCCTGGGGCTCCGTCGTGATTTTTCAGTAATGCGGGCGTGCGCACTCCCAACCCAAGACCGGGCAACCACTATGTCAGATTTCTATCCTGGCAGCCTAAACTGTACACAATAGACATAATATGCGGCCCGTCCAGACGGATGGGGATCTATTGCTCAGCCTAGAATCCTGCCCTGCCTTATCTGCGCACTGTCATTGACCACGGAAGGCCAGCCCAGAGTACTAGGTCTGGTTGGTCGAGTGGTCAGCTGCGCAGGAACCCGTCATCCCCATAGGTCCGGTCGATGCCAACATCCGTGCAAGAAATGTGTGCAGTGTGGGGGTGATCGTTTCTATTGGGCTCGTAGGAGTATGAATACAACACGTGTACTTACATCCTACCTCCTTTATATATCCCACCTTATAGGAAGCCTAACTTCGATCGACGCTTATATTAATGGAAGGAGAAAGAGCCCAAAAGGGTGACGAAATACCACTTCTCTTTTCGTCGGTTGCTTGACATGATCCCTCCTTCGCCATCTCAGTAACCAACGACTCGGTGTAATGTCTCCCAGCGTGGGGGGGTAACATCGCCGCTCGGACTGGGAAAGATACGCAGTGCGGCTCTTTGATAGGGAAAACCGGAACCGTAGAGTTCCTACGTTATAATAATGATAAAAAAACAATAATCCGTACACGTATTAGTCTCGAACTAGTTAGCATGATCCTTCAGGCATTCGGCAGGACGAGGGTCTATCTTAAGTCCGGGTAATCATCCAGCGTTTCGGTAGAGATCCGTGTTACCAACCATTTGAAAAGCCACCTACGTCTTATACACCACGTAGCTCATCCTATGTACCATACCGGCAATATGTGGATGTCACAAACGGTTATTTGATGGTCAAAAACCGTTGTTGCAAGCTAATTACCGTTCTTCCCAGCCAAAAACCATTTGCAGGGCAACAATCATTTGTATTGGCAGAAAATCGTTTTTGAAATGTTTATAAAGTGGGTACTCTGCTTGGAAAAAGCTGACTGATTGGTTGACACTCTCTAGCCTTATAATTAAGTTTAGAACTAAACCCTCAGTAGTATGGCTAGACCACTTAGCTCAACCGTAAAGCTTGTAAACTTCATTATGATAATACCTTCAAAAGCGACCTGTAAGAATGACTAAAAGTAAATTCTATGAGTCTTGCTATTTCAATAGTATTGCATTTCAATAGTGTGGCTCAGGTCCGAGCGCAGGATCTCTGATTGGCTTAAATTTTTATCGATAAGCTACAAGGATTAGCGTTGGTACTTCGTCTACCATACAAATATAGGTGCAGGCTAATGTACTGCCCCTGCTCACGCTCATGTCTATACAGGTCGGAACTTTATACCTGAATAACTTCATCGAAAGGAGGTTTGAGAAGCTGCCCTCCTGTATTCAGATAGTTTAGAAACAAACCAATTGAATGATTCAGGTTGCACCCTATTTAAACCTGTTTTGGCTGAGCTATATGGCTTAGAATAGTTGGACTGCAAGTAGCTTCCACTCTCTGGGGTGTCACCTGACCCTGAGGCCCCTACAGCAACATCAGCCTGACTACTTCAAGTCAGTATACCTTGCAAACAAAAGAGTGCAACCACTTGAAACAGATATTGTTAAAATCGCTGAATTAAAAGCTACAAGCTGATTCTATTTATATTGTCTGAGAGTATGTTGAAGGAAAGTTATTCGAGTGCGAACAGGCGGCATAGGTTGTATCCCGGTTTCCGGTGGTAGTGGCTTATCGATAAGCGTTACAGCCAATCAGAGGCCGCGCCCCCGGACCTGAGCCACACTATTGAAATGCAATACTATTGAAATAGCAAGACTCAATTCTATATACCTTAAAGTAGTATAATGTGATCTCATAAATGCATTAAATTCTAATACAAACTAATAATGCAACAAAAGCTCTTGCAAGAGAATGTGGATTCGATTCCCACCGTTTTCAAATTTTTGGGTAGGTCCACTTATTCTGACCAATCAGAGCGAGGCAGGTTTGCGTTCGCAAATCAAAAACCGTTCTTGGGTCAAAAACCATTTGCCTCCAACTGAATCATACATATGGCGATCATCGTTTTTACGTCCGATAACCGTTTGTTGAACCCCCCCTTTGTCGGTGTGGTAGTCGATGGGGTAGGATTTGAGCCATTTTCGGCCTTATAGTTGTCACATCTCAGATTCCCTGCTTATTATATACTTACCTGTACTTCAACGCTCGATCGCTTATACTACCTACGCATAGGTAATCCCAAGGACGACGGTGCTTACTTGAGGCTAAAATCGGCCCAGCTATAATAACGTGGTTTCGGCAAGGGGTATATTAGCGATGCTTTCTACCGCTTACTTTGGGGTCGCTTCCAAATGGTCGAACTACCGAGTGATGATTCATTGGGCGGATAACCCCATCATACGATGCAATGCTAGTAGTCGGCCGTACAACACTTGGTATTAACTAAATAATCTCATATTCCTTTTCATGTTAAGAGGCATTGATCCTTAAGGATATCCTCTACAGCCGCGGAGACGCCCGAATGTGATGGTGACTGGTTCGACTTGTAGAACGTCACCCAAAGGGGGGTTCTAGACCTCTATATCTGAGCCCCTAGGTATCTTTATGTAAGCTTGAGGCTTCCTTCTATTCACTACCTAGCCATACGATTCTTCGGGTTCTTCCTCAAGAGAAGGCGATTCTTTCTCGGTCCTAAGTAAGACAGGCGAACAGTAATCTCGTCTGCACGTAGAATCTCTGTATCACTTAAAATCCTTTCGTCAAAGCTCTGAAACAACTGCCCACGTCTAGGACCTCGCGGAAACGGTATAACGAGGAACTCGGAAGTGGATTATAACTAAAGTGGTTGTATAGATAGTTGATGTTATACAATCGACGTCCTACTCCGTGACCACAATAAATTCTCCAAAGGGATAAATCGCCCGTTCGTCGAACTATTAGCCCGCGAGTACTAGTCATTAGATTTACTGGTCACAACCACACCCATCATCAACTACTGCGACTCCCTATTCTCCCAGACATACGTAAAGGCAACTAGGTTGACAACTTAACCCACCCTCGGCGTACTAAAACCTTGAAGCGGCTGTATAAGGCTTTACCCTGAAACCTTTCGACGCTGCTCATGGATATAATGTGGAACTCAGAACAGCATGTAGGTATATGTAAACACCTAAACTGAAGGTCTCAATTAAAACGGGTTGAGATTGCGAGCCTACCTGGTAGGTAGGCATGTGCTAGTTGCAAGACCGAGGCCGTGGCCACCATAAACCACAAATGTCTCTAATGACGTATATTCGTCCGTTTCGGATAGAACAGTCTTCATATTTTCCAATCTACTCTATCGCACGCAAGGAACAGCACGGCTGCTCCTAGCCCCTCGAACCTAGGTAAACAGCCACCGGAATCCCTCAACATCCAATATTTTCAAATTTTAGACATATCTTTATGATTTGGCAAACTCAAGCTTCAGCTCTCTATGCCAGCCTTACCCCGATGCCATAAAATGCCGCAAATACTTCACACTTCAACTTAGTTTCGATTCTCTCATACCTACCTCGCATACCTATCCACGACCTCGCTCGCTCTCTCATCGCCCTTCACGCTTTCACGCATTACATTACACATTACACCGCACGCACCTCACTCAAACTCTCCACGCGCATCGAAAATGTACACAGACAGACAAACAAAGGCATCAATATTTGATAATAGAATATATCGTATCATCTATATATATCCCAGACCATCCCGGTCCGGTTCCCTACCAGACCATCGCAGACTGAACTTAGGTCGTAATCGTAAGCAAAGCAAAGCAAAGCAAGAAAAAAAAAAGAACAAGCTTTCTTCAATAAAAAAAGGAGTTAATAAAGTCATCTTCGTCTTTCGTCTTTATAAATCTTTCAATGTTTGTGGTGTTGTGGTTGTTGTTGTTTTGAGAAAGCTGCGTATCGTTTCATCCCGGTCCCGTCGTCAGTTTAAAAGTCGGTTTGTTTATATATTTTTTTCGTTTCGTCTTTCCATCCAATAAGTCGTTCGTTTGTTGGTATGTTCGTCGTCGTGGCGGGCTGAATAAGAAACAGAGATGCGAAGTTTCTCGTATGCTTAGCCCGGGTTGACGTCGCCCCTGGCCAGGCATGTATATATAAGTCTCATCATTACCCCCTTCACACAGGCACATACTTCCTCGCCCTCTCATATAGTATCATCTTCCCCCTCTCTTGCTCACACTTCTCTAACATCTTCATACCCTCACAGGATGGATGTCTACCGCACATCCTCACCCTCCTTCTTAGTCCAAGCCCCCTGAGCCCAACCCAACCACGAAGCTCTCTTATTCTGCTCGCGTTCCTTCTCATTGTTCTCCTGCACCAATCTCAACGGGCGGGGTTTGTTCCCCGTCATCGTAGTGCTCTTCTCTCCGGCGATACTGCCGCTGCCCACCGTCCGCGGGGGGCTCTGGCTGGCGCTCGTCGTCGTCCCTGTCGTCCCGTCGGCCGCCGAGTCGCCGCTCACACTGCTGGTCTCGCTTCGCATACCGGGGAAATTACCCGCCGAGCCGTTATGTCCGATACTTGACGAAACTCTGTTTCCGCCGAAGAACGTCTGCGAGTGACGTGCTGATGACGATGCTGTGCTTAATGTTGGGGAGAGAGGACCGTCAGGGCCCTTATACATTGCGTTGACGATGCCAGCGGCGCCCGTCAGCTGCTCGCTCATGGGGCGGCCGGGGATGCGTCGGGCCGTGCTGTGCGATCTGCCGAGCCCAGAGATCGGGATACTAGGTGCGGTGTCGGGGTTATTCAAGGCGGAAGGCAGCATGGCCATCTGAGCTTGGAGTTGGTGGGAGGCGGACATGGTCATAGGCCTAGGCTTAGGACGCTGCTGGCCACCACCGATAGCGATAGATTTTGCGCGCTGGAGTAGCGAAGCCCCAACGCCAGGCGAGTCCGTAGGGGGTGGCGGTAGGTCCTTGTGGACGTTGGCACCGGGTTTGAAGTCGGAAGATTGGTCGAGGATATGCTCGAACTCTTGATGCTGAAGGAGGCGCTCGATGATCTTGTTAATATACAACGTGAGAGCTTTGTTCTGATCCTTCGCAGCGCGGAGTTCGGCCTCTAGACGGCGTGTGTTGTCGTCCTCGGCGTGCACCTTGGGCGACTCGTCTCCGTTGAGAGCCCCTAGTTCGTCGGCAAGACTGGCTGCTGGCGGAGCCGCATCACCGGCGTTAGATCTGCCCTCAAGGGCGTTCAGGGCGTCTTGGTTAGCGGCCACATTCATGTAACTGAAGTCGCCCTTGCCGAAGTCGCCGTGGAGTGTCTTCTCCTGGAGCAGTAGCTGATATGACTCGTTGTCTTCCATCAGCCGGGCGTTAGCCATGCGTGCCTCCATGAGGAGTCGCTCGACTTCATGTAGTCGGCCGCCGCCCTGGTTTTCAGACTCAACAAGCTTAATCTGGGCTTCCGCGAGCTCGAGACGTAGTGACTCGATCAGCTTGTCCTTTTGCAGTAAAAGCTTGGAATTGTTCCTAGAATCGCTGCGTTGGACGGAAGATGGTGGGGCGAAGTTCCCACTGTCTACGCTAGGAGAGGAGTTGTTTGCTGTCATGATCGTGCCTGGGTCAGTAATCCATCGTACTGTAGGTGTAGATATAGGACGGTATAATTTGGAGACTCACATTGCCTTGTTGGGCGGTATTCGTCCTCTGCATTTCGTTGGTTGAGGGTTTCCTTTAGCCTATTAATGATGGCCTGCATCTCCTCTTCCCGATTACCCATCTCTTCCTTTTCCTTAGTTATGGAGCTCCTCTCAGCTTCATAGATTGTCTCCATCTCGCGCATCTTCTTTGCTGTCTCCCTCTTCTCATTTCGGAAACTTTCGATCTGTTCTTCATTCTCATGTAAACGATCTTCCAATTTGGCCTGCTCTTTAAGGGCGTCATCAAGTCTTGTCTGCAGGACCTCTGTTTGTTTTCTATACTGCTCGGATGCGACGTCGGACTTCTGTAACCTCTCTTTAAGGTCTTCGATCGTTGCGACGAGTTCCGCGCGTATGTCAGCATTTCCATTTGTGGTAGAAATGCTTAAGGACGATGATGCTCTGTGGTTAGCGGCAGCTCGCGCTGACATTGGTGTTCCACCTCGAATGGATCGTGTCCTCTGGGGCGTGGTGGCAGCTCCAGTGCCATTTGTCGAAGTCGGTGTGGACGCTCGAGGTCGTCCTGTAGGAGGTACATTCTCGTTCGAAGGTCGACCCTGTGCCGCAGACAGCGGCCTCTTGGGAGTAGCGGACATTTGTTATTTTTGCTGAATGCACAGATAAAACAGACGTATATACAGAACACCACTGCAGGTAGGTATAGAAGTTATTGGGAAGGAGACTCTCGCTGTCTCAATCCAAGCCTAAGGCAATACTTCGTAGATACGATAATGTGGGATGATATGATACAGATGGTACGGTGTATGTATGGTGCAGGTAATGGTGTATGGGGTATTTGGCTGTCGGTTGCTAGGTCGATCGGCAAAAAAGAATGGAATACTCGGATGATAGGGTTGGCCAGTAGACGAGAAGTATGCACTTCTGAGACTGTTTTACTATTCTGCTCTGGTGATTTTGATCCGTCTATTGTTGTTATTGTTGTCCGAGTGGCTCTGCATTTGTGGTTCGTGGCGTCTAATGCACAAGAAATGCACAAGAATCCGCTCTGGGATTTGGAGAAGGCGGTTTAGCGACTCAGACGGTCAAACAGCGTCACAGCGCTTGTAGAAGTGTCCTTGCAGTCCTTGTAAATTTGTGTAAATCTGTTCGGGTTGGTAATAGGGGATTGGTCTGACGCGCTAAAGCGGGTTGAGCGCTTAACCTATTAGGAATATTCTCTGCAACTCAGCATGTAACTCAGCCACCCGGATTCACCGTCTTCGAGGGTGTGAAACCCTTACTTTCGAATAAGTCAATCTTGCAGATGTGTTTAAGATGTGCTCAGCTTACCTGTGCCTGTTTCGCCTGTACAAAGGTACCTGCTCAGGTACGAGGAGGCAAATAGGTTGATTCGTTCGCGAGAATAGTGGTATATTTAGATCCCATGTGATAATGGTGATATTAACTTTTCGAGAATGATGATCGAAGTTCTTCTTTTTGGCGATGTTTGATTCTTGACTCGTTGACTCGCGTCTTTTATTCTTCCTAACCCCTTTCCCGCTTGTAAGTTTAATTAGCGTTCATGCGGTCCTGCGGTCCGTCTCCTGACAAACCCCAACGTTCTCTGCGCTCGGTGACGGACTGATTAACTGGATCCTTGTAGAACGTGTTTTATATCAGAAAGACGCGTCGCAATAATAAGAGACAGATCATGTACAATATCTTCGGGAATCCCAGGTAATCCGGAGTCGGAACAATACACACAGACACACCACACCGTTGGTAAGATATCCATGCTCGTTTATGCTTGTTCGATGTTGAATTTATCCATTGTGTCTTGTGTTTGATAATTGAATTGGAACCAAAGAACATTTGGGCAATCCCACATCACACCCCACTTATGACACACGTGATAAAGTTTTAAAAAGAGCATTTTGAAGTTAAGCTTAATTTACACGTCATTGCTGGGTCACAGCTTTTACTAGGTATACCTTCCCTACTTGTGCAACTTGTACATGTTGCCTTTTTGGAAATAATTACCTAAGTACGAAGTATCACTAGAAACTCACCTCTACCTTTGATGCCCCCATCTTCCGCCCTTCGACACGAACATTGAACTCCAGACTTGCTCCAGAAGGTACCATCTCAATAACGAAATCAAGTCTCTTTAACGTCTTGCCTTCAGGATTTTGCCAGTCCTTCAACTTGGAAAAGGGTATCCCAACATCACCCTTGATCGAGCACATGTGTTTGACCGAGTTTGTCTCACGCGATGGAGCAATTTGTTCATCGCAATACTTAATATTCACGGTGAGCGATCCATCAAAATCTTTTTCAAAAATGCGATAAAATGACTCGGAGACAGTATCTTTGGTGGAAACTTCCTCACCCTGTTAAATAATTAGTCACAGACTCCCAGAGAAATCATCTAGGGAAATTACCACCTACTCTTCTCAGATACCATGACATTTGGCCACGAGCCATATACTTGCATTCAAGATGATTCCACACCTTGTCGGCTTCGAGATGAGTTCCGGGGATAAATGGAGTTGCAAATGACGTCCCATAACTTGCGCGAGAGACTGTGGAGGTAACCTTGATTGGGAGGGCTTTAACAATCGAGTTATCGGATTGGTCTTGTGCGGCACCGTCTAGGAATCCCTTGAGTACAGCGCCTCGACAGATTGCAGTCCGACTACGCAGCATTAGTATACATCAATTGGACACGTAGGGCCAGATACTGACGGTCTCATGCCTCCCGACTGCAAGACATCTATGTTCAAGACCTTTCGATATTTATCCCTCAAATGTTCGTACAGGTAAGGACTGGCACCGAAGCCCCCTACCAAGATGACGCTCTAGACAGAGTCAGCATCATTGTAAGCTTCCATTTCGGGCCCTTTGGAACTTACAGTGATTGACAGGCCTTTGTTTCTCGCTTTCTTTATTTGATTGTCTACCAAATTGTCCACATCTTTGAAGACGCCACTGAAGATGTTCTCTATATGCTCACTTGATATATGGTCAATACATCAGCAACACAAAGTCTGTCAATGGATTTGCTTACGTTGTGAACATCATCCGAGCATTTTTAATTATCGGATCGCATTTGGTATCACTCGTCTTCCCGTCAGGGAATGCGCATGCAGGGACCCTTATAGGATAGTCTCGGTTGAGTGATGGTGTGAATTGGGGCTTCACACCCCGCTCCCAGTCTTCCCGCAACACATCGTTGATATCGTTCTTGCTGAGGCGATCCCACTTTCTACCCACGCATTTCTTACACTTGACTTCAAAAGCTTGATCAACGAAGATGCCACCGCAAAGACCACCTGGTAGTAAGTAAGGGTGTTAGTTTGTTGTTGCCATACACTGAAGCAGAGAATATAATACCTTCACCTTCTACGGCCTCCTCCATTGCGATTGGTTTAGTATTGCTAATCTTATAGGTGATCAAGTCCTGAGTGGACTAGTCAGTTATGCATAATCGATTTTCCTCTGTCTAGTGGCAAGGGCATGACTTACAACGGTGCCACCACCAGCATCACATACTATGAAGACGTCGTCTTTGCTTACTTTTCGCCCGGGCTCTAAAAGGGTCGATAGCGCAGCAGCCTCAGGCTCGGGGACGAAGCTCAGAGATGTTTCTCCAGCAAGCCTGTCATCCAAAATACCAGCATTCCGCGCTGCTTGCTTCATGTCCTGTCGAGCATATCCCTTCCATATAGCAGGGACTGTGATGACGACATGGAAGCGTAGTGCATCAACGACAGCCTGTCCGCGTGACTTTGCAATAGTTTCGAGTGTATGAGTCCAGAGACAACGAAGGTAATCAGCGACCAGGTCTACGGCTGTTTTCTCCTCGACGCGCAGAAATTGGCGGGCTCTGAGTACGAATTCTGCAGACCTCAGACTCGGTGCGAGGTCCTCCTCCTTTACAAGCAGGAGCTTGAACCATCGGACTGGGTCACCATCTTTAGGTACGAGGTAGCCCCACGACATCTTATCATATTCGTAGAACAACTCAGTTGGTGCTTTACCCTCTTCAGGGCCAGTTCCGGGCCAGCTAGTAATTATATTCGTATTCTGATCATCGTTGAAGTCTGCGGCAGTAGCCCAGGCTACACCAGAAAAACTTGTAATGTCTGGGTTAGCAAGTCCACTTGCTGGATGCAGCATCAATATCGACGTTAAAGAACATACGTTGTACCGAAATCGATGCCAATAACTAAAATATCGTCGTAACTACCGTTCATGTCCGTGTTTAAATCCGATCCCGAGCAATCACTATCGTCACCTGAACCGTCCGACATCTGATCGAGAACAGGCTTGAGAGATTTAGATAGTTTGTCAAGCGACGAGGAACCCATCTCGAAAGCGGTATATAGGTAGGTATGGCTTCCAGAAATCACAAGGCAGGCGTCGTAAGTAGAAAAACAAAGCTTGAACTTCCAAAGAAACAAAAACGTTAAGTCTACAGGCAGACAGAAAATGCCGAACTCATGTGGCACTTGGCTCTAATTACTGCTCCAGGTCGTGTATGCAGGACTACCATACGACCACAAGTCGAGACTCACGAATGCACCTTTGATTGACATCTCCGTCCAATCGTCATTTGAATAGGATACTAGGTAAGTAGCAAAACTTTCTAGGGGTACCTACATGCAACCCAACGTCCATATCACCGGCGGTTCAACTCGTAATAGGTAGGCTACGTGATATCAGGTCGACTTGCATTAATATCACGGCAGGCTGTGGCGGTCGTGTTCACAGTGCTGGCCATACAGTCAGAAGCCACCCGTTGGAAGGGGGTGTGAAAGTAGAAGTGACCTGATGTGAATTAGCCTAGGTGGTCAGGGGGCGCATGTATCATAACCCAGGATCATCTGGCTCCTTTTGAGTCTTCCCCAGTCCCCCCAGCTTACGGATTCATTCCTATCGCTCTTAGCTACGCAACGGATAACCTTGGATTCCTCTACATCTATGGCTTCAGCGAACACTGAACCTTCCGGCTTGAACCCATCGCTTGGCGCCACTGAGGATGGCGGGACGAGTATTGGGAATCTAGGGAATAGCAATCACGGTGAGCCACTTTAGAACTTTGATGCCACTAAACTTGCTGCCTTACACCCGTCTGTATACTAGACCTAATACTAATATTTATTTGTTAGATACTACGCTTGGTGAGAATGAAGCCACAATACAATGCAGCGAGGCAGCCTACCAGCAATTTCATCAAAAGATTACGTCCTTGGAACAACAATTGGACACAGAAAAGAAGCTACGCATCAAAGCACAAAATGACTTCAAGAACGTTTCGAAGCAATGGAAGCAGGTGGCTCAGCAACTGAACCAACAGCATACGAATGCCAATTCTTTCCATACTGTGACAGATGACTATTTGAAACAACTAGTAAGAGAGCTCAGGTACGATATACGGCATTTTTCACAATCATACTTCGAAGACATATCATCTCAACCATGGCCTCTACCGCCGAAAGACGGTCATTCGACAAGGAGTGTATTGCCCGAGCAATATAAAGGCTGTCCAGCATCTCCCATACTCGCGCAGTCGTTTATCTGGCATGTATTGGCGGAAACAGTTTTCGATCGATACCAATGGCCCGCCGATGACCGTTTAGGCACGCAATTATTTCGGATTTCAGCACATTTGAGACCTAGTAAGTATGCACTTATCCCTTAAGAAAATTCATAATTTGCTCATAACTGGCCAAGAAATTCGTAGCCTCGACGAGACAGAGGGCCCCTCTGAGTGCGAAGCTCTTAAGAAGTTCCACACCTGGCGAGCTACAACTGCGAATATGGTGTTCAAAGCAGAAGATGCCTTGAGGGTATCAAATGCTTGGGAAAATTTTAGAAACATAGTGATCGAAAATGATATCAACCCGTTTGTTTTGCAATTTGTCAAAAAGGCGGAATATGCACGATATTGCGGTTTACTCAAGCAGATTATCGAAAAGGCTCTGGTTCTGGATCGGGAGATTAGTAGGCAAGCTGCCTGGGTTCGCTGGGTATTTGAAGACCAAAACAGACGCTCTGACACTGCGGAAAGTGATCCGCCCATCGACCAAGAAAGGGTACGCGTCATCATCGCTCCAGCGTTGCTAAAACGCGGTAAGTCGTCGGGTGACAAGTTTGAAGAGCAGATAGAGTTGTTATCAGCAGAATCTTCTGTTGTCCAGAAACTACAGTCGTCAAGGCCCCCCAGGACAGGGTGGATGAAGTAATTTATTCTCAAGTAGTCAGAGTTGTTGCTTCTTATGTTGTTCGGGGGCCGATATCGCCAAGAATTGGGAGATGATTTGTTCGCAAGCAGCAACGGCTATCGTGGCCACCGCTCGGAAAGTCGATGGTTTTAGTATGATATTTTCTAAACTCTAGAGAACATTCGTTACCACTGATGAATAAAAATGAATATTAGTTTGATACAATCCCCGCAATATCTCTTTCACTGGCAGATGTCGCCAGCCAGGGATTGGGAAGCAAAATATAGCTTCACATGACCTGGTGAACCAAACCTAGAATATATGGTACTTGATTTTGTGGCTATTTAGTTGTATTTTGCCTCCTAATCCCTGGTTGGCGACAACTGCCAGTTAAAGAGATACATCGGCGATAGCTACCTACGTAGTAAGCGTTGAGGCTCTTAAGGCATTGTTCAGTGATATTCAGAGGGATATCGTGAAATCTCGCCAATTAAAACAATGCTTTTGTAGGTGCAAAGGAGCTTGGGGGTTGCTAGCAGTCCAGTTACTGATTGGTGTTTTGAAAAGGAGCGTCGACGTTACCCTTCTTCTGCATGAGGCTGGGGGCGTGAAAGATGTACATAGTATTAATATTACACCTTTCGGCCCTTTCGTTTTTGCGCCAAGACTATTGAATTCACCTATATGAGAGCTGAAAGAATTGGTGTGCATCCTGGCGGATACCGACGGTGTAGGGGGCGCGCTAGTAATGACGCTGGCCTATCACAGTAGTGACTCCCATGCTCGATTCCGGCTTTGGACCCGAAGATGCCCAACAATAAACCGTGTGGTTCCGCTTTGAACATTTACCCATCAACAATGCCACCATATCACAGCCGCGCAGAAAATAAAGATCTGATACACGTATATGTACAGTCCTTAGCAGCATGGAGGCTATATTGTGGTGTCATTCTAGTAATAAGGTAGATAAGGTGGCCAGCATACGAACTGTAACCCTTAATCATTGACCAGAGCCTCACTTAACGCGAATTGGCTCAATGGTACCTCCAAGGTATGAGATTAAACGAAAGAAGGCTGTAAGTCCTGTTACCAATCATTAAGCACCTTCTGCCAGATAATGGCGCCTCTCTTTTTCAGGGTCAAACGCTCCCCCCGCAAATAAGTAGTTACACCGTATTATCACGTCGACTCGTGTATAATGTTCTCATTGATGATTATCTGAATACCTACCGGTAGGTAGGAAAATCCCGATCACAATGTGCGTGGGAAAACCCTGGGCTTGTCTTCTTTGTTGAGAAACGCTGCTTATTCCACACTCTCGGCTCCTAAAATACTTGAAAAGGCTGCTCCCACGGTCAGATAGTCATAACCTGTGTGTCTGTAGTCGTCCACAGGAACATTGATATGTTGGACTCTTGAGTCAACATGCATGATCGAAAATACGTCTTAACTTAGATACACTAAATATAATCTACGTGTCAGGATCTCCGCGATGTTTTCCGGCGAGATCCTCGCCCGGCTCAAGAGCGAGAGAGAGTATATCCTATCCACTGTCCATCTGCCTTGAGCTTCCTTCGACTGCAGGGAATGCCCTTCTAGTTCCTGGAAACTTAGACGGTGGCCTATCACAATACACCTGTGTTTTCAACAATCTCTCCATCACGTCAAAATCGTCTCCTGACGACTTGCCACGTCTGACAAGACCTGGGCCAAGCACCAACGTAACGGCCTTATTGTTGCCTTGATGTTCCTGGCTGAGCTCTAGTTCCATTGAGTCAGGCACAAAAGTACAAGGTAATTCTTCACAGTGAACCCATTCGATGTTCGCAATTTGCTTGCAGATCTCCTTGTCCAGTTCCAAACTCTGAGTGATGATGCCTTCAAGCCCTTGTAGGTAGCCTTGTTGGTCCGACGACTTAAATGGCCCCAGTAGCTGAGAGACAGTATTTGTCCATTGCTGGATAAATTGTTGACCATCGCTGGTAACAGTAGTCTCGTTTAGCCTCATGGCTTCGACAAGGAGGTTAGCCGTATTGGCTCTCCATGTGTGGAACTTTCGCTCTCCGCGAGGATCCGCATTTTTACTTCCATCCACTAAGTTGTCTGCGATATATGTAAGCCACTTGGTCCGAGTCCTAACACTACAAAAGGGATTCGCCCACAGAGGAAGCCACGCATTTCACAAAATGCAGTACCAGCGCCTTGCCATGACCAGTAAAATCGATTGAACACTCTTTCATAGAGATAAGCCCATAAGAAAGCTCTAATTAAGTTAACTCGCTTGGATGAGAAAGAGATATAGGTCTCCAGATAATCCAGAGGGATGCGAAGAAATTGGTTAAGGGACTCCAATGATGCTTGGCTGGATCCGAGCATGTTGACGTTGTTCCCGAAATAGAGTATAGCAAAGTCCCTGATAGCGATGCGTAGCTTCATGGCTTTTTGAATAAGCTCATGGTCAGTAGACTGGTTGTGTACTTGGTTCCCGCGCAAAAAGCGGTTCAATTCACCTACTGCGTCCAACATGAGCTGGCGCTGGTGGTTTGCGGCATTCTCTTTCTCCGTGAGACGCGATTTGGTATGTTGGTGCTCGTTTCTTTCAGTTTCCAGGTTTCGTTCCGTAACATCCAACTTTGCCTGGAGGTTATTTGTGACTCTTTCATGCGATGCGTTCTCCTCGAGACGAGACTGTTTCTCTTTCTTCAGGCTTTGCTCAGCTTCTTTCAACCTCGTTTCGAGATCAGAGGGCGAGACTCCAGGTTGTAAAGGCAAGGAGCCCGTATTTGCAAAGACGGAAGCTGATTGTCCGCCAGACTGCGAAGCATGCACCTGTCGTGTATTTCGTGGTCTGCTACTATGCGAGTCAAGAAGATCATTGGGACCCTCATCGAACGTGGAATGAGTTTCTTCAGGGACGTTCGCCTTGAGAGTGTGAGTCCGATTGTTCGAGTTTTCCGTACTTGGTCCACGGTTGCTGTCACGATGCGATTTTCCTCTGTTCCACTTTATCACAATCCGTGTCAGCTATATCATTCACAAGATCCCGAGAGATTTGAAAATATTTCATACCATGTTCATCATCTTTATTTCGAAATTGACCTATCAAGGCAGGTTAAGGTTGTTAGTGCGGAAATATAAGCAGATATTTTCTTCAGAAGCGTGGTCCAGAAAAAATGACTTTGAATACCATACTTAACTACAGCTAAGATGTCACTTTGGTCATGGTAGCTTAGATGGACTATAGGCTTTTGTGTGAGGCTGGAAATTTGGAGCTCCCTTCTCATCCCTTTCGTTTCAAAGGAGAAATCCAAAAGGACTCAGCTGCAAGAAGGACAGTGTGGGAGGCCTCTACAGGTCACGTATGCAGGGTATCTCAGCTAGTCACAAAACTATTGTTTCACCACACCATAACCAATCTATACGTCCGTCTTCTCCAACAGTTGTTATGCTTTCCTTATTCGGCATCAGTTATTCGAACGAGGCTCTCACGCCGTTGGGGGTGATCATTGATAGCGCTAAACAAGATGATATATGATTTAGCCAACGAGGAACATGGCCGTAAGCGCCTTTCTACTGTACGTGTCAGATGCAATGACGAGGCGCCCAATCTGGAACTGCCACGGCCATATACCCCTCGTCATGTTGATATTGCCAAGACGACCTCGTAAATCAAGGTAGGCACCCCCCTCGATATGTACTTGGGCATAGGTAGTCTCTGGATCTATTCCCATTGTTCCCATGTACGTTCGGGCGGTCCCTCTCACCTGTACAATGTCCAATCAAGAATCAATCATACAGGTAAAAGAGGGGTATGTCGTATCGTGCTGCATATTGGTGGCGGCATAGGCAGAGTTGGTGTGAAGAAGGCTGCGGCTGAATGTTACGAGCCTTCTCTTTGATAACTTCTCGCTTCGGACTGGAAAGCCACACGCACTAAGTAATATTCGGGGAGCTGCCGGGAGATCATGCAGGAGTGAATACTAAACCGTACATATGCGTCCACTTGAGGCAATAAAAAGCGAAGGATAAGATGCTTAACAACCTCAAGTACCTAACTTTATACATATACGCCCAGGTAGGTACCTAAGTATACTGATTAACAATGCCGAGGAATCTTCAGGTCTTCAATGTTGTTCAGCGCAAATACTAAAACAGGTAGTACCATGAGACATGAAAGCAAGCAATCGGAGCCTTGACATTGAGGTACGGCGAGTATCTTGACTACTATGCAACGACCCTCTTTTCTTGTTTCCTCTAGCAATTTCATCTATTTATCTACATTTTTATCACTACCACTCATTTTCTAGTTTTCATCCAACTTTTAGGCCTTACGTTCTTCTTGTTTTACTTCATCTCATAGATTCTCGTTGTCATAACCCACAGAGTATACCCAGGGAAGAACTATGTCGTGGGAGACCTCATCAGACCTAACAAATTCTTCGAGCTTTATGCGAAAAACGTCCGATGTACCTAACGAGCGTTGGTCTATGAGGGGATTGATGAAGAGGATCAAAGCTAAAAAGAGTTCGAGCCTCGACGATAGATTAATCTTTGGCATCGACTTTGGAACTACGTGAGTGAAGCTTCTTTCTTCAATCTATAGTCCTGTTAACTTTGGCTTAGATTCTCCGGTGTGGCGTGGGCCACAGTTGATGACTTGGAGGACAATGAGATCAATATTATCACTTCCTGGCCAAAGTATAGGCGCGAGGACGGCAAGGCGCCCACTGAATTGTTCTATGAAGACGACAAAATTATGTGGGGGTACGAAGTACCTTCCGACGCAGACCCCGTATCATGGTTCAAGTTGCTTCTTCTGCGGGACGAAGATATAGATGAAGACTTGAGACAATCTGATTACTATATTCGCGCAAAGAGCAAGCTTAAGGAATTAGATAAGGACCCAACAGACCTCGTCGCCGATTACCTCAGGGCTCTGTGGCAACATACCCTTAACACCGTACGGAAGTCCCGCAGCAAGGCCGTCATTGCCGCGCTGATGTTCCATGTTGTCATTACTGTGCCAGCGATCTGGAAGGACTACGCACGCACCAATATGCAAGAAGCCGTAGCGAAGGCAGGGATCCTCGATCACCGGTCTGCAGGTCCCACAACGTTGTCTTTCGTCCCTGAACCTGAGGCAGCAGGCCTCATCACGCTCCTTGAGCTTGATGGGATGCTCAAGACCGATGATGTATACGTTATATGTGACGCTGGTGGTGGCACTGTGGTAAGTTTGATGACCGCAGCTTTTATCTTGACTAATCACGATCTGTGCGTCATTCAACTGACACAGGCAGGATCTGATCAGTTATAGGATTGGGAACTTGGACCCAATCGAACTCCACGAAGCCGTTGCCGGCACAGGTAAAACCCCAGTCGCTGTTTAGACGCTAATACTAACGATGATTCTACCGATTTCAGGCGATCTCTGTGGCGGTATATTCGTCGACGAGCAGTTTGAACGCCTTTGCAAGAAACGGCTTGGGCGGAGTTGGAACAAGCTCAGCCAAGCCAGCATCAAAGGCATCATAAAAAGTGAATGGGAGCACGTCTACAAACCATCATACACCGGTAGAGATCATGGTCGGGAGTTCCCTATTGGTATTCCAGCCGAGGCTCTCGGAGGTTCAAATGAGAACGACCTGACACGGAAGCCACATATCAAAGATGGCCGCATCCATTTCTCCAAGTATGTTATATTTATAGCCCTTATATACCTGCGCACTGAATCACGAACAATTTTCCCGCTAACTAAGGACTTTATGATCACCTAGCTCGGACATTAAGTCAGCTTTTACGACCGCGTTTTCGAGTATTGATAGCCTCGTCGATAGTCAGATCAAGAATACACAAAAGAAGAGCCTGCTAGTAAAAGTAAGCAGCCAGTTCCTTCCAAAGGCAATGAAAAATTACTCATTCTTACAACTAAATAGGGGATTGTCTTGGTTGGGGGCTTTGGAGCGAGCCCCTATCTTTACAATCATCTGAAGGATCGGTTTGCGAAACAGGGTATTGAGGTGTTGCAAGATACTGGGATGAGACCGTATAGTGCACAATCTGAATATGTTAGTCGGCTATTCTAATAGTTCTCGTCGCTCTTAGGCGCACAGCAATCTGTCGTGGGGCCATCCTCAAAGGATTCCTCGATGCACCCAGTATTGCGCTGGCCGCTTCCGCGCACGTCAATGTAGCCTCTACTATTGCAAGACAGAACCTTGGTATCGAATATAGACCGCTCTTCGACAAAACGATCCACAACAAAAGAGACAGGTTTTTAGACGAAAATGAGGGTGTTTGGCGGGTCACAGAGATGCAGTGGTATCTACAAAAGATTTGTGTACCACTAGGTAGCTAATGATCCAAGAGAAATACGGTGCGCTAACTCTGGTCTTAGGGGGAGAGTGTTTTGATTCAAACACCAATACGTCACTCCTTCTATGGCACCTATGCTATAGAAGAAGAGTTCAACGAGAATAATGGCACAATGGTTACAGATTTCTATCAATGCGACGACGACGTAGCGCCGTTTAAAAGAAGCAAATCAATGCACGTGCAGTGCAAGCTTCACTGGCACTATGTTCACAATATAACCTATGAGTCGCTTCCCGAGGTTCGTGCCAAGAACGGTAAGGTATTAAAGAGACTAGATTACGAGATTGTCATGATACCGTCTGGAGCATCTACTGAGTTTACTATCTACTACGATGAGAAAAAGGTGGATTCACGTGATATACGCGTTGAATTTCAATGAATGACTAAGTACCTTGCACTACATTTAATTTTCTATTAGGTAATTGACTTTAAATAACCTCAGTTCGTTTGCTTTCGCATTATTTGATAACCATGTGAATTCTTAAGTGTGAGAAGACGACTGGTGTTCTAGACCTGCCTAAGGTTCAGAGCAAATCACCGAACGCCCTTAAGTTTCGTTGCGTGCGCTCCACAATAAGAGGCAAAAGGATCTCTACCTAGCCGTCCAGCCGTCCGATTGCTAGATACGTCGATCTACATAGCTCTCCCTGCCCCTATCACTTGAGTTTTCTTTTGTTACTTACAGTCATGTTCCAAGCTTATGCGGACGCCCCACATTATTATCTTAACAGTGGGTCAACCGCCAAGCTTCATCTACACTTGTAAACCAGCTGTATCAGCTAGACTCATTTCTCCCGGCAGCTGGAGGCAGCTGGCAGCCAGCTGAATTCCGGGCTTGGCAGATTACCCACTATCATGATAAAAATGTGGGGCGTCCGCATAAGCTTGGAACATGACTGTAGATAGGTTAACCTAGGTAGGTTTTCGTTAGGTTAGGTTAGGTTATTGTAGCAACTTTTTTCTCTGGGGGTCGGGGGGTCTGTCCCAATTAGGAAATAATAACTACTCTTGCTTAAGTCTACCTGGGTGCTCTGTGGCACTTATTGACCCTTGGTGGCATAAAATCCCTGAGTTTAGCCGAAATCGCAGGTTCGAGGGGTCGATCCTCGCTTTCGCAATTGTATACCTTTTAAACCTTTGCAACGTTGAATTCAATCACTCAACGATAAATCGTGAACTGCAAACTGCGAGCCGCGCACTTTGCGTGAACTTCACTTGGAGCATGGATAACCCAGCGGTTGGTATTTATTTCTCCAACTCTATCAAGGCACCGTGAACGCCGGTGGCATATGTTACACTCCCCGGTTTCTCTTTATCGAATGTGAGAAAGTCCTTGTTCTGTCCCTGAAGTGGGAGATTTCTGCTCTTATGCTCCCAGGTTGTCGAGCATGGTCTGGCTTAAGCGGTTTTAGCCAATTTGGATTGTCGTCCTCTGCCATTGTGATAACCCAACGTCGCATCGGAATTGGTAATTGTGACCGGGAGTCGATATTCTGCAAGATCAACGGCTTTGGCTTCTCTGACTCTCAGGTATCAAGATCCGCGTGGCCTCGTAGGTCTTCTTCTAAGTGGATATTGGCGTCTTCCAACTATAGTTGATGCGCGTTTGAACTTGGTTAGATGAATATTTGAAGCCCCCGGTTCCCGAGACTCCAGCTGCGAGGATATTCTGCAACATTCCGAGCCCCCCGATGCCTATCAGAAACCAAATGTATTCCCTAAGACGAGATAAGGAGATCAAGAGGCAGATCTACAGAAGAGCAACGATGAGAGAAATCTAGCGGGTTTCTCTCCGGATAACCGACGTGTACGTTGCGAGCGTTTCGAAGTCCCAAGAACCTTCAGTACCAACGAACACCATTACGTGTAGGTGGCCATTGCCTCGAGTGAGACAAGCTACCTTGTCGTTATTTAGCTTGCACGCCGTGGCCCATTTCTCTCCGGCCCACTGTGGTGGGGCGCGGGTAATCGCGACGAGGATCATACCGGACAAGGTCACCAGCATGATGGCCCAGTCACCGTACAAAACCCCGGGAACAATAACAATGGCGAGTTGGACGACAGGTGTTGCCCATCCAAGCCACCATATCGGATCCCGGCAAGCAGTGGATATAGGTCCTAGGTGAAATATATCGATCCTAATAGACTCAGCTCGACCTCCTTCCTGAGGCCAGGGATCCACAGTATGTCTAATCTCGTGGTCACGAAGACGTCGACCCAGCATCCACGATTGATTTTTCCCGACAAATCCATTGAAACAGTTAACGAGAACCGAGGGACAATCGGCCGTTGGCATCAATCTTGTGCTCGTAAAGGCTGTGAGGAGATTCGAGAATCCGTAGGTGGCCCATCCAAACGAGAATGCAATTAAAAGATAGGTTTTAGTTCCAAGAAGGCGGATTTTGTGTCCAATGAGCTGGATGGTGGTCTTTTGCACAATGTCACCCCCTATGAGGAGCAGAATGCTGAGGTTCTCACTTGGATCAGCCCATTGACTCGCGAAAAACTTCTGCTGAAGCGCTTATAGTGTCGAACCCTCGATCAGAACAAAGCAAAATATCGGATAATTAGGGACTCAAAGGGCCAAGAACAAGTGAGACAAGAACGTTAGCAGAGGTTGAAAGCTCGAGGGCTCCTATAAACAAATGGTTCTCACTTAAACACTAACCTAGCGTGGAGACATGATTCTCAAGGTGGACTATAAGCGGACTCTAGAGGATTCATGCTTGATGTACATCGTTATTTTAGCCCCTAGGTACGCAGCCCCAAAGTTCGATGCAATACGCACAAGCGATAGCGTGAGTAACGAAACTAACTGATATTTCGAATGCAATCCAGTCCTATCATACGCAAAGAACGCCCTTGAATACGACAAACCAGACGTCTTCGAGAACCGTAAATTGCAGGGTTGTAGAGATGCTTGTTCATGTGCTCATCCTCGATCAACGTCAGAAAAGCCCTGCCGTCCTGTGGTGACTGGCAGGCAAGTCTGCAGTTTGCATGGCATATGCAAGTGTCTATCGCCGGCCGCGTCCACCAATTAAACTATTCTTACCACCGCCACCATTACTACCACCACAGTCATATACATTGCATACCGAGGTAGGTACCTACTTAAGAACGCCCTGCGTATGTACCGTTGGGTAGACGATTTACATGGAGAAAAGATGTTCCTTGCTCTTCGCCATCGAGACGTCTGAGTGACTCAAGACTTTGTTTGATATCTATTTGTAGTTATTCCATACTATCCAAACCGACTCTAAATCCTAGTCCGGTTCCTTGATTTACGAGGCTGAGCAGTCTTTCTGGCTTCTCAATCGTCTCCGAACCATGCGGGAAAGTGCCTCTGGAGTGCCCCCGGTATCCGAACACGTATCCCGGTTGGACCATGGTGAGCCGTCGCCGTTACTCACCGCGTGTGTCTTCGGCCTGCAAGGCCTGTTGGACTTAACTTTATCTCATCTAGACAAGATCAATCTAGAGCAACTAAGTGACACTGGTCATACCCCTCTTTACCTCGCATGTACCTTTGGACATAGCACCATCGCGTCGAGACTCATCGAGCATGGGGCTGACGCTAACGCCATCTGCGGAAATTATGGTAACCCATTGCAGGCTGCGTGCTTCCGAGGACATACTGATGTTGTCAAGATTCTCCTGAAACACGGTGTTTCACCGCGGGCTTCTACCGCAACTTTCAAAAATGGTCTGCATGCGGCATGCGAGGGATCTCGAGCAGATATAGCAGACCTTCTCATCAAGACGAACTCAGTCATTGAAACTGGAGAAGACTACGAAGACGCGCTCCAAACCACTGCCGAGGCGGGCTTCCTGGATGCTGTTGAGTACTTGATGAAGCCCGATGTAGTTAGGAAATTTGGGCGTGACACCAGAAAGAAAGAACGGGGATACGCGCTCACCCTCGGGACTATCAAAAAGGGTCGAGTTGGCATTCTTCAATCTCTCCTACAGTCTGACCCAGGAATGGCCGGGAATCTTCCCAAAGACGCAATGGCAATCGCAGCCCTGTACGGGCATGTAGATATGCTTGGTCTCCTTCACGATCTTGGAATAGACATCGAGGCAGAGGGAAAATTTGGGTCCCCATTGAGAAGCGCAAGCCTACAGGGGAATACGAGTGCCGTCCGAAAGCTTCTTAGTCTAGGCGCTAGCACTACAGGAAGAGGCTCAAGAGGCGATTCTCTACAAGCAGCTGCTGGCAAGGGTTACACCCACATTATGCGGCTGCTCATCTCTCATAAAGCAGATGTCAACCAACCGGGCAAGCCTTGTGGGAACCCCATACAGGCGGCTTCTTACCACGGTCACGAGGAAGTCGTCAAGCTACTCATTGAAGAGGGTGCTGATATTTACTGCAGGAGCAGCAAATTCATGCACGCACTTCATGCAGCAGTGCGAGGCGGCCATCAGGAGATCGCCTTATTCTTGCAACATAATTACCCACCTCGCCCCGGAGAAATTATTAGAGTAGTATCACGCGGTGGACGCCGCAAGCGATTTGGGTATTCTAAAACTAAGATACCGAATCCCATGGATGAGAGGAACCGTGAACTCGGTAGTCCCCACCCAGAAGACACCGATGATGAGGATGTTAGCAGCGACGAGGAGTCAGAGAGTTCAAACGAATCGGAGTCCGATGATGGTTACTATGAAACCAGACACGCTTTTGTGCTTGCGGCAGGTATCGGGGATATTTCAACAATTCGCCAAGAATTACGGCGCCCGGATTTGACCGAGGAAGACATCAGAGAAGCTCTTTCGAGTGCCGCAAGTAAGGGAAGTCATCAGGCTACTACAGTGCTCCTAGAAGAAGGGCTGAGGCACACTTTGTGCCCACGGGAGTTGACAGAAGAGGCGCTTGTCGCTGCTGCGAAGCACAAGCAACAAGAGTGTTTCCAAATTTTGGCAGAATCACTCAGTTGCACCGTATTCGTAACGACTTGGGCTGCTTCTCTTAAAGCTGCGGCCGAAGTTGGGGAGCAGAGTATTGCAGCACAAATACTTGATTTTGCGACGCTTGCAGACGATCATTATTTGTCTTCTAGAAACAGATATGCCAAATCTGTTCCAGCAAATACCGTACGGATCTGCAGAGATGCAATCGAGGCTGCTTACTCTTCTAAGCACCACCAAGTTGCAAATCTAACCTGGCATTGGGTTCTCTCAAGAGGACCCGAACTTCTAGGGTCGTGCTCTGATGAATGGGCTAATTTGTGTGCTACCGCAGCACGGTTTGCTGACGCCTCGACTCTTGAGACCTGCCTTGAACTTGAAGAGATGGGTCCAGACTACGCAAACAGACCACGATCTTCCCGGAAGGAGGAACTGCTCTTGAATGCCGTACAGTGTCAGAATCTTTGTACATTCCGCGCCCTCCTGAAGATCATCGAGCAGGAGACTCATGTTACCAGAGACATTATCCCTTCGTTTATGGAAGCTTGCCGGCAGGGATTCAATGAAGGGGCGCTGCAGCTGTTAAGTTCCAACAAGTTTGTTCTCAAGGCCACCGAGATTGCCCAGGGAATAGTTGCAGCATCGACCTTCGGTCATGCAGAACTAGTACTCGAACTGCTCAGGAGCTTAGAATGTTCTGCAAGTGACATATCAATTATCGATGAGGCGGTCACAGATACGTTGCTCAGTGCGGCTAGAGCCGGGAAATCAGGGGTATTCCAGCACATCCTCGACAATACAGAGATACGGGATCACCGAGACTTTGACACTTTGATTACCCGCGCTCTAGTCACGGCATGCGAGTGGGGACACAAAGACATGGTAGAATTATGCCTCCATGAGGGTGCTGATGTCGAGATGAATGTTCCAAAAGCCCCCACAAACGTAGGATCGGGTCTTGAAAGCGAAGAGCACGATACTAATTCCGATGATTGGGAAGAATGCGATATCAATTCTGAAGATTCGAACGCCACCTCCCTCAAGAACTACACTCAAAACAAAAGTGCATTACAGGCGAGCGTCGAGGCATTCTCTCGTATATGTGAACGCCGAAGGATGCCTGGGTCTAACACCCAGTCTGCCACAGCAGAAGCTGGGGAGAGACCGCAGACTGAGATAGTTCGCCTTATACTCGACCATATGCCGGATTTAAGCAGGTATAGTACTAGACATACTACTCACCCATTGCAAATAGCGGTCCAGTCAGGCGCTATCCAAGCTGTTGAACTCTTGCTTGAACATGGCGCCGCAAACGGATTCAGTCCGGGACAGCTTACAGACCTCGTGCTGCTAGTATCGAACTGGAGAACATATAGTGCGTTTCGCATCATCGTGCAACTTCTCAATTGCGATCATGAAGCATTGCCCCCAACGACTGAAGACGGCTTTCTCCATCGTGGCATGCTGCGGAATCTTGGGATGGCTCTCGATCCAGCGATGGGTGACACAGTACTCTTCAGGAGATTTTATATACCAAAGAAGGTTGCTCAAGGTCTGATGGAAGATGGACTGAGAGAGTTCATGCAGATCATATTTCGCAGGTTGCCCCATCAAATGGCAAGGGGGAAATTCTTTGGGATAATCCTTCATGTGGCAGCGGCAGCTGGTGATTTATTAATTGTGAGGCAGCTGATGCAACGCAACGTCAATGTGCACCAGGACCTATATAGGCGGATGCCTCTTGATACTGCTGCCTGGAATGGTCAAATCCATGTCATGAAGGCGCTCACAAGAGTGAGAATCAATAAGGTTCGTTTCCGTAAAAGTCGAATCATACATTCAATCCATAAGGATCAGGAACCAGCTTTTGCAGCTATTCTGAACGGCCAGATCTTGGTTTTAAAGCTGCTGCTCGACAGCGGCGTCGATCTCAAACTAATCCCCGACGTCCTCGTTCTTGCTGTTGAGAGCCAGGCTCTAGCGATGCTGAAATTTCTGCTGCAAGCTGGCGCGGATCCAAACGCAGAGCCTCTTGCCTTGATTACTGCCGCGCATGACGGCCGATTGGATATGGTGACCTCTCTTCTCGGCGCTGGTGCAGACGCAAATGCCCTGGCCATTTACGGATCCCGAACGCATGAGGTTGGTACTGTCTGTAGCCCTTTATATTTGGCATGCAGGGAAGGTCATACTGAAGTCGTTCGAAAACTTCTAGGAGGCGGTGCTCATGCTGCTCTTGATGTTGGCGATTGGGATGGTCTTCCTCTTGTTGCTGCTGCCCGCCGAGGACACTTAGCCATAGTCGAGGCCCTCCTCGAAAGCGGTTGTAATCCTACTCATTCAGGTGCAGGCTTCAGGGCCGTTGGCAGACAACGGTTTCGTGAAACACTGGGTGTGTCTGACCACAAGTTATCAGCCGGCCGACCTCGACCTTGGTGGGATTTTGCATTTATTATTCGAAGCTACCCAGCCACCAACTCGGTAGCAAAGAGCTATTCCCGCCTCAACGCTATCGAGGGCGCTTATCTTAGTCAGAAGGGGTTTCAACCAAGCCCACGAATGCTCCGGGTCCTTCTCAAGGCGGTTGGTGATCCAGACGAAAGGAAAGGCACCTGCTTGGAAGCGATGAAACACATCTCCGAGGCCCAGCACAGCCGTGTCTTCGAAGAACTTTTGGAATACGTGCCATTAGACTCTAACACGCTTGACCTTTCTTGCCGGTGCGGCTCGCTGAAGGCTGTGCGGAAGATTCTGGACCACGGTTTAAGCGTGAATGTGACGAATGCAGACGGAGAAACGATGCTGCAAGTGGCCATTGACTACGGCCATTCGGAGTTGATACAGTTTTTGCTAGCCAACGGAGCGAATTTGAATTCTCCAGAAGACGAAGGTCGGCCACTCAACCTTTACCGTCTAGTAGCCTCCGTTATTGAATCCTATGCATTCTCCACGCGAGCGAAGCACAAGAGTATTACAAGATGCGAGGATATGGTTCTGAAGCTCCTGAGGATTGCCCATGACCCCCAAATGGTCTTCAGAGCAGACCAAGAGTTCTTGAACAGATCTCTCATTCTTGCGTGTCACGTTGGAAGTGTCGAAATGGCAACCGGTCTACTCAAACTTGGCGCTGAACTTGACAGCTTGTCTTATCTTCCCCAGCATTCCCCAGCCTATCGTCCTTCACCATTGTTCGCCGCTATTGAAAGTAACCACCCGAGCACCTTGTCGTTGCTCTTATTGTGGGGTCACGATGCCGAGAATGGTACCGGGACGATTTCCTCCTTGGACGCAGAATTTAAAGCTTGCATAAGCAAGGCAAGTCCAGTCCTATTACAAACTTTTCTGAGATGTGCCGTTACGCTTGAAATTTCCCAGGAACATCTTGTGCTCGCGGCGCAGAAGATTAGATGGAGAGGAGGCGTTAGAGAGACCGGTCTACAAATTATTCTCCAGCATCGGCCAGATTTAACGCCATCCGAAGAAGTGCTTGTAACTTTGCTACGCACCGGGGCACCATCTGATGTATGGGAGAAACGGTCAATGCTCCATCTCTACAAATTGGTGCTGAAGCGAAGTGATTGTGGTATCACCACAAGGATGCTTCAAACGATGTCTGACAGAGCCACATGGGAAGCCATATTCGAATACCATCAAGGCCTCCAAATGTTTGATGAACTAGAGGCAGCCCTACAGCGTGTAGAGGAATCGGAACGCGGACAGTTGCGAATTTGATCAAGCGAGGGAATTCAAGGCCATGGCGTGGTAGTGGGAAAGCCTAGGTAGCCATTCGAATTATAGTAATAACATGCTTCACGATTGGTTCTAGAAACATCATACTGTAGAAGGAGACTGTTGGGTATCACATGTATTCATTCTCAAGTATGCTGGATTCGTCTTGATTGACCCTCAGCATTGGTCTGACCGGCTATCTGCCTAGAAAACTCGGTATAGCTCGGTGGGAAATCCGAGAGAGCTGCATCTAAATACGAAGCCTATGCAACCGATCCTCGTTCTTAACTGACGAGTTATGACGACCTTTTCCCCAGCCAATAGACCCCAACGCCGTCCGGAGATGCCTTATTTACATCTAAGCCTGTTGGTCGCTGAGGATATCGGAGTCACCAGCGTCCAAGACGGCCATGGTGGAGCATCGGAAAAGCTTACCACAGGCGGTGCCCAACTCGATCTATATTCGGACGAAAAAGTAAGCCAGCTGAATTACCCTCCAAAGCTTTGGCAGCTTCTTCTCTGGGCAGGACTGATAGATAGGACAACCCGTCTACCAATCTTAAAATAAGAGAGAAAGAAAACATAGAAGAAATGCATCTTCTACGTTTGGTCAAGGAGATATCATGATGTACTTACGTTGGTACCGGCGAAGTGGTGAACCGGGGCCTTGGACAACATGGAGTAGTACTCCAGCTCGGACTTGCGGAGAGGGGGAGTGTTTCCGGAGATGATGACAAGCTTGGCCTTGCCAGATCGCAGGCTCTTGAGGGTAGACTTGTAGCCGAGAGTGACTGAATTGTATGTTAGCAAAAAGCAGGCCCTTTTTCACTATTTTTCCTAGCTGGATCAACCGTACCCTTTCCGGACTTCATAACAAGCGCAAGACGCGAGTTGATGCTGTTGGCATCCTTCTTGTTCTTCTTGGGGGCCATTGTAATTGCTGGGTTCAATTGACGATTTGTGGAAAGTCTTGAGTTGTCGGAAACGAGCGAAGAAATCAAGAAGATGAAAGAAAGTTGGATGTGAAGAAGTCGCACTTTGAATATTAGCTTTTGCGAAAAAGTCTGGTGGGGTAAATGTTGAAAGGGTTGTACCAAAAACTTGCAGTGATCAGTGGTATTAGCCCTAACCCCACTTTTCAGCTAGGCGAATATTGAATAAATGAACCAATAAGGTACCCCGCCACAAGTCCACTTAATCCGCTTATGTGACTCGCCTTGCTTTGAAATCAAAGTGAGGAATTTCACCGCGAAAGTGTCAAAGGAGTCTCGGGTCTCTCCCTCCTGCTAAATTTAATCTTCCCCCAAACAACAACCTACCCCCAATCCACCACAACATCATCGACGAACTCATTCAAGATGGCGCGTCGTCCGGCAAGATGTTACCGATACTGCAAGAACAAGGTACGTTTCATGAAGCATTTTGAAATACTCGATGTTTTTATCAAATTCCACATTTGAGATTTTGCCCGCTTGATCGCAGATTAATTGCGATCATGTCTCCTCCACCCGGATTACAAATCACGATGAGATCACACTTGCTGCCTCTGCCATTGCGACACACCTGGATTTTTCTAGCCTTCATTACACTTAGGAGATATAATTACTCACATCAATCATCAATAGCCGTATCCTAAGTCCCGCTTCAACCGTGGTGTCCCCGACCCCAAGATCCGCATCTTCGATCTTGGCCGAAAGCGTGCGACCGTCGACGACTTCCCTCTCTGCATCCATCTTGTCTCCAACGAGTATGAACAGCTAAGCTCCGAAGCCCTCGAGGCTGCCCGTATTTGCGCCAACAAATACTTGGTCAAGATGGCCGGAAAGGAAGGTTTCCACCTGCGCGTCCGCGCTCACCCCTACCACGTCGTCCGTATCAACAAGATGTTGTCTTGCGCTGGTGCCGATAGACTGCAGACTGGAATGCGTGGTGCCTGGGGCAAGCCCAACGGAACTGTTGCCCGTGTCAACATTGGTCAGATCATCTTGAGCGTCCGCACTCGTGATTCTAGTAAGTTCACCTATACCTACGACACTAAAGATAACGGCAGCTAACCAAACTCCGTAGACCGTGCCATCGCTCTCGAGGCTCTCCGACGATCCCAGTACAAGTTCCCTGGCCGACAAAAGATCATCATCTCCAAGAACTGGGGCTTCACTCCTCTCCGCCGTGACGAGTACCTCGAGAAGAAGGCTGCTGGCCGTGTCAAGGTCGACGGCGCTTACGTTCAGTTCCTTACCAACCACGGTAACCTCGAGTACAACATGAAGCGCTTCCCCGACGCCTTCTCTGAGGCTTAGATGGTTTAGTCATGACAAGGAAGCAAATCTGGGTTGAGGGGACAGGCGTATAATGGGTTACCATAGCACTGCTACAGGACAGTCAATTCGGATATTGCATTTGCACCACACAACTGTTCACTTCGATGACATTCGTTATAGGCTTCGTGAGGATGAGAATACTCAATTTGACCACGACGTCTAGCTCTGAGGTCGGCCTGCCGTAGATTTTCCCAGACAATTCTAGATGATTGCTTTCTAATGACTTGCTGAATTTTGGAACATATCCTATAAGCACCTGTGAAATAGCAGCAAGTCAATTTTGACTTGGCTGGGATCTTCTGACGATATTGAAGTTGCTTGGTCTTTTCGGTCACGTGTAGGAAATATGTACCAGGTGGTCGGCAGCACCACTTATGCAGATGATTCTTGGTTTGACAAAGGCATACATACGTAGGTACCTACCTGTCTATATTGCCACGGTAACCAGTGATGAGTTGGCTCTCGAGGTCATGACGACACATCAATGGGTCGGACTGAGATGGCCTTGCCTCCTTTCCGCCGAACGGATCGATCCTTCAGCTTCCTTTTTTTTCCTTCTTTTTTTTTCCAATATAATATAAACATAAGCGCTGTTTGAGCAGGATCCATACCTACCTACTAGGTACATAACATATATCATTCTCATAGTTCCCCCCTTCTATTTCGTTAGAAGTCGTGTATCATTGGCACAAACCTATACTAGGCAAGTATGTCTTTGTTCACGTTGTGATCTTATGATCAAGTAATTACCTAGTGATGATTTCTGTCGGCTTCTTTGGGCTAATATTAGTTGGCGTTGGTTGACTATAATACCTTGGATATGAGGTAGGAGTGACCGTCTTTTCCTTTCCCGACTTTTCATAGCCACAAACACCACTTACACATGCAGCATGTGTAGGTATCCTCTTACCTATCAGAAAATAATATCTTTTATGTAAGTTTATCAATATCCATTGCCGATTGATATTCCCGCAGGTACATAAAATTACATGTTCTTTTCCACCTCTAATGAACGTGTGCTGCCTTCTGTTCCCATGGTTCTGGAAGTTGATTTACAGTTTATGGCCGTTGGATAGGCCTGGTTGATAGACATGAGGCTGACATCGCTGTATGTGGCCTCCACCGCTTGCTTCGTAACACACACGTTGGTTGGGCGACTGTGTATTAATATCATACGTTGTGTAATATGCATGTCGTATTCACCAACGCCAGGAATGCATAGCAAGGCTAGATCGGTTGAAATGGGGTGGTGTTCTATAGTAAGTACATAATAATATGAGAATAACTTCCAATGAGCAGTTGAAGCCCAATGTTGGACCCCACTACGATAACACAGCCCGAGAAGGCCCGTAGCTTATCGATACGTACCCCTAAAAAGAGGGTCCGAGCAGTTAAGCAGTTGCGCTAAACTCAGCTGCCCGTGAGCAGCTACGATTCAACAAAGGAAACTAACTTAAAAATGAGGTAATAATTGAAGTACAAGATAAGATTGTACTGTGACTGATTGTACTGACTTCAAGACTCGACCCTTATATTATTTCCCGACCAACTCGGGGACTTTGGGGTATATTCGCAGATCTATGTGATACCCAACTATGGCCTCATGTTGGCCTAACTGACAGCTCGTTGGCTTCGAACTTCGTAACGGATTGGACGGTGTAATTGGCGGTGCACGTTGTCGGTGGCTGGCAACTCGATTTGCATGGGGTACATGGGGTAGAGGTAAAGGTACCTTAAGTGGGTTGAGTGAGGTAAGGATTTGCTGCGATTGCACAACCACCAAACGTCCCACGCGACTTGGAGATCATCGAACTGCAGGTGTGGTCCCCTTAAAAGGTTCTTACGTTCTTACCGCCGCCAATCGGACAGGTCACACCTGCGTCGTCTAGGTCGTCTGGGTAGTCTCACCCTAGTTTTCCCATGATTCTTCGTTGACTTTTCCATGTTTTCTCATGATCTTCCATCCCAAGTTCCTAACAAGTCGAGTCCGTCCACCTAACTGGAATAAGATTACAGGACCCTGCCTCGCTCTACGTGTAGCCTCTACTTGTCAATGATTTTTGCCCCTCCGTTGTCCCTCATTCTTGAAACCAAACATACGTAGCCTACATATCCCATATCCTACATATCCTACACGTCCTACCTTTCCGAAGACGCAGCAGGACGCAGTCATCCGATACATCGATACATTACCCTACATCACCTATATTTAACACACCCTTCGTCCCGAGACAAGAGCGGGTGCCATCTTGTTTCTGCTTACGACATCGACTGAACGGTGTGTCTTGCAGATCAGGACCGGAACATCATCGTGTAACTTGATCGTGTGTTATTTAAGGACTCCCGCTGGGACTACCCCCCAGTAGGGCAGCTTTCGTCATACATCCCCATTATCCTCCATATCCGTACCAAGTCCCAAGATGGCGTTCCAGCAACCTGCGCGCCAGGCCACTCAACGAGTCTTTCGGCCTACTCCAGAAGATGAAGAATCGCCCCATATTCCTCAGCCGACCCCTCAGGCTGTTGAAGACTCACAGACCTGGGTTCTCTTCTCACCCGCAACCGATGCTGCTACCTCCACGTCCTACTTAACTTCAACCCACAAGACCAATACTACCCCAGGCCGGTCGCGCGTGAGCGAGATTGGAAGTTTTGGCACGGTTGCGCAATCAAATGCTAGCGCCGACCGACAACAAACCGCAAGCCTTGTCGATGCAGCGGAGGGAGATGACGAAGATGATGCCGAGCTAGACAGTTTAGATAGTCATCTCCCCGAATTCCGCTCTACTCCTATCTTTTACGGTCCATCGCATGGCATCCCCTTTGCGACACCGGTTGTTCCTGCCCATGATGGCCTTGGTTCGTTCCGCTTGGAGCAGGAAGGCATGGGTACCGACGTACAAGATCGGCTCTACGCATTCGAACAGTACAACCCTCGCCGAATAAGGAGACGAGAAAGCTTAGATTTAGCTCAGGCCGAACTCGAGAATGAAAGAATCCAGGAATTGGACAAACGACAGAGAATAGAGAACTGGCGATTAGAGCAAAGTCGCTATCTCTTGGAAGAAATTCAAAAAGAAACCCGTAGAAGACGACGATCTCTCGCCAGCACAGTGCCTAATCCAGTAGAACAGAAGGCTGAAGATTTAGCCTCTTTGAGCGGAATAGGTGACATGTCCAAGGACGAAGCAGATCAATCCCAAACATGGCACGATCACGACGAAAACGAGCTAGAGGGAGAGAGCATATGGGGTCGGATCACCCGAAAAGTCATTCGTGACCTTATGGGAATTGACGATAAGCTACTCTCTGTACTGTTCGGCGAAGAACTACCGGACGAAGAGGATTTGTCAACAACGCCGAAGGTATCGGCGATGCCGACGTCGCAGCAGACAGATGCTGTTATGGAGGACGCAGCGGGTTCTGGATGGCAACTTAAGATGCTGGAACGAGTAGCTAAGGAGCTCGGCTCACTCATACATCGGCTTTCCGAGCATCCTGGAGCCTTCTCGACCTTTAGCCGAGTACAGCAGATGCCTCTTCCGTATGCTGGTCTGCCGTCTATACCCGAAGGTGTAAACGACACTTCAGTCAGTGCGAAGTTAAACGAATCCCATTTTACCATGCCCGAATTCCAACCAACAATACGTACACAACCCCAGCCTAAAGCACTTGATATCCCTAGTGCCGGTCACCCAGTCAAACCAGGCCAAGCAAACCCGCACGCGCAGTTAGAAAATTCCGGGGGTGATTTTACGCAGGACGAGTGGGAACAGGAGCTTGATGTAAGGCTAGTATTCCGGTACCTTCGGTCGCGTTTCATGTCACGATCAAGTAGCAGCGGTGGGGCGCCTGGGAATACCAGTCTCGCCTCATCAAGTATGCAAGATGCTGCTGCTAAGGCAGCGCGAGTACGGCAACACCATCCGCTAATGTCAAGGCCGCGCACTGTGGAAAGGCGTAGATCCAAGGCGACAGTACCTTCGAGTCCCGTATTATTTAAGCACGCTTCTAGCTGCGCTAGCCAAAGCACGCGAAGATCAGTAAGAAAGAGCAGTTGCTCATCTTCGCGCCATTATTGGGATATCGGTGGTTCTGTCGGAACAGGATCGATCATTGCCGCAGCAACTGGGCCTATGGGAAGTTGGGGCGAGGTTTAAGTGTGATGAGTTAAAGGGTGATCTAGTCCGAACGGGCAACGACGTGATGGGGGTGGTGTACATTATTTAGGCGTACGGTGTCTGACATATCCCGGGACATTTAACAAGGCGATTCAAATCGGACCAACTCATCTGCATACCAAATATTTCATATATCACATCTACATATACCACATATACCAATCCTCCTTAGAAATAAAAAACGGCCGATTCATCATAGCTTGCTCAAAAGTTCCGTGCTTCCATTGGCCAATCAAATATTGAAATTGAGTCATCTTTGGTAGTTTGGGACTCGACAATGTTAGATAGGCTGAATCATAAGAGTGACTCCGAGGTACATGCTCCTGTCTGGTTTTCACATTGTCTGCCTTCATGGATGGACGCCCTCTGGTTCGCGGGGTGGGCGTAAGCGTGAAGCTGCCTACTCCTTACGTACTAAGGTAGCATTGAGGCTTGCGTTCGTTTCTATGCAATTCGACCGGCCTTGCCTTTGGGATGGGCTTTCCGGTGAGGCGGTCGGATTTGAAAGAATAACCGGAAAGTCCCAAACTGAGAGGGGACTTGATTTTTTACATATTATTTGGTGGTGGATTCGGAGGAGGAACTCATGGCGATACTCCCCGCATCCCTTGTGAGTGCATTCCTCTTAACAGGGATCTCAGGAGGTTCCCATCCAATAAGCAACCTTCCGCTTCACCTGACGCGCGACGCTCGCGCCTTCGTCGGTGGCTCTCATTCGCTCTTTTCATTTTTTTGGGTCGACGCGTTAAGTGGGAAAGAGGTACAGCATGACATTACTTGACCCAAGGAAAGTACCCAATACGTATCTACGGTGCCCACTTTAGCAGAACCTCCAACAACCCAAAGGCTGCCTGAGTTGTCCAACTCCATCCCACTACATCTCTTTACTCTATCCCATGCTACGAACTACAACGACGGCTTCTCTTCGACCAACCTACCAACCCATGCATAATCGAGTCATATCTGTGCTTGTCTCACTGCGTCCAGTACATCTTACTTACATACACATACATAGTACAACACTATTCCTTGCTTGATTCCGTAAAACGATCTCCACAGCACCCGCATTGGCGTTCCTCTCCGTGTACTGTCGCCCTCCCTTCGCCCACCCCACCACCCATCAGCTTTGATCCAATCCTTGATCCAATCCTATCTGGACGCCTCACTTTCCTCGAACCTCGAACTTCGAACTTCGAACTTCGCTTTGTTTTTGAGGTTGTACGCATACTTTCAGCCGTTGCCTCTTGTATATAAATTGCAGTCCTCCCCCATCGCATGCCGCTGTTCCTCCTAGGACTCCTATACGGTTCGTATAGCCCCTACCTAAGGAGTTTGGATTCGCTGAAGTTGCGATAGCTTCCGCAGAACTTAGACTAATTCTAAGAAGCAGTGCCATGTACTAGATTTTCCGGATCGCGACCCAGCTGCGTCTGGCAGGGTCGCCTAGGATCCCAACGTCAACATCTCCATCGCCATCGAAAATAAATAGGGAGCTTCCCCCCATCAAACCACCCACCCGCTTCGTCTTCTTCATCCCCCCGATGCCCTTGACCGAGGAACGCTCAACCCAATGGCAGGACCAATCCCCGACTTTTCATTGCCAAACAGCTCTTTTTTTAACATTTATAATGACGCGACAGTGAAACCCAGTTCGAATTCGCCGAATCTCCCCAACGGGCAATGCAATTTTGTGGACTTATCTCATGGCGCCTCGGGACCTAAGTGTGGATGTCGTCGTTTCTGGAGTCGCAGCGGTTTAACAGCCAGGACAGACAGAAGAAGCTCAGCAGGAATCTCTCCAGGATATGCCAATGGATTCACCAATGGAAATGCCGGCGGCCTAACAGATGATGCTGCGTGGTGTATGTGTTCTCATCATGCTTGTTTCCATGATGATGTCCGCGACAGCCAACCTCCTCTTGCTATCGCCGCCAATAATGATGTCGTAAACAATGGCCAAGAAAATGAGCGGCCTAGAGCTAGTAGGGAGCCTCTTACACCAGTAATGCCGGAACTACCTTTCAAGATACCTGCGCCAACGGAACCTAACACAGACTTTTACACATTTAATGATGTCGCTTCTTTTACGAACCGCCTAGCGGATCAGGAGAATGCGCTGCGAGGTGAAGTCGCGGCGCCTGTGCAAGAACCCTCTATTCCTGATACATTGAGTTGGACCAACCTCGTCCAGTCTAACCCAGATGAAGCAGGCTTGCTTCCCCCAATTCCGAGTCAGTGCCTGATGTCTTCTCAGCCGAGCTCCACAACATCATCCGCCAGGATGGGATACCTTCGGCCGTTTAACGGGAAAGGACTTGGGACACTTAGTGGTGTCAGATCCAAGTTACGCGAGCCTCTGGAACCCGATGATGAAATACCACAGGAAGATGAAACTGTTGCTCCAAGTATGGGCCATTCCATGGATGATGGGCAGACAGTCGCAAATACGCCGAGGTCTACTGGACGTGGAGATGCGGTCGCAAGGCAGAGCCCGTCTCCTTCGGGACTTCATCAAGAGGAGTTTAGGCAATTGTCTGATACTGTTCATAGCCACGAACAGCGCTTGGATCGGCTTGAAAACCCATCCATCTCAGCCGCTGGTCACGATGCGTGTGATGAGAGACATGAACACAGCGACCTGAGAATCACCGAGCTCGAGTCGCGTGTCGAAGAAGTCGAGAAGATGATTAACGATAGCAGCAGTCAAATTTCAGGCCATCCACGACATCCAGGCATAAACGAATCTATAAAGAGTGTCGCGTCCGTTTCCACCGTAGGAAGCGAATCCGTAGCGAGCCGCGCAGAGTTATACAGCCAACTACAAGCTCTAAAGTCCCAACTAAGTCAACTACAAGGCCTCTCGTCGTTCCCTTCCTATAGCCGCCCATGGGAGGTTGAAGTCGTCTTCTTACCTTTCCCTCTCAAGAACGTGTGGGTGGAGTCCCACGACTTTGCGAGCCAGCCTCTTTCAAGCGGCATCAACGGTGAACCTGATCCGTGGACACAGCTGCCTAGCAGCTATTCCAATATGGATCCTCACTCGCCCGATTTTGGCGATTGGGCCGGCCCCGACTCCGAGTCTGAGTGGCTTTTCCCTCGGGCCTGCGCGCCCAATCGTACCATTGAGCAGCGGCTTAGGAGTCGGGGTCTTGTTAAGAACGTGACCGTCCGTAACCCAGACGCTAGAAGTGTCCATCAGGCCGTTTCTGACGCGTTCGGGACTTTGTTCAGGACCTTCTCTCGCATGCAAGCGAACGTCCATCATGGTTCGACCCAGCACCATCGTGTGGCTAAATTCCTTGGTCTACAGTCGCCATGGGTACCTCTTCGCAAAATTCATAAAGATGCGAGACTTCGTTTTCTCTCGCCGCCCGAGATGGTAACGCCAGTAATATGGGATGTCCCATTTCTACGTTCAAGCGTAGTCATGAAGGCAACTGGTGTTCAGCGTCTCTTCATCACTCATCCCGAGGCGTACTTACAAGATCAAGGGGCATATGATAATGGGTGGAATTGGCAACGCCTTCGCGAACTTAGTCGAGTTTACGCAGACTCCCAGAGCCAAAATAGTCAAGAGGTCCCTGAAGCAGACGCCATGGAAGACTGTTGGACATGGAACGATACCCTCGACGAGCATCCCGCAAGCGCCGTTAGCTCTCAGTCTCTCAGCCTTCGACAAGCAGCTCAACGCAATTGGCGGGCGACATCGATGTCGCCAGCCCATAGACTTCTTACTAGCATGACGGGCGCGTCGCGCGCGTCGCCCTCTCTCGGAACTAATCGTTCCGCTTCTCGCGCCAAATCCCCCGCAGTGCTTAGGGAACGTAAAGCCTCCAGGCCACCTCACATTCGCACCAGTTCTTTGCCTCCAACTGCGCAGTCTTTCGCATCACCAGCACTAATACCAGCAAAACGTCGAGTTACATCATACGTTCCTCAATTCGAACGACGCGCCTCGCCGCAGGTTCGCATTGGCCCTTCGATGGGACATATCACAGCCGTTGTGAAACGTCGTGGCACGCGGTCTCCTTCTGTGCGACCGCGAAACACGCCACGATGGAGTACGTCGTCGCCTAGCCCGATGCCTGAAAATTACCTGCATCGCGCCACCACACCATTTTATGCCACGCCGCATAGCAACGCTCCATTCTTCGAGGCGCGACCTGGTCGCGGTGGAGTTGTCGATGATGGTGAGAGTGGTAGTGGCACCGACCAGGATGGTCAAGGAGGCGAATATATGGACGAAGATGAAGAGGATGATTCGGAGAAGAACGACAGTCCTATGCTTGACTTCACCCACGTGGGGGAATCGCAAGAGTCCTGGCAAGATGGCCAACTGCTCGGCCCAGAAGACGAACCGTGGCCAGGCATTGAAGATGCAGAGAACCGCGATCCAGACGAGACGATCGATATCCACGTCGATGATGACGCCATGAGCGACGCTGAAGATCTCGAAAACAGAAGCCAGAGGTCAAGCGTTCCGAGCGAATATCCGAGCACCCACCGCGCATGGACAGGTGCCGAGGAGGCCTTCCGGGTCTATGAAGATGGCGATCCTATAGGAAACGGTTTGGGCGTTGGTAAATGATGTTAGATTGCTGCATTTTAGATTTCAGCGGATCGGTACTGGCGTATTATGATGTACGAGGCGAAATCTAGTGGAGTTTGCTGATGACGACGATACGGGGTACTGGCGTTTGGGGTTATATTGTTACCATATACCGTTGCCATTTAATTGCTTGATATTTTTTGTTTATTCGGGTCGGATATCTTGCTGTCATGGTCCTCGAGCCTCCACTATTTTCATTATGTTTACCCCAGATATCTTGTTTGTTTTTTTAAGTAACGTCGTCAACCGGCTCAACCCAAGGGTGTTACTACTGCTGCTGCTGCTTTCGTGATACAAAGGGACAGGGTCGAGACCAGGCGTTGGGCATTTATTAGCAGCCCTGAAGCGTTCCTTAGTTCTTGTTCACTTTGGCTGGGGTTTGTTATGTCCCGCGTTTCCCGCCTCGCGCGAGAAAGCGAAGAAAAGAAGAGAGGAATCAGGACACCTAAGGCAGCAACCGCGGGAATACTCCTCAAGGAGCGTAAAGGGGTGATATGTCCTACCACCCCCATTAAAATATGAAAATATTGCAAAAAGTTTGGGTCGAAGAGCATACATACGGTAGTTGTTTGGGACTAGATAGATATCCGGGGGAAAGGCGAGCGAACGGGACCTGGGGAGGGGATCTTGTTAGTTTAGGGTTCGGGTCTTCTCAACTCATTGTATACCTCACCTCCTGCGTGTCCTCTCCATACCGAACCGGCCTACTCGCACCTACTTACCTACCTAGGTAGATGGGTAAGTAGGTGGGCTTAGTAGGTATCCATAGCATAAGTAGATGAGAGAATATATGTGAAGGTTGTTTTGTGAATGAGGTCTTTTGCTCGGTTTGCTTTTGCTTTTTTGGCTTTGCTGTGGTCATGTGATGTGATTGGGTGTGTGCGTTAGGTATGTGCACTTCTTACCTGTAGTAGGTGTGAAGGAAGGGAGCTGTCACATATCATCTCAGGGTACGTGCTGTTTCAGGCAGCTGAGCTGGCTTAGCATGGTGCTTATATGCGTAGGTAGGTAGGTAGTTTTCGGTTACTACTTCGTATTGCGTGGTTGGGTTTCTACTTTAGGAGTCGGTAGATTTGGTAAAGCTCGTGGGCTTGGAAGTGTTGCTAGGTTATGTACTTATTTGGCTTAATTGCTCGGGGTACCGAGTGTTTCGTCAAAGGGATTATAGATCTTATTATTTGATTTGATGGGTTTTTTGTTACTCTTGTACATGGATGGCTTTGTTCGGCCGGAAGATTTTGAAGTTTCTCTTGTGTTGTTGCGCTATTGATTATGTAATCGGGGAATAGGAGAATTGAGTACGGGGTAGGTAAGTAGGTACCTGGTATTGATTTGGAATTTCTATGCTCTTTGGTGGCGATATGGGGTGACTTAGTAAATAGTTGCCAATAGTCTATATTAATAGGAAAAATTAGTGAGGTATTGCCAGCATCTCCGAATAAGACCTCCTTTCTAACCCCTCTTACTGACCGTTCCCCCCCATTGCCAGAACGTCTTGCTTAACTCCACCATATGTCCTGAAAAAGACTGTCCCCCTTCTCGAATGATTAGAATCTGACGTGATACCCCATACTATAGCAATGGACACAGCCAACACCAAGGATGCCAATATGGCAATCCCTATCTTTGTTGAGCTGCCAATGCGATCGTATATCAGTTGAGTAAAGACAGTTCTACCAGTGACTCTGTGCTCGATCTCGAGGACCATATGGCGTAGTCTCAGGATGTAGGCCCTCCAGATATCTCTCGCTGTCTTTCGTGGAGGCACGTATTCAGGCACGTCAAGCACATCCGTCGACGGAAGTTCCTCAAACATGACCCGGACCTCTTCTGCTTCGTCGGCTTCGATCCAGGCGGTGTTTCGGTCTATGAGTTCCAGTAATCGTTCTTTGTTGGGGGCCTCCGAACGTTCAACGAGGTCCCTGAGGGTTGTTTTAGGACCTGGAGGCAGTAGAGAAACCTTTTCGGTTTTCCAGTTTTCAGTTATTACCGAATACTCTCCCCTTGCACACCACCATCCGCCCTCAATTTTTACAAATAATGAAACAGGAAGATGAAAGTCTTCATAATGACAAACCCGTGGATTAGCCCCGGATTCTAACCACGGCTCACAGAATAACCAACCTTTTTCACGTGACAATGCACTTCCCTGCACGAGCATTCTAATATAATGGAGCCATGGCATAGTAGTGTGACATCCATATTTGGGTATCTGCACCCCGATGCCTCTGTCAAGTATATCAACACCGACGTATCCGTGCTTCAGAAGCACTTTTAGGATTGTCGGTTGTTCGGTAATGCCTATACCCATATACGTGAAAAGCAGGCAACTTAAAATTGCCACTGATGCTAGATGACCTCGCTTGGGTGTGCCACTTAGTCTTCCTAAGACCCAAGGCAATAACTTGGAGAACCCTACAGTGCAGACAGCTTCTAGCAAAGAAAAAGAGTCGGGGGCCCTAGAAAGGATATTTTTCCAGTCTGTCTTTGCCGTCCAGTAAGTATCTTCGATATGATCTAATTGCTGTATACACCAAGGTTCTTCAAGTACATTCATGTTCATGCGTTCAAGCATGTCGAGAATACTGATAACTTCCATACCAAAGTAGAGCCTGCTTATTATTTGTGGCATAGTGTAAATAAGAAGAATCTGACATATATACTTGCCCAGCTTTTTCTGGGTGACGTTATATGGGCGTAATTTCGTGGCGATGCATTCGTCTAGGACTTCGATGATTGAACGGTGGGTAAAAACGAGGCTTGGTGTCAAGCTAGACGCATGTTCAAGTAGCCCGTTGAAGCGAACGTCGACTTCAAGTAGCCCGTTGAAGCGAACGTCGACTTCTTCTGCTGTAAATATATCCCAGTTGACAGGCTCGCTCGGATCGGATAGCTGGAAATCAGATCCCGCCCGCTCTTGAAGCAGCTTGTTCCATAAATAGGACGCGTCCGTAGTACGTAGAGAAAACCATAAGTGAGGACTACTATAACGCGACGTTTCGCAAATATGGACAATGGCTAGTATAATGTATGATTCTCGTTGGTGCGGATACGGTATTGTATCGAGCATTTGTTTTAGAAAATCCATTAGTTCCGGGGGTTTGGAGTCGACAAGTTTCCATAGCTCGTATAGGCTGTTCCCTATATGCCTTCGTGTTTCACATATCATAAGCCAAACCCAAAGGAAGACGCCGTGGGCTGAACCGACGATATGCCTAATCAGGCAATCGAGATTACATTCGTGTGACCGTCCTTCACGTCGACAAATGTCTTGGGAATTTTGCTTGCAGGCATATTCCAGTTCTGAAAACCGGGAATGTTCCTTCAAGCGCCCAGCAACGAAAATCCGCATATCTTCCCTGGTGAGATCCTGCAGGCGAAATGAAAGGCTATGGGCGATGGATCTGAAAACATCGTACTCTCTGCTGGAAACACAGGCTTTGACCTTCCCGTCTGGCTGGGAAGTCCAGCCTTGAATGGTTTGCACCAGGTCGTCATAATCCTCAGCATTGTTTTCTTCGTCAAATTCGTCAAGGCCGTCGATAAGAATGAATATTTTACGTCGTTCTAAAACACGGGGATCTTTCATCAACAATTCACACGCTTTGGATATCTCGTCGTCGCTGAGGTATTCGTCAAGTGCTGTTTTGCATTCATGAATCCTGGGTAGAAGTATCTCCATGAGTTCAGGGGCTTGTTCCAGGGCAGATTTGAGCAGAGAGCGTCTCAGGTCTTGCAGCCCGTTCTGATGAGACCCAGACCTCCAAAAGAAGTATTTCATGCGAAGGAGCTGGGATCGCCCAGCCCACTGCTTCAGCATTTCTTTCGTTACTTCATGATTCCAAATGAATTTCATCAACGTTGATTTACCAGAGCCGGGTTTTCCAAGGACATGGAAAATATCTCTACCGGTCCGTAACCAATCGACGAACGACAATCTGAGATCTGGTTTAACTTTAAAGACCTTTTCCGGCTCATGGAAAATCCATTCGGAGGTATTTTCGTAAGTGGCATGCACTTCGTCGTATCTAGGATTCGATCTCATGCCGCCATTTCTATCGCCCAGTATCCGAAAGACGTGATTGAGTTCTCGCGCTGTTTGCGCCTGTCGACAGAGGTTCAAAGCTTGTTGCAGTTGATCGGGCACGTCATTAAGTGTGTTCAACTTCTGCTGAACGATGTTGAGTTGTTTTTTTAGGTCGTCGTTCTGAACCTGCTCTTCGTTGAGGGCTTTCTCGACCTTGATGATTTGGGACCTAGTTTCTAGTGTTAGTACATAGGAATGCATTGTTGTTTCACTGGCTATGGCTCTATTCTCCTTCCCCCGGGGAGGATGTAAAACAATAACTGTGGAAAGAGTGTAGATTGCAAGAAAAGGTCGGCTAGATATACAGACATGAACCAAACGTACCTTGCAGATGCCGTAAGAGCTAGATGTAGCGTTTGCTTGCGCTCTTCTAGACTGTCCTGGATAGCTTGAAGGTCGTCCTTGTTACGATATGTTCTTATGACCGCACCAAATGTGCTCCTTATAGAAGCGGGCTTTTTCGCTCGACATCGCTCTAATAGGGCATCAATATCCGACGAGAAATTTTGACACTCGCTGGCCACGTCTTGGATATTAGTATCTTCATTCTCAATCTCCCGTAACTTCCCATGACTGCTTCGAACATTGCCGAGGAAGACATCTAACTCTTTGGTGAGCTCAGATAACCGATCATACTCCTTTGGAAACCCTGTGGTCGAATCGTAGATGTCTTTCACCTTTTTGGCGCATTTTATTGTTCGTTCAGTTAGATCGAACACGTTGCAGACTAGAGATATTATTGTTACGGGTTCCATGATGGAATTCTGTAGTCCGAGTCAACAAGGAAACTGTATTGTCGGCGTGATAGCCGACCTTTCAATTCGAAGAGGGGTTGAGTGCAATTCTTATAGATTCTATTTCCTAAGCCACAGCCGCTGCGTTTACTGATCGAGGATGTGCATTTTCTTGGGGTTGTACATGGCTTTTACATGCAGCAAGGCATATTGCTCTCTCGTAGAAAACTGTGGCTGTGGACACGACGATTTGAGGCAATGCCTCGATAGGGATTGGATGGAACATATTTCCATTACGACTCTGCGAGCACCAAATATCGAGGTGATTAGACTACTGCTTATGTATCCGATCGGACAATCCAAAACTTCAAACCAAGCGCAATACCGCCAAAAATTTCCAAAAAGAATTGCCCATCACAGGAGTCGAACCTGTTGCCTCCTCATTTCGGGAAAGTACTTCTCGTATTACTGAAAAGGGCCTACTAGTGAGGCGCTCTACCGGTGAGCTAGACGGGCTGCTCCACGTAGAGAATGAAACTTGTTCGCGCTAAATTCATTTATCTAGTAGGTTCGCAAAATTCTAGCTAAGACCCACCCACCTTTTGAAGTTCGAAGGTAGCACTGCTAATGGGGCTTGGCTACACTACAATATTCACAAGGCATAACTTGCAGAAAGTTTTCTCATAGCCACAATAACCGACTCTAACGCAGCCCTCCCGATCTCAATTAGCTACGAATATAAAGCAGTATTAGTAACTCAAAATCAACGTAGTATTTAATCCATTACTGAATGGATGATGCCCTAGTATGTAAGTGTCTTTTGCCAATCTAGTCGTTGCTCGCGTGGTCGCGTCAGCTAATCTATTATACACCTGCAAGTGTCCCCCGTCCCCCTCCCCCCTTTTTTTCATCCATTTCACCCAGTTTTCTTTTGGTACTCCGTATCGACCCGAACGAGTAAACCATTCCCCCTTTCCTTGCTCCTAGACCCCCTCCCCCCGAGGATAAGAACGCCGGTAGAGAGAGAAAATAACGTTGAGAATGCGGATTCGTGAATCATTCGGTTCGCGAGAACCCTCGATCTGCGGAAATGATGATAGACATGCTACCCGGATAGATACTTCCAGTCTAGCTCGTTATTCGTGTCGTAAGTTTCGTTGCGCGCGTTTTGGACGTAAGAAATGCCGATTTCTGTTATCCGCCGCGATCCGGGAAGGGAAGGGGAAATCCCCGAACGTGCGTTATTGAATCGTTGAAGCAAAGTGCTGTGTTCTAGCTCGAAGGATAAGAGATATGCTAGTCGTTAAGTGTGCAAATGAAAATGCGAGATCCGAAGGAGATGTGTGAATGGACGCCATCGAATGCTATGTGGATACTTCCTATCCCCTATTTCCTTATTCCTTATTCCTTATTCAACCATGGGGATAACCTGTTTGCATAAGGATGTTGGACTAGATTTATATTCTAGTTTCGCAGACCTTAAGATAGACGCGCTCCGCTAGAGCGCGAGGTCTCGCCCGGACCTTCCTCTTCACCGTTGTCGGCGGTGGTGTTACTCTCGTCGAGAGATTCGAGAGAGGAGTACGGGTTCGCAGTTGCGGGTGGGCCCGTACTGAACGTGCGAGGAGGGGGTGCGATGGGTCCGAAAGGAGAACCGTAGGACACTGTGAACAAGATTTAGTTATCTGACACAAGAGAGGAAAGGGGGGCAATATGTGGAAAACGGCAACGTACCTAGCGGGTTTCTCATACCAGATGGCACACCTCGCGTCATACCACGACCAGTTCCCATGGGCTTCTGCTCAGACGAATGGTGCTCACCACCACGTCGCCAAGACGGGAGGCCGGGGGTCGTCGGGCTCGACGCCATTCCCGCACCATCACCTTTGCCCTCGACGAAGCCGATTCCCGCACCCACACCAGCAGACGAAGGTCCCGAACCTGCTCCAGCACCCGGTGCGCCACCGCGTGCCATGAAACGACTCGCATTCAACCCAGTCAACTCCTGGGTGCCATCTCCACCGGCACCCATACCGCCCACTCCGGCCGTAATTCCCAAACCGCTCATACCAGCACCACCAGCACCACCATTAGCCGCGCCCATGCCCAAGCCCAAGGTACTAGGCACAGCGGGACCGGGGCCCTCGCGCTGGCGCGACAGGTCGGCCTGGTGCTTCTTCCACCAGGCGGGGAAGCCGTGGAAGAGGCCGAGCGCGTGCTGCGTCACCTTGTCGAAGGGCATCTCGTGCTTGTACTTGCACCCTTGCTGCGTGAACGCGCACACGCCCTCGTGCACCCACTTGTCGCAGTAGACCTTGGGCCGGCGCTGGGGCTGTTGGCCTCCCGCTCCGCTACCCCCGCCGCTGCCGCTTCCGTTGTGGCCGTGGCCGTGGCCGTGACCGCCGCCGCCGTGAGCTCCCTGACCTCCCGAGGCGTTGCGTCCGCCGTGGCTATTGTTGCCGTTGCCGTTGCCGTTACCCACGCTGTTGTTGTTCGTGTTGTCGAATGATTGCGAGTACGACTGCGCGTGACCGTGAGGTCCTTGGCCTCCTGATCCGCCTGCACCGCCGCCTGTACCGGGAGTCGTGAGCGTGGTAGCACCCAAACCCAAGCCGCCGGTGCTTCCGGAGAGAGAGTGTTGGTGGTGCGGCGGAGTGGGGGGCGTGGATGCGACAATTGTGTCGATACGGGACTGTGAGGGCGGAGGATGCGTTAGCTTTCAGTTTGAAATATTCGCACCCTTGTACGTGTGATGATGTGCACACGTGTCTACCTCGTAGCACCTTACACTTGATATCTGGCGTACGACAAACATATTGACATCGTGTAGACGATTGGACAGTAAAAGGGGAATGTAGATATGAAAATGGGATTATGGGATAGCCTGACAGGTCAGATGACCGGAGTCCGGGCCAGGGGCCGCGTTTGCATCTTCCCAACATCGCGACTTCCTCCTTGGTCGTCGACGCTGGAAGGGAAACCGCGGAAATTTTTGACGTTCGATGAGGAAGGAGGGAAGACTTTCTAAAATTCTTTCGGGGTAGGTGCTTCGACAATGTTCCGTACTTACCTGGATAGTGTCCGAAGGCCCGCCTGGGGTGTTGGGAGGAGTCTGCGAGTTGTCAGTCGACTGGACCGGATCGAATAACGACGGATATGAGATGACTATGTGATCGTAGAGGAGCCATAACGGGACCGGGAGTCATGTAATAGTCATACTGATGATGCGTAATAGAAAGTTAGTAACGTACCTTAAGCATCACCATGTCGGTATTAGTCGAACGTCCGTTCTGAGGCAGTCCTCGTGGAAGCGGCAATACCATCATTCCCGCACAGCCCTGCTGCAGGGCAGGAACGTCCTTTAGGGGAGGCAACATGTCGGCAGGTACCAGACGCGTGTACTGGCCATTGCCACGGTCGAAGCAGTACGCATAAATACCGTCCAGCTGCATGTTAGGGAAGTACGTTCCCGTGGGCGAGGCAGTAGCTCCTTCCACCGCACCCACACCTGCCCCCATTCCCGCGCCCATACCCGCTCCGGCGTTGTGGTTAGTAGCAGCGGACATGAAGTCCAGCTGGTGCTGCGGAAAGTGCTCCGCGCGAGGGCTGAGGTAGGTAGGAGTTTGCTGCGTCTGCTGTCGTAAGACGCTTGCGGGGTGAGCGTTCATCGAGAGGGAGAGGGGAGGGGGGATGCTCTCGAACGCCGAGGCGTACTCGCCGCTGCTGCCGCGAGAAGAAGAAGAAGCGTAAGCCTGGTCGTCGGCGGCGCCGCCCTGCGAGCGCCAGTTAGAAGAGGCGAGGCCTCGCGAGGAGAGGGTCAGCTGCTGCTGCTGCTGCTGCATGTTAGATCGCATGACTTGAGACGGGAAGTGTGGTTGCGAGGGAGACTGCTGGGTCTGGTGCTGCTGTTGGATCGGGCTGCTGGTGCCACTGTTGTGGTCCGTAGCGAGCTTGTTTCGGCGTTCGTTGACGGACTGGAACGGGTTGCGGTCCATTTTATGCTGAGTCTTGGGAAGGGAAAAATTGGGGTTACAGTGTAAATCAACGGTCGACGTAATATCTACCAGTGCTGATTGCTGAGAAGGAGAGGAAGAATGGGTAACGGTGATGGAATCAGGTGAGGTATGGCGCGAAGTGTGGTGAGAAGTAGAGAGTGAAGGAGAGGCACCGGAAGAAGTATAAGACAAGTCGGAGGGAGACTTGGTGGGTGCTGTTCCGGAGGCAGGTGCGAAGGCAGGTGAAGAGGAAGAAGTTAGGTTTACAGTATCCATGTTGAAGGAGAAAAGAGAAGAGAAGAGAAGAAAAATAATTGGTAGTAGCGTTAAAGGAATGACTGCTGCATGAGCTTTGGCAATAAAATATCAAAGGAAGGTAGCTTGACGGCAAACGGACAAGAGACGGAAGGGAAAGGGACCACGAGCCGTATTATTTATACCGGCATGTGAACCGGACCAGCAACTGCGGGAGAGTGATACAAGATAGGATCTAAGGCGGTTGACTCTTAAATTAGGAGGGCCCCTGACGACGCTAAGTGACTAATCGATCAATCGAGCATAGGAAGGCACGGACAGGATCTCTAGGTAAGAAGAGAAAGAAGCAAGCCCTTTAAAAGGAGGACTGACCCTATTTCTTCCTGTCGGGCAAGCTTGTACCTACCACACCGCACCTACGCATGCCCTACGCACACATACACGCATTGCTATCGCAGCCGTTTGCTGAGAAACCTCAAATAAGGTTAGATGCATTCTACGGTTACCTGCAGCTCTGTCTTGTGTTTCCCACGTGACAAACGGCCTGTATACTGTTGGACAACAGACAAAACCCATTAGAAATGTCTTAGCTGTAAATCAAAGATGGGGGTAATCCTTTTAAATTCATATGGGTGCGTTGACTATCGATCTGTCCGTATCGTGCTAAGGTAGGGGAAGAGCTGACCATTAGCAGCAATAGCCGAATGCTATCCTTCCTCCCAAGCAAGCGGTGAAGTATCTATCTAGGTACTTAGGCAATCGGTCAGAGATGCAATGCACGAAGTCTGCGCACTCATTAGAGGTTTGCCACAAGCTTCGGCATTAGAAACGTTATCGCCCGGAAAGTCGTCTTAGCTGATTAAAAAGCAGATCTCGGAATGACCGAACATTGGGCTGCTCTCTGTTTTTGAGAGAATCGATTGCGAGCCTAAGTGAGATTTGAGAGCCGAAATCAATGCAAATTTTGTTCGTTGGATGCTTGGTGGAGCAAATTAAGCAGATTCCTCTCTCATCAGTAGGGAAAGGGGGAAGAATTGTCAAACCATTCAAAGGCTGGTTCCTGGCCGATGGCATGGTAGTTTGAGTCGATGTCAATACCTTTGGCGGGGGTATTGGCGAGGGTACGTTCGAGATTGGACGGGATAGGTTAGTCGAAGAGGGCAATATTCGACCGGGCATCGAAACTATACCATTAGGATTTAGGCGTATATCGGAAGGTAATGAGGTGTGATGAGGTTGGGGACGACGGGGCGGCGGTATCTGCGTCTGTGGCATCGTTTGGCCGAGTGGCAATGTTTTCATTGGCGCTGCCCTGGCTTGCGGAGTTGAGCCTACCGTCTGCATCATGTTGCGATGATCGCCCTGTGAAGGGTTGATGGCGTGTGTCGCTAGCTGTCTGGCCATTGTTAGGGCCTCGTTGTGCCCCGTTGCGGCGACGAAAGTGGAGCCCGGGGAAGGGGTTGCTGTTGCGGGTCCCGGCACTGGTATTGTTAACTCTGGTGGATCTTACTTGCTTGTTTGGCAAAGTCTCTGGGGGTGAAGTCTTCTGGTATGATTGTGCTGGTTCTGGGCGTTTACCTTTAGCCCTCTTGTTTCTTGATAGCACCCGCTCTTCTCCGTAAGCTCCGTCGTCATCGTCGTCATTATCAGGTTCGACGCCGGCATCGGTATATAGGTCATCTTCGACATCAACGTCGGACCCGACACCATCTAGTCCCGGGAGCTGCTTCTCTTTTAGAATCATAAAATCTTCATTGTCGTCGACGCGTCTGACGAAACTTACTTGGCCGTTGTTGTAGTCAACCCCCTAGAATATATTAGTCACTAGCTAAGAAATGGCCGGGTTATACAGAATCTCACCTTTGCACGTCGCCTAGCGCCGCGACCATATACCTCTTGCTTGGCGGCAACCTCTCGCTCGTGCTCCTCCTCGCGTAACTTAAGAATGTTTTCCCAAACGCTCGCGTCTGTCGCCGATGCGTTGTTACCGCCAGAATCGACATTGTCAGTTAATGAACCTGAATCGTTAGCCCAAACGCGCGCAACCGAGAATTGAGTCTCGGCAGACTCGTCGTCAGCATTTGTACTCTCCATCTGACTTCTATCGAGTAATTTGTCAACTGAATCCGAATCGTACGTGATCTTGACCTTGTCCTTATCGCTAAATAAAGATTCGGCACCTTGTTTCAAGATTGACTCCAAATCACGATTGCCATCGTCTTCGGTATCTAGAGTCTCAATGAGGGCATGATCGAGAGCCATCTTCTTTCTGCCCGCCTGCATGATATTCTCTTCGATGGTGTTCTTCGTTGTTAGTTGGAAACACAAGACCTTCTCTTTCTGGCCGATTCGGTGGGCTCGAGAGATAGCCTGGATATCTTGGTGTGGATTCCAATCTGGGTCATATATTATGACCGTATCTGCTGTGGCAAGATTGATACCAACACCTCCAGCACGAGTTGACAACAGCATCGCAAACATTGGCGAATCAGGAGCGTTGAAGGCATCGATCTGTCTCTGTTTCTTCAGAGCACTTAGACTACCGTCAATACGTCCATAGCGAAGGCCTAGCTCACGCAAAAAGTCTTCAAGGATGTCAAGGCAACCCAAGAACTGGCTGAATATTAGTACGCGATGACCTCGCTCTTTGAGTTTCGGAAGCATGATCTCTAGGAGCATGAGCTTTGGCGAAGCTTCAATTAGGTTCCGCCGCATCTGTTCTTCATCAACTTCCTTGTCTTCGATGTTCTGGTTAAAACAGAACGGATGGCAAAGACATTGGCGGAGATCTGCTATGATATTGCTCAAATTCTTGCGGTCAGCCGCCTTCATCTTGCCTTTGGAAACGATGGCCTTGATTAACTCGGGATTTCGAGCCATGATGGACTTTGATAACTTCTCCTGTAAGACCGTCATAGTCACAGGGACAATGACCTGGGCCATCGGCGGCAAGAACTTCAGGACTTGAAGTTTGGTACGCCGTAGGAAATGAGGACGAATTTCACGATGGAGCTTAGGAAGGTTCTCCTTGGTCAGCTCTCCATACTCAGCATCCAATTTCTCGGCGTCAAACTCCTCGTTGATGAACTGCAGAAGGTTGAATAGTTCTCTCTTGTTATTTTGTAGAGGAGTGCCTGTTGAGTATTAGCGAATTCATGCTGCTAGGTTCATGGTTCATTATTATCGTTTACCTGTTAGCAAGATCCTACAAGGGATGTTCAAGTCGACTAGCGTCTTGTAGAGCTGCGTCTCATCATTCTTGAGCCTCTGGCCTTCGTCCACAATCAAGCCTGCCCATTGAACGCCTTGGAATGTGCCCTTGATGGTACTTGCTGCTTCGAAGGACATGATGACGACATGCGCCTTCATTCCATCTTTGACCCCGTTAGGGAAAAGTTCATGTCTGTAGGCTAATTCTTGAGACGCTTTGCCGCCATGGTACGTTACGACCCTAAGCGAAGGGGCCCAATCCTTGAGTTCGCGGCGCCAGTTGGGGCATGTCGCATTTGGGACGACGATAAGGAATGGCCAGCACTTTGGTTTGTCTAGGGCGAGCGAGCTGACGAAAGAGACGATTTGAATTGTCTTGCCTAACCCCATCTCGTCTGCGAGAACTACGTTTACTTGCTGATGAAAATTGAAAAGGAGCCAATTAACACCTTCCATCTGATAGGACATCAGAGTGCGTCCTGCCTTGAGGCTTGCGGGTTGGGTCTGGAGTTCGCACTCTTTTTTGAAGTCGGACTTTCGATAGTCTAGAATGCGTTTCGCTATAGTGTTGTCGTTAGTTGAAGGAAAGTATTTTCCATTTAGAAAGTCTTCATAAGCGGCATAAAACGCAGTCCAACGACTCTCTGAGTCACGGGGAGGTGGATCATCCCAGACGGCTTCCTCGTAGCCGAGGCCTTGAAATTTTACGAATACCGAGACCACGTCTAAGATACCGACCAAATCCTTCTTTTTAGAGTTGGAGGTAAAGCCGCGTCGGTATTTCACGCCGAGGAAGACATCTGCCAACAACCATTCTTCCTCAACCGCGGACTCTGTCGTCATCTTCGGGAGATTGTTCTCTTCGCGCTTATGAAACGCGGTACGCATGGCCGAGGTAGCTACACCATAAATCCAAGCACCAGGCTTCCAACTGTCGTGGGCATGGGACCGCCCTTCCCACTTTACCAGATACTCAATCTCGTCACTGCCAAAGCCATCACTTGTCTGGCCATCCAGGTAGCTGCTCTGGTCGGCGGGTCGCCAGGCAACCAATGCGTGGATCTTGTACTTAGCTTCCAAGCAGTCTTTGCATTTCCATCCCTCAAGCGAGTATTCCTGGATACGATCATATCGGATATTCTCGCTGCTAACATGTCCGGGGGATATCGGAGGCAGATGCTCAAAGTGGTAACCACGCTTGCAAGTCGAGCATCGGAACAATATGTTGCCAGCGTTGTTAACTAGATTGGGCTGAACATATGTGATCGGGTCCTCTCCCCCGTTGTCAAGTCTGGCTTTCTCTTCTTGCTTCGGGGTTTTCTTCGTTGAGAACTCCGGACATGAGACACCGGGAATCTTGCAAGTTTGGCACATTGAATAATTTGGGGCCCGCTTATCCTTCTGGGATGACCTAATGCAGAATCTGCATTGTAGGACGAACTGATTCGCGCCGACTTTGGTAACTCTATGATCACGTTGAGATCTATTGCCGATGCATGATTTATGGTACGAGTAAGAACATCCCTGACATGGGATAAGGGGTCCTTTTCCCTGGCTCGCCATAGTGCCGCATGTTTCGCACACATTTGAATGGACTTCCCCTAGCCCAGATTCCTCAGAGACCTCATTGAAGGTCTCCTTGATCGCCGCAATCTTAGGTACGTATGATGCATAGTCTTCCGCTGCGTCATAATCTTCGTCAATCTCGGGATCTCGCATACTCTTTGAGGCTCTGTTTGATCTTTTGGATCTACGGGTCTCAAACTCGATCTCCGAGTCGCTATCGAAGCGTTTAGTAGACTTATACGGTACCTTAGGTTTTCGCCTCTTGTTTGATGAGGTTCTCTTCGCGCCGCCAATATCGGAGCGAACGATTGGAATAAACTCATCATCGTCATCATCATCGTCATCCCGATTAGTGATGGGACCACTCTGCGCTAACTCATCCTCGGAGTCATCTTGAACTTGATGGCTTCGAATTATGGGATTCTTAGACCTGGTAATTCTTCCCGTGGAGAGGCCAACAAAGCCGGAATGGTGCTTCTTAGAGCCCGACCCAGCCTCCTCCATATCGTCATTGGAATCCGCGTTTTCCCATTCGTATTCAGCACCGTTGATTTGGCCATTGCCCATTGATGCTCGCTCAGATCCACGTTCTGACGTCCGGGTCGATGAATGTCGAGTACCTTTACGGTCAGGTTGGGTCGGCGGCTTTTGCCTTTTCTTACGGCGACGATCGGTACCTGATGAGTCATAGTACTCATCGTCGGAATGGGGGCGTTTGCTAATGGATCTAGATGGAACTGTGTTCACACCAGATCTTTGCTGCTGGAACTCTTCTGCGGCACGAGGGCCGTTCTGCAGTTGCAGTATGTCGTCATAAGCAACCTGTTCGAAAACGATTTGTTAGTAAAGAAAAAGACCAGATGTCTTGAGATAAATGAGGGAAGGCAAAATATGTTAATTTGTAGTGGTGGCGAATTGATGGTGTATTTCGATTATTACGCGCCCGCGTCGAGTAAGGACATTATTAGGAGTGTGAATTAAGGATCTCGCTCAAATGAGATGAGACCAGGGCCATATACAATTTATACAATGGGCAACATACCATCTTGTTCAAGCTGCTTCGAGAGGGTTAAGATAGCACTCGATATCTTAAAGAAACAACCAAAGTAGGTCGCTCGAGGTACGATAGAAGGAATTTAATGATGGAGATTATGTGATAGAAGTTTGATGGCGTGGATTTGAGAGTATGTAGGTAAAAAGAAGGGAGACATGAACGAGTAGAGTAGTTGCGATGAGTATTGGATAAATGTGGATGGGGATATGGTTAGGTGTTGGAAACAGGAAAATTGTTGTATGTGGAGGGAGTGAGAGGTAAGAATCGTTACAGAAAACGAATGATGAGGTGAGAGCAAATGACAAGAGTATGTGAGATATGCCTATAAAGATGACTACTTCATCGATCTCGGCAAGCACATTTGAACCCGCCAAGATAGAAGAGAATCTTTGGGGGGAGGCAGACGAGGGCGCTGAGTGTGCTGATCTCAGGGGTTGAGTTGTTGAATGGGTAACACAGGGCTGCCTGTGTTATTCAATATTCACAGACGTTGGTATTTGCCAGGGCGAATAGGACCCAGCAAGAACAGAGAAGGGGGAGGCAATATGTGCGCCCTTAGCCTCACTGGTACGACTTGTATGCAATATCGTCGCAGATCCATGCGATTATATATGTCGTCAGAGCGGTACGATTCGTGCATGAATGAGGGAGGACGTAGAAAATACGTAGCCATCTCAACTTCCTCAGGATAAAGGTATGGAGTGGCAATAGAACAGCTCTTGTGAAGAAGGATGAGCTAGGAGATCACCCACCTCTTCTATGTAGCCATCATCGAACTCGACGCTATAAAAGACTTCGTCTTCTACTTCTTTCTCGCCGAGGACCCTCTCAACAGACTGATTAGGCTCGATTCGTTCGTACTCAGTCGGATCTGGTGGAGGTCTCAGGACGACTTGAATTGGATATTGTTTAGACTTCGGCAGAGGTTGGCTCCTTGAGCTCCGTGAACGACGTCTATGGCTCCTGAATGAGCCATCCATGTCGTCCTCATAGGAGGACGAATCATCGTAGCAGAGCCTGTGTAGCTCTCCCATATTGACGCTGTCTTCGTCTTCCAAGCTATCCACCTAATTCCCAATATAAGCATTTATAGGTCTGTAAACAGAGAAGGTAAAAGCATGTCAACGTTGCACAGTGGTGCTTAATGCGACGAAAGGTTGGGGTATCGATCTGGTTCCTACCGAGTTAGCAATTGTCCAAGTGCCGAAGGTGCGAGTGATGCGAAAGATGCGATACCTATGCGCAATTAAGGAAATTCGGCGAGGTACTAAGTAAAGGTAAATTGTGAAGTGCCATAACAGCACTTCCTATGTACACTGAAGAAGACGACGATAACGACACCAAAAAAAAGACAGAAAGTTGAATGTATAATTTACCGGATTTACCTTTGTGACGTTCGTTGATTAAGAAACACGCGATAGAAATTAACTTCACGCGTTCCGTTAATAGATCCATGTACCCTGGTATCTAGCTTACCCAACCCCGCTAACCTTGTACATATGTATATAAGTATCCCGGTCCAGGCGAAGGAGATCTAATCTTCTTTGGTGTTAGCGCTATTTCATCACGTAGTGTAGTGCCAAGACAACAAGGGTCTTGGATAAGATAATCGATAAGCCCTAGCGCCCCGATATAACGTAAATATCTACTTAGAGACTCAGAAAATTTCCTTAGCTTTAAATATATTTGCCATCGTTTATATTCGACTAGAAGTTTTCTCATACTTCTCTCTAGTCAATGGCTAGAATATGCGATGATTTCCTTCAATTCTTCGTGTTTACGAAGTAGACCTCATATATTACTTAGAAGCCAGGTTTCACTCACACCTGTCAATGTTCTCTCTAGGTCTTCTTCCCTCTCCGCAATCCATCGCGGACTGCGCAAATCAGAGAAATCTAGACCCCAGGGTTTCGATCCGTTTTCCTCGAGGTCTGTAGGGTCAAGGAATCCCCCGAAGCGACCAGATTTCAAAATCACAAAGGGCAAAAAAGATATCACATACGACGGACCAGGACCAAAGTCGAGAAAGGCACGTTTCCATGACCCAGATGAACCTTTTGGAAAGAAGAGTCTAGTGTACCAGCTAAAAGCCGCCACGAAGCCAGGGGGGAAATGGTCCGCCGGAGGAGGGAGTGACAGGATGTCACCCGATCAATTCATGAAAGATTTTCATGGGGGCTCGGCGCGATCATCGCGGCCATCATCCTTTTCGAACGCGAGAGATAGCCGAACGGTTCGTAACTCTTCTCGGACGAGACAGTCCAGAGAACGAGAGAAACCATGGTCACTGTCGCGCCCTGCTGATTCTCCTCGGACGGGGCAATCACAACAACGAGAGAGACCATGGTCATCGTCGCGCCCTTCCCGTTCTCCTGAGGCCCCGAGCACGTTTAGCGGGAGAGACTCAACTAAGTCAACGTTCGACAAGAAGTTTAACAAGCCATATGAGCAGAGAGATTTCGCTAAATCAGCACCCGACAGGAATTTTGACCAGCCATTCGATAAGCCATTTGGCAAGTCCTTTGAGAAAAGAGATTCGATTAGGATGAGGAGCCCAGATAGGCCAACTCATAATAGATGGGCTAGTCGAGAAGACCAAGGGGAAAAGGAAGAGCGCAATTATCAGCCTTCAAGAGGGCAGGCAGTTGGCCAGATTGAATTGAAAGATCACGATAAAGGCCCTATCCGCATTCCTCGTACCACCGCAGCATCTCAGTTTCTATATGGCAGGTCTGTAGTTGAACCTGCACTGAAGCAAACGACACGAAAACTTTATAAACTCTATCTCTATTTTGGTGAGAATCGTCAAGACGACACTCTGAACATTGGCCTTCAAAGAAAGGCGAAGACAGCCGGTATTCCTGTCGTAGAAGTAATAGATTCTCATGGATTACGGAGGATGGATAAGATGAGTGAGGGTCGACCACACAATGGCTGTGTTCTCGAAGCGTCTCCGTTACCTCAGCTGCCGGTCAAGCACCTAGGCTCATTCTCAGAGGAGGAGAAAGGATTCCTTGTCACGCTAGGTCATCAATCTGTCGAAGAAGCTCAAATCAACGGAACCGACAATTTCATCAAGTGCAATCTCCCGCCCAATAGGAATCCATTCGTTCTATTATTGGACCGAATACAAGATCCAGGAAATTTGGGTTCTATCTTACGGACAGCAGCATTCTTAGGTGTCGATGCTGTCGGGATCACCAAAGGCTACTCAGCCACTTTGAACTCTATAGCCTCGAAGGCGTCAGCTGGTGCTTCCGAACGTATCAAGCTATTCTCTGTCGATTCTATCCTTGATTTCCTGACCAGTTCTAAAGCAGAAGATTGGGCTGTCTATGCTGCCGTAGCGCCGACTGATCGGCCTAGGGGAGGTCAACATCTTACGCTAGACAGATTGGAGATGTACGATCCATTGTCGACTACCCCCACGATTCTAGTAGTCGGGAGCGAGGGCGAAGGACTCTCAAAAGACACGCGGCGTTTAGCAGATTTCGAGGTGTCGATTCCAAACCAATTCAGTTCTTCTGTTGTGGACAGCCTCAACGTTAGCGTGGCAACAGGCGTTCTTTGCTCAGCTTTTCTAAAGAACCAATATTCCGGATCGAAATGGAAAGTAATCGAACCCAAGGAAAACGAAACGGGATCGGAATCGGAATCTTTGTGGTGATAGACCACGGAATTGTACTTATATAACGTCACGGAAATGGTACCCGATGCCCACGAGACTTGTGTACAGCCACCTGGTTAAACGTGATGGAAATGTATTTTAGAAGACACCAGTCCAATCTCATGAGTTATCCGATCGCCAATACGTCTTATGAAGGACGATCGGTTTAACCATATTCGGGCTATCCCTTAAAATCTATCCACATAGATTTGGGTGGAGTGGTGTTCATGCTCCACTCCCAAAATAAAAATTCTAACGCATCCGTGCATACATATATATTATCCGATTATTTGAATATTTGCCCCGATAAATTAATGAAAATATGTAGATGTTTCCACTTTTACTTATCTCCGATCATTTAAGGTTAAACTCAAGTTTAAATTTGTGTATATAACATTTTCTTTTAAACCCCTTCAATGACATCGTTTTATATATACAACTTAACTTGTTCTACCATGTTTGTTTATTTTAAATAAGATCTTCATAATTCTCAAGAACAGCCGTTCAATCAACCATCTCCAAATTTGATAGTCGCAATTACATTGGCTCACTAACATGCGTTCAAGACCTCCTACATAAGCCAAGCCAAGCCACCCCGTATCCCTTTACGAAATTACCCTCTGATCTTATTTGCGGCTGTCTGTATACATCACAATGATGACACTTGCATTCAGGGAATAATACATGGCACTAGGTACTCAAATCACCGGCACGCTTGGTACAAAATCTCGAGCCTGAAAGGCATGGCCTCTATGCAGCTGCCGCTGTAATATGATCAATATGGAGAGTCCGTATGACGACCCTAATTGAAACTTCGACGCTGTGTTTTCGAGAGCTCGGTTGCTTCATGTCTAGCTATGGCAATCCAGATTCAACTACCATTGTCGAAGTACCTAGGTGCCGAGAGCGGATACAGAAGGTAGACGAGTCGCCGAACAAGCAGCAGCCAAATGCAAGTAACAAGGCCTCCTATCATATTATAACCTGCACAGTGTGATAACCACACTTGTGGTTATGGTGTTTACTTACTATTTGAGGTTTAGGTACCTGCGACCTTCCCGTCCGGAACTTATCCGCGCTTTCGCCCTGATGATCTCGTCCATGCAGCCGAGCCTCTTGCTACATACCCTTTATTCAAGCTATCCATGAGCTTATATGACACAGCTAAGTACATATAAGGTTGGGTTCGAATCCTACCAATTCTGTGGCACGTTGCATCTCGATATGATGAGGCTTTCGGCATTGGGCTAACTGCAACTCGGAAGTGGGCTACTACACTCAACCCTGTTCGTACGCAGTTGGACGGGTACCAATATACCTAGGTATACACTGACACCGGGGACACTCAACTACACTATAGCGTAGCACGGTTCTTCGGAGAATATCAACGCTCCGGAATTGTGGACGATTAGTATTACGCCTCAGCACCCAGGCGTTGCGCTGCCGAAATATTCTATCAATCGGGACTTATGGACAAAAGAGCGAAAATCCTATTCCATAAACACAATACGATCACAGACATGCTGCATGGCATTCGGTGTGCAACCATACACGCAACGAAGCACAGCGCCTATACTTCTCAATTCAGCTCTGGAAACTGAAAGTTCGAACCGTGCAGCATGTTCCTCGGTTCATTTACACCTTCCACCAAGCTCTATTCGGCCCATTTCAGTTTAGAATGACAAAGCCTGGGATGTTCCACTCGCCAGACATATCTATAAGCATTAAGGATTCGTCATAGATCCTTCTTTTCCTAGAATCACAACACGTTCATTATTTGCCTGCGGCGCGAGGATTTCCCGGCAGTAAGATCAAGATTAAGGCCCGCGAGTGCAAGCGACTTGATGTGCCAACCCCCACGGTCTGTTCAATTTTAATGCAAATGCAATGTAGGTACAATGCATTGCCGACTCTGTCTCGTACTTATTACTACGCAATATGTAAGTCGACATGCTGCAAAGCTACCTAAATTCATACTATCAAATAGTCTACGTCTGTCTCAACTGCTCAGCGGCGTCTGATCTCGTTTGGAGAGCCCGAAATCCGAGAATCCAACACTCCTCAACACTGCTAGAATAAGACCTTGTCCGTCACGATCAAGAGCACAAATCGATCCAAATTCAATTCTTTAACAAGAACTATATACCTCACCTGATGAGAGTCTAAGGAGACAGTAACAGAAACACTGGTGTACCTGACTTCATATTAGGATGATTAGTCATGTGAACATTACCTCCAGCGCCCCTATAAGACATCACTTTATCTTGTACAACAGCCGATGTCGATATTCTACTACTCCAACATGAGGTATCCCAAAGTGGCAGGTCCTCAGAGGATATATGGACAACTTCTAGCTTCTCGCGCTCAGGCCGGTACAAATTGGTGGCTGACACCTTGGCTGTAACCGGCTAGGACCTCGCACTCGGGCGAAAGGGGCAGGCCTGGTAGATGTGTGAGATTCGAACTTTCTATCGGCACCTATATGCGCCGTTCATGGCTTGAGGCTGGTTCATCAACAGATTTGCAATGTTACCGCCGCGGTGTAAGATGCACATCAGTCAAGGACGCGATGATGACCTCATACCCTCAGGTGCAATTTGAACCATACACGATCGGCCACGCCTTGCTGACAGCTCAGTCTTGGAAGGGAGCCACGAGGCCAGCTAGAAAATGCATATAAAGCTGCGGGCAACCCTAACATTCGGACCTAGCCTCATGCGTGATTAGATTGCGGGGTAGCACGGCATATAATAGTAGCTCCTCAAGGGTAGGGCAGCGGGTCGCCTAGACTCTTACCGACAGTTAGGTCCTCTCCGTCATCCCGAAGCGACCTTGGCGGCTAGGCCTGGCAACTCTTGCACGGGCAGGAAGGAACATAAGGCAGCCCAACAGAACGGCGTGTAATCGGCGGAAATTTCACGCGAAAGGCCTGGCCGTGGCCCAGCAAGAGCGATGGTAGGATGGATCATGAAAATGCTTGGACGCGCGGCGCCAATGCGACGCTAGGATCCCATGATCGGCCTGTAAAAACGATTTTTTTCACCTCATGTGCGGTACCTAACCCACCTTTTCCGGAAGATATTGACGTTATCCCCGGATTATCGTGAGCTGGAGAAGTTCCTACGCTAGCGGGAAAGCCTGCAGAGGTGAAAATAAGATTGCTGGATCTTCGGGCACGTGAGGTTACTTGGGGGGTGCTTGGGGTAAAGGTCACAGTCTTACAGTCCTAGTCCTCTCTTCCCCCGCGCTCACCACCCTAGCCAGCCAATGCGTCACCGCCGGATGTGTGCAATCGATTTTATTCGCAGGCGCGTGCGTTGTAAGCAGGTTCCTTCAGTTCCTCACGGACTATGTGCGACCCGACAACGACGCGGTGTTACGAAGTGGCGGTAACGAACACTGCCTAGGTCTAACATGAAAATTGACAGAACGGCCCGTTGTCACCAGCGACTACCTAGTTGCGAGGCCACAGCAGAAGATGTCTATTACTAAAGCGTTATTCAGGAAACCACCATTATAAAGGTCTGACTCTCTTTGTCTCGGCCGTCGATCCCCCCACACGCTAGCTGGGTTGGGGTTCGCAAGATCTTGAAAGAAATTTACCAGAAATTTACTAGGCTTTCCTCCACAAAGACCCAAGGGGAGGAGATTATACCGGTAGGGTGGTCTATTGCCTCTAGTATTCGATCATTGACGTCTTGGGTTGCTCGAGTACCTAACTACACCGACTATCGATCCCTTTTCTTTTGCGTGATGCAATATCCAAGCAGCCAATTATCATTGACGTAAGGGGCCACGGAGTCCCCATCAGCTCAAGTGACAACAAAGATCGTAAACAACTCCAAACGCAAGACACGAGATCTCATATTAGCCAATTAGAGGGGAGGCATAACACGGTATAGAGATTTGTTAATGACACTGTCCCGTGCCAAGTTAAGCTTGTTAGTTTCCCCAGACTTGGAGACTTCCCGTCCGAAGGAGGCTTGAAAGCCGGGAATAGCGGCAGCTACTTTCGTTCGTCCTTGACTTAGCTGGTTGCGAAGCGCCGTAGCCTCGAGCTGCCGAGGCACCACGCTCAGGTAGTTGAAAGCTCCGGCCCACGTTACCCCGACCGCGCGATGTCAAAATACACATGTGAGCTTACTTGGCCGGGAAGATGCAGCTACGCGATGAAGAAGTTTTTCTGAGCCGTAACTCTCGAGGAACACTAGACAACACTATGCATGTCTCTCCTTGGCGGACTTAGCTGAGCGGATACAAGGAACGGCTTGTTATTTTTGAGCCAAAGCGAACCTAATGAACCATGTCCGTTCATCTCGAAAAACCCAAACTAGCCGATTTGACAATTACGACCATCCCGAATAGGAAACAGCATCGAAGAATAGCAGAACCTACGCTCTGATGTTCGAGAGACCATTGAAGTTAATGGTTTTCTAGCATCAATAAGCTTCCCGGACCTGCATCGTGGCAGCACCGTAGCTTGACGTGGCGGCGTAACACACATTTGTCTTCCCTCAGTCCTACCCGGGTATCTTTAAACATGCTTAACATTTTCACATTTTCGTGCTCGAATACGAGGAGGTGAGGATTCACAATGGCTTGCAAAGATATCAGATCTGCAGGCAAAATTGCTCGACATCGAGTTCACGATCTATACAAACCCTTCCCCGACCTGATGGATTCACCATCCCCTATTGAGAAGCTCATCTAGTCCACCCGCAGAAAATCGACGGCTCTAGACGGCTGATGGGGTCCGTTCACGATGATGCATGTCATCCATCCAATGTGCTGCCCTCAACATGTCTTTTGATGACTCGCAGATCTCCTTCCTCATGCGGGTGAGACCTGTTGCCCTACCGGCACATTCCGGGCTAATTCGACGACAAGCAAGACAAGGTAAACAGGACTTCTCTCCACAGAATCCCATTCCGCGGTAACCTGATTTCCCGTTCTCGTCACAGCTTTTCCCAAGTTTTTACCTGAGTTTATACAGTATGCTTTACGGTGCTGGTTAATATCCCTGTTTCCTACATACGGTCTTTTTATTATTCCAACTACCTGGTTTTCCGCGTGCCAGGTACCCTTTGTGCTAGACCTCGGACCCCTTGGCTCGTGACCTGCAGGATAGTTTCCTGATGCCAACGGCTAGTATTGTCGTCACAAAGGCCGAACCCCCAATAGCTTCATGCCTCTCTCAAAGATCATACCGTTAGCAAATATGACTACACCTGTATCCCAAGCTAGACACAACGTAGTTTTTATGTGAGGTAGGCCAAGAGTGAAAGAATAAGAGCACACACAGCCTAGGTGGTGACCTGATCATGCCTCTCAGCGTACGCTCAGTCCCATGACTACTTTCTTTTCTCTCTTTTCTTTCTATCCCTAGCCTTCCTGTGCTTAAGCCCCCCCTCCCCATCACCCTGTCCGCATTGTACTTCCACACGGTTGCGAAACCTTCCTCATTCGTCGACCCATCTGATCTTGCTAGCCTATACGCGCTGAGATCCTAGATTGGCTTGCATAGTTTGTACAAAGATATGTAGGTGACTCGGAATCTTATTCAAATATCTACCCTCGTCCCGACCTCCTCCACCCCTTTCGTCATGCCTCTTCCATGTTTATCCCGCCCTCATACCATCGACTGTGCCCTTTAAGTTTCCGAAACATCGGAGCTTATCCATTCCATCGTCCCTTATACACCCCTCCCCTTCCAACCTTCTCGAGCTCTTCAAACTTCTAGTTCACTTCATTTATACTTCATCATCCGTGATGGGGCTCAGAAGTGCGCTGGTGGCCGGGGTGGCCTTTGGCAGTAGCTTAGTCCATGCCGCGTCAAGCTTTAGTCCTGCAAGACCACCTGCTATCCCCTTAGCTGTCAAAGGGCCGTACCTTAACTCGTGGTTAGACGTCGGCAGTGATGGTGGGGACGGAGGCTATCTTGCCGGCCAGTGGCCGGTGTTCTGGAGGTTGGTTATTTGTCGTTCTCCTGAGAAGTGATCAATTTGACGAGCTGACAATGTTACATAGCCAGCAAGTCACGGGCTGGGCAGGCTTCATCCGCGTAGATGGAACGGCATACAACTGGCTGGGCGCACCGCCCGGTGCAGACACGGTGAACCAGACTGAATTCTCTTACACATCGACACGAAGCTCATTCGTGATGAGCGTGGGCGGAAAAGTTGAGATGAACATCACGTTTTTAACACCCGTGACGCCAAACGACTTAAAACGACAATCTCTAGTCTTCTCTTACCTCGAAGTTGCCGTTAGCTCATTGGACGGCGCCAGCCACGATGTTCAATTGTACGCGGACGTCTCAGCAGGTAGGTTACGCGAATCCCTATCTCGTGATTGATTCGTTGTACTCACCCTCTCACAGAATGGGCTTCCGGTGATTTGAATGCCATCATCGAGTGGGATCATAACTCAGCCGATGGAGTCGCATACCATCAATTTGCCCGTCAGGACCAAGAACCTATTTCCGAGACGAACCAGCAGCCCAATTGGGGTACCTGGTTCTGGTCGACCAAGGACGTCGACGGTGTAAGTCGGCAAAATGGCATTTCTTTTGAGCAAAACTAACGTAATTACATAGCTTACATGGCAGAGTGGCGAGGATACTGTTGTGAGAGGCGCGTTTATTGACAATGGTGTTCTTCCAAACACAAAGGACTCCAATTACAGAGCCGTAACGAACAATTGGTAGGTCGCTATGAAACCCACTAACCGAAATTAATTTGCCTTGTTCATGCACGCTCATTCCACCCACAGGCCGGTTTTCGGTTTCGCCAATGACCTTGGTTCAGTCGGGTCCGACGCTGTTTCGACGTTGTACTCGATTGGTATGACCCAGGACGGTGCAATTAACCTGCTCGGCGAGGGAAGTAACCTCACGACTTACCCTGCCTTGTGGAACAGTTATTTCGGCTCTGATATCGATGCTGTAAGTTTTTATCGCTCGGTCCGTATGAGTGGACATCCGGCCTAACAGTGATCTATAGATGACCTGGTTTTATAACGATTATGAGGAGTCCTCAAGCATAGCTACAGATCTGGATAACCAGGTGGCTTCGGATTCGATAGCTGCGGCAGGACAAAATTATTTGACCTTGACTAGTCTAAGTGTCAGGCAGACTTTCGGCGCTCTGCAATTCACCGGGACGGACTCGGATCCCCTTGTATTCCTCAAGGAGATCAGCTCCAACAGTGACATTCAGACTGTGGACGTCATCTTCCCCGCCATGCCGCTGATCTTATACATGAACCCCGCCATCCTCAAGTACATGCTGGAGCCGCTGTACCTGAACCAGGAGAACGGCCACTACCCCAACACTAACGCCATTCACGATCTCGGAACCTTCCCCGTTGCTAAGGGTTACCCCGACGGCTCTGACGAGCCCATGCCGCTGGAAGAGTGCGGCAACATGATCATCATGACTCTAGCGTACGCGCAAAAGACGGGCGACAATGACTACCTCACTCAGCACTACCCCATCCTAAAGCAGTGGGCTGGCTATCTGGTCGACGAGGCGTTGATTCCCGCAGACCAGATCTCGACGGATGACTTTGCGGGCTCGCTAGCTAACCAGACGAACTTAGCGATAAAGGGTATTATTGGACTACGAGCCATGTCCGAGATTTCCAGCCTGACGGGTAACACCGATGATGCAAGCTCGTATCTCAACACGTCGACATCTTACATCTCGCAATGGCAGGGCTTCGGACTAAACACGGCGGCCGACCCGCCTCATGCAACTCTAAGCTATGGAGACAATGACTCGCATGGATTACTCTACAACTTATACTCTAACTCTCTACTTAACTTTGGGGACTTCGTACCGCAATCCGTATACGACATGCAGTCTAATTTCTACCCGACGGTAGCCCTCGAGTATGGTATTCCTCTCGACACGCGCCACACTTACACGAAGACGGACTGGATGATGTGGTGCGCAGCTATCGCAAGCTCTGACACCAGGGACACATTTATAAAACTAATCGCAGGCTGGATCGACAGCACGCCGACCAACATGGCGCTGACGGATTTATACGATGCAGTGTCAGGAGACTACCCCAGCGGCCTCCAGTTCACAGCGCGGCCGGTAGTTGGCGGCCACTTCTCGCTACTGGCGTTGCCGTCGTAGGGAGTTCTCTAGAGGAAAACGGGGGCAATAATCTTTTTTTCAATTCTTGGGGGTTTTATTATTTTCTAATTTTACGAGGTTTTAATCTCGCCTCGAAACGCATTTACATACATATTTTCTGCATGAAAGAGAGGGCATTGGGAAAGGCGACAGGGCAAAACTACCTAAAGCTGTGCATTAACTCATAATCCTTCTGTTCATTTTTTTTTCTTCTTTTCTAACTCTTATTACCTATTCTTCGACACGCTTCGCTCTCGTCCCCGTTTTACTACCATGGGGGGTTTTACTAACTTCGCAACCGTCGTTCTGCCCGGCTCCTCCTTACCACGCCCGTGCGAAGGAACCGCGCTCAGCTCTTCTGAATCTGATATGTTCATATTTTGATACCCACATATTCTTTCTTAAGTCATGCCGCCTGGTCCGAGTCAAGGGAGGGTCGTGATCATGGGCATGGTGTACGTGTCTTACCTTCGGATGGGTAGACGATGAGACAATAACAAAGGTCCACGAGGAATAGCGGCGTGCCAATACTTCTCATCTCTCCACTTGTTTAATTATCACATTCGCAAGGGACGAGACATCTCAAAAATCACGCATTCCATTCGCTCCGCTTTGAAAGGTCGAAAAAAAGGAGAGAAACTGTACGTTGAATTGAAGTGGGCGGAGCCTGAGAAGTGCCGAATAGGGCCGTTGCAATACAGCTCGCATTCGATCCCATACTACCACCTATCTACGGTAGCAGCACATATCGTCGCATTATCCCATGGGGGCCCATCCCCACCAACGAGCAACGGTCGTTCGGGCGTATTATTGACGTCTGCGCCTCTTGCGTTCTGCAACCTGCGATGCTACCTAAGAGAAACAAGGGGTGGGAATGAGAGATATATCCAGCTAAAGCAACTTGGCGAAATCCGGCGTAGCAGGAAATTTTTTGGTTTATTTTTAACATTCAGGAGTAGGAATGCAGTAGAGAGACAGAGGAGATTACTCAACCCATTTAACCAATCCAAACAGACAACAAAAGTTCTGGACCTAAGTCCGACTTCTTGTCCTATCGCGATACGAAATACTTGCGTTTTTTTCCTTTTTGTGATTGTGATATTATGTATATACGCGTCCTACACGTAAATTGGTCGATCAGGCACTTTTTTTTTCGCAAATGAAACTCCAAGTAAGGGATTTCCAATATTCCAACCCAAATATTACTACTACGCCTCCGTAACAGTACCTTAGGTAGGTAAGCACTATTGATATCCTATATTGCTACCCCCTATATTACATCCTAGCTGGGTAATGCTTCAATGCTTCAACGAAAGGAAACAAAACGAAACAAAACAAAACAAAAAAGACGGACAAAAGGATGTGGTCATGGATGAAGACCCGGGGCCAGAAGCCACGCGTGACGTTCCCCACCGAGTAACCAGGATCGTGACCTTGAACAACCCCGTCTAGACCCTTCGAACAACACGCGATGAATCATCTCACTTGGAGTACGTTAACGGTATAGCCTCAATTTCGTCAGGCCCAAGGTCCAAACGCGCATGAATTGAAACAGGGCGTATGCGAGCATACCAAGGCAAATTTGATGAAGAGTACCATATGTAGGTAACATACCGTATCGTATCTCCAAATTTCACCGCTGTCCTAATTACAAAAAAATTTACAGAAACCAAGATACCAAACCAAAAATTGACAAGCCGCTTAGCCGTTCCCCAGAGTCAAAAAGGATATCACATTCTATTTTTTAATACCTCTTCCCCGTAAATGTTTTACGTTTAATGCAACTTGCCCGTGTCCGTGTGATTGAAGTTTCTATTTTCCTCGTGTCGACTGACCGACCCCTCTGCCCCTCTGTCCCCTTGAAAAGTTAACATGCCTGCCGCGCTGTCACATTTAGGTGCCGGTATCCATACTCCCTCATGCATGATACCCTTGTCCTAAAATTAGGTATACGCAATCCCGGAGAGCTGGGTTGACAACCGTCTCCAGGGCTATTGATTGGAGCTCGGCAGTTAGGCAATCGGTTTGGGATCGATTGACCATTCCGATCATCGAACTAGCTCGAATTCGCCGCTGACACCCTCGAACTCCGTGATCTCCCCCGCCAAGTTCTTGGCATCTCCAAAATACCGGATCCGATACCGCCCCGGCTCCGCCCACGGGTCCGTCGTCTCCCAAGTTATTTCCACCTCGCTGGTTCCGAGGAGCTCGCTAGTGCGGCGCCAGCGGAACACAAGGTGCCAGTCGCGATCGTCGCGGACTACTTTCCATGCGGCTGTCATGTCATCCGACGAGTCGGTAGTCGTGGTGAGTTTTTCGACTACGGCGTAGTTCCGCTCGAGTCTGAGGTTATTCCTCGGATTGGCACCGACAAATTTCGCCGTTACTGACCTACCCTTTTGGTACGTATCTTCTACATCCTGCTTGACCTGTCCGAACTTTCTAAAGATCGGTGGGGAATCATGGATGACTGCAGGTATGAAGCTAAGACTTCGATTGCTGTTATCCGGTGGCTCCGGCCCTACAGGTGGTCGGCTGCTAGCCGACGAATCTAGGTAAGGTATCCAGGATAAGGTAACGTTGATGTAGGCTGCCAAGGTATGAGGCCCATACAGTGTACTCGCACCTTCGTATCGTTGAATTCTATTTTCCTCATTGTAAGCCGATTTCGGTTTGCATAAAGAACGTTATACATAAATCAAATTTGAGAAGAGAGATGTCCATGGTACGAAGATATTACGACCTAAGACCTATAATGACACTTCGCTGGAGTATCAAGATTGTAAAACACATCGATATATATCGATCAGTGCGAGAATAAAGAATAAAATCGTACTTACCCGTACTCTTCCTCCGTGCTAATATAATGCGTATAGCTATTTGCAGGCCCGCCGAGAACAACTACAGGGGGTGCCGATTGCGCCTCGTTCGAGAATAAAGTCGTGATCTGGTCACTGACAGCATTCCTCCAACGCCGCCCAGCCATCGTAGTCGCCTCTCCCGGACTAACGATGATCACTAGTTGGCCGACGCGGAAGACTTGTACGTCCACCACGTTTGGGGTCCATTGGTACGGGCTGTAAACTTCGCCAACGTCGAGTAAGATGGGCTTAGGAGCATGGCACGCGATTTGCTCCTTTGATGGCGCCTTAAGCATACCACCGACTACACGCCATATTGGCGAGGTATTCGAAGAATTGCTATTATGTTGAGTAAAGTCGAAAGCGCCCGGTCCGTCAGAGGTACCGGCTGCAAAGGAGTAGCCTAATGCAGCAGGGCACGTCATGACTTCTGTTCCGTTAGGTAGCTGAAAGTGGTGGTTTGACATGTTATGAAAAGTGTGGAAGGCTTTGACCCAGCGTCCATGAACTGGATTTGGCGCCGAGTTGAGTTGGTCGTATAGTTTCTTTGCAGGTTCGAATTGACGTTTGCCAATCTCGAAACACGATGATGTTCCTTCATCCTTTTCTCTGAAGAAAGGGCCTCTAGCGTGGCATTTCTGAGATCTGCCATCGCTGCAAGTACTATTTTCAAAACTGCACATTTGCCCTGTGCCGTCTTCACACCATGCCCCAAGAACATTAGGACTAGTGTCACCGACGTTCGCCTGAGAGAAGCCGGCAACGAATCCCTCGGCGGCAGTCTCATCATTGAGGACATTCTTCTCAAATAAGTACGCAGCCACACCTTTGTTATCACCAGATATCAATGTGTTGTTCCCAAGCACGGAGGTGCCGTGAGTAGGGAACCAGGTCAGGACACCAATATTTTTGCCATCAGATGTCCGCTGGAATTTCAGTAGGGTTAAGTCCTTATCCACAGACCCATCATCTTCGGAACTGACATTATATCTCGCGCGTTCCTCCTCCGGGTTTGCGAGATACGCGAAAAGGCTGCGGTTGATGTTGGCTCCAAATACTTTAGTAGATCCGACACTAAGACGTCCTGGTGCGAGACTTTCATGAGCACGGCGAATGGATAGGAGTGCCCCGTCAACTATAGCTCTATAACTCTGTCGATCAAAACCCTTGCTTGTGATCTGAGGCAAAAGGTAGTTGAGCCAAGCCCCAGGACCTGAGTGAGAATGAGTACCGGTCACAGCTAAGTTGTGGTGGCCATAATTATCATATTCAGGCCCAAGGTCACGTAAGCCTGATAGGATGCCATATCGAACTGCTGTGTCACCGGACTGGGTATCTAAGACAAGGTATACGAAGCTATCGGATGGGTTGGCAGGATCAGCTACGATGAAGGTTCTAGAATAGAGACGTTGTCGTAAACCAGTTCCGATTTGGTGCGGGTCTGCATATCCCATCATGTTAATCTCAACGCAAGGGCCAGTTATATCAGCCTTTCCCACTCCGATTAGATATTCATCGCCCTGGGACGTTTCTGTCGTTGAGTCCTGCTCAAGGTGAATGCCCTTCCAGAACTTCGATGTCCACCCATCGATTACCGAACCATTCAGTTTAAAAGTCGCTAGTAGTAAGATTATTGCAACAGATATTATGATAAAGTTGATTCTAGAAAGGATAGGACGAGGAGCACTGCCGGCGTTATCCCGTCGTGGGTCCGGGGACGGCGAGGAGTCGCCGGCTTTCCTACTTTGCTTGCTCCCCCACATCTTGGCCGAAGGTATCTATAGACGAGACCCGATATTCCTAATATCTAGGTAGAGATGAACCGCCTAGAGGATGGCAAGCGAGTCATTCAACGCAACAACCATGAGATCTGTCGTGGCGGTTGCATGGAACAAAATGTGCGTCAGGTCCATTCCAGGGTTTGAACATTCAACAATTCAAAGCTGGGGAAATGCGTAGTCGTTTGATAAAGTCTTCCAGACAAATTCCAATGAATATTGAAGGTTCTAAGGGTCCTAAGGGTTCGTTGGTTATATCAGATCCACTAAGGAACCCAATTATGTAAAGTAGATGATGCCTTCTTTCACTTACCGCGCAGGTACAACGCATCCGACTCTGAGACGAGTACGTCATTGGAAGCCTCCAGCCAGACCCCTGCTATGCCACTCCACTCAGACGGACTCCGCTGTGACTGCCGTTCCCGACTAGCTCCACTTCTTGTGCATTAGCCACAGCTGCCGCCAGGTGTTGTCTCCTTACGTTTTATCGAACATTTGCAACGATAACGATAACGATATCGAAATTCCCGTCGCGAAAGCTATCACTTTCAAATCTATTTTCAGTATTTACCTTTCAATTGGCGACAATATACCTACTCAATATCAAGACACCTACCTACGCAAAAACCCAGAAGCCAAATACCGTGCCAAAATGACGTCCATACGCACCACCGTCCACGAATCCCTCCCATGTAAGCCGCCCTCTCCCATCCCATCCCATCTCACACCACACCACTCACTCTCCTCCACCCCAAAACAACCAACTAACACGCGCACACTTAGACGTCGACCCAGAACCGACCCCCGCCGAGCGCGCAGCAGCCGAATCCCTCATCGCAGCCGAAGCCTCAACCTCCTCATCCACCTCTCCCAATCCCAAACCCACACTCCCACCCCTCCGCACGCCAACCTTCAGCCCCCTAATGACCGCCGAGCTATCACGCATCGAATCCAAACAACCGCTCCAAGCCATCGACCTCTCGCGGTACGAAGCCCCCCCTTCCCCTCCCTCCTCACCATCCGCCACCAACCCGCGCACCCTCGAATCCTCGCTGCGCCGAGCCTACACAGCCTCGACCTACCTACGCGGCAGGCAAGCACACCTGCAGCTCCTCGACGCCTACGGCAAGAACGCGTGGCTGGTGGGCAACTGGCAGCTCGAGGCCGAGGTGCAGGCGCTCGAGCGCGACCTGGCCGCGTCCAAGCGCGAGATCGACCTGGTGAATATTCAGCGCCGGCGCCTGCAGGACGACGTCGGCGGCGAGCTGCGCGGCCTCGACGACACCTGGAAGCGCGGCGTGAGCAGGGTGCTCGAGACCGAGATCGCGACCGAGCAGTTGAGGCAGCAGGTTTTGGAGAAGCAGAGGGGCGGTGGGTGAATTTGTTGGTGAAAAGTTATGGTTGCGGAAGAATACGATTATATGGTTTTAGACGGTCGAGGATTTAATCCAACAATGATACCTACGGACCTTCTAAAGACGAGGATAAACAGAATAAAATACTAGGGCATTACGGATGGATATAGGAGAGTCAATGTCTATTACAAGGCGATTCCGGCATTAATAACAATGCTTCTAATACGGTATCAATGAATATCATAAAACCTATTTAACAAGGAAAACGAGGGTAATTCCGAGAACGCCTCCTCCGAAAAGAATGCTGCCATCCGTCTACACTACTTCCTGTTCCGGAGTATCATGTATCTGATCTTCACTTCTGTGCACTCCAAATGTGTAATCGATTAGGATGACGCGTGTAAGGGGTCAACGTCTTCAACCCCCGACTTGACACCCACGTATCTAGTTCTTCTCATAATACTCTCCACGGGCCCAAGTAGCCTCTGAAATGCGGTCTTGCCTAACGTCGCAACCTTCACCTCGGTCGAACTGATTACGTCCGCCGCTCGGGGCTTGTCGTCTAGGAGCGCAAGCTCACCGAAGAAATCGCCCTTCTTATAATGCTTAACAGACTGTGATCCGCCATCCTTGTATGCATCTGCCTCGCCATCTTCTAGCAGGAAGAACGATTTCCCAATGTCACCCTGCTTGATAATTGTGTAGCCTTTCGGGAACTTCTTGGTCTCTAGCGCGTCGGCAATCTTCGACCTCTCGTAAGGCGTAAGGGAAGAAAGGAGCGGCACCTCCTCCAGGAAGCTCTCATATAATCGCCTGCGCGCGAACGTAGACTCCATGAGAATACGACGGAACGTGACGCGATCAAGCGCCCATAAATTACATCCAGCCTCGGCAGAAATAACGGTGGCAGCTCTTGGCGCATTGTACATCAAGGCCAATTCACCAAAAGAACCTCCAGATTGAATGTTGCCTACTTTGTTTCCCATTCCGTCTGGACCTGGCTGTAATGCGCCGGCGTTATTGACATATACATCGAAAGACCCTTTCTCGACAATGTAGAAGTAGTCACCCGCATCGCCTTGGGTGATGACCTACGCGAACGTTAGAATTAAACGATATATATGGAAATATGTTAATCATACCTTGATATCTTTAGCCGGGATGGGCTTTTCTTGCAAAGCGCCTAGGATCTGAGCGTTTTGCTCATCATCAAGATGGCTAAACAAGAAGTTGTTCTCGATAGCCTTCTTCAGCCTCTGTAATTGTTCTGGTGTTTTAGGATACGACGGAGGAGTCCAGTTATCATTGACGTCTGCTACTGGCTTCAGCGACTCGGCGGAGACAGAAGTGCGGCGTCCGAAATTGTACTGGGCTGGGTAGCTATCGGGGTTTGGCGGTGTTCGCATAGAAGACGGAGGTCCATCTACCAGCCCATCGCCTCCAAACGGGCCACGGAAAGGCGCGCCTGATGTATTGTGGGCACCGAACCGTGGAGTCGTGGGAGAAGTAATCGTGTCGTTCTCATCTTCCTCCACAACATTAAGTAGACCTCCAGACGGTCCACTGCTAGCTTCAGCTTTAGTGCCGTCACCACCAAAAGGGTTTGAGTTTGCCCCGAAAGGGCTCGTGAAAGCAGTTCCCGACATAACACTGGTTTTACGAGTTGATGAAGGATGTCGCGTCAAGTGAGCAGCCCGTTCGTCTGCGAGACGTCGGAGGAAATAGTCGGAACAGAATTGTAGAATATCGGACGGGTTCTTGAGTCGAATCTGGCTTACGAGGGATTCTATTTCTATCTGGTAAGCAGCAGGCAGAGACATAGTGCATAAGGCAAGAAGGCAAAACTAAGGCAACAAACGGATATCTTAATGCCTGAATAAAAGAAGGATGTGATTTAGTAAATAACAGGATGCGTGCTAGATGGAAGATTTCGGGATGTAACGAAGGAAGCGAAAGCTATGTTGTATTATTTATTACCTACTAGGTAGGGTTGATCTCAGGGGATGCGCATGCAGGATTCGCTCTCTTGCCGACTAGTAATATAAATTCTGGCGAAAGCTCAGGCTATTCATAATCCAGCTAGGATCAGACGATGGCTTTCCTCCTGGGTAGTGGATGATGAATAGAAACCGAAAAATGCCAGGGTGCTAAATGAAGGTGGATGTGGTATGTGCTACACAAGACAAGGCTATGCCCCAAATTGTAGGGACAATGCGATTGGGAAAGATTGCAAGTGCGGCGTAAGCAAGTAGTTATTCCAACGGCCATTAACAAGTTTAGAACAAGATAGACTCCAAAAGGTAGGTATGCTCGTCGAATAACAGGAAAACGACAGCTGAATGAACCAAGACAGCTTAAAGGAGGTAAAATGATAGAAAAATGGCTATGAAGGATGGAGATACAGCTAAAGGTAAAGACACATTCACTTACTATTCAAGTACACAATTGACACGATTACCTTTGCTCGTATCTAACCCTTGGAGACCAAGGCCGATGACGATACTCGTGTATAGTCCACTCTTATCAAAGTAGAAAGTCAGCTCCAGGCGGCTGAGGTAGGATGGATACTGTCGACGGAGATGGATAGAAATGAGGAGGGGTAGAAGCAAAGACGATCAATCCCTTTACCACTGAATGTGACTGTGGCTATGTGTGTAACAGCTAGGTATAGCGATTCTTTGAACAGATCTAACAGGAGGATGATATGATAGATTTCGGTATAATCGTACTGAAGTTTCGGATTGTCCGTGGCAAAAGAGTGACGATTTGAGAGGGGGGACGAGTTCTTGGGTTTGGGACTGGAAAGAAGATCATTGAATTGCGCTTAACCTCTTAGCCCTTGAGACTTTGGGGGGGAGTGGGGCATATCAAGGACGCCATTCCCCAGTTAAAGCTCAGTAGAGGCCTTTATTTGGCCCCAGCTCCTTTTTCCTTAAAGCTTCTTTGCATTCTTCGCAGCTTCCAGAAGGGAGCACAGACCCCCAGGGTATCCGTGTCGCCAGATAGGTACCTGCTATCTGCAGCTTTCCAGCACAGCTGAGTGCGTACCTAGGAATTGGTATCTGATGTACCGACCCACGTACCTAACGTATCAATTTAACAGCCATTGTTTATGCCGTTGATATGATGCAACCCAAATTAGCTGCTACTAGGAGGTACTAGGTACTTCGTAGGTAAAGGAAATTAAATAAATACACCCTGGGGAGCACGAGATTAATTCGGAATTATGATCGAAAAATAGTGAAAAAGATTCATAAATGTAGGATAACTTTGCAACTCTAATCGCATATTTCAAGAGATGTACTTGCCATGTTGTTGCCGCCAGCCGTGTAGGGCAAACAATGAGTCCGTCTTTGTGAAACCTGTTAGTCTTTAGGCGGAAGGGGGTTTGTTTTTCAGATCGGGATTGCCCATGTTCCTTCCTCCTTCTGGAAACACTCTGTTGGCCCGAGCTCCTAACTGCCAAAATAAAGCTGACAAGGGCTTATTCTTACCTCTCTAACCCTCATAATGTACCTATTCTAGACATTTTCTTTGACATGCCTATAGACGTAAGATGACTTCTTATTCTTTAAACATTAATTTGAAATAACAACCACACCGCTTACTCTCCTCCACCACAGATTATTAGCTTGATCAGTCATAATGAATTCGCTCTTAGGGTGTGATGTTCGAGTTCGACGCTGTTCACATGCAAAGTCAAAGCTATGATTCGTCGACGCAAAGATTGAGTCATCACTCACCCGATACATCAGCATGGGGCATATGTACATACTGATATGGGTGTATTCTTAGAAACAGCCCTATATGGTATTATAATGGGAATCAGCTATTCGCTATGATATGCATTACTCTAATTGCTTACTCACAGTTCCGTACCCGCCCTGCCCGTCCTGCCCGTCTCACTCAGGAATTTGCTTTTTGCAACCTCACGTAAGCGTACCCTAGCCTATCAATCGTTTAGTGCGACGGGAACCGGCAGATAGCCGCCAGTTCATTCGCCTGTCAGCTATATTCAGCTCTTGAGTATAGCCCATAATAATGTGATATATGACGAGCTGTTCTTACGGTTACTTGAATATTTGTACGGCTACATGCTTGAACAGTCAACCTATGATGGTCACATCTTAGTAATTTGTAGACTATTGTTGAAGAGATTTGGTATCGTATGATGTATATTAGGCCGGAGACTCCGATGGAGCCTCAATATTTGACATGTGTTATTGTGAAGAGTTGACGTTAAAAATGGAAGTTGTCTGATAATTCTATTCAAGCCGCAGGCTCTTAACTAGGTACCACTACCACTATACGCCAATAGGCCCCTTTACTTTTGCTAGTTTCCCCTCTATCACCATGTCGAATAAAAAACAATTAAGAATCTGCCATGTAGATGTATGTATACTCACGCCTCAGCCGCTATCTTCTCCTCTTTTCGGCGTTGCTCCTCCTCTAGTATTTCTCGGTGTCTATGCGCAGCCTCTCCAACAGCTTTCACACCCTTCTTCCTCTGCCTCTCCTCGTAGAGGTCCCTGCTTTTCATGATACGTTGCACGATAGTGCCGGCATTAACATCCTGGAACTCATGACTAGGGATCTCCTGGAAGATGCCCAATTCCTTGGGCGCCATGTATGGGTCGTACGAAAGCGGCATAAACGATGTAGGACCGTGGTATACGGCATCAGGAGTACCCCACGGAGAACTCGTGAGGTACGATTTCGTTGGCGAGAATGGGGCACCAAATATGACGGCATTGACATACTATTAAATACAGTCAGCAACGTCTCATTGGAAACAAATTAAAATAAACAAGATTACAAACACGACACTGAAGCACGCAGAGGCCGCGCTCGTAGATATTCATAATGGGATAGTTAACTCCTTTCCAGGAGTTGATAACCTCGTCATCGTGCACCCCAGAAATCACAAAGACCGGGCCATAGTCCGCACCCTTGCCACGGCGCTCGTTGACGGCCTGTTGGTCATACCAGCCCTCCTTCCTCGCCAGTTTCTCCTCTGTCAGGGCAACTTGGCGAAGAAATTCGATATGCCCGCTAGAAAATAGATCGAACCCTCCGTCGACGTAGACAACTCTCTGGCCAGGTTTAGGACCTTGTCCTATGAGTAATGGACGGAATGAGCCTTTCTCTTCCGTAGCATCGGTCTTCGCGGCCTTGGAGGCGGACCAGAAGAACACACCCGCACCTGGATTTTTGCCGCTCTCGTCGGTCGCGTACTGATGAATACGCTTTAGCATAGCATCTCCCTCCGCTTTCTTCTCGGCTTCGGTACCGCTGCCCTCTTCACCCGCAATCACCTTTTCTAACGACTTGATGAAGTGCGTCCTGGTGCACAGCAACATGCGACCAACAAGATCGGTCGTCGATATACTAGGCGTACGCTTCACAACCTTGAAGCGACCGGCCGCTTTCACGAAACGGTAACAATCCTCGCCGCTGCTATCTGAGGTGATATCGTCTCCATGTACCACGTACTTGCAACCGAAGTGACTTATGAAGTCTAGCTGCGTGACGTACGGCGCATATGCGACAGATCGGGTAACCCAGCGACAAGCGTCGACGGCGGAGAGTCTTTTTCTCATATAAAATCCAGGATCAGCAGAACGCTCCTCAGAATACGATCTGGGAAGAGCTATCCGTACCGTTCCCGCAGATTCATGACTGTCGGGCCTTTGTTTTCTAAGATGGCCTCGTCAGAGTGCACACCGACATACAGCTCCGTGCCGAGTTGGCGGGCCTGCAGCATCGCACCGGCATGGCCATGGTGGAAGAAATCCCAACATCCGTCAACCCAGATACGATCGTCCAAAAGCTCCGGGGCTGGTGGTCCAGAGAGGACCTCTTGTTCTGAACTCATGGTAAGGCACGCTTAACCACCTAATAGGCAGTGAACAACGGTTCCAAGAAAAGGGGAATGTTGAAGTTAGGTACCTGAAGAACAAAGAAAGTTGTCCCGATGCGCAATGTACATGTGCAAGTCTAAAGTGAACCTAATCGGCTAGAGTTGCCGAGCATGGATGTTGGGTAAGAAGTAAGTCCCGACACTGTCTAATGTGCCTTGTTAAACCGCAATTTCTACCGTGTCCCACACGGTCTATCACGACCCCTCATCTCGGCTCCCTTATCGACAAGAGCCCCGAGCTAAAGCTCCGTGACCCCACCATCGCATGCCGCCGACATCATCCAACTCCAACCGATCGCCATTGCCCATCCCCGTCTCAAAGCTATTCCCTGTACCGTAAAAGCTACCCTACTTACGTCCTAACCCATAAACCATGTCCTCCTCACCACCCGCCTCAACGGGGGGCCTAACCCCCGACCAACTCACCTCCTTCTGGCGGGACGGGTACCTCATCATCCCGCACGCCCTCCCGCCCACCACAGTGCAAGCCCTGCTCTCCGAGACCCACGCGCTGCTAGACGACTTCTCGCTCGCAGACCACCCCATGACGCGCTTCAGCACGGGCGAGAAGTCCGCGCACGTCGGCGACGACTACTTCCTAACCTCCGGCGACAAGATCCGCTTCTTCTTCGAAGAAGACGCGTTCGACGCCTCGGGCTCCCTCACCAAGCCCAAGGCGCAGGCCATCAACAAGATCGGCCACTACCTGCACGCGCTCTCGCCCCCCTTCGCCTCGCTGCTCGACCCGGCGCTGAACCCGGACCTGCTCGGCGCCGCGTCGAGCGGGGGCAGCGTGGCAGCGGGCCGCAAGGAGAGCCAGCCGGCGGCGGTGGCGCGCGCGCTCGGGTTCCGCGACCCGCGCTGCCTGCAGAGCATGGTGATCTGCAAGCAGCCGGAGATCGGCGGCGCGGTGCCGCCGCACCAGGACTCGACCTTCTTGTACACGGACCCGCCGTCGGCCGTGGGCTTCTGGTACGCGCTCGAGGACGCGACCGCCGAGAACGGGTGCCTGAGCTTCCTGCCGGGCAGCCACCGGTGGGCGCCCGTGCGACAGCGGTTCGCGCGCGCGAAGGCTGGTGGTACTGAATTTATAGATAACGAGGGGCCGCGGTTCCCGCCGGGGGAGGAGTACGGAGAGAAGGAGGAGAAGGAGGCGGGTGAGGGTAAGGATGGCGAGTATGTGATGGGCGAGGTTAAAGCTGGAGATTTGGTCTTGATACATGGAAACTTGCTGCATAAGAGCGAGAGGAACTTGAGCCAGAAGGGGCGGATTATCTACACGTTCCATGTTATCGAGGGCGAGGGGACTAAGTATGACGAGCGGAACTGGCTCCAACCGCCTGCGGAAGGGTTCACGCGGCTTTATAGAGATTAAAAAGAAGAGAGACGGGAATGTTTGTATCGAGTAGGGCACTATGGGGTTGTATTTCTTAAAGCTCTACGCTAGCCAATGTATATCATTATGTAATATCCTTGCCTACTTTCTGTTTTTATGAATATACAAGAGTTTGCAGATTTGTACACAGCTTTAACTACTCCACAGCCCCTATATTGTATGGCAAACCTGAGTTAATGCGAGATATAGATACTAATTATTCGCAATGTAATACCATTGTAGAATCTATGCCATACCTACCTAGGTAGAAACTTACTTATTCAACATGCGTTTTAGATGACGGAGCAGGTAGGAAACGGTATCCAAACTCCTTCATTTAAACTGAATCGTTACTAGAGTAGAAGGAAAATAACCTTGTAGGGATGCCATTGAAATGCCAAGATAAACGCTTTTAACTCATAATCCAATATCAAATCTCATATTTCACATTCTCAAGCATCAACACAGTTGCATTTGCAATAGGCATCGCGTTTATTACGGGCTATAGCAAAGAACCCCTTTTACATACAATTGGGTTCGACCACCCATCCGTGTAACGATGGAACTGTCCGAGTGAAATCGTAAAAGCCAGCACTAGCCAGTGAACCGGGCCCCTCTGAAATGCCAAGTCGTATCTGCAGAGAGAAACGCCTATCTCTTCTCCCACCGTAGAAGCCAAGAGGGCCGGGCCATAGATATCCTCGACTGCGAAACTGCGTGATATGGAGCGCGAAAGAGTAAAGTATGGGTACAAGCAAATGACCGTTGTAGAGTGCTGTCATTTGCAAATGTCGAGGGTGGCGAAAGAAAAAATTGATTATGGGCGAGAGCGACGACAGTCGTGTTTGATGCGCATATTGCCGCACGAGGCCTGATCGACTCATGAGCTCCTGAAAGCTTGTGCCAGTGGAATTTCTTCGTTCGTATAAGCACCGCCATGTGGAGAGAGATGTAGGGGCAAAAACAACCCTTTTATTTACGACGGTTCTAGCGGCCGTAAGGGTGAAATCCCCGGCTACCACCTCGTCCTCCACCACGATAGTTTGCGCCAGGTTTGCCCGCATTCTTTGGGCCCGTAGGTGCGTTGGCCGGAGGTGCATGGTTAGGATCGACGGGCCCGGGACTTGACTGATGGGAACCTCTACTACGATGGAATCCCCCGCGGCCTCCTTGGTTAAAGTTGGGCTGGGGAACATCATCATACATGCCTTCCCAGGAGGTTGGATCCCCGCCACCCATATTGCCATAGTTCTGGTTGTATCCCCCACGACCACCACGTCGGCCTCCGCTACCGCGTGTATTAAACATCTGCTGTTGATTGAACTCGTTAAAGCTCTGTTGACTCCCATCACTTTGGGCCTGACCTGGGCTGCCGGCTCCGTTGTTCATCATTTGACTCTGCAACTGCTGCATCTGTTGCATGAGAGCTGGGTTCATGTTGGCCATCGCCGCCATCGGGTTGTTCGGAGAATTCTGACCTCCACCCTGGGCCATCTGCTGTTGGAGTTGCTGCATTTGTTGCATCTGCATCATTTGCATCATGGCAGGGTTCATACCTCCCATCCCCATATTTCGGTTCATGACTATTTGTTGCTGCATCATAGTCATGGCTTGCTGCAATCGCTGCATGTACTGAGCCATCATTTGCGGCGTCATTCCTGCCTGACCTATCTGGTTGGTCATCTGAGTCTGAGTGGTTGTCTGGTCCTCCATTTGGCCGCCCTTTCTGAACTTGCCTCGTCTTGAGGCTTCTTCCTCTTCTCGCATGTTGCCTCGCGGCTGAGCTTTCTTGACTTCGATGGGCTTGCCATGGATCTCTAGGTGTGTACTGAGACACGCCTCGACGCCGACTTCGCTTTCAAAAGTAACGAATCCGAAACCTCTGGGTCGGCCAGTGTCCTTGTCCATCATGAGGGTGGCATCAACAACTCGGCCGAACTGGGCGAAGTAGTCCTTAAATTCGGGCTCAGTCGTGTCCTGGCTGACACCTCCGACAAAAATCTTGCTTGTTTTCTCTTGTTCGTCGCGAGGAATTGCTCGCTTAGGGTCAATCTAGGCATCCTATTAGTTCCAAGTTGATTGAAGCGGTTTCATAAAGCCGTGGCTAAACTTACGATTTTGCCATCCAAGAAGTGTTCCTTGACCATAACAATGTTCACCGTCTTGGGGTCTTTGAACGTGAGAAATCCGAATCCACGGGATCGACCTGTGGCGCCATCCCTCATCACAGTACACTCTGTCACCTCGCCAAATTGGGAGAAGTAATCACGAAGGCTCTCTAAAAGTGAATATTAGTGATCAATTTCGGATGAAAATAGGAAGGGGGGATTCCTTACGATCAGTGGTTTCCCAGTTAAGGCCACCAATGAACATTTTTCTATATGAAAGCCATCGTCAGTATTAGCGCGTCACAAATTATTACGAGATAAAAGAAAAGAAAAATAATCCAGAAAACAAAACAAAAGTGCGTAGTCGACAGAAACAAGTCAGTATATGCAGTTTGAGCAAGGCGCGATGGCCGCTTGGCAAACTCAATAGGCGTATGTGGTTGGCAAGTCCATATAGTCAACCTTCTGGTCTTTTCGTCATCATTTATAGATTGAGCCAGCCGGCCGGAAATCCGAGCAATGAGGGATTGATGTCTAAGAACTGCCGGCTAGTTTCAAGGCCTTCGTTATCAGAGAGCATTGGTATATATATGTAGTCCTCCTCTTGGTTCTTAAACACATCCATAGCAGCTGATGTTGCGTACGTGAAATTTTGTGTGGATATCTTGTGGAATCTTGTAGTTCAGATGGAGGTGATGATGCATGGGCCAGTGGTATAATCCGAGGAGCAAGGCCTAAACAGCACTGCTCAATAGAACAAGACAACGGCAGGGTGATGGCAGGTGATGTCTGATATGTCGAATTTTGTTGTCTCTTTGCTATCGTCAAGCTAGGACATAACTTCGAGCGCTATTCGCTGCCAATTCTTCTTGTTACAGCCTTCAAAGTTATAGTTCTTCGTGGGCTTTATGAGCCTATCCCTGATGAATGGCTACGGAAGGGCAGTAGTAGTGTTCTGTACTGACTATGGTCGACCTTTTATCGTTGGTTTCCTTTTCAAGGAGGCAGAGTGACTCTTCCTTCGTCTTCATCTCCTCTTTCTTCCCTGCAATGTTCCTCTTGCGATCCGGACGGTCGGGGTGCTTCCCCTTTGGCTATGCATTTGAATGTCGACCGACTTGGTACACCATCATCATCACGTCTCCATATCGAAGATAGCTAGCGAGACAGAAACAGTCCTCCTGTTCACCAAAGCCCTCCTAGCTGAAGTCCTAGGGTACCAAAACTCATACTCTTTCGATCACCCAAAGAGTGACTAGGAAGCTTGTACCTCCCAAACCAAAAGCTTTGAGCATCTAAGCATGCTCTGTATACCGATTTGACCTGGTCTTTGAGATGCGAGACGAAGCAGGGCTCTTCTAGGGCCAATGAACTGGCAGAGAACTAGGGCGCAACAAAAACGAGATCTAAAGGGAAAATACTTACCCGTCTTCTTTAGCACTAGGTCCTCGAGTGGTGTGAAATACGGAAGACGAATCATCTTGATGAGAATGAGCTGTGGTAACGGCACCAGTAGGGCCATTGCCCAAGTTAAAGTCAACATCATCGTCATCATCATAGTTGTCATCTTGGTACTCGTCACCATAACCGTTCTCCTCAGTAGTATGAACTACATTGTTGTGTTCCTGCTCGGTCTCGGGTCTACTGTACGACTCTACTGGCTGTTGCTGATTGAACGAAGTAGTAGTAGGAGCAGGGGCAGAGGTCGACGGTTGCGTTGCAGGTGCTGCTGGAATCGTGGCCGGAGCGCCATCATCGTCATATCTACGAACAGTCAGCATGGGCACAAAATGTATACAAAGGTAATTGATGGGAATATTCAATGGCGGGTGTCATCCTTACAGGTCCGCGAAGAGATCTATCTCCAAATTCTCGTTCTCGGCTTCAGCCATGGCGAAAGATGCGCGAAAGATGTCGCGATTTACTTGCTCAACGTGTTTAGGGAAACTCGAAAGTTGTCAAGTGGATGTTGACTTGGATTCGACCTGAAGAATTGAAGTAGAACGGAGAATAGCAATAGTCTAATTCAATCAGTCGACTATGCGATATTCTTATCATGAAAGGGCAAGACTAAGTGAACGATACGGGGAAGGATTACGCATGAAGATTAGTTGAAGGTTGAAGGAAAATATGTGACAAGAAAGGTCGGGTCCGATTGAGGAAGTAATCGGAAGGAAGTAAGTTCAGTGTGGTCGAGGAAAGAATTGTAGGTAGCCTTCTGAATCTTCCCGTCGTAGACACGACATGAGAAATCTTAAGCCAATGGGAGACGCGAGGACTGCGGCAGGCAAACTTTCAACTAGCTAGGTTCGACCGTTGTGCACAGGCCACCGCCCATCATCCAATCAAAAACTAGAAATCTCTGCACTATGTGGGGTTCTCACTTGTGACTACCTACCTTATCAAGCCACAGTCTTTCTCTATCACTTGGGCACATGCAGCTCCAAGAGGTTAGACTACAATCAATTTGATTAGTGCCTTCCGCGGTGAATTACCTAGGTACCTTATTTTAGATTCTTTGTTAATATTTATGGAGCTGGTTTTGATATTAAACCAAAACTACAGATCATATATATAAGGTGATATAATGCTTGATTTACTACTACCTATGTAATTAATCAATAAATCATGTTAGAGAACCAATACCTACTTCACTTCATCTAGTAGTAAATGTGATAGCACCATAGTATACCAAGTACCTAAGTATCACTGAAGTACCTGTGACTGCCGAGGCGTAAGTTGTGGCTTTAAAGTTATCGAGGGGCATAAGGTTACTGCATTAGCTCAACCGTCCGACGTACCTACCATACACTTATAGTAGCAACATCCAGGTATCCCAAGCCTTGGCCCTTGTCAACTTGTCAACGGTTGAATCACATTTCACGCCCAAACAACGATGTCTCCGTGATCGATTGCCAACATTTCCTCTGCTATGTTTTCATCCTCAGGTAGCGGCAAGAAGCCGCCGTCCCAGCAGGTCAGTTCTCCGACGTCAATATCAAAGAGAACAATGTTTCAGAGCTAATAGTGACGTAGGAAATGATCCAAGTCGGTGAGTGCAATCCATTTGCTTCCCTTCACCCTGCACATCATTTCCAATGCGCTTTTGGGCGTTTAATTTCATACCAAAGAAACAAGGTCGCTAATATATTTTCCCCTCTTCGTAGATAGATCTGAGTAGGTCCACATATCCGTGCCACTTCAAAGCTGTCGCAACTAAGATCGAGTTAGGTCGGCTTCGCCTTTCTGGCGTGCTCAAAGAGAAGCCACCCCGAAGAGAGTAGGCCGAGACCCTAATCTAGTCGTTGGCGCTGCATACTCTCATGCGGACATGCTCAAGCTGGATAATCTGTATGTCGATGAAGCTAATATCCTTACGTCCTTTTCTCTAACCTAACGCCCTACACCAGGACTCTATCTGGCTCCTCATCCCGGCCGAGAACTCCTCCATCTTCCTCTTCGCAAAAAAATCGAAGTAGCGACATTAGCTCGCCACCACCGAAGTCCTCGTCTGGATTATCTTCTCCCCCATTGAAAACTTATTTCAGCTTCTTGTCGAATACAAATCGGGATTGGGACGTTGGGGACCCCGAAATGCCTGAAGGCGACGATATGCTTGGATATGAAGACGACGATGGAGATGAATTTGGCCTTCCAAGTTTGTCTAACATGAGACTGCGCTCTCGCCGAGCAGCGGCGGCAGCCCAAAGTAGTTCCTCTTCGCCCTTCCAGACGCCCCTCGATGCTGCGCTCGGTTTGCCAAGTAGGCGTTATTCGAATAGTGCCGACATAGCTATTGAACGACCAGCATCAACTTACCCAATGCCGAAGAAAAGCGAAGGTAAAATCCTTAGACCACAGTATAAAGATATTCTCAAAGGTTAGCCCTATTCCATTTTCTTGGACCGCCCAGGTAGCTCACGCAACTTAGATCCGGCCAATGCTCTGCATCTTATCGACCACCCGGCTACCCCAGCCAATGCAACCCCAAAAGAAATCGATGCCATAAATTCTCGCATAACGAAAATAAATAAGTTCAAGAAGATCCTCCAGGCTAGTACAATACCGTTGATTGATCTCAGAGCCTTGGCGTGGGGTGGTGTTCCAGAAGAAGTTCGGGCTATGACATGGCAACTCCTGTTAAGTTATTTGCCAACCAGCAGCGAAAGGCGTGTCGCGACCCTCGAACGGAAGCGGAAGGAATATCTTGACGGTGTACGTCAAGCTTTCGAGCGGGGTGGGACGAACCCGGCCTCCAGTGGTCGATCAAGAGGTCTCGATGAGGCGATATGGCATCAGATCAGTATAGATGTCCCAAGGACCAATCCTCACATTGAGCTGTATAGCTATGAAGCAACACAGCGGTCGTTGGAACGAATTTTATACCTCTGGGCTATTCGACATCCGGCGAGCGGCTACGTGCAAGGAATTAACGACTTGGTAACTCCCTTCTGGGAGGTTTTTCTAGGTACATATATCACGGATTGCAACATCGAAAGTGGCATGGACCCAGGACAACTACCGAAGGCCGTGCTAGACGCAGTGGAAGCCGACTCTTTTTGGTGCCTGACAAAATTACTCGACGGAATTCAGGATCATTATATCGTTGCTCAGCCTGGCATTCAACGACAAGTTGCTGCGCTCCGGGATCTCACCGCTAGGATCGACGAAGGACTTGCGAAGCACCTTGAAAATGAACATGTAGAGTTTATTCAGTTTAGCTTCCGCTGGATGAACTGCCTCCTCATGAGGGAGATCAGTGTCCGAAATACCATTCGGATGTGGGATACATACCTAGTACGCCACCTCCATTCTCACTTTTTGCGTCGCTAACTATATTTAGGCTGAGGAACAAGGCTTCTCGGAATTTCACTTATACGTCTGTGCGGCATTTCTCGTGAAATGGTCAGCTAAGCTAGTGAAGATGGACTTCCAGGAGATCATGATGTTCCTGCAGGCATTGCCCACTCGCGATTGGACCGAAAAGGATATAGAACTCTTGCTCAGTGAAGCCTACATTTGGCAAAGCCTATTCAAGAATTCGTCTGCACACCTAAGAGGTGGTCCTAGCCGAGCTCCTACGACTAACTTACAGTTGTAACGTCGGAAGTTTGCCCATGTACAGCATTTCACACTATCGATCACTCGAAGAGTTTGGGTTCGGTACGCTCGGGCCAGCGCATACGCAGAACTTATTAGCCAGTAGCTACAGCCATGCCCATTCAACAGGGCCAGTCTACGATTTAGGGTATCCTAGAAATTACTTGTGCCTTCGGTGTATGGAGCAGCCGAACTTATTCACCACAACGGTTTATCACAGCGCGACAACGCATTTACGATCTGACATAACAACGAAATGTCCATTAAACTCTGCTTTGGTCAACTTCTATCCTCATTTCGGCACCTTATGGGAGAAGTTTAAGTCTGGGGCATCCGGCCATCATGGTGGTTGAAAAATACAGAACCTTGCCGTAATAGGATGGTAGGCTGCGATGAGCTACCAAGAAGGCCGATCATTTGTACCTAAGAATGCACATGCGTCTTGAATCGACAAGCAATGGCTAAGAAGAGCTGTCACCCTGATCTAGCGAGCTAAGAACATCTGACACCCCATTCCGAGTGGCCATACGAATCAAGACTTCCCCTCAAGCTAACTGATGGATATGCTCATGCAACCATAACTACCTACTTAGGTACATATAACAACCGAAGATCTTTCTTGATATCTGCAGTGCTGTTATGAGTGTTATTCTCAGTTCTGACGCTCTGCATGCAACCTATGCTCTCTCACAACCCGTCAATCGTGTTATGGCCTCCTGGACTCAAGCTGCCGGTGGTTCTACAACCCCGTAAGGTCTGGGATCGATCGACTCGATCCTAACATGATCAAGCACCTCTCTCTTCGATCTTACCGGGAATGCTGCGACCCATTTGTCAAACCCCTTAAGGAAGCCGTCTATCGAAGCTCCATCCGACGGGTCTATTGGTTGCTGGTTTAGGCTTATCTGGAGCATATGCGCCCCCGCCAACGAAGCGCCTACGGCCCAAGATTCTTCCCCTCCGAGGACGTCTGTGTCGCCAACTAGGGGCTTGATACAGCCCTTCTTTCCACTCCGTAGTATTTCTATCGGCAGCTTCGGTTCCGCCGCGCTCGGGCGTCCAAGGCCGACTCCGTCTAACCCACTCTCTAGCGCGTCTACCATCGCGCCTACGGTCCGGATCCCTCCCGTAAGGAAGGTCCGAGCCCGTTTGACGTGCGGAACCACCAGCTCCGCAAACTCGATGAAGAAGGCTTCGCGCCGGCGCGTACTCTCCTTCTTGTGATGCCACGCGGGTGCCTCATACGTGCCGCCGCTTAACTCGATGATATCGAAGCGGTGCATTTCTAGCAATGACACCAGTTGCGCCGCCTCCTCCGCCGCGAACCCGGCGTCTTGGAACTCGACGCTGTTGATCTTGATCGCGAGCACGAAATCCGGACCCGTCGCGCCGCGCACACCGTCCGCGATTTCCGTGATCAGGCGCGCGCGGTTCGCCAACGAGCCGCCGTAGGAATCGGTCCGGAGATTGGTCGTCGGCGACAGGAACTGCGCGAGCAGGTACCCGTGCGCGGCGTGCAGCTGGATCCCGTCGAAGCCCGCCTTCTCCAAGTACACGGCGGCGCGCACGAACGCGGCCTTGATATGCGCGATCTCGTCTAAGCTCGCCGGATGCGGCTTGCCGAACGCGTACAGCGCACCGATCCCTTTCGTCAGCTGCACGTCCGACGCCGAGACCGGGTTCTCTTGGAGCGCGAACTCGGTCTGGCGGCCCGGGTGGTTTAGCTGCGCGAGGAAGACGGCACCCCCGCGCTTCCCGGCCGCGGCGAGCTTTTGGTACGCGGCGAAGCGCGGGTCGGTGTCAGCACTGGTGTTAGGAGAAGGGAGGGAGGAGGACGGGGAGGGCGCGAGGATCATGTTTCCCGGGGCTTCGAGATGCGTGGGGTCTACGATTATGTTACCGGTCACGATGATCCCCCACCCGCCGTCTCCCCAGTGCCCGTACAAGTCCAGGAGCTGCTGCGTGGGGATTCCGCTCAGATTCATGTCGTCGGGGTCCCAAGTCGCGAAGCGCTCCGTCATGGCGACCTTCATGAATCGGTTCGGCAGGACGGCGGAGGAGAAGGGGAGAGGCAGGGATGAGCCGAGAGGCGAGGCGTCGACGGCCCGGCTGGTGTAACGGGTTGGTGGCATGGTGGTGGCTGAAGTGGTGATAAGTATACTGTGTAAATTTGACAGATGAGAGTGTGGTAGCACAGCCGGAGAGGTGGTACAGACGAGAGAACCTAGCCTTACGCCACCTATGTGTCGTCAAGTCATATCACGACTTTTCACGTGGACATAGAAACGGTTGTTTTTCCACGAGTTGGACTAGTCTTGCTACTTACTTGACACGTACAAGTTACGAGGGGTTACATTTCACTTGTGTCGGGCCAGACCTTCCTAGAGCCGCCAACCCGGAACTGCCTGAATGCGTCGGATCCCATTTTTCGGCAATATGGGGAGTCCATGTGAGGCTCTGCTGTTGGTGGGGATGTATGAGAAGGTATAAATAACATCACAATAGAGGAGGCTAGGTACCTAAGAATACGTATTCGAAGCTCAAAGTTTTGTGTCTATGTCAGTTTGCCCAGCTCGTACGTGACGTGAAAAGAGATATCCAATGCACGCTTGACTAGAGAGCCAGGGCGCTAGGATTACCGTGTCGAATGAAGTATACCTGGGTAACCAGCAACGTCTAACTATCAGGCACCCGGTAGGTAAAGGCATCCATGTGTAGATTACTCAACGACTTGATGATAGCTTATCAATATCAAAGGAATTGTGCGTAAGTCTTACCTAATGAGACTTCCCCCTAACTGGAATAATTGATTGTTGATCAGTTCTATAGGTAGGCAGCTCGTCATCTGAGCTATCATTATTCTCTCAGTGGAAACCCATGGGAATAGCGAGAACAGCATCCCGGTGGGAACTTCTATACGTGTATACGGTTAGACAAGTATTATATTGATGAAGTAGGGTTAGTAATAGTAGACAAATATTCATAGAGTAGGTCATCATCTAATTTGCCCCTAAGGTAATAAAGATCACCATCATCATCACCGGTCTAATAAAGCTAATAGTAGAATAAGAGCCTCCTAATCTTCGTCCCATAGCTTTACTCTCAATTGACGTCGTATATATCGGGAAACGGCACCACAATTTGGAATTATACGGGATTTAGGAGGGTAGGATGCCTTGAAAGCCGAGGAGGGTATGATGATCTGACAATGGAAGCCAAGGGGTGCAACATTTGGAGCAGATAGCTTGGAGTTTCCGATCTCCAATGACCATGCAAGTGCCGATAGGTCAGATTAAGGTGAGATACGGCATGTTGGAGGATTGGAAGTGCGGTTCTGCAATGCACTCATGTAGTGTGATATTTGACTGTTACCTTGCCCAGGGACGAGTCATTCACTAGGTAGGTAGGTATCTACCCAGAGCACCGGCGTAAGCAATTGACAGTCTAAAGTCCCTTTTAGCTATATGGGAGCTCTACAGAATATTGCTTTAAAATAAACGGATTTTCTCTTTTATTGGAAAAATATTTACAAAAGAACGCTTACCTACCCAGATGGGCACTCGAGGTCGTGATTCATAAGGTACCTAGGTTATCGGAATAATATTGAACTATATGGCTTGATCGGACGGGGTTCGTAGGTAAAAGTAAATCTTCGCGAAGAGTTGCCATGTTCTAGAGCAATCTAGGGAGAAAGCCAATAGTTAGCCCTGTTAGTGCCACTTCGTGGATTATCATTATGACAAGATGATGCGGGTATAAGCAACCCCGCGATTTGCCATAATCTGTGTAACGCGAGATGATTTATTCCGCTTGATCGACTTTAGATATCAATAGCTAAGCGACCTCGAAGAGATGGCATGTATGTAGGAAATCTACAATGTTTTTGAATAAGTCATTTGGATTCGAATAAGTCATTTGGATTCGAATAAGTCATTTGGATTCGAATAAGTCATTCTGTTGTATTCGATCAACACAAGATGGCTATCTCTACCACTACGATTGCTGTGATAGCGATACTATTGTTTCTTGTCTATCAATTAGGTAGAATTGGGCAACGGCCAAAAGGATACCCTCCTGGACCGCCAACGTTGCCTTTGATAGGAAATCTACATCAAATTCCAAAGGAAAAGCCGCATCTACAGTTCCAGAAATGGGCCGAGGAATACGGGCCGGTATACTCACTGATTCTAGGAACGAAGGTCATGATCGTTCTCTCATCAGATAAGGCGATCAAAGATTTGCTTGACAAGCGAAGCACTAACTACTCCTCGAGAGCCGATGTGTATCTCGGAAGAATAGTCAGCGGAAATGAGCGAATGCTCTTGATGGTACGCCATTGATGCATGCGCTCTGTGATCCGAGGACGTTGTGATCCCTAACCTGTAGCACAGGAGTACGGCGATAAGTGGCGTATGATCCGCAAGCTTGTACACAATAGTCTCAATATCAAGGCCGCTCGAACATACGTTCCTTACCAGGATCTAGAGAACAAGGCAATGCTTAAAGCTTTCCTCGATGGCCCTAGTCAGTTTATTCACCACATTCGGAGATACACTAATTCTCTGTCGACGCAAATGTTGTTTGGGTTCCGCACTGTTGACAATAATGACCCAAGGCTTAAACAGCTCTTCCGCGTAGGTCTAGATACTGACTTCCTGTACTAAAATTCGATGGCTCACTGAAATATAGAGCTTCGAGGGATTCAGTATTGTTATGGGCTCGGAGGCTGCTGCATTGCTTGAAGTCTTCCCTTTACTAAGATATCTTCCGGACGCTTTCCTACCTATGCGAAGATATGCGAAGGAGTTGCACAAAGTAGAGTCTGCCCTATTTCTAGGGCATTACCGAGAAACCAGAAGGAAGCTCAAAGCAGGCGAAGCTAAAGTGAGTAGATGGCCCCCCTTAACTTTTTGTTTTAGCCGGGATGTCTGATCAGAGTAAAGCCGTGCTTATGCGTCGACCTTGTTCGAGCCCAAGACAAGGAAGGTTTCTCTGATCTTACTGCCGCTTATGTCAGCGGGTCGCTGTTAGAAGCCGGGTCTGATACGACGGCGGCCACACTAGTTGGATGGGTTCAAGCATTGCTTCTCTTCCCTGAAGTTTGTATAGCTGGCCAAGCCGAAGTCGACCGAGTATGTGGAGACCGGCTCCCGGACTTAAACGACCTTCCCGATCTTCCTTACATTCGTGGTTGTATGAAGGAGAGTATGAGGTGGATGCCAACTGTCATTCTTGGTGTGCCACATGCTGCTGTTCAGGACGACGAATATATGGGTTACAAGATTCCAAAAGGCGCCGGAATGATGTGGAACGTCTGGTAAGTGACAAGTAATCTAACAGAACATAAGTAATAGCTAGCTCATTCCTCTGGGTCAAAAGGGCGATTGCGAACGACCCAAAGCGACATCCCGACCCTCGAAGGTTCGATCCAACTCGTTGGGCTGGCGATAACCAGACGTCGGTAGAAGCCGCGAATAATCCGGACGCGTCTAAGCGCGATCACTTCTTATTTGGTGCTGGCCGTCGCCTCTGTCAAGGTATGCATATCGCGGACCGATCTCTTTTCTTAGCCATGTCGAGATTGCTTTGGGCCTTCGACTTCGAAAGACCAATTGATGGAAGTACCGGAAAGGAGATTATTCCCGACATAGAAGCGCTAGTTCCGGATGGCGGAACGTTCGTTCAGCCCGAACCCTTCGATGCGGTAATCAAGCCTAGGAGCGAGTGGAAAGCGCAGCGGGTCCGAGAAGAGTGGGCCAAGGCAACCGAACTTCTTGATGATGAAATGCAATGGAGGGCTGTCCCCGAGAATTTAATCTGGCGAGACTATGAACCGACCGAAGTTGCGACAAAGGCTTGATTAGTAAAAGGTGTGCAGTCACAAGCCTTCTGTTAGCTGCGTTAGAGAGGGATTTCTTGCTGGATTCACACTTGTAACATATTTATTGGACGAGACCATGGTTTGGGGGTCATTAATATATGCGTACATGTACGTAAGAAGTTGGGATGGATGGATATTGATGGAAATGTGGATGAATATGGAGTAGTGCAGAAGAATATGTAGAATGATGTATCGAGAATAATACGAAGTACGTGGGCATTAAGGGCATTAAGGTGATGAAGGTGACGAGTCCAATTCTGCTAGTTCTGATAAGATAGCAATTTGTGATGCCGCCAAGGTCTTGCTGTGGCAGGTGCGGCCACTCAAGGTAATATGCGGCAATTCTCGGCTCTCCCGAAGACTAAGAATGGCGTAAACCTTGGAAAGTTTCCGTTGGCCGAAGGGCGGCCAAATTCCACACTCGACTTCACCTCGGTCTTCCCCTTTTTTATTTCGACATCTAGCTCCGGCTTTTACATTCCCAGACCGAAAAAAAACGCGTGTCCACCCTGCCATCCTGCCACCGTCTGTCTGATGTATAACTGTGGAGAACTTTGGGAAGATCCATGTATAAAAGTTATATGTTTGTCCTCTGCGATTTCGGACCGGTCTTTTCTTTCTTGTTCTTGACTCATTGAACGATCCAACCAGCCCAATTTGGCAAAGAATCGTGCGGCCCGAGCAGTGGAAGCCGATCTATCCATCTCAAAGGTTACCTTAGACACGGCTCAGCGTATTGACCGTCATTTCGACAACGGCAGCGCTTTCTATATCGAATCAGAGGCATCATGCTGTGCTCCACTTCCCACATGATTTTCAGCCGCCGTGTACAACCGAAACTTCTACAGATTTTGCGGCATTCTATGCGTACTTATGCGATGGCCCACACACAATCAATTCTAGGTCCAACAAAAGAAGGGCGACTCTTAGATGTGTTGCCTTTCGTAATCTGCAATTGGCAGGATTGGTAGTGTCACCCACGAGTTCGCCCACCTGACGTCCACAAGCATAAAGATATTCCCGGAAAAGACACTATACAGCCTTACTAATTATGTAGCGTCCGTGTAGGTTCCAACCTCGTGGAAACTACTCTGTGGGTAGGTAGTATTATGGACTAGTATTTCGGTTATTAGCTTTATCGGCCAAGCCTGGACCAATTGGCTAGATGTTATAGCCTGCAAAGTTTGCGCTTCCCTTCTTCCATTGGGTTGGCGGATCTTGAACGGGTCCAAAGCGTACCACAAACAGGGATCACACGCCCTATGCAAGTTGTCAATGAAAGTTCCGGCTTGTCAATACCCAGTAACTTGACACTATCCAGTAGGTACAAGCATAGATCTTTTTCAAACGAAGAAACAGCTTACTAGTTGTCTCATTGGTTATTGAGTCATCCGTCCCTAGGTCGAATTATTTATACTTTGCCCCTGCTTGATCTCATTACCTTCGCCTCTTTTTCGTTCAACTCTTCAAGTGTATACTAATCTTCAAGGGGAAACTCATTCTATCTTGAGTCGACACAACTTCTACGCTCCAATTTAGCCTCTTACGTAGAGTCCATCCCGATCTTCACCTCATACACCATGGCTCCCGTTGCGGTCCCCTCGACCGTCCACGACGGCGAACAGGACTTGGACCTGACTTCTTCTGCCATCGACCACAGATTAACCGAAAATGATCACACTGGTGGTAATACTAATGGCCAAACTACTCTATCGTCGAACGAAAATGGCAATGGCGTCTCTCAACCAAACCTCCATGAGATAAATGCTTCCAAAATCACATATACATTTACCAAGGAACCGCGTGATGTCCCTCCTCCTGGCGTCCACTCTATCGATGGCGCAACGGTGGCAACCGACCACATGATTACAGTAAAATGGACGGCAAAATCTGGATGGCAGACTCCGGAACTTAAGCCTTATGGTCCCTTATCGCTTATGCCAACGGCTTCTGTTCTCCACTATGCCACGGAATGCTTTGAAGGTCTAAAGGCGTACCGCGGTTTCGATGGAAAGCTACGCCTGTTCCGACCTGATTGCAATGCTGCCCGTTTCCTCTCATCTTCAGTGCGCATCAGTCTGCCAACTTTCGAACCTGCTGAAGTGGAAAAGTTACTTTTGGCCTTGATGGCTGTAGATGGCCCCAAATGGCTACCTCGTGACCGCCCCGGAAGCTTCATCTACCTGCGTCCGACGCTCATCGGAACCCAATCACAGCTTGGCGTACAGGCGCCCACAGAGGCTCTTCTCTACATCATCGCTACCTTTATGCCAATTTTACATTCGCCGGCTGGTGGCATGAAACTCCACACGTCACCAGATGACATGGTACGTGCCTGGGTTGGCGGCTTCGGATATGCGAAGGTCGGCGCAAACTATGGTCCTTCTCTTTTAGCGACCCAAGAGGCCCGCGCAAGAGGTTTCGGCCAAATCCTTTGGCTATATGGTAGCCAAGGCTACTGCACAGAAGCTGGAGCAAGCAATTTCTTCGTCATATGGAAGAGCAAAGAGGGAAAGACTCAACTCGTCACAGCTCCATTGGACGATAGATTGATCTTGGATGGTGTCACTAGACGCAGTCTTTTGCAGATTATTCGCGAGCGGCTAAGCGATGAGATCGAGGTAGTGGAGAGAAAATACACTATCCAAGAGGTGATAGAAGCCAACGAAGAGGGTCGACTGCTAGAGTCGTTTGCGGCTGGCACGGCAGTGAGTTCTCCTAGTTCCTTTTATGAAAATCTCGTGATAATATTAATTACTGACGTCCACTATAGTACTTCGTCTGTCCAGTTTCACTCATCCACCATCGCGGGCAGGATGTCCAGATCCCTATGGGAAAGACAGGCGAAGGCGGTCCATACACCCTCCAGGTGAAGAAATGGCTCGGAGACATCATGTACGGAAACGTAGACCACCCGTGGGGCGTCGTCGTACAGGAGGAGCACTAAGACGCATAATTTTCTCGACGTCGTGTTGCGGTTATGCGCGATACTCACCGCAACAATTCGGGACCTTACATCGCACAACGGATTGAGCAGGTGTTACGGCCCTAAGACGTTTTCTTTCATCCGGATGATGGTTAAGGTCAACGGTTCCACGGACACGAAAAAGTTTACAGGCGGGGCTGAAGTTGAGGGACTTTTTCTTAGGCGTGACGCTCGTCATCGAGAGACATTAGCATTACACGGCTCCAGGCGGGCGACGTTCTGATTCAACACACGACGCCACGATCGCCATTTGCTGCATTATTTATTACTCTGGGAAGCGTTTGCGGAAAAATAGGCATGCATGGGCGAGTTCCTGCTTCTTCGTCCTTCCATCATCTTCAACAGTCTCACGGGTCACGACTTCAAACGAGACGTAACATCGCAGGATCAGATATAATAATAGCATTTATGAACATCGAAGTTCGTTTTTAACTATTGCATGAATAGACGCTTCCTTTCCTTCCCATAGCGGATATTTCGAATGGACTGTTGGTTAGAAGGTCTCACAGATAGGTATTACATGAGGTTAAGGTCAAATTCATTCCAGCTCCTCAAGGATGCAGCCCGAACATGGGCTAAAAATCGTATTCTTGTCTCGCGCAGATAGGTTACGCAGGTTGAGGGAACGTGGACAAGAGCGTGGTGTTAACTAAATACATATTTTCGTTGCAAAATTAACTGGAATATTAGAGATGTTCCAGATCATTGCCAGATGTGAAAAGCGTTTACCCCCATCGGGTAGGCCTCGACAGCTACTAACTTTTAGGCCTGATGTCCTTTATTAACAGCAAGGCGTGCAACCATCCACGCCCACCACTTATACAAATCTTAGGCCTAGCCTCAACCTTCCACGCCAATATCGAGGAGCCTGTTTCTCTCGATCGCAGAAGTTTTAACGATCTAGGAAAGAGTGCAAGATATTTCCAGCCTCTTTCTCGATTTCCGAAAGAAATTTCTAAGATTCAATTAGTACTTGACTCCGGGTTTGGTTTTCGACTACTAGGCTTGGCTTACCTCCTCGTACATCGTCATCTCCTCGATCGCGTCCTTGCTCGCCATTTTCAGATCCGTGTCGAATTTCACCAAGGCTTCGGAGTGCGAGGCGGAAGTAGAACTAGGTACGGCCGTTCCTTTACGAACACCACCACCGCCGGCATGCGTCAAACCCGGCGCCTTTCGCGGCAATATGCCCATGTTGGAGCCAAGCTCCTCGATCTCGGCGTTGATCTGCTCCCACTCGGCCCAGATCCCGTCGAGCTCGGCAACGGTGCTCTCCAACTTCTCCTCGAAGGCGGAGATGGCCGTCTTCATGGAGACGGCGACGGTGCGGGGGAGGCCGTCTTCGCCGGTCGCCATGTAGTCCACGGACAGGCTTTGGAGCGGCGCGGCGAGAGACTCGATCTCCGAGTTCAAGGAGAGCAGCTTTTGACGGTTGGCTCGGATGGACGACTCGCTAGCCGCGGAAAGCTGGGATTCCGTCGAGGCGAGCGAGGATATTGCGGCGCTGTGAATGGTCGCGCGCAGATTTGCGTAGCGGTCTGGGAAGAGGGTTGGTAAAGGTGAGACTTGCAATCCAGGATTATTTAAGTTCTTACCGTCAAGCTCCTTGACTAGTGGCTGTTCGGGGTCGGGAGACGGGCTGGGACGTCGATGATGACCGTGGTGGCGGTTTGAGGGCTGGCCGTCCTCGTCGACCTCACGTCCCTTGTATTTGTCAAAGAGAGGAGCAACTGAGTAATATCCCTTCTTGCGTCGCTTTGGTGAAGGTGGGCTCATATTGACAGGTTCTTCGTCCTCATCGAACAGGCGACGCTTCAGGTCCTTGAAACGAGCGGGAGACTCGCTCTTGCGGGGTGTAGGCTGTTCAGAGCGAAGACGGGAGAACATGGTGAATTGGAATAGATGCCAGGAGATGGAATGAGTTATTACAAGTCCAGTTTCTTGCTTGAGAGATAAAAGGTCAGGGGAATGAACTGGTCGCGATATACTCATGTAGGTGCCTACGTGAAAACAAATCAAGGTTTTAGTAAAGTTCTCAGTGTTTTTATGTATAAAAATCAATTAGCCTCCTATTCGTAAAATCAAATCTATAAAGAGCAACCGCGTCTGGGTATGTGCGAAGTAAGAGAGGAGAGAAAGAGCACTCGTCCTAGCTAATTTAGGACATTGCCCTCGTCGTTTCCCATTCGTAGTCAATACCATCCATTACGCCTTCCCTCCTTCCTCTAAACCAGGAAGCATAGGTAGGTATCATTTAATGAGATGCACTCCGAGTTTTTTTTCCTTCTTACTTCCTGTCAACCACCTCCCTCTTGATAAGAACAGGCATCATGACACCGGGCGCCAACCAAACATCGGCGTGACCGACGGCAGAATATAGAGCCCTGACGAATCCGGAATGGGCCGTGATGGCAATGAACATGTTGCTGTCGTGCTCCCAAATGTCATGTAGGGCTGACCTCGCTCTCTCTGCAGCTTCTTCCACCGTCTCACGTCGATCGGGCTTCCATAGCTCATCCCTCTCTGAAAAGCCGTGTTCAGTCCTCATCCAGGGGTAATTGGACTGGATCCAGCTTTTCGTGCTGCGGCGGTCGCACACGTGCACTCCGAAGCGTTCTCGAATGTTCTCCTTGATGATAGCATGGCGAATATATCTATCGTGCATGGCCCGACGGTAGATGATGTCCGTCGTCTCAAGGCAGCGTGCTAAGGGGCTCGTGTACACGCTCTGCGGATGGCAAAGGCGGTCTCTGGTGACATAAGGAGCCAGATTGCTTGCTTGTTGTCGCCCATAATCTGTAAGGTGAGCGTCGGACCAGTTTTTAAGGCCATCGCCATCGACACGCGACCAGTAACGCTATACTCACGTTTAGTACTTTGAACCGAAAGAAACATAAGGACTAGGTTGACTTACCTCCCACTCAGCCCTTCCTACTTCCTTTTCCTTCACATTGTGGTCTCCCTCGCCGTGTCTGACGACATAGAACAGTTTCCATTCAACTTTTCCCTGTCCGCGTTCGTTCAGATATTTGAGGAAATACCGGAAACGCGCCCACTTGTCCTGTGGCGTTACTGCTTGCTGATCGCGAGGAAGCTTAGAGATCTCATTGAGAAATCTGGAGTCTGTGTCGTAGGGACGGTCCAGCAGGCCTAGATCCGGGTGAGTGCGCTAAATTTCCATTAGCTTGTGTCGAAGTTTGTGTATATATACTGGGTAGACCTGTACTTACTGCTCGATAACCGGGGCCTTCAGGTTCTGTATCATGGTAGAAGTACCCTGGTACCGCGGTGTATTGCATGACCTTCATTGTCGTTGTATTGTCACTGATGTTCTTATAGTTGTTGTCGTTGTTATTCTTCTTGATGAGCCAAGATGCGAAGAGTGAGACTATGCCCAAGAAAAGAAAAACCTGTCCAAGCATTGCGACAAGCTTAAAATATATAGAAAATATTGAGGACGTCTCTACGCCCAAAACGCAAAAAACGCCAGTGAGTTTGATCCTATTCACTGACTATGAAGACTCACACTGATGGGCTGAGAGACTTGGCCGCCTGATTCACGCTTGCCTGCAGCTCTAGTTGCGCACTGCGCCACCACAAACAGTGATTGGGCAGGGTATCACAATCTTCGAGGCCGCCGGGAACAAAAACCTCTTTGTTTGCCTCGACTCAATCGATTCCGGACAAACAATGTCATTCTTCTCGACAGGCATTACCCTGAGAACAAAGCGACTCGTCGTTTATTGAGATGCGTTGCTTCAATGGCTGCATACTGTTAGGGAAGCATTGGATACATCAGATTAGAAGGGATAAACATTCAGACTATACGCAACCCAACATCTCCGAAGTCGATGAGAAGTTGGAACAGTTTTCCTATTCAACTGTGCCGCTTCACGTCCGCGATGACAGTTTCGTAGCGGGCATTGAGGGCCATGATGCTCTTGCGAGACCCTCCAAACCCTTTCGACTTCTTAGGATATTTCCGACAATCGGATTGAATGGCCTCTTAGAATGCCACATTCGCACTGCTGAATTGAATGAGACTCAGATCGGAAAATACGATGCTCTTTCATACACGTGGGGACCTACGACGCAACATGAGGAAAAGATGGGCATGAATGCCGAAAGGCGCCACATCATAATCTGCAACGGAAAACAGTTATCAGTAACAGAAAACTTATCAAATTGTCTGACGCAGCTCAGGGAGAATGGATATTATCGAGATCTTTGGGTCGACGCGATATGTATCAATCAAGACGATCAGAATGAGCGTGCCGAGCAAGTTAGTATAATGGGGGATGTCTATCGCTCAGCTGAGTGTGTGATTGTATGGCTGGGTGCTGCCGATGACTCTACACCATTGGCAAACGAGTTACTAGGGCGCTTGGACAAATTGTCGAATAGGAATCTAGAGACGATCAAGCCCCAAGCATGCGACAACAAGCATAACACCGATCTATTAGGGAGCGCAAACTCACATGAACATTGGAACGCACTCGTTTCACTTTTTGAGAGGAGATGGTTCACTCGGGCTTGGGTGGTCCAAGAACTTGTCTTAGCTCGAGAAACCAATGTGTTGTGCGGTCGCTATGAATTCGACTGGGAAACATTGGTTTCTATATCGGATCACATGGCCAAACAGACATCTGTCAACACGTATGCAAAACAATGTTCGTTCAAGAAACCTGCGAAGCTAGCCGCGGTCAAACAAGACATCCTTGATGGAACAGGCAAAATTTTACTTCGCAGCCTGATTAGATGTCGTACTTACGAAGCGTCTGATCCCCGCGACAAAGTGTATTCGCTACTTAGTCTTGTGAATCATCGAAGCAATGGCGATCTCAGGCTGAACCCACATTATGATAGCAACATTGCGGATATATACACCGGCATTGCTGAGTATCTTCTTGAAGACTCGGATGACTTACATGTCCTTGCTCATGCTGAAGGCGACAAATTCAGGTCTGTGGAGGGTTTACCGTCATGGGCACCCGATTGGAGCGTGAACAAGGACCTTGGCCTCAGAATCACCGGATATACTAGGTATAAAGCTGCTGGTCAGCTTCCAAGTTTTCAGGAGATTCGTGACAAGCACACTCTTGTTTTAAGTGGCTTCAAACTCGACACAATCAGTCGAATTGGAGAAACGAAAGAATATGTCAATGAAACCAAAGATTGCAGTGACTGGCTGGACATGCGGGACGAGCTCGAGCGAGAGTACCCACATAGAGATCACAAGGACGCATTCTGGAGGACTCTCTTATTAGATACTGGTCCGCATGGAGTGGTGCCGATTAAGAAACCCTGGGAAAGTGCCTTCGAAGTTTGGATGAAACGCTGCTCTCACGAGCCATCGGACAAGGAGAAAGAAAGGGCCAACGAGTATGAGACATCGTTCACCCATTCTCTAAACCTTTGCCTTTTAAGGACGACCGGCGGGCACCTGGGCTGTGGCACTCCGTCTTCTAAAAAGGGAGACTCGGTTTGGATCGTCCAGGGCTCAAGGGTGCCTCTGATTCTCAGACCCACATCTTCTGGGATAGGAGAACAGACGACCTACAATCTTGTCGGTGGGACATATCTCCATGGGTTTATGCAAGGCGAGGCGCTGGAAGGTAGGGAGTTTGGGGAAATTTCTTTAGTTTAGATATCTATATTTCCTTTTGTGATTTCAGGACGTCACGACTTTACGGGCATACGGATGTACGGATATAGGAGTCGGGGAAATTTGGATCTAGAGGACGATTGCTTCGATGCCTAGGATGAGGATTGGGACTCGGGGTTTATTATACCAACAGTAGTGTGTTTTTCCTATGTCATCTATATAGAGATCCTTATGATCTTGAGAAATTTACGATCGTTTCCTTTTTTGCTGGCGCCGTGTGGACGAGGAAACCGTGACATGTTAGCGCCTCACCACCGATATAACGGACATGCTAATGCATTCACCGGACATACGGCTGTAGACAATAGTACGAATTAATATATCTACATTATCTATCTACGTAGTACATGCTTCTATTCTATATGCACGCTAACGATGATCGCCACACGGCGCGGTCATGAGCTCATCACGGCTTAACGTCTCTCATAAATACTTGATATGTCGAAACCGATTTCTTCCGATTTTACTGCGGAAAACCCCTGTTAGCTTTTACAAAGACACGTCGAGTTAAGGGGGGAAGGTACTCACAACTTCGATCCACCTCGCCATCCACTTCTCGACCGTGGCCTTAGCCTCGTCGACAAGGCCAAGTTCTAAAGAGTTTTGTTAGCGGATGTCTACCTACATAATACGGGGTAAATAGAATGGACTTACCGAGGAGTAGCTGCACACCACCACGGATACCCGACTCAAGCGCGGACGCGATCCAGGCATGGGTGTAAGACGTCTGCTCGCCGACGAAAATCATCTAATATCTGATGTCAGTTTTCCCGTCCCAGCTAAGGTTAAAAAAAGGGGGGGAGGGAATGGGGGTGTGGTAGATAAAAGGGGACCTACGTTGTTATACGTCTTAAAGTACTCCGGCAAATACAACTGATGCTGGCCGACAGTCGGGCTGGCCCAACTACCTCCCTCATACGGGTCCATCATCCAGCACCTGCGGTTGAACTTGCCGGTGTACTGCTCGCGGGCGACCTCGCCGTGGATCTCGGCCATGGCGTCGACCATGTACTGGACGTGCTCGGCCTCGGGGACGGAGACCCAGCGGGCGCCCCAGTCGCCCGACGCGTACGAGGCCAGGATCGTCGCGGGGCCAGTGCAGTTCAGGCAGTAGCTCGGGTAGCAGATCGACCCGATGCCCGGGATGTCCGTCGACGTCGAGCACCCGCCGTAGATCGGGTTCTCGTAGTGCTCCCAGAAGCGCGTCTTGTACTCGAGCGCCACCTTGCAGGCCGCTTCGAACGGCATGTTCTCGATCGCGTTGGAGATCGTCGTGGGCAGGTCTGGCCCCGGGGCGTGTTAGTGTTTCGGTTTTCTGGAAAGGAGTGGGGTGGGGAGAGAAGGGACAGGGGATAGGGGATGACGGATGAGTAAAAGGAGACGTACATGGAAGCCTCATCTTCTTGACGATGGAGAAGGGCAGGGCGAAGACGGCGTAGTCGTACGTGGCGTTCTGGAACGTCCTATCGGTGAATTTGTTGCGCCACTGTAGCTTGACCTTCTTGGTGTCGCCTAGCCACTCTACCCGCTCGATCTTGCGGTTCATGGTCGTGACCTTGTCGACCAAGGGGTGGAACGACGTAGGCAGTCGGCTCAAGCCTCCATCGATGGTCTTCCAGGTCGTGGCGTTGAAGTACACGCCTTCGTAAAACTATGATTGAGTTAGTATTGCGGTACTAAATTCCCTGAGTATAGGTAGTCAGTCGACTCACGGTGTCCCAGAACGAACTTGCGCCGCCCTCGAGCACATCGGTGTCGTTCAATGTCGCGTTCAGGTAATTCACCATGTAAGCGAACTCGGACCAGACATCACCTCCGAGTCCGCCGAGGCCGTTGACTATAATCACAATAAGCATATTATTCCAAACTTAAGCAATATGGGTTATTGGACATACCTAAGAAGTCCTTGTGGGCCTTGTGCATGTTGGTTGCGATTTCGATCATGAAAGTCTCGTTGGCGGAGAGAGCGTCGATCTTGCTGGTCAAGGCCGCCGTCGACGGGTTTTCGGGATAAGTGATCTCTAAAGAGGCATTCTCCTTGATCTGGGTCACTGTTGGTGGTAGTCCATTGGCCAGCTTGATCCCGTTGTAGTAGTACAGTCCGTTGGGGCTAGATTGGTACCAGGGGATGAAGTCGACGCTCCAGTTCTTGTTGTAGTTGTTGATCTTGTTCATCTCGGCAGCCAATTGGAATACCTATTCCTCGTTAGTGACGGAGACTTGTGTTTCTCAGAACACTAGCTAATTGTAATATTAAGTTGGCGTTCTAAGGAGGTAGAATAACTCACCAGCTGGTGATCCGTGATGTTGTAAGTCTCATTCGAATACACTATCGTTTCTGGAAATCGCATGGGACCCATCTCCTGGTAAGAGTAGTCGAACGGGCCACCGGTCAGGTACTCGGTGTGGACTCTTCCACCAAGCCGTTGGGCAGCCTCGATAATCTTCACATTCGTCATGCCGGCCTGCGTGAGGACCAGGTAAGTCATCAAGCCCGACATACCTGCTCCCACGATAGCCACCTCCTTGCACTTAGCCGCCTTAGCATCGAAGGCGCTGATCTCCTTGTTCTTGAGCAGCTCGACGCCGTCGAACCACGGCCCCCAGGCGTCGATGCCGGTGGCGTTCGACATCTCTATGCTGGCACCTCGCCTCTTGAGCTTCCTCTTACTAAGCCGCTGCGGCTCGCTGCGGCCAATCAGGGTCCCTAGCTCGTCCCACGCCGAGATACATCCATCGAACCAGGCATCGTCCGGCAGGATCCATACCATCCGCGAGTCCGTCTCCCCCGTGCCGCGGCCGACCGTGTGATGAGCCTCGTGGATCGCCTTGTTGTTGCAACGGCCGTAGGTATACGTCACCTCGCCATCGATCGGAACATCAATCGATATGTGAATATTTGTGAGACGCGAGTTGAGTTCCGAGCGAGTCTCAAGCTTCACTGGAAGTGCTGACGCCGAGGCTGAGGCAGAAGCCGCCTGGCTCGCCAGAGCGGCGAGGGTTAGCCAGAACATAGTTGAGACTTGTAGTGAAGCGGGCAGAGCTGCAGATCGAGCAACCAACAACGGCCTCTATTGACGTTCTACGATATAAATATATATACCCTAAGCCTCGTCCATTTACGGTCATCCGTACCAAAAACCGAGCCTAATCTCTGCGGCCCTATGAAAAGCCGCTATCGCATGTTCCCGGGCCGAAAGCGTGGTCCGAGCCATGATCTTTTACTCGGTCGAGTAGATAGAGAATAGGGCGTGAGGGATCTCGATACGAAAAGCGTTGCTAGCCTCGCATGGTCAGCGAGTTGCTGATAGGATTACCTCATGGTAGTATTCTTCTCGATGTTTCCCCGAAGCGGTAGGTGCCTAAGATAAGGACCCGAGAGAGGACGTCAACTACGTGGCTGTCGTCGGAAAGCCCTTTCCTAGCTGAGGGGGGTAGCTTTGCGAAGTGCGAATGTAAGCTACCCTGGTTGACCGCCTTGACGGGTTGTCATCGAAGAAAGTCCATGGTTTTAGATAATATCATAACCTCATCAAACTAGGTCAGGTCGGGAACCCAACTAGCCGGACCGCGCTGCACCCTTTGGCGGGGATTCTTATCTAGGAACGTCCTGGTTGGTAAGCACGCGCCCTCCGCGTGGCTTTCGATCCGTGACTCCATAACGGGCGCTGAGTCGGACTTAGCGTGAAGTTATCAGTAATGTCCAATGGGCGGACACTGACGATTCCGGTTCTAATACCTGTACGGCGATGATAATGTCCATCTTAATGTAGGTGATGAGACGGGTACTGCCGTAAGCCTGGTCTTCGGGCCTCGACTCCACAATAGTATGGATGTGTCCAGGAATGGCAGCGATAGCAGTTATCTATAGCTGTGCTAGTTCCTAGTAGTAAAAGATAACCTATGCGGCGTTACCTAAACGCTTATTGTAACAGCCTTAATAATAATATTCTAATCAAGTCGATAACCTGGTATAACTTAGCATCTAACCTCAATTTATATGTATGTTTATTGAGATCTCGAGTGAATTAGATCGCATTGTGGATAATGCTTTACGAATGCGATAGCTCTAGCCTCACGATCCTGGCGTCGGTCAGTCCAGCAGTCGTCATCATTTTCGGAGAACAGCTCTCCCCTCATCGGAGTAACCCTAAGAATGAGTTGAGTCTTATTATCGCGCCCTTTTGTGCTGAGCTGAGCTGGGGTTGCGAGGGGGATGATAAGCTGACAAGATACCTGGTAGGTCATACTCATCCCATCCTCAAAATATGACAACGGACCAATAGGTTTGTAAAATTTCAGCGCACAACACTCCGCTCTCTTCACAGCGCGGATTTAGAGAAGTGGTGTTAGTCTTATGAGCGCACATTTGTTATAATGCCGCAACTTCACCGAGAATGGCTTACTCGAGTTCTTTTTGCCTTGGAAATAATATCGAGTCGAGGTCCAACTGGTCAAAATGAGTGCCGTAAATGGCGAAGCACAGATATGCAATAGCATGGGCGAACCAAAGAGCCTCAAAGCTATCCGCCGTATGGGGACATAGTCAGCCTGGGGATATGCGGGGGAGCTATCACGCCATCGTTTTAGATCGCTCGTCGAATTATCAAAGCAATTCCTACCCCATCCTCTTTTCTAAGCCTCCTGCAGATGCTCAGCCGACGAGGGCTATGTTTTTGCCCAATTCGACTATCGAAACTCCTCGAGCTGAGGTTGACAGTGTGAACAGAACATTTCAATCGAGGCCTTCTCTTTTCCCTGTCAACACCTAGTAACCAGGAATAGAAATTCGGGAACTTCGCATCTAATAAATCATTTAGCATCATGGCGGAAGCGTTTGCGTTGCTGAGTGGCCTTGCAGCTATCATGCAATTGAGCGGGACCATGGTGATACTGACAAGACACCTACGTGATTGCGTGGATACTGTACGCTCTGCACCGAAAGAAATTGAGTCTTTCATACTTGAGACCTCCATATTTACCGACCAGTTGTGCTACTTTCACAACCTAACGAAGAAGTTCGCCCCTGAATTGGACCAGAATGAGAGCCAGCTTAATTCGGAACATTGCAGTGTAATTACGTCAAGGATGAATTCGAATATCTTGTAACACGCTTTGTCGAAAGTAATGGCTCCGATCTTGCGCCATTCAATACGCTTTGGTCTCGAATTTTATGGTTGTGAAAAAAAACCGACATACTAGAGTTACGCCTGTGTATTCAAAGCGCGATAGGCAATCTTCTGCTACTCTCAGATTGCTTTAAGCTAGAGGGGAGAATAAGAAGCCACGCGAAAGATGATGAGATGTACGTGAAACACGATATTATTTGATGCTTCACTGCTGATCCTGTCAGTAAAATGCTCAAAGAGAAGGTCAAAGACTACAAGTCGATGGCTACGAAGCTTAAGTGCGAACTGGCTAAACGTCAGAGGCGCAAGCATCCGTCAAAAAGGTCGCCCGAAATGGATAATTTAGAGGATTACGTTGTCCGAACGATCGATCCCCAGGAACGTTTATTTGCGAAATTATCAGGAGGAAATTTCATCGAAGTAGTAACAACCGAGGATGGTGTTTGCCCTCGACGTCCGCCGTCGAACCAGAGCGAAAATGAAAGAATGGTGAAAGAGCTTTCTTCTGCTCAGGGTTACGTATTCGTTCGATCACCAGATGAAGTATAACCCTCGATGCCAACGTTACTGAGGTTGCTGATGATGAACTCACCGAACAAACGCCACAAACAGCTGGTCAACCCCGCAATAAAGGAACCCAACAAAAAGACAAGGGGGCTTCAATTTTTTTCAACTTCGCCGCAGAGGAGCCAAATTCATCCATGACGATGGCCCGCAGCTACCTGCCTTGTTGATATGCCAGCGCCTCATTCCGTGGAAAAGCGGTCAGAATAAGGAGACCCATCAACAATCCCGAAACGCCCCTCAGTGTATGAGTTGGGTGGTTCAGAGAGTAACCGCAACAATTCCGAAGAGGGCAGTTTTAGGCCATATATTAATGGCACCTTATGGAGACTATGAGTCTATGACCACAGGTGGTGAGGCAGCCGATGTGTGAATCAATCGTATTTTAATCGAAGTGAGAAACTTCCACAAGGATGATTTAGGCTTGTCTATAATTCAACGAGTCTGAGGAAAAGAGTTTCATAGAAGTTGAGGCGTTCAATAGTGTATTAAAAAAACTAAGACAGGTAGGTATGAATTACCTAATCATCTGTTAAAAAGGGTTTAAGCACCCGGTCTTAGTCCTGAGCAGACGAATAGAATAGTGGAGCCTCGGTTAAAGTTCAATATGATCGTCGGCGCGCTGTCCGCGGACAGCTGCGCGGGCTGCCCCTGACTACCGGAAAAAGCGGGCAAAAGTTAACTATGGCCCAATCCCAAAACATTGAGAAAAAAAAGTCACTAGAGTAAGAATGGACAGGGTCTCATTTACGCTTTTCTGTCCGTTACGACTTCCAATTCCAAATTGACGAGCATTAACTTGCCCGTTGTCCACTCCTTCAATTCTTTGTGCTTTAGGCGTTCATCTTAAATTCAGAAATGTCGCGATACTCTTTACGTGCGACTCCTAGGTATGTTTGCAATTCCTTCTAACATGTTTTGTGTTTTATTTCTTATTTTATTTTTTGTTCTTTGTTTATGTTGTACGGTGGGAAAATATCGCGATTCGCGTTGGAATTGCGGGCTGTGGATTGGTAGATGTAACAAAGTACGACGTCGAGGACAACGTTTGCTAACGTGAATCGTGTAATCGTAGGAAAAAGGAGCTTTTCGATGGCATGATCGAAACTCCTGGTCGCCGTTCGACGCGACGCAAATCTCAGTTCCCCCCTATCGACGGCGCGTCTGATGATGGCGATTCAAGCTCTGCCGCCGAGACTGCCACAAGCAGATCTACCAGATCTAGATCTGTACGACGTCGGGGAGTCGGCAAATTCCTAGAGAACATGGACGATTCGGATCCCGCACCAAAAGAAGAAGAATTCAGCCCCGTTCCCGATGAGAAACTGTCAGCTGTCCTTAATGATGAGACCAATGGAAATGGTAAAGAGCCAAAGATTAATGGACATACGAACGGTCATGCAAATGGTTACACGAACGGACACTCAAATGGACACGCAAACGGGCACACCAATGGAAGTGCAAAGAGTCATGTCGAGGAACAGGTCATTGATGGTTGGAAGCCAGGCATGGACCCCAAAGTCGACCACTCTGGGGTTGTCGAATTTGGAGGTAGCTTTGGAGCCTTGGCTCTCATGATTGGATTTCCCACTCTCATGTACTACATGTGGATTGGTGCTACCTACTACCATGGCAAGTTACCGCTGCCCGAGAATGGCGAATCCCTCCTCGAATTCGGCCAGCGCATGTGGAATCTTATCTACACCGGCGCATATCCTTCTTTGCGAGCATGGAAGATCTACTGGGTATACTACGTCTTCGAGGCTGCTTGTTATATGTTCATGCCTGGCGTCTGGGGTGAGGGTAAACCTCTTCGTCACGAGGGAGGCAAACAGCTTAAGTACTACTGCTCCGCGTATTGCAGCTTCTATTTCACCATCGCTGTCATGGCCGCGTGCCATTTTAGCGGCGTGTTCAAGATCTATACCTTCCTCGACGAGTTTGGGCCTATAATGTCCGTCGCCATCATTTCCGGCTTCCTGTGTGCATTTGTCGCATACTTTTCTGCCTTGATCCGCGGCGCGCAACACCGAATGACTGGCTACCCAATCTACGATTTTTTCATGGGAGCCGAGCTTAATCCCCGCATGTTCGGAATCCTCGACTTCAAGATGTTCTACGAGGTTCGCATTCCCTGGTTCATTCTCTTCGGACTTAGCTGTGCGGCTGCGGCGCGCCAGTACGAAAACTACGGCTATGTCTCGGGAGAGGTCTTGTTCCTGGTCTTGGCCCACTACCTCTACGCCAACGCCTGTTCTAAAGGCGAGCAGCTTATTATTACCACCTGGGACATGTATTACGAGAAATGGGGTTTCATGCTGATTTTCTGGAACATGGCCGGCGTCCCCCTTTCGTACTGCCACTGCACTCTTTACCTCGCCAACCACGACCCGTCGGAATATGCCTGGAACAAGTACGCCTTAGGTGCTTTCTTCGTCATTTACGTGGCGGTGTACATCATCTGGGACCAGGCCAACGGACAGAAGAACGCCTTCCGAGCCCGAGAGCGCGGCAACTTCACGAAGCGTAACACCTTCCCAGCTCTCCCTTGGATATACATCGACAACCCGAAATATATCGACACGTCAACCGGCGACAAGATTTTGGTCGACGGTTGGTGGGGATACGCGCGCAAGTTGCATTACACCTGCGATGCCTTCTTCGCCATCAGCTGGGGCTTGATCACGGGCTTCAGCAGCCCCTTCCCCTGGTTCTACCCCGTCTTCTTCTGCTGCATGATCACGCATCGCGCCATGCGGGACATCGAACGCTGCAAGAACAAGTACGGCGAGGCGTGGAAGGAGTACGAGAGGCAGGTTCCGTACCTTTTCATTCCGGTAAGCATATTGTATCTCGGCAACACAACGTTCCATTTCAAACATGGCTAACGATCCAATTTCTAGTACATCATTTAAATTATATAGACGGGTAATGTTGGATGACGCATCTTCCAGGACTAATTTTCCCGCCTTTTTTTTTTTTTTTAATGTTTCGTTTCGATGTTGGAGAGGCGGCGGTGCATGTGCAAAAAAAGCTTGTGGCGGCTCGCGGGTTTTTTCTGTGTACATATTTTCCCCAGATTGCTTACGCCCTTTTTTAATGGCTGCGAGCCAAAACGCACGGCACGGACGACGATGCTGTGGAAGAAAAAACGAGCATAAACGTACTTAATGTCCCATGACGGTCTTAATAGAATCTGATCAACCTAAATTTTGCCTGCCTTCTTTGCCTCGAAACGGTAGCAGTGAATTAAATACTCTTGAGTTTTGAATTTCATGATTTCGTCGTATTACCGAAATGCTATGCTATGGCCCTTTTCGTCGTCACGTTTATGGATAGTACCCCTTTTGACATTAACGTTTCAGATATAGACACCCATATTCCTGTCATCCCCATCCTAATCCCAACCCCATCCCAAGCATCTCTAGAACAGACACTCCCTAACCCTTCCCGTGCCCCCCAACTCATACTCGACCCATCGTCCGACGCCTCTCCGACCGGTCACCAGCACGGCGCCGGGGTTCATGACGTGGCAGCCCTCGTACGTGACGCAGAAGGGCGGCGCCGTCGGGTCCGCGAGTACCATCGCCGTCGGCAGCGGGTACAGGTGCAGCGCGCCCGCGTGGTCCCAGTGCACGGGGCGGATGGCGTGGCGGAAGGGGCACAGGTAGCCCTGGTCCAGCACCGTCTTGACCAGCTTGCGCGCCGAGTGCACGTCGTGAGGGATCTCCGGCTCGGATCTGGCGGACTTGGCGTTGGCGGTGGGGGCGGAGTCGACGTCCATGGAGTCCGCGCCGTCTAGCGCGGTTGCCATGTCTACGTCGTCGTCGTCGTCGTTAGCAGCCGCGGGCGCGGGGGTAGGCGGCTCGTTCTCCTGATCCTCGTCCGCGGACCTGGAGGAGGATTTTAGCCGCACCGCCGTGCGCCGCATCCGCGCGGACATGTCGTCGCGGAACAGCACGATCTCGTGGCTCGGGCCGAACACGGTCAGCCTGCTCGGATTCGTCGTCCAGATCGCTTCGCCGCCCTTCCTACCTTCCCCGTTCGCGTTCCCGATCCCCGCCTCCGCGTTCGCGGCTGCGAACGCCCTCCTGACCCGGCTCGTAAACAAGTCCGGCACCTTTCCCCTCGGCAGCGGGACCGCGGCCCCTCCCCCGAAAGCCGAGGCCCAGCCGTCGTTGTCGCCCGGCACGAACACGAACGAGGACGAGGAGAGCAGCGTCGGGAAGTCCGAGAGCACGGAGGCGAGCGCGTCGAAGTACTCCTTGTACTCGACGGAGGCGCCCGAGGCGCCTCCCCCGGCCATGACGGCGTGCCGCGTGAAGTTGCCCGCGAGCACGAAAGACATGGGCGTAGAGCCCTCGGGCTCTGTCGAGTACAAGGTCAGGATCTTGCGTAAGGCTTGCAGGGCCCGCGGTTGGTCGAGGTTGAGCTCGCCGATGATTATGATGCGGGTGCGGCTAGGCGCATCGACGGAAGTAGAAGTAAGAGTGGAGTCGGGGTCGGCGAGGGAAGACTGCTGTCGCGCTTGTCGAGCTAGACGTGCTTCTAGCTTGCGCATCTTAGGACCGACAGCGCGCTCGCTGCCCACGCCTAGGAAGTCAATCCATCCGAACCCGCCGCCGATGGTGTGGTCGTCGGGACCGCTGACTACGCCGAGGGTCGCCTTGCGCTTCTCGCACGGCGGTTGCCCGAGGAAAAAGCCCTGGAAGCGGCCGCCGATTATGCCACCTACGCCGTTACTGCCGCCAAGACCCTTGCCCGTCGACTCTTCCTCTTCTTCGTACACGCCGTCGACGAGCACGATCATGCCGGGCGTGAACCAAGCGGAATCTTCCGGTATGGCTACGGCGTGCGATAGATCTAGTGAAATAGTTCCGGTTAGGTCGCTTATGGCTAAGCCGCCTGTTGGGAGGACCGATAGCAACCCGAGGAGCATGTGGTGGCTGCCGTGCCGGCCGAGGAGATTCGCGATTGGAGTGATCTTGTAGGTTTGCTGGGTCGTTAGATTGGAGGAATTGGATCGTTTTAGGGATGGGGCTGCTTTGGTAGTTGCTACAGTAGAGCTTTGGAAGGATTCGTTTCGGAGAAGCCTCTGATGTATGACATTATATCTATTTCGGAATAGAGTCGTTTTGTGGGATGCCGGTGGCATTAGAGATGGTTTGGAGGGATCCCTTAGAGCACCATTAGTCTTGACACCTTATTAAACCGCCAGGGTATGTTTAGTTACTTTTCAAAGTGCTTCTTCGTCACGTTATATAGCATGCGCGGTTGATCGTATGCATTGACGACCTTCAACCAATGCCTCGGATGGTTTAGACCTTCCTCGTCCGGTTCAGCTTCTCCAACGCCTAGCCCTGACATGCCAAAACTTGTTTCGGTATCATTGCGAGATAGAGCTTTCGCCGGCCGTAGTCCTAGCCTTGTGTTTGATAAATCGAGCTCTTGACTAGAGTCTAGGCTCATACTATTTTGCCGACTTAGCTCTCGTCCGGTTACTATTCTCCCGCCACTCATGTTGCCTTCTAGCGTCTTGAGAATGTCTTTCAGCTCCTGACTGGCGCCATCCACTATAACGCCTCCATTTCGGTTCTTCCAGCTCTTGGCCACCTCTTCCAAGACCTTTTCTGCTAGCCCCTCTTCGCGCCATCCCGAACCACAATGCCGACCGATGAAGGTTGCCAATTCTTGCAGGGCAGTTGAGGTAAGTGTCAAGCTGTGTTTCTTCGTAAAGGTTCGGAATGCTAGAGGTCTTAATGTGGCGGGTGGAAGAAGAATCGGTAGGATGGTAGCCTTGGTTGGCGGCGCTATAGCGAACGGCTTGAGCGTATGAGCCGGCGTTCCAAAGGCTGGAGATGAAGATGGAATTGGGTTCGCGGGGCCAGGCGTTTTCGGTGCGAACATGGACGCAGCTAGGGATTTGTTTCCTTGCATCTTGAATGGTTCCTGCTTATGGGGGTTTTCATTGCTTTGATCTTGAATCTACCGTCAATCTTGTAGACAACGATTTGATAATTGATATTTCGATAAACCTTGAATAAAAAAGCGCGTCCACCGCGTTTTACGCATTAATGACTTAATGGCCACTAATGAGTGTGTGGGGGTGGTACGCAGGTACGTACCTCTACTGAGCGCTACACGCTAAGCAGGGAACACTACGTCAGTGAGAATTCAATCGCATCCATAGCTTTAATTTCAAAGCTCAAAGCTTAAAGCTCAAAGCTCATAATTCACAGCTCTAACCAAAACTCACGTTAACATCTCAATAGGATGTACTTCTAGTTGTTGCAACATATTCATAACATCAACATGTTATTATCAAGGGTTCGAATTGCTCCAACATGCAGGACTCTTTTATCACATCGAGGCATCTCGACACTAAGTAACAACCCCTACATAGTCAGTAACCCCTCATACGCCAATGTCGTCTACATATTAAATTGGATTGCTCACTTACAACAATTGCTCTCAAGAAAGTGTTCCCTAATGTCACGGTGGACAATGGACACCTCCTCACATATCTCGATGCCAATCCGCCGAGGCATAGATTAGCAATCGGCTCTACAACAGCTCTACCACCAACGCCTCAGTCCTTTTCCGAAAACCACGAATTCCTGTCCATATTAACGGATGTTCTTCGAAACTATGCTGCACAGGACCCAGATCTCCTAGCTCAAGCTCGAGCTTTCGCCGGGCCTGGTGGAGCGACCCTCGGCTCAGGCGGTGCATTCTTCCCTCAACAGCGAAAGCAGCAAAGAACGAAAGGGACGGCGGCCGGCCTAGGTGGAGGAGGTGGTGCTGGTGGAGGTGGCGGCGGCGGGGCAAGTGCTCAAGGAGGCGCTGGAGGTGCAGGTGTAGGAGGGCATATCCATCTCAGCGACTTGAGGAACCCACCCGATTATGGCAGAATAGCATGGCCGGAGGATATTCTGGGTAGCATCGAGGTTGATGGTTATGGGAACATCATAGGAGAGTTCCAACCCAGCGGGACCTATCGCATTGTTACCAACGAGGGAATGTAAGCTTTCGGGAATCCCCAAACCAGCATCTCCGACCTCAACTAACCGCTCATTTGCCAATGCACAGCCTAGGTCTCAGCGACTTTCTCAGGACAAAACTTGTTGAAAGGTTGAAGGAGGAGGAAAAGAAGGGATGATGCAACAAGCATGGTATGTACAAAATGTTGCACCCTGGATAAACTAACAAATCCCAATAAAGAGCTTAATATACCTTAAAAAACACTGCTTTCTTCACACACCCTAGCACACCCACGTATATATTAGGTTACTCGATAAATGTTGTCGTACTACATACTATGCAATAGGCTACTGTCAAGATGAAAAACGAAACCTAACAGTTGATCGTTTACAGCATGTATAGAAATAGAACCAAGCCTACGTATCTAAACATACCTACCTAAGTACCTGATGATAATTACGAAGTGGAATGGTGTTACATATGTATGTATGTAGGTAAGTAGTACTTAGGTAGTTGTGAAGAGGTACGTATGTGAGAGCTGGAGGACTACCTAGGTAGGTACATATGTATCTTAGACTTCGACTAAATGAAAATCGTGGGTAACGCTGGGTATTACCGGGATATTCAACTCAAGACATGCATATGAGCTAAAGGTACCTACTAGTTTGAAAAGCCCATTGTCTCAGAGGCAGGCGTCACAAGTCTCCAAATCAAAGACTTCTTGCCCTGACGATACCTGCCAATTAGGTAAGCGTACATAACCACGTATGCTAGTGGCTCTTTCTGGGACTCTCTTAACCCCAAGCGGATTTGTGGCGCCTTTCTCAGGCTGGGACAACAGGAAAGCGCTGCATAGGTCGTTCGACATTGACATGTGAGTTCTAGACTTCAAGCAGTGGCTACCAATGGTATCGGATAAGACGGACCGTCATTTCTTCCAACATACATGCATTGTTAAATGTGCTTAGCTCCATAGTTCTTCTTTTCTCTACACATCAGTCTTAGATTTAGGACTCATCAATCCTAGCTTCCCAACTTCCGTCGTAATATAACAAAATCAACCCCTTACTTCATGGGCGTTAACTACCTAGACGAGACTGTCGGCTACTGTTAGGGTAAGCTCATTCTTCCCAACGTCTGATTGCCACAGGTATCCAGGATTATTGATGTAATCTGTGCAGAAAAAAGGTTTATTGAGCCAACAATTCAGCCTTCTAAGACCCGTTAGCTAGAGCCTCAAAGCAAAGTAACAGGCTGACCTCACTCAACAACCTTGGGAGTCTTAAGTTTAGTACCTGACTTATTTCTCGGAACATTAAACACGAGGAATTGCAGGTTTTAATGCTTAATAAGTCTAAAATTCATGGCAAACACACATAAACCCACTTAACTGTCGCAAAATTGGGTAATCTATACCAATACCCAATGCTCAACGCCTAATACCTAATACAGGGTTAGCGAATGCACTAATGAGACTGCAGTTGGCGCCAAGAATCCCAGACACCAAAGTCTCGCTAAGCGTGCATCGCTACCCTACAGCTCTCTCCTCCGCTCCTCATCCCCCCCTGTTCCCCGACCCCGGCTACTGGCCCCTAGTCGAGAGCCCCTCGTTGTTAAACGTTGCTCCATGACGATTCTCATCAACCTCGCCATCAATTAGAACCCAAGAGTCATACCGAGACAAGATGACTTCCCGAGCGTTTGACGAAGAGGAACTTTCCATGTCCCTATCTCCCTCCCTAATCCGACAAAAGAATAATGGCGCGAGAGTACCCGAAATCAACGTCACTCGCCCCGCGACCGATGGCTCGAACGGCAGAGCTCGAGCTGCCAGTGTTCTTGCCGAGCAGACATCGCAGAACCGAGAGATGTCCAAAACCGACCAACGAATCGGTGCCTACAACATAATCAGAACATTAGGCGAAGGCTCGTTCGGAAAAGTCAAGCTGGCGGTGCATAGATCTACCGGCCAAAAGGTCGCTCTCAAGATTATCGCGCGTAAGAAGTTGATCAGTAGAGATATGGTAGGTCGCGTTGAACGAGAGATCGAATATCTGCAACTCCTCCGACATCCCCATATCATCAAACTGTAAGTGTTACGGCCCAGCAAAACACGAGACTTCGGTTCGCTAACTAATGCCTGACAGTTACACTGTGATTAAGACTCCAGCCGAGATTATCATGGTCTTGGAATATGCCGGTGGAGAGCTTTTCGATTATATCGTTAAGCACGGCCGACTGCCCGAAGACCAGGCACGAAAATTCTTTCAACAGATGATATGCGCTGTTGAGTACTGCCACAGACACAAGGTGGTGCATCGAGATCTGAAACCCGAGAATCTTTTGCTCGACGATAATCTCAACGTAAAGATTGCTGATTTTGGCCTGAGCAATATTATGACGGACGGAAATTTTCTCAAAACTAGTTGCGGTAGCCCTAATTATGCGGCTCCAGAGGTCATTAGTGGGAAATTGTATGCTGGTCCAGAAGTTGACGTATGGAGTTGCGGCGTCATCTTATACGTCCTATTAGTTGGCAGGCTTCCTTTTGACGACGACCATATCCCTAGTCTATTTTCGAAAATCCAGCGAGGCGTCTTCACTGTCCCTCACTGGGTCCCATCCGAAGCGGCAAGTCTCATCCGCAGGATGTTGCAGACTAATCCTGTGCAGCGTATCATCATCGATGAGATCAGGCAAGACCCTTGGTTTTTGAAGGACTTGCCTCCTTACCTCGCTCCTCCCGTCGAGGAATTCCTCAACACTGGCGTGGACCCTAACAGGGCTATCAGACCAAGTGATATCGCACCCAACGCCCCTCCCAAAATTCAGGAGAAGCTCCACAACGAAGTTACTGAGAAGATCAGTAAAACAATGGGTTACGGCAAGCGCGACGTTCAGGAAGCCCTCGAAGCCGACGAGCCGTCTGCTATCAAGGATGCATACATGATTGTCCGCGAGAATAAGCTCATGCAAGTAAATCGTAAGTCATTCGTACTTTTCCAGCATCCCTCAAATATCAGTTTCGTCCGAAGCAGTTCGGAGTATCACTAACACAATGTAGCTGCTTACGGAACGGGCACCGATAACCCCTACTTTGCAACATCTCCCCCAAATGTGGAATCCGAAGAGCAAATACGCAGCGTCGCAGAAGCCTTAGGTGACACAACATTGGACCTCAAACGCGAATCGCAATTTGATTACCCGAGTGAATCTCAAGCTAGCCCGCTCGCCGACTCGGCTCGTTCTATTACCTCGACAATCACCAGCTCTTCCCCTCGCGGATACGTGAGTCATGTTGGGATCCTACCGACAAGTCTACCTTCGCTCCACAAAAAGTACCTTGAGCGCCAGAACGCTGGCATCGAAGAACCATTAGATGCTCAACCGGTGCCCGATGTTCCTCTGCAGCCTAGAACGCCTGCTGAGCAGCAAGAAGCGGCTCGCCGCCTCAAGCCCCACTCTAAGAGCACCATGAGATTCGATGATAGTCAATTCCACCCACAGAGCATGACCCCAGTTGCCCCCAAGAGAAGCAAGCAAGTCCGGTGGCAATTTGGTATAAGATCCCGAAATGCCCCATTCGAGGCTTTGTTATGTATCTACAAGTCCCTATACAAGCTTGGCGCTACCTGGGTTGTAGACGAAGATTACGAGAAGGTGCATGGTCCGGATCCTGCGTAAGTATTGCGAAGACAAACTTTCGAAATTTGGTCATGGATGCTAATTGTAGTAGGGATCCATATGCAAATACGCCTAACGAAGAGGAGGGTAATCCGTACGAGGGCATGTCGATTGACAAAATCGACATCGAGACGTTTGATCCCATCAAGTATTATAGACTGCCTGCCGATCCTTGGCATATAGTGTGTCGCTGGAAGAAAGATGGTAAGCCGACCATTTTAGAATTTGCGAGTTCCTAGCCTAACCAACTTTTAGATATCCGAAGGACATCTGTTTCTTCCGGCAACGTTACCGCCGAAGCTGCTTCCGATGACAACACTTTTGTCTACTCCGTTATGGATAAGCGCAAGCAAGACTTCGTCTGGATGCGAATGGATATCCAGATCTATGAGATGGACCCTAAGGACAAAGTCTATCTTGTGGACTTCAAGTGCACCGGCTATGAGAGGCTCGATGGAACTCTTCTAGAGGAAAAGGCCGTCATGAGCCCCTTCCCTTTCCTCGACATGGCAGCCAGATTGATTATGCAGTTGGCCGAGGCTGATTAGAACCGGTCTCCCAAAGATACATCTGAATCTTCTAGCTCGTCGACGATATCACAGCCAGACATTGGTGAAGATTAAAGACTATCTATAAATTGCTTATTCAATATGAGATTCTCGAACTGCTAAAGGCAGCTTCGATGGATGTTGATGATACAAGGGGTCCCAGAATATGGCCAGGACGAATCGGACTTAATTTCGGGTTTCAACTCTTTTCAACGAATTTGTCACACTAATTTTTTTTTCTCTTCCGGGCGACGTCAGACGCCTAAGGCCCTTATTTGGACATACTGAAAACTCACGAACCATATAGTTGTTCGCCGGACATGAAAAAAAGTTCGGCAGGGATGAGGCAGCCGACGGTAGCATTTTGACGCGAAAAGAAAAATGGGACGGGTATACGGAACTAGGGAAAGCATCTGCGTTTGGAGTTATTGAATGAAACGTAAGGGAAACCGAAATGGAGTTTGTTATACCCCGATGGAAAGAAGGCGAGGATCTGCGAGACGATGATGACGGGAAGGGGCGTGCGACAATGCTTGTGAAGCTTTTAAGATGTTGGTATCACTAGATATCTATCTAATGGAAAAAGCTTCACCAGATTTGCGTACGTGGTAGGGTTATCAGAACCTGCAGGCAGGCGAGATAAGGTAGCTCTCGTCGATTTCTTCGAGGGCAGTGTTCGATGTCGGTTGGCCGGTAACTAGCAGGTAATCACGAATGAATGAAAAACAATGCGCCGAAATTGAGACTGCACATCGAGATACAATCCTGTTGCTTAGTAGGTATGTATGTATTATATGTAATGTAGATGCCGTCTACCTAGGTAGGTACCTACTCATTTACACCGATCTACATTACGTCCAGAACTATCTAGGGTCTAATATATGTACCAGACATCCGTCATAGACATCAAATAATATACCTTACCCAACTATCGTAAATAACGACGAAATCTAGGTACGCACTTGCCCATTCGTCTATCCGTACCATACACCCGCTTATCAATCCATAGACGCCAACCCCCCATCAGCAAGCAAAGTAAGGTAGGTAGGTAGGTAGGTAAGTAAGCATCCTAGGTAGGTACCTTAACGAGCGCCGAAATCCGCGTACAAGCTGCCCTTGGCATCCACATCCGCGACCTCGTCGAGCAGCCGCGAGCGCGCGAGCCGGTCCTCGGTGAGCTCGTACTCGGGCGGCAGGTCGATGGCGGGGGTTTCCCCGCCGCCGCCGCCGCCGTACATCATGTCGACGACGGCCTTGGCCGAGAGCACCGCGTTCGGCATCCCGTGGCCCGTGTACCCGGCGCATAGCCACAGGCCGCCGCCGTCGTCGCCGCCGGCGGAAGAGGGGACGGCGCCGACCCACGGGTGCGCGTCCTTGGAGTACCCCATTATGCCGGTCCACTCGTGCGTCGGGTGCAGGTCCTGCTTTCCGGGGAGCGGTTTTTGGTGGTGCTTTTGTTCTTCGGTGGCGGGTTTGGTTTCTTGGGTCGATGAGGAAGGGTTGGAGTTACTACTAGGTTGGGAAGCGGGATGGTGCTGGTGCTGGTGCAGCGAGAGGTCGACGACGGAGCCGAGCTCGCCGCGGAGGTACCACGACACGGCGTCGTCGGCGTAGCTGTCGTCCCAGACGGCGACGCCGCGGCCCTTGGCGTGCCGCCGGCCGCCGCCGTAGATGAGCTCCGCGGAGGCGGGGGGCCGCTGGACCAGGTAGTCGTCGCGCTCGTAGGGCGCGCCGGGCTCGCCCTCGACGTAGAAGGTGTGCTTTATGTCCAGCGGCGGGTCCGACGGCGACGCGGGCTTCTCGGGCGGCTCGAGGGCCGAGACCTGGCCCTGCGTCGGCACGATCAGCGGCGCGAACTGCGGCAGCAGGTGCGACGTGTACCCGTTCGTCGCGAGCAGCACCTTGGACGCGGCGATGGCGCCGCGCGGCGTGTGCACCGTCCATATCGACGTCGACGTCGACTTCGCGCTTTCGTGGTGGCTGCTAAGGTCCGGCGTTTCGGCGCGCGAGAGCCCCGTCACGGGCGTGTTGGTTTGCAGGTTGAAGGACCCTTTGGCCCCTCCTCCTCTTCCTCCTCCTTGTTCTTCGTCGTCGTTTGCGGCGAGCAGCCGCTCGAGTACGAAGGCGACGAGCTTGTATGGCCATAGGCTCGCGGCGTTCCATTGTACCACGGCGCCCTCGGCGTGCGGGACCCGTAGCGCGTCGAGGGTGAGCTCGCGACGCTCGCCCTCGAGCAGGTAGGCTGGGGTGCCTTCTACGTTGCTGTCCTCGCCCGGCTTGCCTTTGGTCACGAGGGCCACGTTGGCGGCCAGGTCCGGGTACTCGTCCATCAGGTACTCGACCCTGCGACGGACGGCGGCGAAGAGCACGGGCGAGTAGAAGGCGTGCACGCCGCTCGTCGTGTGCCAGTCGCACGGGATCGAGAACTTCTCGACCAGGTCCTTGAGGAAGAAGTAGTTGCGCAGCTCGAACGAGGCGACGTGGGGTTCCGAGGTGTAGATTGCGGGCTGACAGTGACCCCCGTTCTAGAGTGGTAGAATGAGTTAGTACTTTCGTAAGTAGATAGATATGTTTTAAGGGGGTGAAATGTGGCAGTGAGATGAGGCAGACGAGATTGCATGTATTATGTGCATGTAAAAGGGCCGAATCCCCAACTGGATAGTATCAAATGACTTAAATAGAATCTAGATGTGTATAGCATAGGAGGTCTCATCCTCGATGAGATTTTGGAGAATAAGGCTGAGAGGAAAAGGGGGCGTTCGTGATACGTGAGAGAAAGAGGTTGTCCAGTTCCAAGGCTCTTCTTTTTGAAACAGAAAGTTCCATCAATTAACTCACCCTGCCAGTAGCACCCCAACAAGCCTCTCTGGCCTCGACCATGACAACGTCGAGATCGGGGCGCAGCTCTTTCATGAAGTGGGCAGCAAAAGTCCCCGTGATTCCGCTCCCCACGATAACGACGTCGGCAGAGCGGGGTAACTCTTTCGTCGTTCTGTGGCCTAACAGTTTGGCCGAAGGCTCCTTGTGCCAGTATGACTTCGTCGGGTTGTCGACAGGCAAGCCAGACTGGCCCCTGAGCAGCTGAGCCTGCGACATGTTGGTGCTCCCGAGTGAGCTCTTTGTCTCCGATGAGCGGGCGGGGAAGACAGCCTAATGAAGTAGAGGCCGGATCAGTATTCGTGAGTTAGTGCAAGTTAAGTAGTTGTGATACTACATAGAGGGTTTCACATCCAGGCTTGTTGTGTTCTTAAGCATTTATAATAATGTATGTTGGTCAGGAGTCTGCGTATGAAGGTCACAGCTTAGAGAGACGGCGGGTAGCTGCGGCCAGCGGGTTACGAACAGGTTTAAGGTCAATACATGGGGTTGCCGAGCATGCCGGCTGGCAACGGGTGAAGCAGAGGCTTAATTGGTTACCCAGACGGCAACTGCCAGCTGATAAGGCGTCTTAGTCAACCAATTATATCTTCTGTGGCTCAATATTTCCTAACCTCACCTCATGAACACCTTAGGGATCACAATTCCTTTCATTCCCACTTGCCTAGGTACATAGTATGTATAGAGAGGTTTCACTGCCTAGAAAATACGTTCCACCAAGCGAAGATTCACCTACTAGGTATTCTAATGGCCGCGGCAGAGTTATGTGTAAGAGATCCGATGGCTCTTACATCCCGCTCAACCAGTCTGCCTTCGTCATTCATTACAGACGCTTGCCATCATAGGCTCACCTACTCCAATTCTATATGGATGCAAACTTTTTCATTTCTTTGTCAAAACACGATCTCGTCACATAGTAGGTACCGCCGGGCTAGGCATTCAGCTATTCACGGGTCCCCTTACCCCAGTTTCGACCGCAAACCACCTTCTCGAAATACCGTGGATTGTTATTTGACTAGATCAGATGGTTAGAGACTTGAAATGAGGCTCATACATGTGGTTGACGTACTCTACCACTGAATTACATCCCATATCAATGATGAGCCGCCTTGTCCTTTCTGCAGCGGATGGATAGATGTCCCGTAGCATTTGTTAGACAAGCGCTTGTGATAACAAGCTAGATCTATATTAGTTCCCCAGGGATTAAAATCCTCATCGGTCAATATGGGAGAGTCTGGTTCATTTACTTTGGAATATCCTATTCCCCCTCTCGCTCCCCCCTTTTCTTGCCTTAGCATGTGACATCGACATCGAGCCTTGAGAGATGTATCTACTCGCAGCACTAAGATCACTTATCGTCTTAGCTGCTCTCTCACTAAACGCATACTGTGCCTCGATTCCATCTGCGACTTCAACATTAGGTCAGCCGTCATCGATCAACAAGATCGCATGGTCAGAACAATCGCTAACGTGTTCGTTTCGGGCCGCAGAAGACTTCGAATTCCTCACAGTTTTGACAGCACCATCATCGTCGCCACTCAAACAAGAGTCCAACTCAGGAGGAAACGATTTCGGGGTTAAAGTGAATATTGGTATTATCGTTTCCGTCGCAGTTATATTTCTCGTGATACTTGCTCTCGTCGTATGGAAACGATGGAAAGAAAGTCGCGATTTAGCAACTAGGATACCAATTCAGGAACAATTTAGCGGCTTACAAGGAGCTCCAGCGGACAGAGTTCGGGCGCAGCAAATACACGAAATGGATGGAAATATTCAACGAGCAGAATTGTCAGGGGTAAGAGACCCCTCAGAGCTACATGATACGGGGATCTGTGCGGAATTACCTGGCGACCACCGGTTTCCCGAAAAGACAAAAACCTGAGGCGACAAGAAGAAAAGAAGCCTATTTGCCAAACCGATATTAAATAGATCTCATCACCCTAGCCATCAAAACTAATACCCACCGCTGGCCGGTTCCTATCAAAACCTCGCAGTTAACCCTCGCCAATAATCCACTCGCTTCTGGCCGATATATATGAACTACCCCGACTCTTCATCACGCTCGCAATTCCATGTATGACTACCATATATTTAATAGATATCTTGCGCCCGTACATAGCTGAAGGGAGCGTTCATTAGAAATATAAACAGTGCCACGACGTTGTCTATATATACAAAGCACTTTCTCTGTTTACACGGTATCAGCATTGGAACCACAACGTCTTTTCGGGTGTTGTCAAACTCACCGAAGTCATTGGTACCTAGTTTCAGTTTGGCCAATGAATGGGGTTGGAATTCGGGGTTTCGTAGAGTCCTGGGCAGGTTATTGCCCGAGTCAACGCCTTGGTAGATGGGGGCTCGTACTCGCCTAGCTTGCAAATAATGGTTATATATATAGGGTAAGTGAGATAAATACTATATACCTACCTGGTGTAAATTAGGCGCTGCGGTTTATCTTGTTTAGCATTAAAGATATTACCCAGACATCATGCTGCTGTCATTATGAATAGCTCGAAATATCTGGTAAAACTCGTATGCCGTTTATAGGGCTCAAGATTCTACATAAGAAATCCTGATAGTCAACAACCCACGTTCTACAATGGACTACGACATATAACTCACAAGTCTCTAGCCTAGACATAATCGGATATGTGGACACCTTCGTCACATGCAACTCAATTAAAACTTAACAATTTATTGAAAAGTATGAAAAGCCTTTTCCCATTTGCCATTTTTCAGTCTAGCTCCCTAGTAACTAACTAGCGATGCATGCCAAATATACCGCGCGAAGAACCCATATGAAGACAGAAAGTCCTGGTGTATCAACAGTAGGTACCTTTCTATCGAAACGCAGCTTAACCTTGCATCTTCTTTCTCTTGCCGACCTGGGCGGAGAAACCGGTCTTGATGGCGGTGACGGACCGACGGGATCCGCACGAATTGCAGGTGATGAAGTAGAGACGGTTCTCTCCCTTGTTGAGTTCTGTGTCGGGAGATCGGCAAGTCTTGCAGGTGACATACTCGACTATTGCTAGTTAGAAACGAAGACGGCTAAAATTAGTGAAAAAAGGGTAACTTACTGATGTATTTTCGCAAAACGTTCTCGATCTGCTTCTGCTGGAATCGTCCCTTGATAACCAATCGTCTGCTTCCGTCAACGGAACCGTTCGTACCCAACTCGGCGAATAGGTAGGCGGTAACGTGCTCCTCGCTTCGCTTCATTCTCTTGGTGATCTCCTGGATGTTGGCGAAGATGGTCTTCTTGTTGCCTTCACGTAAGCACTGCGGAGGCGGGATCTTGTAGCTTCGGGTGCCACTTGAGGCATGGTCGGGGTTCTTCTGAGCCAGCAGGCTGAAAAAGCGGCTGAGAAGTAAGTCGTAGCTAATTGCCTTAGTCTCATCGTGACTCCAGATACCAGTTCCCTTTTCCATATCTCCACTTTGCTCTTCGGCTTTAGAATCGACAGCGCCCTCTGCGTCACCACCTTCCTTCTCAAGATCGAGCGCCGCAAGCTTAGCGGCGAATTCGTCGCCCTCGCCAGCCTTAGGAGCCTTCTTCTTCTTTTTCTTCTTCAGGGTGAGGTCGAGGCCGCCGGCGTCAGCCGCACCGTCGGCAGCACCGTCGGCCTCGGCCCCGTCCGCATCCTCTGTCTTCTTAGGCTTCTTCTTCTTCTTCTTGAGAAGATCGAGTCCACCTTCTTCGGCGAGAGGTGCGGCGTCGTCGACGGGAGCTTCTTTCGCATCAGTAAAGGCCCCAAGAGCTGCTGAGAGCGGCGGCGTACGGGGAGTATGAGAAATAGCGGTATCCTTTGTCTCTTCGGAAGCCATGGTGACTATTTTACCGTCGGGTTCGACTACGAGGGCTTCGGAATTAAAGACGACGGATTTTCGTTGCTTGCGGTCGGGAATGGAGGGACGTTCCTGCTGTTGGTTAGATTCGTGTTAATAAGAAGATAATCTAATTAAACTAGGTAGAAAAGTGAAAGATGAGGGCTCCAGACGGGAAAGAATTGGATCGGATCGAATGCGCTATGGTCGGATTGTCAACCTGTTGATGTGGAAGGTTGAAATGTGTTGAATATGCGTATGTGAGGGTTACGAAATTAGGTATGTAGAGTAGAAAGTATGACTCTTCCAGTGACTCTTGCAGTCTCGGAATTTTCAATGTGGCCCGGAGCGGTACTTTGGTGGGGCAAACTGCCCACAGTACTTGTCATCTTATCCCATACAAATTTAGAGGGGCAATGATCATCCTTCCCTCTGAAGCCCCTCCTTTATCGCTCGTGGGGGAATTTTTAAGGTTCTCCAGCGCGGCTAGGGCATAGGCCAGGTACAAAGCCACTGTACCTCTAGGCCTCTGCCTCTCCAGTATCTCGTAGGGAGGGGTCCAGTGTTACCAGTAAAGCTTGTACGTTGCGAAACGCCGGCCCCGATCCCGATCGAATGCGTTGAGGTCGAAATCAATCAGGCAATTTCCATCCCGCGTTCCTAAATAGGAGGCTTGGAAGGATGGAGAAGGCGAAAAGCAAAAGGAAAAGAGACGAGTCAAGTTTAAACTTACAGTATCCGCTGCCGCATCTGTCGCATCCATCCTTGCTTTATTTTACTTTTCTGCCTTTTTTGCCAAAACTATCCTATCCGGTCGTGTCACTCCAATTTCTCGATGCCCGAATCAAGAATGCGTTGCAGGCTCGATATCACTTGTGGTGGCGATTAAGACGGCGTGGTGGGTTGATATTGGGAGTTGTGCAAGTCAGACGGCGGATGTGGATGGTGGGAAATAAATATTGACAAGCTATTCCCCTTTTTGCGATTTTGCGACTGTTCTGGCCTGACTCCTGATGTTTGTGAAATGGCAACAAAAGTCAACAAAAGTCGGGTTTGAGGTTTGTGAGTATTTGGAAAGAGGAAGAAACAGAAAGGACGCAGGAGCTATCCTATGACGTTTAAGCCCTACGATGGAGATGGATAGGAGTTTGTTTCGCCTGCCTCGCCTTCTATTCTCTACGCCGTCTTATTGGACGAACACGCCATTTTGACTTCAAATGGGGGGCCCTTTCCCTTTAGAAGCCCAAGCTGATAACAGCCCGTTGCCAGCTTGTGACTCAGCACGCTTAACTGAGCTGACTGAGTTACCTGACCCCCACATTAAATAACGTTTCCGCCATTGCCCACCTGTAAGTGAAAACTGGCCAATGATAGGCCAAAATCACTCGGCATATGGGCCATGTATTTCCAGGTTGATCCGTAAAAGCGGTACATGTACGTATTGTACATCATATCGGTGCGGTAGCTTGCCTTGCAACAGCCACAAGTAAAGAACTCGTTTCAACATTTGTTCAACAATCTCAAATTTAATAACTCAGTTGGGCTGCGCATCGGGGACAATATCGTAGTCCCAGTTCTAGGGCGCTCGAAGGCTAGTAGGGCTCAATGCATCGGATCTGTTAGCAGTGGCGCCTCGTTCGCTGCTTTTCTCTCGAGCCTGGATTATCAGGGTTATTTAGCATACCTAGGCGTCCTCAGCCTTTGAGATCACCGAAATCACCATCGAACCATGTCTCTCTCAGACTCCTTCACCATGCCCGACGTTCCCGACTCCGACCAAGACGAACTCGATTCTCTCCCTTCCACCTCTACCGAGAGTTTCACCTCCGACGACGATTACAATGCGCAGAGGGAATGGGAGCAGAGCATAGAGCAGCTTCAGTTGCTGCTGACTATGATCTTGGTGCCGTTTGCTGGTAAATATCTCGGTCGCAAATTTGCCTACTGGAGTATGATCCCGAACTATCTCCTAATCGTTTCTCAACTCTAACACCGCTGTAAATAGGTTGGGCGAGATATATGGAATGGATGCACAACGTTGAGATCAGGTGGACGAATAAGGCGACATTTAAAGCTTCAGGCGCGGTCGAAGCAGCGGCGACGCTCTAACGACCGGATTTCTCCCCTATTTGAATTCGCGAGGGGTGGACTTTTGCGGACATGGTCCGGGAGACACCCTATTTGTGTATATAAGGGTATTCGCTGTGGATGGAGGATCGTCGCCCCAAAAAGACCACAGCGAAATCGCAATATCGCATTAACGTCTGCATCTTCAGCTGCTCGCATCCACCTCGTGAATGCTTTTCCTGTTCATGTGAGGTCTCTGCCGAGTAGATCCGACCCAAGATTTGCAGAGAATAAGCTTATTAGAGTTCGAGGGGACCCTTTAATTATCTTATTCCTGCATCCTACTCAGGGGAGCTTCTATCGCGCCACGATAACAGCCCACGAGGATCCGTTTGTCCAATCATCGACGTTACGGTGCATGATTGTTTGATCAACAGCTGTGGAAGGCGTTGCAGGCCCTCCCAACCGGTTGGATAGCCCAATGATACCCAGGGGGATAACTCTCATTTCAACGAGCAGTGCACATCGCCTCCCCAAATGGTAAAAATCCCCATTTACGATAACCATGTTTGATTCCGAGACGAGATATCCCATGTATCATAGGTTCGCCCGTGATTGGTATTTTCCCTCTACCTAGGTGGGTTTATCCAGTATGAAGTCATGATATTAATAGACCCGGCAAGAAGACCTTGGATGCCCGGATCAGCATTCAGCCGCAACATGTGCTGTGAAATTGCCCGGGCAGCCATGCATTATGTATGCATACGATTCTGAGGAATTACGACACTGGAACACCTTGGACAACTATCATTGAAGGGTTACTTGGACGCTTACGTGATTTTAATTGGAGCGGTGACCTGTCACCACAACTCAGTTGTTTGAAGTTTGGTGTAAAGGCCGATTCAATCCATCCGTGGTCCTTCGGATCTCTCACCTCTAGTACGTATGTAAGTAGGCAATCTTTAGCGCATCCACATGTGATAATCGTCGTGGATTGACCTTGGGTCTTGGCACTATGATGGCCGTTTAGAAGGGTCGAGGCTCGATATCATCCACGTAGTAAGTTTTGAATTGACAGGTTGATGGTAACCGCCCACGTGTACCGCACTATCCAGATATGACCACCAGGTCACAAAAAATAGAATATAATAGACAAAGACCTTGTTCTGATCTTTGCTGAGTATTTTGGGATTGTACGAAAACGCTTCTCATGAGCCATGACAATCCACTTCATCAAATTACTCTGTATCATTACACTCATGCTGTTCAACAGAATCAACTCATTACATATACGATATCCGCGAGACGCCAAATACTGCCAATATGCTGCACACTACAAACCGAAAACGAAAAGATCGTTTCGATTTCTACCAACAATACATAGATCAAGATATATCAACAGAATTTTCAAAGATGGTACGGCCAGGATTTCCTAAGCACGACCTCTACAAAGTCCTAGAAGTCGACAGCAACGCAAGTTTAGACGACATCAAGAAGGCATACCGAGAATTGTGCAAGAAGGTACACCCAGACAAAGCGGAAGGGGGAAACACGCCGGAGAATACTGAGAGGTTTCAACAGGTCCAAGAGGCCTGGGAAATTCTCCGTGATGAGATCCTAAGACGAGAGTACGACCAGTATCGTGCCAGCAATGGCAAGGACAGCAACCGCCGCGAAGACAGGGATAGCAGTTCCGGTCGCCGGCGCAGGGAGCGGAGAGAACACAAAGAACGAAGCGGTAAGAAAGAGCACAACTCCCGCGGCAGCGCAAGACCAAAGACACCAAAGACAGATCGAACTCACAGCTATCAAGATGACACATACGAGCCCAAGCCGAACCGCAATAGAAAGCCCTACTGCGAAGACTGGTCAGAAAGCGATCACCGCGACGGTAGCAAGTCGTACGGATCCGGGTCGGAACCAGGCAGTTGGCACTACGGCGCACCACCATTTTACGGACCGGGAGGGCCCCGATCACCACCTCCGCCGCCACCTCCGCGATATGACTCCTACAGCCAAGGGTACACCGCTCGCAACCCGCTCACCATCAAGCTCGAAGACCGCATTATAGCTATGCGAATTCGAGTCGACTTGAACCAGGCCAGCCAGGACTTAGACAACCTACAAGCCGACTTCAAGAGTTTTATGGCGAGTTTCACGGCGCAGTTTAATTTCGCGGATGGCGAAAAGCGTCGTTGGGGCATAATGTTCGAGGACATCATGGTCGGCATCGATTTTCTAGAGGATACATACAGCGTCCTGCACACCCGATTGGAAGCCGTCGAGACTGGTCACGGGAATATCATCATGACTCTCGACCTCCCGGAGCTTCTAGGCATCTTCGTGGCCCACATCACCAGGATGAAGTACTCGCTTACAGCAGCACTCATCATCCTGGGTCAGCTATCTGGCTATATGCCATACGAAGCCGAAGGACGTCTTCTCAAGTCTTTAGAGGGCCGATTGTACGTAATGGCGGTCCCTGCATGGATGCCCACAAGCCATGAGGCACCCGCGATGTAGACGAAGCTAATTGTGTAAATAGAAAAGCGATGCAACACTGTACAACATTTAATTCATCCTGGACCTCATCTTGAGACCCCACCCCGTTATAGAATAGTGGGAGGCTCAAAGAATATGGAAGAGCCGCGTACAAAGTAATGGGGTTCCAAAAGTCTGTATGATAGTTGGGCTGGAGGGCGTTAGCGATTATTATAAATATCATTAGGGGGAAGAGTAGAGTCAAAAATGCCTTTCTTTTTGGAGATTCGACCGAATGTTCTTTGTCGTGAAGAAGCCTTACTCCGATCTTTGATCTCGGTATCCTTGCTGTTATATAGAATAAAGATGCCGAATTTTGTGTCGTACGAGCTAGATTTTACTGTGTCGTCCAAGTATTGTTGTCGATGTAAGTTCATTCTCCATAAGCCTCGCGACAGCTGATTGGCCAGGATGTGGCTAGCATGAAAGCGAAAAGAGGAATATCACACCAGGATATGCACCAAAACTGGGAATTATGTTATGCAAGCTGGTAATAAGCTCCGCTAGCCAGCAATACGATGGTGGCCATAGCGTGAGACTCCCTTGACACCGGACTAGTTTTAACTGGCCAAATAGCCAGCCTAGTATCAAGTTTTAAACTTGGCTTGCTAGCAATGGTCGATCTAAAATGACGGCATAAAACCCACATAGATGCGGTAGTCCGATAGCCAAGAACGAACGGCTGCAGCATGTCAGTGAAAGTCAATTCCTTAACAGGAAGTTTGCATAAGCTAGCCTACATGTATGGTTACCATTGAACGCTCGGATTGCACCTATGGTTTGTGGTATGCGCTCTCAACATGCAGAACGCGATAGAGATGGAATGATCAGTGTTAGAAGTAAAACAGTTTGAAACCCGAGGAAGGCTGTGTAGATGTAGGAGATTCAATGAACTAAGATATTACGCTGTTGAGAAAGTTTAGCGACGATCACGAACTGGCCCAATTTTGAATACGAATCACTTGGCTGGAAGAGAAAGAAAATGCGACGAATTAGGTCGTCGACATAGGCACCCGTTTTAAAAACTTAGTGGATCCCGGGACGAGTTAGTTTAAACGAAAGGCAGTGACGGAGGACAACTACACGGTAATTAACCACGGCGGACAGGGATAGCAGGTGCTTCCGGATTTTTCTCACTACAACCACCCTCCTTGCCCTGATTGCATCCTAGTATCCCTTACTTTCGTTCATGTAGCTCCAATATGCGGCTCTCACGGAATTTTATTCCAAGGTCGCGTGTATCCAGTGTCGGCCAAAGAAACTCGGCCAAATCAGGAGCATGCTATCTTCCAAGGCACTAACTAGTTTTTAGTTTTTCGTCTTTAGTTTTTGAAAGCCCTGGCTATTTTTGTCTGTACAAGATTTGGCCTGATAACTTGCTGTATCGTATGTACATATTCGTTCCTGCAGATACGTCAATTTACACTAGGCGCGCCACCGCATGCCTCTAGGTATTCGTTTCTGCATCTCCAACTGTACCTTGGCCCGGAGCTATGGAATATGACTGGGCGAATTTCGCTCGTTGCCGGTTATTTGTGTCACCTGTGACGATGTTGGAGACACACCCTCCTTCCCCTTTTGCTGCTGAGTGGCCAATACCCTGCTTTCAACTTGCTTTGCTGAGTGCCCCTTTCCTTGTTCCGAGGAATCAGAGAATACGCACCTGTGGTATCTTTTAAAGCCAAGGAAAGGGACTCCTTAGCATTGTCGCACCTTCTCTTGTCATTCCTCGGTCCACGTCAGGAGGTTTTTCTCTTTCCACCTTTCGACTTTTCCACTCGTTGTTACTCCATCTTGACTCTTCCCTTTCTCAAGGACAACTCACTCGTTTAATGTTGTCCCAGTTTCTTCCACTATATCCATCTTCATCAACTGTTTGCTCTTGATTCTTCCTTTAGCAACCCTCACTCGTTTGGGATTGCAATTCAACGCGTACTTTATCTTGCTTAACGAATACTACACCACCAATCTCAAATCATAATAGCCAATTGATTATTTAGTGTCACATCGACATCATAATGCGTTCGTTCGCTCTCGCGTCCGCTCTGGCGGCGGCGGCGGCTGTGGTCCAAGCAGGGCCTACCCCTACCGAACCCGAGTTGCCAAAACGCGCTGATTCTTTGCCCACCGTGACCGCGTCTGGCAATGGTATAGTCCCAATTATCCGCATGTAGATAGCAAAACGGATGCTGATTATAGACGGTAGCGTTCTGGGCCGGTGATAAACGATTCTATGTTCGAGGCATCGACTATCAGCCCGGTGGTTCCTCTGCCAATATCGACCCTCTTGTTGACGCCGACACTTGCAAGCGAGACATCGCTAAGTTTCAACAACTCGGCGTCAACACGGTCCGTGTCTACTCTGTAGACAACTCCGCCGACCACAAAGAATGTATGCAGGCTTTGAACGATGCTGGCATCTACTTGGTTCTCGACGTCAACAACCCCCAGTACTCCATAAACCGAGACTCGCCGGGTCCATCTTACAACGACGTCTACCTTCAGAGCATCTTTGCCACCATTGACGAGTTCGCCAAGTATGATAACACGCTCGCTTTTTTCTCCGGTAACGAAGTTATCAACAAGCCCGCGTCTGTAAAGGCTGCCCCTTACGTCAAGGCTACTACTCGTGATATGCGACAGTACATTGGTTCGCAAAAGTACCGCAAGATTCCTGTCGGTTATTCTGCCGCCGATGTTAGCCAGAACCGTATGCAGACCGCACAGTACTTCAACTGCGGTACTGAGGACGAGCGTAGCGACTTTTTCGCCTTTGTGAGTATATTTAAAATCGTTCGACAGTTTAGGAGCTGACATTTCTGATGCAGAATGATTATTCTTGGTGTGCTCCGTCCTCTTTCGAGCAATCGGGTTGGGACCAGAAGGTTAAGAACTTTACTGGTTACGGCATACCCATCTTCTTGTCTGAGTGGGGCTGCATAACAAACGGCCGTACCTTCGAGGAGTTGAGTGCGTTGATGAGTGATCAGATGTCTGCCGTATACTCGGGCGGCTTGATGTACGAGTACAGCAGAGAAGGGAATGGGTACGGTATTGTCGAACTCTCCGGAAATTCTGATACAGTCAAGGAGGAGCCCGAGTTTTCGGCCTTCCAGTCAGCTTTGAGCAAGTACCCGGCACCTACTGGAGATGGCGGATTTACGTCAACCACTGCATCGGTTGCTTGCCCGACTGTCGACGATACTTGGGATCTCGAGGATTGGGGTGCCAGCGCACTTCCCGCCATCCCTACGGGGGCTGTCAAGGTACGTAGATCGTTCTAGACCTTCTTTTTAGCCATCAGTGTAGAGAACTAACAAACTCGTAGTACATGACTCAGGGAGCCGGTACTGGTCCGGGCCTCAAAGGTGACGGTTCCCAAAACGCCGGAGGTACCTCGACGGGCACTGCTTCACCCGGCTCCGGCTCCGTTACGGCGACCGCATCGGGCAAAAACGGCAGCGGCCGACCAGCTCCGCCGATGGACATGAGCATGTTCGCTATTGCTGGCGTTGTTGGTGCATTCACCCTCGTCGGCACTCTACTTTTGTAGAGTAGTCCTAAATCACTTTTTTCTCTTGGGAGAGGAAGAAATAAACTTTCCCAAATCATCGGTACGGGGTGTAGGGGCGTTTAATAGGCTTGGCCTTCACGCTCGTGCTAATTGGATCATCCTGGGGGGATAGGCACCTAGCTAACCTTACCGGGATATAATTATTTTTGGGTGCGGCACAGCAATCCCAACGTGAGGTTAGGGTCTGTACAAAAAACCTCAATGATTTTCCAACGGAAGAACACATAATTCGGGCATGGAACATGGACGGACGGACGGACGGAAAGGAACGGATGGATATTAGAGGTGTTATTCTGGAGCTGGCCTTGCTAGAGGACGATTGAAATCACAGAAATTGGTGAAATATAACATCCCCTACTTTTGTTCTACTGAGTGGCTGTACAACCGTAATCACTATAAAAATAGAACTCGGCTTATATGACGTTGATGGGCTTTACTCCGCTACAAAGAATTAGGGGGCAGCTTGCCCCTTTATAATATTATAGATATAGGTAATAAGTAGGTAGGTGCACTAAATTTTTAACCTTTGCAACACACTAGCCCTTACAGCCAACTATATGCAACGCTAGATGCAAGATATTATGTTCGAAGTCTAGGTATATATATATATATCCGATACCGAATATATACCTAATTCTCGGTACGATTTCCTAGCGCATTTTGCCCAGTTACTCGTCCATTTTCCCTGTTCCTTCTCGGATGGATATGGATGTCGTCTTAGATAGGCAATCAATTAGATGGCCGTTTCGGGCTTCCGCCCATACACGACCTGGACCTCTATGTACGGCGACTTTCGCGTGTCGCGCAGCTCCTGGCGCACGCGGTGCAGGTACAGGGTCACTTGTTCGCGAGACCAGCCCAGGCCGTTGGTGAAGAGGTACAGGACGAAACCTACGGAAGGAGAGATTGGAGGTTCTCGTTAGTTTCGAGTTTACATTTGGATTACGGGCAAATTGGGTAAGTATGAATAAAGGGTTATGGGGTTCAGGTGATGAGAAGCAAAATAAACGCACCCTCCATGCCCTCCTCCATGGCAGACCTCGCGTACAGGCCGACCTCCTTCAGGTGCGGGTCCTGGGAGAAGGGGGTGAGCGGGCACTTGTAGCTCTTCATGACGATGTCGGTGAAGCCGGCGCGGTGGAAGGACTTGACGATGATGCCGTCCTCGACCATGTTCATGGGCCGCGGCCCCTCGTAGGAGCGGGCGCCGTACTTGCGGGCGGCCTCGGTGAGCAGGGTGGCCCACTCGGAGAGGGCGGAGCCGTCGTCGGCGAGGATGGAGCCGTCGTCGCTGCGCACGTACGTCGACGGCTCGACGGACTCGGCCCAGCCGCCCGGGCGCAGCGCCCGGTAGACCTCCGCGTACAGCGCGTCCCAGTCCCGGATCGCGCCGAACAGGTACCGCACGTGCACGAAGTCGAAGGAGCGCGGCGCGTACGTCCACGGCGACGCCGTGCAGTCGTCGATCTCGAACCGCAGGTTCACGGGCACCCAGAACGGCTGCGTCGGCGAGATGTCCGTCCCGATCACCTCGCACTCTTGGAAGGCGTCGGCGAAGTCTCTGTGCGGTTGCGGAGGGTACGTGTTAGATAAGAGATCTTTATTTTTATTTTATTTTTATTTTTATTTTTATTCCTGGTTTGGGGGGAGACTAAGGGGTAGTGATTTACATTGTCCAGAGTCCTGGGTTAGGCTTGTTAGTATTGTGTTAGGTAGGTAGGTAGGCCAGGGTGGTAAGGGAGAAGGGAATAGAATGGGTAGGTAGATATAAAGTCGGCGTGCTTTACCTGTTCCGCATCCGACGTCGAGCACCCTCTTCGGGTCGTCGCCGATGGGGGCGAGGAACAATTTGTCACCAAATAAGAGCGTAAGCGTGTGGTGGCTATGCAGGCACAACTGAGAGTCAGCATCGAAATCTTGGGGCCGTTTGAGGGAGGTACCTAACAACTTACGAGAGATCCATGGAATTTGCTTGTATTTCATCGTTGGGTCCCCTACAGAAGTTAAGCGCCGAAAAGGGCGATATGTCAGTTTGGCGCCATGATGATTATTTGCAGCGGGATATGAGGACGGTACCAGTAGTCTGTGTTTCCCCTCTGGCTGTGAAATCTCCGTCCATGGATCGTGCGGTACTCGAGGATGCTGGCCGACAGCGAGGCCGTCGAACTCATACTATTTTTCTCAAACCATAAGTACAAAGCCCTCAACACCGAGCTCCTAGTTTCTTTCTCACTCACGCATCATCGCCCAACGCCGAGTCTAACTCGTAGAATTGGGCATCGATATCTGGCTAAGAATTCGCACGTTAGTCTCGACAACGGAACGCCTGGGTTTTCGGGGACTTCGGACTATGATGGCATCGCGATGCGTACCTGTGACTCTAACCACCGTGTAACAGCGGCACTATCCGTGGGGCTCGACAATACCGGGCCGACAGGTGGTCGAACGGAGTCGGATGTAGGGTTCTTCTCCGCTGCCGGCTCGTCGGCCGTGGCGTTCGGGTGATGCGGCATTGTCTGGTGACTAACCAGCCAAGACGCGAGTTCGCCGAGTTCGCCGACCTAACACAGACGGGGTTGACGGGGAATTATGACGGATGTGGGGTAGCAATGGAGAGGTGACCCTGGGGAAGTTCGACTAGTTTAATCTAATCGAGCGGAAGGAAGAAGAATTAGCGTAAGTGGGTGATGCAAAGGCGATCCCTCAAGGCTAAGGGCTTTAGAGGGGCAGTTGGCGGACGGCAGTTCGAAGGAGGAGAGATTGCGTTCGCTTTTCCCTTCGCCTTCGCTCAACGGGATGTTGCTGTCCTAAGTAGCGTCAGTTGCCCGTTGCACGTTGACAAATGATGATAGAGAACCCCAGAGAACCCCCCCTGTTTCCAAGGGTGCTTCTCTTTTGAGGAATGTATGTATAGGTAGGGGTGTACGAAAGGATAACGCAGAGGACAGGCAGAGCATAGGCGGGAAGATGGGCACTTCTGCACTCGCCGTCACTTGGGTAGAAAGAAGAGAACGACGCAGGACGACAGGACGACAGGACGACGAAGGACGATCGACAAATTCAAGCATCGGAGATTCGCGTCCTCGTCCGCGCAGTGCCCGTAACCAGCCGTAACATATCGTAGACTTGAGACGTGGTCTGCTCTCAACCAATCCGGGATGCTCGCCCGCCCAATGTCGCCGATCCCTACTTTGGCGAGAGGATATTATCTCGAGCACACCATGTTAGTCCAAGGGTCTGACGGCTTACATAAACGCGACCAAGCAACCCATACTGCCCATGTTTCCAATTTTTCCATGCCTTAGGGTATCATCGAGAAGCTGGAAAATGGGGGCTTCGATGGAATTTCCCGAGCGGCTGCCGGTTCTTGAGGCTGGACGACCTGCCTGCCGCGGGGCCATCACGAGAAAATGCGCCCAGGTTGCGGACAAGGGCCCAGGCCAGGGAACCAGGGTATACGGACTCGGCAACGCAACTCTTCATAAAAAAGACCCCGGCGAGGCAATCCCTGTAGCCACGCTTCTGCATGCGGTCCTTGGTCAAACAGCGGTTCGTGATTTCGGCCAATTTCGAAGATGTCCGCCTTGTCGATTCAAATGTCAAACAGCGAACTTGGGGGCTGCCAGGCTGCTCGAAGGAGATTCAGGGCTGGCGAGTTAGCCGATCAGGAATAGTCTATCGTCTTTGCCCCCTGCCGCTGCTGCTGCACCCGCAGAAAATCATATCAGTGCTTGCATATCTTAGTTGTTGGTCTGAGACGCAAATCCTTGCATATGTAGAATGCATGCAATGTGACAATGCCTTTTTTCGACGCACGGTTTCAACATTTATAACTTTTGCCTCTCTCTCCCTCTCACCTCGGACGCTTCTGTCTGACGCAAAAACCCAGCTAGTTCAAATCATGCCGCAGCCTCCCCTTCAATTTGGCTCATATTGGTCGCCTTGGGCTCCGAGCAGAACCTATATATGAAGAGATATTAAACGAACGTAGCAGCGATGTCGTGCAAGAACAGTCACGAGGTTGCACTGCATACTCGTGAAGGACGCGTTGGTTGGACGGACTTGTTTTGAATGTCGCCTTATCCGTTGTTTTCTTTCGTCTATCACTGCGTGCGTGCCCACACAGCGGCATAGCTCATCCCACGACCGTGATCCTTCGGTCCGATGTCACTGATTCGTCGAACCCGATGCAGAAAAGACATATAGTCAAATATTCGTAGTGGGACGATGAGAGTCTATGTGCGGGCGCCACCTCATCCGTCGCCTTTCTCCGAAACATAATATCTTGGCTATTTGACACCTTGGCTGCTTGAAGAGTGGATGCTATGACTGCGGGTAGATCCGCGCGCAAACAAGATGGAGGAGACATGGGTTTAAGGAGTCATGTACGCGAGGCTTTCTTTGTTATCCTGACTCCTAAGGATGTTGGACCGTATGTAGGTAGGTAGGCATGTTGTCGAGCAAGTCATAAGGCGACGTTGACACCAGATACTCGATGACTAATTCTATAGGTAAACAGCCAGAACACCGGACACGAGAATGGCATCCTGGCCCCTTTCGCGTGTTATAGCATGAAGATATAGACACCTACGAAAACTAGTTTAATTAACAAAAATCTACTTCATCATGAACCTGAATTTTTTACTTGATTATAATTATGGTGACGGTTGATTCAGGGGCTGTTACACAACGATACCTATTTACACATGTGTCGACTACTACGCAGTAATCTCTGATAACTTATTACGAGCGAACTCTTCAGATTACACAGGGAGATTAGAGGTCCTCAGTGGTCTGATATTAACTGGCGTAAGTGACTACACTAACCGAATCCCAGGATATAAATACGTATATTAACATGGACAGTGGGTTTGTTTCGCGTCACCTAAGGCTATAATAAGAAAAAAGTTTTCTATTATAACATCGAGCCAAGGCTCTATAATTGGCCGTCATGCTTGTAAATGCAAGCTACCACGTAGTTCTCTTCCACTATCCGGGTAACCATACCTAGTATAGTCACCCTTGACACCTGGTAGGCAACGTAGGTACGTATGTAATACTACCTACTAAATAAGTAAGATATTCAAGCCTTCCTTCACCGCTGCTCACACTCCTAATCTCTCGCCACAAACCGCTAACCGCTAACCACAAACCACAAACCCCAAATCTTCTCCCATCACACCCTCTTCGCAGCCTCCTCCGCCGCCAACGCCTCCCTCCGGCTGCTACTAAGGGGATCAAAATACGGCTTCTCCCCCAAACTCACAGCACGAGACCCGGACCGCTCCCCGAGGCCCTGGTTCAGGTAATCGGAAGTAGCAGCATGGTACACGCTACGATTATCCCAAATCGCCAGGTCATTCTCGTGCTGCCAGCGCAGCCGGACCTGCAGATCATGATTCTCGACGACCAGCTTCGTGAACCAGTCCAATAGAGCCCGAGACTCGAAGTCGGAGAGGCCGTGGACGCGCTGGACGTGGTGGCCGACGGCGAACACGCTGCGCCAGCCCGTGACGGGGTTCGTGCGCACGACGGGGTGCGCGGCCTCGAGGGCCTCGCCGACGTTGGCGGGCGCGCCGCGCGCGCCCGAGTAGATGCGGAAGTTGTTGCGCGAGGCCGTCTCGTTGAAGGCCGGCTGCGCGTAGTGCGCCGTCAGCGTGTCCAGGAAGCCGCGCACGGGCTTCGAGATCCGGTCGTAGAGCTCGTAGCCCGAGGCCCAGAGGGTGTCTGTTCGAGATGTGAGTTCAACTCCCTTTTTTTAATCTTCTTCATTTCTACGTTTCTATTTGATAGTGAGGTCGACATGGCAGATGGCTACGTACCTCCTCCGGTCTTGGGAAGTTGCGTGAGCCGTAGCAGGGCGTAGTCGCTCGGGATGGGCTCGAAGGTGATGTCGGAGTGCCACTGGTTCCTTTGCGACTGCTTCGTCTCGGACCATACGACGTTCTTGGCGTAGAGCCTCTTGGCTTGTTGTGATGAGATGGTGCTAATTTCGTCGTCTTTGTCGCCGTCCTCGCGCCCGGAGTTGATGACAGGGTGGATGTGCAACTTTGAGGTCGCTGGCTTGCCCGATAGCTCGCCGAGTCTTTGGACCAGCTCCTTCTGTAGGTCGTTGTTGATGTTGTCCTGTTTACGGAAGAATACTACACCCCGTTGGGATACTGGAGAAGATATATTAGTCCAATCGCCTTCTCGACCGGGATTGGACAGTTGAGAATGTTTATTTTCTTCATACCTGTGATAGCTAGGTCGCGGAGAAGCTCATCTGAATTCGGCGCACGTAGCCATTTGGCCAGGTCGACGTCTACAAATTCTCTTCCGATTACAGGTGTGACATCGAATTGCTCGAACTGGTCCAGGGCACCGCTCAACTTTAGGGGTTCCTTGTGGCCTGTTTCAAGTTTAGGAAGTTCGTCCTCCAAATCCGTGGCGCCAACCGCACCGCTATCCACTCTCTGGTTCTCCTGTACAGCTTCCTTTTGGGTGCCTGGGATGGCTTTCTGCTTGATATCCTCGACAATCGGCACGACAGTCTCGGTTGCTGATGGTGCCATTTTGTGGAATATGCAACTGACAATTATGATTTCAATAGGTAGAATTTTGTGAGCTTCACTGGAGAACGACGCTTCTAGTCAACATATTTAGTCCATTTTACCCCAGGTTTTATATACCTACCTAGGCACCTAGATACACCGTGGGGATAGAAGACGCCTCCTTGCCGACTCCGGACAACTGGTGAATTGCGTGAGCTGAGCCATTCTAGCGTCATAGTCTTGGATTCAATCTCTTTGGGTGAAATTCTCCCTTGAGCAGATTTAGAATTGGATCACGTCTTTGAGTCTGATAATCATCTTGCATGCGGGATGGTATCGCGATGTCGTGACTGGCGCGGCGCGTCCCTGATTCATTATTGTGGGGATTGTGACATATATAACCAAGTTGACGTGCTCGACTATACGATCACCTCAGCAAATAAAGGTTCTCGGCGGACGACAACCGAAACATCAAAATCCCCGCAACCCCAACTTTAAGCAAACTGTCGTGGTCTTGTCGAGGTAATATCCATTCCTGTCGTTGGTGATTCGTCAGTTTGCTATACTTGGGTTCCTGGTATAATTATATCGCTGGACTCCGTCGGAGCCTCTGTGTCGGACAGTATGTCCAAGTCCCTTCGTGAATAGCCTCTCCGAGATAGGATGTCCCGATGACTCTTTCGGTGTGAAACTTACAATTGGACCTTAACACATAATCAATTTTCATGTAGCAAGATAACATTCCGCTAATCAAGCATCCGGTACCATGCCCCGTGTAATTGAACACTCTATTTATTCATAATGTGAATTGTATCTGCTTAGGTACAAGAAACTCGATAGACTCGAAAAATTAGATAGGGGAATATCGTATTATACGTTGTTGATAAAAAATTGCGTATATTTGTGTAACATCACCGAGTTCCTTGCATCACCCCCTTTTTATGTCACTTCAATTCAATAACTCAAGGTTCACTTATATATGCGCGCCAATAACCTCAACATGTTGTAGTATCAGCAATGAATTTCTCCAATGTATTACAACCTTCTTTTAGTCTACCTGAACATCTAAGTATTTTTACATTGCATAGGGGTGTACAATGGTCATGCTAATTACTGAAGCCATTGTCATTACACTGCCATCGTATCATAATCACTGCCGTGAGTTTCCCTAAGGTTAGTTAGAAAGTATACGAGTCCTAGCATAGTACGTCTTTGCAGTTCGACCCAATGTTTTCATTTTCCCCAACCATTTCCATATGAGACAGTCAATTTTCATGACTGCCTCAAGCAAGCCAGCTCCTCTAACCTTTTACTGGCAAGGGACGATCCAGGCACCAACTCCGTCTTGGAACTCAGCGTTTTGGCCGACGCCAGCCTGTAGGAACTCGAGCGCGAATTCCCTGACGCTGCTCACATGCCAACTCATCTTGCGATCAGCCTTCTGCCCGCATTCGAAGACGCCGATGGTAGTGTTTTCTCCGGGGAAAACTTGGTGCACTTCCGTGCTATTCCACGGCGCGTTGCCGTCGTCGGCCTCGAGGTGGAACGTCATCCCGGAGTCCGACAGGTACTCTTGCTCCAGCCCACTAAAGCTATAACAGGGGTATCCCTTTGGGAGAGATGTGCATACTGGCATGCGGAACTGGAGAGCGCATAGCGAAGATTTGGAAGCGCCCTTGGAGAGGAAGTCCTCGGAGATGGTGTAATCGAATATGGTGCTGCTTCCCGGAGTGATTGCGGCTTCGGCGGCGTTCGCCCCGCCTGCTACGGAGGAGTTGCCGGGCCTTAGTTTGTAAGGTGAAAGTGAGGGTGCTGATGCTGCAACGGAGCATGCTTGAGATGGGGTCTGGCGCTGTTGCGGCTGAGTCTGTGTAGCATTGCTAGCATTACTGCTAGCAGCACACTCTGGTGTCTCGTTCGTAAGTGCTAATGCGACCGGGACACATCCATTCTTGTCTGTCTTCTCCGAAGAGTAAATGTCGTAGGTCTGTTCGTTGCCCGCGCCCGAGGGAACTGGGCAGGCGTAGAAGGTACCGGGGCCATTATCATAGGTGAGGTAGTCCTTCCCGTCTGCCTTTGGTTTCGTGACATCGAACGCGGTGGTACCAACTGCGCCTTGGTAACATTCGAACTGGTAATCTGGAACCCTCATGAAGCAATTGTGTTTCAATCCATCTTGTATAGTTTTGGTCGTCTTATCTAGGCAAAACCCGCCTTGTTGGAAGGTACCGCCGAGGATTAAATCACCGACATGATCCTCCAAGACAGTTTCATTGACCTTTCCTACCGAGGCCAGTTGGAAGCAACATCCGCTATTGCTTTGCCTAGATCGTATTGTGGCGCAGGCGGCCGTTGTGAATAGCAGTGTTTGAGCGAGTGACTTCATGGTTGGTGATTTTACTACCTAGTTTTACCTGTCGAACGAGTGTAGATGGTTCAGATGGCTGGCTGTCGAGTTATGTGAGTGTAATCGTTTTGGTAAGAATGAGTGACAGCAGGTGGGCGATCAAGGGGCGAAAATCGGTTCCACAAACGAGCGAAGATGACGTCTGTAGGGCACTTGGAAATTAGGATAAACCGAGTCGGGAATATCTTGACGTAAAAGCAGGATTTGAAAAAACGCCCTGTGGAGAAAATGGCTTATGTACTAAAGTATTAAAGAATATCACTAAGCTGAGATTTTGAGGCTGGCTGGATGTGGTAGTTGTGGTTGGAGAATTGCTTCAGCCAACTCCTGATGGAATGTTGATTCGAAGTAACCAACCTTTTTAACTTCAGCTAGCTATCAGGAACAAAAAGGAGGCTGACCAGACTGACCAGATAATGACACAATGGTGGAACGAACATAGCCTTTCTCTAATACAATGCAGGCCAAGCCTTCCAATTTATCCGCCAGCTCATTCAATGTGAAAGCGGCACCGAAATGATACTAGGTACGAAGTACATTGTATAACTTCATCTTGTACTACCAACCTATCGGGCCAAGCGGAAGATCTACGCAGGCATTCTCCACAAATCTACTTGGACAGACGTTGCACAGGTTACACAGATACCACTGTTCCTGAATGCCGCATGCATCAATTTAGACTCCTAGTAATTCTATTGGGGGAAAGAATGGCGTACAATCTAGGCAAAACGTGCCAAGGTAGGGCTCTCAGAGCAAAAAGAAACATCATGTGTGAAGTATACAAGTGTTTGCTAAGCCCTAGGAATGATACGATGGCAATTTCAGGCTTACGCCTCACATAAGATTAATCATATATTGCTGTCACGGGAGTGTATAAGTTGTTTATGAAGATCATGATGCTCAAGCGTACAGCGCCTTACATAATCATATGCAACTATCGCAGCTTCAAGATACGGTCTATATGCAACTTCCGACTGCCTAAACCAAAGTATTACTAAAAGGAGGTAGTGATCGAAACGTTTTACAAGGCTTCGTCAAGTCGATTGTCTTACGGCGCGACACAGACGCTTACGTGTGATAAACTTGCTCTCCCTTGACACTCGAGCGCACAGAAGTGAAATGATCCACGTAAGTATCTGATCAATGAAGATTAGCCTCGCACTCCGAACCATTTATGAAGTGCCGAACTTCGCCTTGTTATCATGGACGGTGTCTGTATTCCTAACTTGGGTATCATGATCCGTAGATGTAGTAGCCGTGAGGCTGTATTCTAAGGAGCTCTAGCCATATTACCTCAACGAGTTCCGAACCACGTAAACTCAGTCAAGTCTGTGTAGCATTGCTCTCCGTACGCAACCGGTAGATTTTGTATCAAAGCGCAATGACGTTATATCCAATAAGACTGATCCTGCAACTCTATCACACCCGAACTCCTTAATTCCCAACGAAAGTCCGGGGTATCGTAAAAAGAAAATTTACAACTCGTCCCCTTCGTCGTCGGACAACCAGATACTCAAAGACGCCCTCTTCGATGTTGTTGGCGGACTTTCCTTCTTGACCCTCTTTACGTCCTGGCTAAGAGGGGAGGACTTTTTAATTTCCCGTTTCATAGGCGGTGTGCTAGGCTTAATCTCCTCCATCTTAACGTCTTCCTCGCCCGTATCGTCCTCAGTTTCGGTCGATGCGTCCTTAGTAGGTTCGACCTTCACATCTACCATCTTGATATCTTCCTTCGTATCTGACTCTACCTTCGAACCGACATTTGACGCGTGGACCTCGTCTAGATGCTTCAACCTCTCCGTACGTTTCTTGTAGAAGAGTTCTAGACAGTTCCTTCGCTCCTCTTGGGTCATACTCTCGACCGCTAAGGCAAACTCCGTCACACTAGGGAATCCGAAGGTCTTCGCCATTGTGCAGAACTGTCGTTGCCTGACGTCCACCGGAGGATTATATTCGTATTCAACCGATACACTAGCGTCAGCATCTTGGCTGTTGAAGAATAGAGCGCGAGCCGCCGGGTCGTAATCTTGACTCGCGGCCAACTCTGCTTGCCGTGATAGCTCATCCTCAACTTTTGACGAGCCTACAACTTCCGAATTTTCGTGCGTATATTCGACTCCTTCGGAAGCAAGGATAGCCTGAATAGGGTCAACATGAGTGACTTTGCGTGCACCTGCCGGCTTCAAGATCCCGTCTTTATTCTCGTCCTTGGTGAGAAGGGTCGATAGAAGTTTTAGACCTCCAGTCTCATCATCGTCGGCGCCGCCTTCTCTCTTGATGAACTGGTCGTCTTCGGCATCTTTAGCTGCCTTGTCCATATCGATGTCTATCAGCTTAACGCCTGCTTTGGCCTCGGCAATATTCGTCTTGTTCACAATATCACGAAGGATGACTTGGTCGCTATGGTAGGTCAGCAGATTCTTTAGCCCAAATATTTCCCCCTTGCGTTCGGAATCCTGTTGAACCCCTTTGAAGTAGCGACGCTCATTGGAGGCGTTGTACCCAATATTTGCCTGTTGCTGCTTGTAAATTTGCCTCGCGTACGTGATCTCTTCAATGGTACCCGTCGAAACGAGACGATATACCTCTACATCACGTACTTGGCCAATTCGATAGGCACGATCTTGTGCCTGAAGGTCATAGGACGGATTCCAGTGTGGATCCATAATCACCACTTTATTGGCTGACGTGATGTTGAGACCGACACCGCCGGCCTTGGTTGAGATCAAAAAGACGAACTGATTGGGATCCGAATTGAAGTCATCGACCACTTGTTGACGCTCTTCGTAGCTTAGAGAACCATCTAAATAGCTGAATGTATAACTTGTATTGTTGAAGAGGTGCTGCAGAATCTTCAGCAGCCGAACGCTGTGCGAGAAGACCAGGACTTTATCACCACTAGCGTACCAGAACTTGAGAAGCTTACTCAAGACTTTCCACTTCCCACAATATTCTGGGTTGGCTAAATTGAGCAAGGAGTCTCGGCTGGCATAATGTTCTTTCCATGTATCTGGCATCGCGGCTTGCAGAAATCGGAGTTCTCGTTTGTGTTTATCTGGAATGTCCGAGTTTTGCGGGACAATGAGGTTGAAATGATTTGATAATTTTTGTAGTGATATTATGATGGGAAACACTTGTGACTTCCACGATTCCCCGTCGGCATTTACTTTGAAACAGCACCACCCTCGCTTGGTTTTCGACCCACATGGGCAGAAGTCGAATGCGGACCGGACGAAGTCAGCAACATCACTACCGAGAATGTTTTCGTATGCTTCGCGCTGTAGGTCGGAAAGCGGGCAGAACACAACTCTATCGCTCTTTTTCGGTAACTGGTGGGCGATGAGACTCTTCATTCGGCGCAGAAAGAAGCGAGGGAGCAGATTGAACCGAAGTTTCTTCGCCGTCTTCCGGGCCTCACTCAGCTGGGGAATAGTAGCATCATGCGATTGACCAATAGTCAGTGGCTTACAGATAGTATTCCTCCATTCTCCTAGGGTCCCGAATTGCCCGGGGTTCGTCCAATTTAAAAGCGCCCAAAGTTCTTCGTATTTGTTCTGGATCGCTGTTCCGGTCAGGCCGATCCTACAAAGGGAGTTGACCTGATTCATCGCTTGCGTAATTCCTGCTGCGATGTCCTTAATTGAATGGCATTCATCTGCCACAACAACATCCCAGGGAACTCTATTGACCTGATCGCGGCTATTCTTGTAGGTGGTATAAGTGGTGATCATGATTTCTAGTCTTCCTGCACGGGCAGCGCCTAGGACGTCGTCCCTGTTGGCGCCATGATATAAGTCAGCTTCCCACCATCCCCATCTATCTAGTTCGTTCTTCCAATTGCGAATCAAGGAGCCAGGACAGATGACCAAAGCGCGAGGATACCAATCATCCTTGGTTCGTCGGAATTTCCTCATCCTTTTTGCATCACGGCGGTCTCCAGTCTTGCCGAACATGACAGTGAGGAAGGCAGCCACCTGGACGGTTTTACCCAAACCCATATCATCGCCAAGGATCCCACCTTTCTGATAGACGAAGAGATAGTGGAGGAACTTGACTCCTTCGATTTGATAATCTCGAAGGTATTGTGCAATAGAGGCTGGGATGACACCAGCTGAATGTTCTAGAACCACGTCTTTGTAAGGGCGGCATGGTTTAATACCACTCTTCTCATCGAACTGGGGCTTCTCTTCTAAGTCGGCTAGCCTTTCATCGTCGGAAAAATAGACATCTGAATAGTCCGGGGGTAATCGGAGGCCGCCTTCACGTAAAATTTCACGGTTCTGATCAAACTGTTTGCGACGATCCTGTATGTATTGAGGAAGTAATTTTTCTGGAAGATCGGAGTCTGAGGATGATACACTGTCATCGTTTTGGCGACCTTTATCCTTCTTTGATCTGGCAGGATTACGCGCATGGCCCTTTGCGACAGCCTTGCCTTTGCCTTTACCTTTCATAGATGGTGACTTCCGGCTTGCCTTATGCTTCTTGAATACCTCATAGGTGATATCGGAGTCATCACTCCATTCAACCTTATCCAATATTTCCGGTTTTATTTTGCGCTTCTTTGTGGAGGTAGTTGCAACAGGCCCATGTGCTGATTCCGAAGATTCGGTCGCTTCATCATCTGAAATGACAATGGGGTCCGGAGGTCGGGCCATGTTCATTACCTAGGGCATATTGCAGAGTTGAAAATGCGAGATTATGCAAACCATGTTCAAACAAACATCAGTTTACATGGAGATGGATATATAGGTACGTATATATATATATATATATAATATTGTGGAGTTGATGGCACAGGAACGCGCCACTGTGAAGTTACTTTGGGTAGCTGACAGCATAATTTACGGTAGTACTTGCACGAAAAGAAAACGTAAGCACGTGCACGTATACATCACGTGATCTCTACGAATGTGTACTTCGGTACCTAGAATAACAACAATATTGAACACATCCAACCTCTTATCCCTCCAACAAATTGAACTCCCGAAAGTAATTAGGCTAAGGCCTAGCGTGCGACAACTTAAGTAATGATAGAATCGATCTCTATCAAATGGCATAAGCTCTTATATCAGAGCATCGACTAACTCTTAATTGGCACCACTCTCCCCGATGAGTCTTTCGGGGTATTTGTGTGCTCCTGAGAAGGTAGTGGCAATCCAATGCCTGTTGGTATGAGACCACCACCCTTAAACCGGGGGCGACCACACTCCTTCACCGGTGATTGGCGTCAATGATGTGACGGAGACCAGCCCACGAATCTTAAATTCGTATAATTCTAGCTACTTCAAAAGACATGTCAAAGGTGTACAATGACCTACACCATCCTATCGCGGTATTAGAAGCTTTGTCTATAGTTTTGTTCATTATTTCGTGACTTGCCCATTCATTTGGATCATTGCACCCTACTACGGTGGTCTACTTTGGGATACAAGCACTTTGACCCGGAAACTCGCCAGGATAGCGTTGTCATCGCGCGAAGTTGGCCCATGCTTGCACTGCAAAGATCCTGATTGTAATAGATGGATGGCCATGCCAGGAAGGGGCTGTGGGAATTTCAACCCAACAGAATTATTCAGTAATAGGTCGTATTTCCAGGCTTCCGTGTGAGTAGCGTAAGCTCCATTCCCGGAAAGAGCTCTGGGAGGAGGAAAGTTCAGAGTTAGAAATATAGCTAGGAAGAGGTACTCATTTTATGAGTTAATGCTTAATGTCAGTATCGACGTCCATATTGATGTTATTACATTGGTGTGTTAGATCAACGAAAGTTGTCGCAATGTGAAAGGTTGGGTTGAGATTCAAGTGGAAGGGAAAGGATGGGTAGGTATATATAGGAAAATAGGGCAAAACTCTGGCCATACTGATTTAGTCTTGTTGATCTGTGTGGTCAGTGACGAGGCTCACAAAGTTTGTCGCTGATGTACATTTCATCATTGTAAAGTTCTAATAAATCCATTTACGGGACTATCGTGCCAATACTTCGATAGTTATATAGGTAGGTTATTATATGCTCAAAGTGTCTTTTATTTGCTAATCAAAGACCGAATCGACGTAGATCCTGGGTGGAGGGATAAGAAGTATTTTAGGTTCAACTCCTATTAGGCCTGTCGGTGCCTGCCTCTTATCCCTTTTATCTGACGCTCATATGTACATCCATGTTATAAGAGCGTGATTCCATAGTACTATGTAAGTTAAAATCAAAATCTACATGTAGCTTCGAAGTAACCGTAACTATTAATAATACATTGATAACAATAAGTACCCGGACAGATACGTGCATAGTGTAAATACATGTATCATGAAATTCCATTAAGGACTTTTGGCGAAAGAAGCCGTTTACCTAAGTACTTGAATGAGGAGACCAAGTACTGATTTGTAGGTACTTTTCTATCCCCTTATACGCTTTAATAAGTATCTGGATACAACTAGGTAATTACTCATATCTTCTCTTTCAAACATCCTAGAAGGTTCATGATATTATTATGCGCAAATAAACACAATCAAGGGAAATATACATGCACGGATACTAGGGTCAGAGGAGTCACTGGCGGTCGTAACGTACTATTTTGGCAAGTACTTTTTATTTTACACCATATACAGTTCTTTAAAATGATTGTTTTCTTTCATTCTGATGTAACAGACAGATGGTGCCTAGATCTCCTTATGAACCATGTTGATAACAGGCACAATTGTGGGAGGACATACGTCTATTTTTTAGTAAATGCAGCTTTCAACTCACTAATACAATCGCTGACAAACTCCTTTGCAGTTGGATTCACCCCGTCCCAATGACCAAAGGGATGCCCCTGTCCCTTATATATCTTCAGTTTGCTAGGAGTGCCGGCTGCCGTCAGTTTCTCATGGTACGCAATTCCCTCTGAGACAAGGGGGTCAATCTCAGCACAGCGTATAATGGCCGGTGCTAGATCAGCGTGCGATTCTGCGACAATGGGTGAGGCCCGGAAATCATTCGCCTTCTCTACACGGCTTTCATCCGTTCCCAACCACAGGTTGTAAAACCAGATAAGACGGTTAAGAGGGAGCATGGGGGCGAACTCGAAATCAATGTAACTCCTGTATGGTGTCTTCGCTGGATCACATGAACCTTGCGTCGGAATATATCTCGCGTCAATCACGGGCACAATGAGCAACTGTACGGCCAGATTTGGCACACTCGGTTCATCCCGGGCCAAAAGTGCAAGTACCGCTGCAATACAACCTCCCGCAGAAAGTCCACTAACTCCTACGCGTTCAGGGTCTATCTTCAACCTCCCAGCATTTGCGAACGTCCACTTCAGCGCCTCCCAGCTATCAGTGGCAGAAATTGGGTGTGGATATTCTGGGGCAAGGCGATAGTCTACGTTGACTATAATGCTGCCAACTCCTTGGCAGAGATTTCGACACAGAGACTCGTCTGAGTCCAATCCTCCGATGACGAAACCGCCACCGTGGAAATTCACAAGGGCTGGGAGTAATCCGTCATGCTCGAGCCCACCACTGGCAATGGCATCTGGCGTGGGCACGTACACCTGTACAGCTATCTCACCAGGAGGGTTCGATACTGGAATCTTATAGATAGTGTTGCTGGCTACTTTCGGTGCCTCTGCGCTGACCTTGGCAGTCGGAAAGGTATACTTGGGCCTGTCTTTATTATATACCTCGTACGGGACTTGGTCTGCTCGCAATTGGGGTGCTATGGGTTCGCTTGTCAGTGACTTGAGACGGGAAACGGGAGCATCTTAAGAAGAATACCTTGATAGCGATTGTAGATCTCGGCAAAGACCGGATCGACCTTGTCGATTATTGAGGGATGTAACGGGTTTATGACAGTTGGAACGTCGTTGGAACCCATGACTGAAGCAGTATGCAAGTTTTGATTGAGTATAGCGGCTTTTATCGACTGTGTCTACGCACTATATCCTTCGTATATGAGATACAGTGGTATAATAGCAAAACTTTAAGAATAGCTGCGGATGACACTATGGGTTCGACATATAGGATGGGAGTTATTACGGTTTTCCTTGGAGTCTTGTCCTCGGCTAGGAAATAAGGGTATATCTAGTCACATCTAGGATCCAAGGTTCCGGTCAAGTCACGCATGCACTTCATAGGTTATGATCGTGGGGGTCAGTGTAGCAGGATAGTGCGGGTAGCCAAGAGTGCAGGAGGCCGAGGCACACATATCCTATCGGTTTATACTCCGACACCGCAGTGAGGCGTACACATCGGCTTATCTGAGGAGCATATTCCCGTAGATTCATACGTGGGGAAGGATCGATATTATCGGAGGGGTTTCAAACTAAGCTAGGCACTTAGTCACCTGATACGTATATTGACTATACTGCTCTTGCTTATTGGAAGATTGTGTGTACGACCAATAGAGCTACTATCTCGGATAAAAATTGACGTTTTGGTCAAAACGAGGTCTCAATGTCCCCAAATACTTACTAATGGACTACTACCATTTAAGTTAACCAATCCGGGTTGAGGTCTAGAAATGGTCCACTATACTCTATATTATCATACTTGCCAGCCATCTAACTACACGTAAACTCAGGGCACTTAAAATGACACGGGCCACCTGGTCCAAGCACCCATACCAAGAAATGGTCATCGAGGTACCTTAACAACCATGTCATACTTGTATGGGAAGCATTATGAAAGGATACATCCTTGATATAATTTTTAAAAATATTATACTCTGGACTTTTAGCAGTCTTAAAGACGACGCGGTTTACACTCAATACATACTTATGCTGGATATTGATAGAGATTACCTGACCTTGAGTGTATTAATATAAACAGTCTTACTTCTCCAAGTTTAGAGCATCGTCTAGTTACAAATACTATGATTAGCAAAACCAGTGCTCCCCCCCCTTTTTTTTTTTTTTCGGGAGCTGCCCCTGGTTATTCCTCCAGCCAGCAGATGGATAGTCGTACACCTTGGGCCTATCGTATACTCTGCTCCCAAAATCTGAGCACAAATAATCAGGAAAGCTTTATACCTAATGACCCGGCCGAAATATTCAACCAATTAGAATCATTGGTAAGAGGGCATCTTGAATCAATTCGTTTCATACGCGAAGCTAGCCTGAACCGACAGTTGGGCAATCCAGGATATACACTAGCGATGTCGAGCCGGAATAAACTGTTCGATAGACTCAGAACCAGGTCTTCCAGTGGGGCCAGTCGGCCTGCGGCATGGCCCTCGTCCTGGCTACATTCCTCTACAACCCACGATCGAGAGCCTCATCTCAAGCACGGTCCACTTCGAGCCAAACAGCTACGAGTGGTCATTAAATAGGCCATTGGGCAAATTCTCAAAGAATTTCACTAGCCGTTTCTCGCTAAATCCTATATTACGACTAGCTGTGGATAGCAAGGTGAGAATATCCATCTATCATTATGTCTAGAAGAGGACATATGTGGCTTTTGGGAGTTGGCAAAATCTGATCTCTACGACCCAGAAAGAGCTCTCATTGGCATTCGATCAGCCTTACGAGACAACTTAATCTAAAAGGGTTCCGGGTTGCCGTGCCCCGGAATTTTGAATAGATAATTACTTACAATGATAAACTTCTTCCAGTTTCCTGGCCCCCGCCGTGAAGAGGTCGGCGAAACGCACACTCCAGCATTTATAAAGGCATTGACACGGTAGTCAAGATGGTTTGATGATTCCATATACCGACAAATCTTTAGTTTCACCTAGACTTTCGTACCACTGTTTATAAGCAGTCAACTCTCCACGACAAGTACTAGGCTTGACGCTTGTCAGGCCTGGACTTGGAGCTACTGGCATCGGGGAAGTGATATAATAACCTATGTCTTTTTGAGGTCGAATATGTCCTTCGTTTGCGACCAACTCCTCGACGTGACTAGAGCTAAGGACGCCTTTGGCATATCGGATATGCTGATACGCACAGAACGATGGATTGAGAAACAATGGAGCTTGGTATATAACAGCAGTTGGTCACTCTGGTATACCCATACATTGATTACCTGAATGTTCTTTTCCAGTCAGGGGTTGCTGTAAGTAGTGCCTAGGCTTTAATAGCGCAAGGACCGCTTACTCGGACCTCGATCCGACGTATCTCGCAGTACAAGGCTTCCTGCTTCAGCGACGGATGTTTTTCTTGATCATCCTCTCTGTGAAACTACCGAGGACGAACGGACTAACCTTCTATATAGTTGTAATTATAGAAGAATTAGTATCCGATATGATGTTAAAATAGACTCAGAATCTGACTGTTCCAGCTTCGTTGTTTCCGTTCATGTCATTAGCCTCTCGGTTGAGTTTTCCGCCGATTCTAGAATCCCTGCCCCCGCAAATATGACCAAGGACGTTTCAGAAGCGGCAGGGGTCCAGCTGTCACTTGGGACCGTGCTATGCCGTTTTGGGCCTTGCCCCTGAACTAATGCATCTGTCTGCAGGGGTTCCTCGCATCGCATCCATGGATACGAAGTGAGCTCGGAACTCATCTCTCAATCTCTTTCATGAAAAAAAACTACGCAAGGATGCTGTAGACCTCGATACGCCAAGGCATTTCTTACTTAATGCGACAAGATTTGAGTTTTCGATATTAGCCTACTATACATCTCCTATTGCCCACATCTCGTCTATATTCTCTACGCCGCTCGCTTAGAGTTTCCGAAGGATGAGAGGAGCCAAGATTTTGTTGAGATGAGACTTGGGGGAAGAAAGCCCTGTTGGTGTCACATCGTTATCGAGGACGCCCTCGAACCATGCCGCGATGAGCGAGAATCCGGCCGATCGCACGGGCTCGGCTCCATACGCTAAGTGGCCAAGCAGCTCAAGGATGGGTGAATCCTGCGGAGGTGTGGGTATCATCCATGGTTGCGGACAGGCGATCCGAGATAGTGTCAAAGCAAGGGACTTAGATAGAAGAGAATGCAACGCCGTAGGGACTAAAACTTACCGTCAGCTTATTATGTACCTACCCGGACGTTTTGTGATGTAAACTTCTCCTCCCCCTTCTCGCCCATTTGCATCATTTGTACGTAATTCGCTCTCTTGCTCTCTCTCTCTTCAACGCCATCCGTCTGTCGTCTGTTATTATCGCCGGCCGAAAGAACGACATACACGTCCATTCATTTACGTGAAAGATAAGTCTCTATACCCAAAGCCAAGATGCAGTTCACAACTCTCGCCATCGCCCTCTTGGCCGCCTCCGCCTCCGTCTCCGCCCAGAGCGCGCAGCAGCTCATCTCCAAGATCCCGTCCTGCGCGAAGCCCTGCCTCGATGACGCCTCTACCAAGATAGGTTGCTCGACCACTGACACGAAGTGCCAGTGCGGCAAGATCGACGACCTGACCACGCAGGCCATCGGCTGCGTGTCTACGTCTTGCAGCGCCGACGACTTGACTCGTATGTTCACTGCGACACCTTGACCTTTTCGCGCAACCGCTTTATTGCGCTGCGTGCGAGTGGCGGGATGGTAGATTGCTCAATGCAAGAAAGCTAACGCGTGCGAACAGAAACCACCAAGCTGAGCGCCGAGATCTGTGCCGCGATCGCGTCTGACGCCGGAAGCGCTGCTGCCAGTTCGGCTATTTCTAGCGCCGGCTCGGCTGCGACTTCTGCCATTGCCTCTCTGACAGGTGCTACCGCGACATCGGCCAGCACCAGCGCAACCGCGACCCCGACGACCGGCGCTGGTAACCGGGCCGTTGCCGGTCTCGGGTTTGCCGCTGCCGTGGCTGCTTTAGCACTGTAGGCGATGGGGCGCGTTGTTGTGAGGTTCCAAGTTGACGGTGGATTTTTCTTATGGCGCAATAGTTATATTCTTGGAGCAATGTGACAAAAAAGTTCATCGATACTTGTGGAAAAGCGACAACATCTGCTTGTTTATATCTATAATTGTCTTGGCGGTCTATATTCTATTTCTAGCGTTCGATTAGCTTTACCTCCGAATCCGTCTAGTGCGATATCTACCTTGCCAACCTTGCTCATATCAAGATTATAGGTCCAATGCATATTTATAAATACGCGCATACGGAGTGTCGCGTAGATCATGAGAGACCGAATATTCCCAACGCGCCATCTTCGCCGCCGTCGAAGTGACTATGCAGTCCGTCGAGCGCTGCAAAATGTTCCGCATATTCGTGACCTTTCTGTCGTAATTCTTCCGTGTGCTTCCAGTTCCAATCCATAGACTCGAAATCGGCCTCGGCTTCGGGAACGGCGCCGCCAACTACGGTGTGAGACGGCGGAGCCATCCCGTTCCCTATGGACACCCAACCTCCCGGTCGTTCCGGTAGAAGGCCGCTCGCCTCGATGAGGACTGCGGGGTGCACCGTTAGTCGACCGACCTTGAAAACGTATTTGCTGATAGCCGTGGCGTGGATCTTCTTCTCCCAGTCCTCGAGCTTCCCCCCTTCCTTCCTCGTCGGACCAAAACTGCTCGCATCCCACGAACGCGGCTTCACGGCACCTTTCTCGACGAAATGCGTCACGATATAGAGCCACTTGCGATCCCAGCTCAAGACGCGACTCCACATCTCGTATTTCTGGTATGGTTGAAGCTCCTTCTTGAAGCTACAGTGCACGGCGCCGAGCATAACGGCAAACCTGCCCTTGGCCGGCTTCGAAGGGTCGGCCGGATTCATCACGAGTTTCGTAGAGTCGTTGTTGGCGATAGCCGCACACCCTCGCGCGAACAGGTGAGAGACGAGGTGGGATCGGCTCACGTCGAGGTCGGCGAAGTAAGTGGAGTTGGACTTGTGAATATTGTAGTCGACTTCGAGTAGTGTAACATGCGAAGGCGTGATGACAGGGTGGAACAGCTTATCGGGACCGTGTGAGTGCAGGCGCCGCAGCGCAAAGTGGGAAGTCATAGCACCGAAGACGCGGAACTACAGGGACTGCTTTTAGTACCTGGTTTGTTTTGGGTCGGAAGCGTCTCTAGGGAAGTAAGGGCAACGTACGGTCCATGCTAAAGGCAAGCTCTTCCAGTTGTATAACACAACTGCTAGCGCTATGATTCGACTCGTCCTGCCGGGGCCGGTGAAAAAAGACTCCAACAATCCCAAGGCGTTGCCTTTATAAGCGCCGTAGGCTATCGCTGGCACGAGAAGTGGCCCGGCAACCCGTATCACCTTGTTTGCGGACGCAGCAGCAGAAGCCATGATTGCTATCTATCTATCTATCTAGCCGCTATCTTCCGATTCGATGGTTGCGACGATGAAGACATTGGACCCGTAGTTAGGGCTGCGAGCCGGGTCCGAAGGAAAGCCAAAAACAGTAAAGCCAGCGCAATTCCCCAGAGAGGGACGGCCCGTAGATGACACAGCACGGTTGTGGTACACTTTGCGAAACGGGTGTTGTTCGTCGGTGCAAACGGCATTCGCGTAGAGGTCAGTGTGGTATTGTGGCGATAGCATGAATTTCCGACATCACAACTAACAACTGCTTTCTCCGCCAAGGTTATTGTAAATAGATATGGAGGAGAGAATCTACAGCATAACTCAGGGGGAGGATAATGAGAAAAGTTAGAAGTTACGATGACGAATACTAGGTACCTATGTAACTTCCTTTCATGTGGAACCCAGCTGAGCCGAGGCACTCCTATCTCGTGTCACCTTGTATTAGTGTCCGAAGTACTTTATATATACCGGAGTTTAGCCGATACGTGCTACCTAGTATTACTCTAGCCTTCCTATCGACTTCTAACCTCATTACCTCTCAATAGTAGTTGATATTATTAGGGGATACCGAGATCGTCCACATCAATATCCATAATTTCCAATGAAACACCTAAATGAAGCTTCCACGCCGGTCCAGACGTAACATTGGTGATGAATTTGCGAGCGTCGTATACATCAGAGGCAGATCTAGAAAGCAGACTACTATCATTCATGCTACCCCTCGCCCCTCGATGCGATCAACTGATATTATCACTCTTCGAATATCAACATAAAAACCTCTCAAAACATGATTGTAGGTGGTTTTCTTAGAAAATTCCTACTTAATTTAATGCCAGGTACATACTCGCATGGACGAAACCTTATAGACTGTGGTTGGCACCCTCGGATCGTATAACAAATGGGGTTTAACCTTTATTTTCAAGAATCCAACTTGGAATACTCATCCAGACAGCTGGAGTTCGCAATTGATACAGGGGGTGTAGATCTCTTTTGAAATCTTAGGAATATGGCTGCCGAGACTATATTTCTGTAAGAAATGCCTTGGAGATCGCTGTGATGCGTGAACATGTCTCCCTGGTGAAAGGGATATTTGACCTTGGTATCGAACTAGATGACGAGGAATTCGACCTTGTATACATCTTGGTAGGAAAGCCTTCGATGCTAGAACTATATCTGAGTCGGAGACACGAGTGTCTGTCACATCCATCTCGCCGACTACACAGCCATGCACTGATGACGGCCGTTATTACGTACCCAGAATCTACAAAAGCTTTGTATATTCTTCTCGCGTCTAGGATGGTAGATATGAGTTTTGCCGACAGAGCACATTCGCCTCCGCGTCTTTATCGCACACCACTCGGCTACGCGATTGTTGGATGCTGGGATAGACTAGGTAGGAGTGTGGAACACCTCGACAAGCAATTAATTGAGGAGTTATTGGATGTTGGCTTTGATACAAATATCATTACGAGCAACAATGTGCTCTCAAATCATTGACGAACTCCCATTTTAGATGCTATCAGGACAGGGAGGGTAGAAATGGTCGAACTCCTCCTTCAACATGGGGCAAGAATGATCGAACTAGCACGCTTTTGCATCCAAAGGACGCCTCTCCAGAAATTTGTCGAAGGTGGCATGTAAGAAGTACTAAACAGAGCTTTCGTTTGTTATGTACCTATTTGTTATTCTTTGTGGCAACCTGCTTCTCGAAAGCTTAATCATTATTAGCGATGTTGGCGACTTTACCCCTGACGCTACCTACATCATCGGCTGCAATTCTTAGTAAATTCCTAGAGACTCTGAACTACTCGTTCGCATACTCCTGCAGCGACTCTAGCAGCTCAATAGTCCCATGATCGGAAACGGCTGCGGCATGGCGCTCTGTCATGGCGAAAACATTTTCATCCGGTTGCATCCCTGGCGCCGTGAAGGCCCAGGCCAGTCCGTGCAACGTGTGTTTCCGATAATCGTGCCAGATGTCACCTCTTTCCAAATTGGGGCCGCCATTATGGTGCAGTGCTTGGAGGTAGTGTCGAACCAGATCGACTTCATGTTTCCGGCGATCCTCAACGGTCATTACGCCAGCGACGAAATACGCCAAGTCTTGTACGTTGACGCCTGCATAAGCGGTTTGCCAATCAACAAAACCGGGCTGGCCGTCGGCTGTGATGAACGTGTTTCCGATGTGCGAGTCGCCGTGAAGGACGCACGTCAATTTAGGATTTTCCGTCGCCCGCATGGTTTTGAATGCCCTCTCCAAGCGCTCGCGATTCGCAATCGACTCCGGCAAAGGCGGCGCGGCCGCGTCTTTATAACGAGCTTCCCACTCTCCCGACTTCATCAAAGAAGACACCATACGTTGGAGCGGATTTTCTTTCTTCGCCTTGTCCCCCACCAGCCAAGGAAAGTCCACCTCATCAGCCCCCCAAGTTTTCGCATGGAGGGATGCGAGCTGCTCGACTCCTGCGCGGACTCTCTCCACCGGCCACGGTTTCAGTGGTTCACCAAACTCGCAGCCTTGAGCGGCCAGGTTGGCCATGACGACAAGGCCTTGCCCAGTAACAGTGTCGGTGCCACAATACCAGATCTTAGGTAGGTTCATCGTGACAATCGGACTAATATAGAAGTAAAACTCCGCTTCTCGACGATAGGTCCACAGCAAGTCTGGATAGAGTCCCATAAGCGGCTTATTGAAGCCACCCTTAACGCAAACTTTATATGGTACTTCGTCGACGCTATGTCTTCCCTCGTAGGTGAGGTCGACTAATATTTTGCTCGCTGTTGAATGGATTTCCTCCGCAATAGTCACAGTCTTCACTTTGTGGCCCAATGCCTTGGTACACCATTCCGCTGTTATCTCCTGGGGCGTTGTGGGCAATGGTTCGGCCGAATTCATTACGCCTTTTGCGCCAGCTGGCAACGGATAAGATGAGCAAGGCATGGTCCTATCCTCGCCTATCTAATTATCGTCCTGCAATAGAGTATATAAAGGGATTGATTAGGGGACTAGAGATGATGATAACTATGACCGCTTGTTCTGAACGAATACTAAAAGGGGGGAAAATTAGCTGTGAGTCGACTGTCTATTTTACCTAGGTACTCATGCAATATTTCATGTAATGGCAGAGGCAGGCTAGTAGAATGTACATCTAGATCAGGGAGTCTCCGACGATATAGTCGTAACTTAAGTAAAAGTCATGAGGTTGGCGAGGAGTCTTCCACTCCGGTCCCGCAAACGCTGACTGTTGTACGGATGACTTGGTATTTACCTGAGAATGAAACCGGTCTGTGAGAATTTATGGCATTAATATTGCGCATGCTAATCCTTCATTCGTCATTATACCTAGGTACCTATTTGAAATAAATCCAGTCCTAATGCGGAGAAATATCCCTAAGACCTTGTGGTTTCATAACCGGAATGCTCCGCCTGCCGGTATGCTTATTCCTGATATGTGGTGTAGGAGACCCTGCAGCAAGTCTGACAAGGACACGTCGTCGAAGTTGTACCGTTGTTCACGACACAGCAGCCAACATTGTGTTATCGATCTCCAATTGGCCCCAGATGTACTTTTCCTGTTATAATAAATTTCCAGGACAGCTAGTGGGTTGACTCTAGCTCATAGAGATCATAGAGATGGTATGGACCTCCCCACCCAGTCTTTTATGTCAAAAGCACCACACCCGATCTAGACGTGAAGCTAGTTAAAATAAAGGAAGGAACGGAAAATAATCTGAAGTCATTGTTGGGGCCCTAAGCATGAACGTGCTCTTCGCATCATCAAAGGCAACCTTGAAGAATATCACATTAGAACCCCTCTTGGTAAGCCTCCCAGGACCTTTAGAACAGCTCCGATTATCACAAGGGTCATAGGCATCAATTATCTCCAGATTGTTTCTCACCCTATTGTACAAGATGATCACGACGGTTGTGAGCGCGTCTCAATATCTAAGTTGTAGGAACCCGATATGGAAATTCCACATTGATGATGGTAGCTTCTGCGGCTTCTGATTCCAGCGAGGGGTGATTGATTGTCCAATGGTCAGGACCAAAGATACTTGCAGTAGCTTGTGCCATCACCTTACATCGATGATAACATGCTTGGTTAATGCTACATTTCGCTCATGCTGCTTGGAGAACTGGATCTCTCGAAGAGCCTGTCGAGTGAGAGTCTGAGCTTCGCAGGAGAGATATATGAAGGCAGGTCTCACGCTTATGGATGGGATAAAGCTGACTTAGGTATGAACCAGGACGTCTATCCCTCAAAATGGGAGATCAAATCTTTAAATATTTACGATATACTTCGTGGCTTCGAAGAAGTTTAGATATTTTGGGCTGGAGACCATGTACTCGGTTTCATGGGTGATTATCGACAAAACTATGTATGAAAGAGTTGGCGTTTATTTAGAGTCGCATTAGTTCTATGGAACGTGTCAGTGAATCTCAGACGTGTGTAGTAAATCGTCAACACTAAGAAGTCTTTCACCTAATATATTAAAAACTCTCTCGCAGCCATAAATCATGTCGAATGAGCGGTGCGGGGTGGTTGGTGATGGCGTCCAAGATTTCCTCGTCACCGGCCCTAGTAAGTGTGTGTCACATTGATATTTTAGCTTCACCCAACATAGTACCTACGTACCTAGCTACCTATGTAGAAAGTACCTACATGATATTCAATGTTTACCTACACTTTTTACATTTCATTACTGGTATCTTTTCTTTCTGCACGATTCTTTTTCGTCGGATTTAAAAACAAACAAAATACTTCAACACTACAATTCATTTCTAGTTGTCCAAACCAGCACCAATCTCGTAATCTTCTCTTGGTTACCAGTCCAAACCATCGATGAACATTTCCGACAATGGAGGTTATGCGAGTATGGGCGAGTCACGACAGAGGCACGCGCTCCGACGAGCCTGGTGAAGAAATTCAACGCCGATTCAACCCTCGATGCATCTCGTTTGGCAGCCGAATTCCTGCAGATCACCGCATTGTCTACGACCAACAGAAGAAGGCATCACAGTTAGAATGCAAACACTCAACATGTGATGTCGAACCCGAGAAGACTATCGTCGTGTCTATCGACGGTGCTTGCCATCGTAAGGGGAGTCGACCACCTCGGGCCACTTGGGCGGTCTCGTTCGGAATCAAGTCACCACACAGCGCAAGCGGTCTCCTGTGTTCTTCGTTCCCACAGACCGCGACATTCGCTAAGATCGAGGCGCTGTCACAAGCGTTGCGAATTATCCAACGGGAGTTCGCCGACGATCCGGCACAAGGCTTCTTCATCAGAACGGACTTAGATATCCATGTGGGAGAAATGTCGGAGTGGATTGAAGACTGGCTTATGCGAATGGGTAACCCGCTGCGTACTATCCAGTTCCCAAAGACATGCGGCGACGACGACGTCTGGATTCCAAGCTCTGATATGCTCCACGAGTGAACAATCGGAAGGCCGACACGCTAGCTGAGCAGGCTCTAGATGGACCAGGCTTCATACAGTTCCCAGCAAATGTAAGGAACCCCATATACCCCCTTAAGTCACGCATCGTGCTTATCATCTCTTCCTAGGTTAAGATAGACATCGGACCACTTTAGACTGTCCTATTCGACCTTGTTAGACTGGTTTATTGCTTTCAAAAAGATTGCTTGTTACATGGAGACTGGGAATGAATGTACTATGGAGTATTACGGCGCATAATATGGGATGCTTAATGCCGTCTAGATAGATACTTTCAGGAATGGCCCCAAATGTCAGGAGTTACTCATGATCCACAGATGGTGTTGTGATATTTCCAGTTGCTTTCTGTTCTGCAAGTTTCTCGTCATTTGCTACATGTCCGTCGCCGGATACGGAAACGACTCGATGTGAGAAATCGCCATCGAGATACTCGAGTAAGGGGCATTTCCCTCACCAATGCTTCGGACTGTATCGAGTATGAGCCGTCCCTAATCCTCAACTGCCACTCGAACGGCGGGGCTAAATAAAACCTCGCACGACAGTGTCGACCTGGATTAGCTTATTACCGAAAATACAATAGTAGGTACCTAGGGAGGCCATAGATATTAAACTGCGAGCATAGTCTCTTCCAACTGAGCGACTCCCTAACCCCAATACAAGCCCCCAGATGACGAGTAGTCGATCCTCTCGCAGCCTGAGGTTCCACATTTAAGGGGTCCACGAAACCATCCATGATCGTAATGTGAAACATGGCGCTACTAAGAACGCCTCGACAAGACCATACTAAAACAACTAAACACAGAACCCTGATTTAGCCAAATCGGCCGCAGCCAACCAGCGGAGGCGGGTGTGCCCAGAGCGGTAAAAGTTAGGCTTGGTGGATGGGTAACATTAGATCATTTTTGCCACCCGTCGCCTGTGGGGTAATTCGAGCGCTGTGGACTTGGTTAGGGGAGGGAGGGGAGCTTCTATGAACCGTGCGGCTGAGCCTAGATATTTATTGACAACAAAATGGCAGGCCAGGTAGGCTGAGAACTAAAAATTAATCTATTCCGTACTTCCTCCAAATTTAGGGTCTGCAAATTGACTCCTCGATATCAAATTGGACGACAAACACATATGCTTACGCCGTCCTCGTCAACCTTATCGGCGTCGATGGAATAACCCGTGATCACATTACTTCTGGTTACTTTATTGGGGATGATGCAATTATCTTCGTGAGTGCCTGATATGCGAAGTAACCTAAGCATGAGCCGATAACCATCCTAAGCTCTGTAAGTCCTACGCCGTTTCCGCCTCTCCCACCTGCAAGATGCCAAGAACGCCGTGTTATGTGACCCCCATCATGATCTAGACACGGCAAGCCGACCGCGTTTTGCTAGTACTTACAATAGAATTCCTCGAAAAAGAAAAAAGTCGCCCAGAGATCGCTCCGGGCCCTGTGTGTCGAGATCGCCGTTGATTTTCAAGTTATTATCCCCGTAACTGGTGCCGAACCTTTTCGCCTCCCCTATTATAACCTTAATATAACTCAAGCTTTTTTTTTTTAGACGAAGAGGATGACTATGACGGATCGGGAGATTTCCACTCAGGCTTTGTACATTCGCCCATCGCTTCGATCCAGTCGTTGATACCTTTTAAGTGCCAGCCGCTGGTCCATCTGGCGTTGAGATTGTCCTCGTCTGGCGCTGCTTTGGGCGCACCTAGCTTGAAGCTCTTGGCCGTACAGCAAACCTCTTCGTGCCAACGATACTGGAAGCATGATCGGTTCCGCTTCTTCTCATTCATGGACTTCTTCCACGCTTCCCTGGCTGCGGCGTCGCTTGGCGACGTGTCTTCGGCGACCTCGGTGTCGTTGGCGGTACTAGGATCGTTGCTCGTGCGTTCCGCGATCCCGTGCAAATCCCATTCCTCTTCGTCCGGGACGTCTTGGGATCCGCAGACCTTGGCGCAATTCTCCGGCGATTTCCAGGCCTCCTTTTCGACATCGTTCATGTCGTTCTCGTCCTTCTGCCTATCGCGTAGATGTCCTTCGGCACGTAGCTGAGCGTGGGGATCACGGTTGATGTAGCAGACGTCGTCGGACAAGTTGTCCCAATTCTGTCGCGTTACCTGCATCTTTGGCTGGATCAAGCCCTCATACAAGTCCTTGATCAGGAGAGTACTCTGCGAATTGGTCAGCGTTGATCGTCGGAAACATCCGTGCAGGAAAGACAGAACAGCTTACATCAGTAGTACGTGTCTGCTCGTACTGCCACACGCTACTGATTTCTTCGGCATTCATGTGATGCATGGTCATGATTGGCTCGCACCAATGTCCGGGGCCGTAAGGTAGAGTGCTAGGCTTCTCGCCGTTGATCATGGGCCAGATCTGTCGAACCTTGACGTCCTCGTACTCTTCCAACGCTTGCGCTAACATTAGGTCGCCGCAACACTCGTGTGCTCCCTTGACATTATACTGCTTAACCATGCCGGGATGGTATTCGATCAGGTGCTTTAGTAGCGTGCCGCTGATGATATATCCAGAACCACCGTGGGCGAATGGAGTTCCTCCTATGAAGCTTCGACTGCCTAGGTAGAGCTTCTCGCGATGGTTTAGGCCGGACTCCTTCTTCAGCCAGTGCATGACGTTGGCCCAGAAGACGTAGGTGTCCGCTTCGGCAAATATGTACCAATCGCGACCCGGGCGCATCTTCCAAGTCTGTTCCATGATGGGAAGAAACTTATACTTATCCAAGTTCCACGCCTTTTGTCCGTCTCTCTTAGCATCGACGCACGACTTTTGGGACACGGGACACTCTTTTTGGTCGCGATATAGATCAAAGTCTTCGTTGTGAGCTTTTGCGGATTCTTCGAATTCGGCCAGAGCGTCGTAGATGTGATAGGGGCCGACTTGTTGCTCCTAAAACAGAATTAGCTTATATGATAATACGATCTGACGCTAATTGTGGCATCTAGCGCATAAGCGAACGAGTCATAGCAGTCGGGTTCCTACCATGTCGGAAAAGATGAGGAAATCGGGGAGACAGTTCAAGGTTGTTAACAGATGCGTAGGTATTCGGTCGAACGCCTCTGTCGCGCCCGTCTTCATGACCAATAGAACACCGTCTGTGTTGGGGAAATTGGCGCAGGGGTTGCTCGAATTATAGTATTGATTGACCGTCTGTTTGTTCCCTTCGCTGTACAGCGTGTTGTTGTAAACTGGACTGCCGAGATAATCCTTGACGCTGTGGTAATACTCGCGAGCATATTCGAATGGCGCTTCTTTCCATTGCGGCCGAACGTGCAGGTATGTCGCAAACAGAGCTAAGGCGGCGATGCCGCCGAAGACCCTGTATCGGCGGGAAATGGGTGTTACGATCATGGTGATTATGGTTCCGAGGACTCGAATGCGAACATTAAGATGGAACTCCTAGAGGAGATCGGCGACCGGGACACATTTGCAAAGGCGGTTCGAATTTACTGAGATGGTTGCGAGAAAACCATGAAACCATACGTCATCCCGATACAAAGACGAGTTGAAATTTTTGAGTAAAGTGAACCTGCAGAGAACTCCCAAAGGGGAAGAAGTCAACTAACTATCGTGGCCGCATGTCAAAGGAAGAAATCGAAAGGTGAGAGATACAAAAAAAATCTAAAAATTCCAAAGTTATGAGATGTACCTACCTTAGGTATTCGGTAATAGTTGTTAGGTGGATTGCGCCTACCGCACACTGCGTATACTAAGTACATACCTACATGCTGCGTAGCACCTACTAGGTACGTATGTGGGCCTAAATAGGCGTAGTTATCGTATCACGAAAGAGATATCCAGGGGTCCCATGTTGTATTAAGCCGACTCTACCGGTCCAGATCCATGACTAGGCTATTGGAGTGGAGATTTGCGGCTGGAATTTACTCGAGCTGGTTAGCTAAATTTACTACATCATCTCGTATCACCGCTAAGTATTAAGTAATTGAAGATGATAGCCGTGAGGGGCATAATAAGTTACTTACCTAGGGAGGTAGCAAACCTCGATGTTGGTCTTTACGTACAGTAGGCGTTCACATGCATGCATGTACCTACCTACCTGAGTTTGGCTCGCGTACGTCCGTATGCAGGCAAATTGTAGAACTTGTCTTTGTATGGTCTCTCCTTTACATGCCTCGTGTTCCCTTAGTCGATGAAGAAGTAACGGGACGGGTAGTAGTGATTAAACTAGCGTTGTGTTACCATTTCGTCGGCACCTCCAATCACCCTCTCCTACTGGCTGCTTAATCTCGTTTCACATGCATGTAACCGATCATCTCATATCAATTCGTCTAGAGGTCTTTTTAATCGAAACACTTTCGCACCAAGCGGGACAGATGTAACGTATAAGACGCCTAAGCCTTTCCTATGTCGACAAAAACCGCGACTTACTCAGATGCATGTCCTAAATTAGAAGAGGGCAGCTATTCTTGTGCATGGTGAAGCAGTATTTAGGTACAAGAGTTAAAATAACCATTGGTAACGATAATAAAATATGTAATTAAAAACGATACCGTACGTAAGACGAATGTTCCATTACAAATTGGAATGCTCAACTGCATTGAGAAGGAGGCGTCGGCTGCGAAGAAAAGGAGAAAATAGAAGGTTGCTTATCGATTCACTGGGCGTTGTTTCTGTTGAGACCTCGTCCGATGAATAGCGAATGGTCTAAACTTTCCTCGGCTGTCAAGCAGTTAAGGGAAGTGGGGAGCCCCGGAAACCTTAGAAACCCTGCACGTCATAGTTGTCCAGCCGTGCTACCTAGGTACGTGATGTCGCATCGAGAACTATGAGGTTGACATTTCGACGCCATAAAGGATTGAGTTCAGCCCTATTTAAGTTGAACATTTTTGACATTGAAACACTATTTTGATAGATCTCGTCATATTTTAGTATTGAAAGGTAACGTATAAAAAGATATGACCATACAATATGTTTTATTAAGATTCCTAATCTGTTAGTTTAATTCTTACAACAGCAGCGCAAAAGAGCAACCTGCAATTAGTTATTTGATTCGACCAAGGCTGAGAATGCACATTCACATTAGAAACAGTAAGATTAAAATAGCCTCAGCCAGTTGGTATCAATTAAAAACAGTATTCCAATTTGTACGGCAGTGGCCAATTGTCCTTCCTGTGCTTACCTAACTATAAAAATTCAATTCTTTACTATCACGTGGATGAAGTGTAGTTACGGAAAGTACGGCAAGCAGAGATCGAATTACTTAGTGGCCCAAGCTTCCAAACCCACAACCCATGACCCGTAACTCGACGCGGTGCACGCCGCAACTCCATCTTCATGGGAAGGTCTGCATGCGGTAATCGCGTCACTTCTTCCACGGCCCACACTTTCAAACGTTCACCTCACCACACCTGACTTCTACTTTTTCACACCACAGAACATCTAATCTGTTGGCGCATATAACCAATCCTAGATCGCGATCCCCCTCTGACCTTATTCAAACATTCACAGTCGGTATTGGTTCTATTCAGATCAAATTGCATAGGCTTTTATTTAGCCTTCTCCATACAGCCAATCATATCACAACATCATCAAGATTTCTACCAAAACACCACCGCGACGCCATCTAATTCCCGTCACGATGGCAGAGGCAACTCCCACTGACACTCCTACTCTATCCGCCATTCCATCTGCCATCGCCTCAGCTACAGCCTCCGCTGCAGCAACTCCTCAGTCCTTGCCCCCCATGGATCCCGAAGAGCGCGCCAACTCCCTTCACGTGTCGCTAGCCGACCTCACTGCCAAGGCCAATGCTCTTTACGCGCAAAAGAAGTTTGAAGAAGCTGCCGAGATTTTCTCCCAGGCGACCGAGATGCAAGCCGAGATCAATGGCGAGATGGCCCCTGAAAACGCCGACGTTCTGTTCCTCTATGGCCGAAGTCTTTTCAAGGTCGGCCAAAGCAAGAGCGATGTTCTAGGTGGAAAGGCTGCTGGTGAAAGCAAGTCCGATGGTGCTGCTGGAAAGAAGCCCAAGACAAAGAAACCACAAGCGGAACAGTCGACTGCGAACACGGCAGAGAAAACGGCGGAGAAAGTTACCGAAGGGGTAGCCAATGCCGCGGCAAAGAGTGCGACAGAAGCCGAGAAAGTGCCCGATGCGAAGAAACCGCTATTCTCATTCACAGGCGACGAGACCTTCGAGGACTCAGATGAGGAAGAGGAGGCTGAGGGAGAGGAAGACGAAGACGAAGACGAAGACGAAGATGATCTTGCAGTGGCATTCGAGGTATTAGATCTGGCACGTCTGCTTTTCGAGAAATCCCTAGAGCGAGAAGACCAAGACTCGTCGGAGGGCAAAGGAAAGGAGAAAGCCGAAGGCGACAGTCCTGCCGTAAAGCACATTAAAGAGCGACTCGCCGACACACACGATCTCCTTGCGGAAATCTCCCTTGAGAATGAGAAGTACGACAGCTTAACATTTTGTCGGGATCTTCAATTGCCATCTACTAACAAAGATATAGGTATCCTCTAGCAATTAATGACTGTCGCGCCTCTCTCAAATACAAGGAAGAACTATACGGCGAGGAGTCTGAGGTGATCGCCGAGGCCCATTTCAAATTATCGTTGGCTCTTGAATTCGCGTCCGTCACTACGACTGAAGAAGATACTGCCGGCGCGAATGCGAAACCTGTTGACGAAGAGCTACGAAATGAAGCTGCCACCGAACTGGAGAAAGCTATCAAGAGCACGAAGCTTAAGCTCGACGCGAAAGAGGTTGATCTCGCGATGCTGCACGCCCCCGAAGATAATGAAGCAACAAGGAAGCAGATCGCCGAGGTCAAGGACCTGATCGCGGACATGGAGCAGCGGGTGAGTTTTTCACTTCCCCGTACACTCCCTGTCATCGCGACATGAGAGACGATGATGGATGAAACTAACCTGCCTTACCAAATAAGCTTGTCGACCTCCGTAAACCGCCTATGGACGTTAACTCCGTTCTCGCATCCGACGATACTATGCTAGGTGTACTAGGCGCGGCCCTCGGCGAGTCGACCGAAAACAAGGAAGCAAGGATCGAGGAGGCGAAGAAGAACGCTAAGGATGTATCCGGTTTAGTGCGCAAGAAGACGAAGGAGGAATCGAAGCAAGAGACGAACGGCAACGGCAAACGCAAGGCTGACGATGCCGCGCTAGGCGATGATGAGGTGAAGAAGGCCAAAGTTGAGGAGCCCGCGCAGTCTTAACTCAAACCACGCCATATCACCAATAATGGCTTTTGCATAGGCAATACGCAGCGGTTAGGTTTGTGAATCAGGGTGTGCTCATTATCTAGGTGCTTTAAGTCCGGCGATTCGTCAATCCTCCGCCACCGCGGAGAGGAACAAACCAGAGAAGGATTGTAAATTACCATGTAACATAGGAAAAGCCTTCGAGCGATGGAGGCATCATATGACCACGACATGCATGCCCGAATCCTCGCGTTGGGCGACGGTGACAATAGGGGGGAGCCAAAAGCAAGGGGAAATATGTGAAAAAGGAGAGTGATGACCTTCGGTTCTTCTATCCATAGCAGTTAAATAGGTAGGCTGTGCATATTCCGCGTTTGCTATGGCAATCATGACGCTATTCTTTGCTTCGATATTAAAGCGAGCTAAGTTTACTCCGCCAAGGTCACCATTTGCATGAGAATAAAGCCACTACGATAATCACGAATGAATGGGGAAAGAAAAAAAAAAGCCCAGTCGGAGCAAGAGAAAAGGTTCTAATACCTTGCCTTTATAACAAAACAACCAGTTCAAATCAACTATCAAGAAAACCCCGTGTGAATCTCAAGGGAAAAGAAAAAGCAAAGACAACCAGAAACCGTCAACTCCATTAGACCCCAGGACAGACGGCTCAGCTGTTCTGCTGCCGCAGAGTGCCGTCGAAGAAAAAAAAGACTCGATAGCCACACGCAAGCAATACTCGTACAAGTCTGAGGACGTAAAAAGGCATCTCCCTTCTCTCTGCTCTGCTTGCTCTTTGCCCATGCCATGCCATATCATCTCCCGAACGACAAATAAGGAAAAGAGGGAATTCGACCAAAGCAGCCCCCTTTCACCGTGTCATGTCATGCCCTTCATGCTCTTTTCGAGGTGTGAGATTTACAAAAGTTTTGGAGATTTCTCCTTCATCTTCTCATTTAGCAACGCCGATCTCCGCCGCCTGGGACGATTCTCCCTGCGACTCGCGGGTCTGGTATCGTTGAGATCGCGGAGCTGGACGGAGTGACGATGACGGGAACATCCCTTCTCTGAATGTGCCCTCATCTCCTGTATAATTAGGCCTGGGCCATGATCTTAGAGTCTCCAGCTCCCTTGCCGATCGTCCCGCGGCCGCCGACCCGTCAAAACCCACCTGACCCGCACTGCTCGCAAGCCGGGAACCGCGCAGATTCGTGTCCTACGACAAATCGCGACCGGTCGCCATGCCGACGGTGGGGCCGGACGCCTTGCCCTTACCCTTGGCAGCGGCGGATGACGGGGCGTTATTCCAGGACAGGTAGGTGTGGTCGCCGAGCTTGCGAGGCTTGATGAGGTTTGTGATGAGGAATAGCAAGGCGAGGGCGATGCAGAATCCGCCGACGACGAGCCAGAGGATTCCGAGGAAGTTGTTCTTGCCGCCCATGACGGACAGGGTCGTAATGACGATGCTCTTCTTACCCTGATACTGGTCGGTTCGGAAATCTATCAAGGTGTGTTAATTAACCTTCTTAATTAAAAAAAAAAAAAAAAAAAAAAAAAAAAAAAAAAAAACCCTGGGTCACATACTGTCAATGATATCCAAAGAGTAGGTGCCTATCTGCATAGGACTCGTGTCGTTGCGCCCCCAGAGCTTGCTGAAGGTTGGCAGACCTGCTGTCCGCATCCATACGATGAAGTGCTCATCTTCCTGCAAGTTTGGAGGGGGGTTCTCGGTAGAGTAGACGCCATTAGGGTATCGGATCTGCCAGTTGGGAGGCGGGAGAATGTTGTCCAAGTTGTTGTTCACTCTAGGCTTGTACAGCTCCTTGTCAGATTCCCAAGCAATCGAAGTATTCTTCATCTCGTAAGTTAGGTTGCCGTCCGACGTTGGCGGGTTCAAGAAGATAGGACTCATGATAGTGTCGTTGAAGACGGAGTTGGCGATCAGACCACAAGGATAGTAGGCTTTCGGGTTTGCGCTGGTCAAGTTGACGGTCGCTAGAGGCTGGCAATTGGATCCATCGACATCGGAAATCGTGACGTCCTCTCCAGCAAGCTGCTTGTCGAAGAACGAAGCAACGTAGCGACGGTGATTCTGGTAGAAGTTCTCGAGGCGGTAATATAGAAGTACAGGCGGAGACATCTCTTCCGGTATCTCAAACTGAAGAGTGCATTTCGTGAGGTTCTGAACTGTGTAGGTGCCGTAGGTATAATTGACCGGGGAGGTACGCTGCCACATAGCATTAATGGTATTGTTGGTTTTGAACGACGGGAAGACCAGGCTGTCATCCATCAAGGCAAGTTCAGTGGTAGGCGCATCGCGGAAGCAATTCGTGTAGTCGATGCGCAGTTCCTTGACCTTAAAGACATGATGTCAGCAGCAAACACAAAGGCTCGAGTGCCAACTTGACGTACTGTAGAGCTGGCATAGATCAACAATCCACCGACAGGCGCACATATGATACCTATGACGAAGAAGAGGGGGATGACGGTTTTCGGGGTGAGAATTGGTTGCCACGCTTTCAGACGTTGTTGGCGAAACGCCGTGTTCGCGGGTCTTCTGCTCTTCTTCTTCTCCTTCGTTTGATCGATGCTCTCTGGTGGCGAGGAATCATCCATCTTGTAGGCGTGGTTTCAAGCTTAGAGGAGAGTTGAGGAGATCGTCAAGGGAGAGAGGGCTGTAGGCAGAATTGTTAGGAACAAGGTCTGTGTCGCCGGTCGAACAGGGGATCCGGGGCGGTCGGGACGACGAGACAACAGGAGTCGCTTACACTAACGATCGCTATAGCGCTGGACCCTCGGCGATGGGCCTCGAGCATGCAAGACGGAAAACAAATTGCCAGTTTGAACCTCGATATCTACTTAGGTATATAGCGTTCCTGGGAATTGGCGCGGGTAAATGATGTCGAAGTTGGACTTAGCCATGAATGTGATTCTTGTCAGTGCAATTTCGTGGCTTGGTCAAAAGGAAACGCGGCCAAATACGAGATTCCTGTAGCGCAGCACAGCCACTCTGCATCATTACATAAGGTACTTGGACACTTGAGACGGCGGGCCATTTGACTTAAACCGTTAAAGCTTTAAAACGTTTTTTTTTTTAATTTAATTTAAAAACTTTAATTATATTAATAATAATTTTAAAAGTATTATTATAAAATATTAATAAAAATTAAAATGTAATAATTATAAAGAAATTTTTTATAAAATAAAATTAATAATAATTAAATAATAATTAAATTATAATTAATTTTAAATTTAATAATAATTATTTAATATTAATTTAAAATTATTAT